CTGTCTGGCTCAGCTCTGTCTGGCTCAGCTCTGTCTGGCTCAGCTCTGTCTGGCTCAGCTCTGTCTGGCCATGGCCGGTTGTGCTTGTTAGACATTCGGACCTGATGTTGTATACCCTGGCTGAGATCCGGTCTCTGAGAGGCTTATACAACATGAGCAATGTCAATGGACATGATCAGTATTGACATGATCAGTTCTGGGGCGCCAAAGCTTGGCTCAGGCTTCATCTGATATGCTGCATTGACTGTCAGAAGTGTACTATATACTGACTGTGCTTCATATAGATCTCTCGAAGTTTGTTCCGTCGTTCCTCACCAGTCACCGAAGTGACGACGATGATTCGTCTTTCGGGTCTGATACAGTTGTGCCCCCGACCCCTCGGGCTTTAAGCCGTACGCCTCCTGTTCGTCCTCCTCGATGTCCACCGTTGGATCTTGAATTGTTTGGCGAGGTTGGGTCTGGAAACCTGAGGAATCGACGGGGACTCACCAACGCCCAGGGCCAGGCCGTACCTGCCCTTTCTGTCGTTGCTCCTCCCTTAAGTCCCGACGACTGGCCTCTTCCCGCCGTGCGCAACTTTTCTGAACCTCTGACTCCGTCTGCGCCTTCCGAGTCTGTACCTTCCCAGGAGAAGTCACGCACCGCTTCAAACCCACAACCTTCTATTCCCACTCTGCTTCCTCCATCTTTCAGGCCAGCCCTTCGGTCCTCTCCCTTTTTTTCTCCTTCTTCACCCTCTCTGCCAAAACACGTTCGGTTTGCTCTAGACCTCCAGTCTCCCGAGATTCGGACTTCTCATTGGGTCGACCCAGCTTCCAGGAGAGAGTGTCTGCCTTCTCCTTCGAGAAGCCCTCGGACTCGCCCACCCCCTCCTTCACCCAGACCTCCCCTCACCTCACGCTACGCACCCATCATGGACGAACGGTCCTCTTCTTCGGGGCCTCCAGCAGCCTCTTCTTCGGGACTTCCAGCCAACCAACCTCCCCTCAACTCTCGCCACGCACCCATCATGGACGAACGGTCCTCTTCTTCGGGGCCTCCAGCAGCCTCTTCTTCGGGACTTCCAGCCAACCAACCTCCCCTCAACTCTCGCCACGCACCCATTATGGACGAACAGTCCTCTTCTTCGGGGCCTCCAGCAGCCTCTTCTTCGGGACCTCCACCGGCCACCACTTCCACTGCTTCCGCCGCCTCTACCGCTGCCTATCCCTCTTGCCCATACGGGGAGGAGATCGAACTCCTTCAGCAACAGGTTGAGAAACAGCTCGATGATGTTTTTAAGCTGGACGAACTGTTCGGCCAACTTCTCGAGCTCACCATGAAGCACGATAAAGATTTCGACCTGATCGAGAAGCATGAAGAGTCCGTCAACAAAGTTTTCGACCTTATCCGTATCCTTGACGAGTCTGTCGATCGTGTCGAAACTAAGCACACCAAATTGACCGACGATCTTGCCCAGTGGTCAACGGACATGCTACAGGAGGTCGAACAGCGCTTCGCCAATCTCGCACGCACCTTGATCTCTGATGTTTACGAAAGGGCCTCTCAGGTTCAGGCCGCTGCCCACGCTGCTGCTGCCGAGGCCGCTGCCCAGTCTGCTACCGCTGACTCACGTCCTGCGACAAAGAAGGATGTCAAGAACGACCTGCGTGAAATGCAAACCGAGATCGCCGCCCTCGCTGCTTCTGTTAGCGGACACACTGCTGCTATCAACTTCCTCAAGCCTTTAGTCAAGGAGGTCAACGAGCTCAACGCCCAGAAGCCTCTAGTCAACGAGCTCAAGAATAAGTCCAGTGAACTGACGGTTGAGGTCAACGAGCTTAAGGAAACGTCCAAGGAACTCAAGGCTGTGGTCAAGCAGATCCAAAAGTCGATCACGCAACAGAACCAGCGCAATGCCGCCATTGATGATATCCTGGAGGATTTTAGGGCAGAGTTTAAAAAGCACCAAGCTTTGCTTCTGCGTATGAGAGTTGGGCTTAGCATTGCCGACCCAGAGCATGCACTGAGTTTTCCTGCCGAGGATCTTGAGCATAAAATGGCGCCCGGCACCAACACTCCTGGCGTTCCACCATTTGCCACTCCTTTGACCCGCACCCCCACGGACCCGGAATTTGAGAACACCCCTCCTCAGATTCCCCCGAAGTCCCCCGCGCGTCGTGGCATCATGCGGCAAGTTTCGACGCCGCAATTTGCGGCCATCTGCAAGTCTGCAGGTGGCCTAGTCCGAGGGGCGAAGGCAGCCCGGGGGCCCCTCGCCCCTCCGTGCCTCCCGGGGTTGGTCACCCGGTCAGCACCATACACCCTGCTTTCCGTCAGGAGGGCGGGGTGTATGGTGCTGACGCTGTGGCAGAGACCACAGCGGAGGCGGAGGATGCCCTCGCGGGCTCCTCCTAGGCACCAGGAGGGTGCCAATGTCTGATTCGGAGGAAAAAAAACAAAAAAAAAAAAAAATATTAAAAAAAAAAGCCCTCGGGCACCAAAAAAAAAAAACCCCCCATGTTTTGAGTCAAATTTTACTCTCCATTATTTGTAGAATCTGTAGATGTTGTAGAACGTAGTGGAAATGCTGTTTGTTGTAATGTTGGATCTATAGGTACTTTTGTATGCTCTTCAAATGTTCAAGTGTCGTCGGAAGGAATTGGCTAATATTCTATCATCGCCCCCGGGGCAGCTACTCGGTATTTCGGTAGGTATTGATCAACGGACAAGTGTTAAAAGCTGCGTAGCTGAAAGTTTTGCATATAATATTATTCACAGGACAGTATTTACTTAGAATTGTTCATCATCTTTTCAATGTCAATTGCCGCCTCCCGAACCTGCGGACAGTAATGCAGACGCAGCAATTCACCCTCCCATACCGTACCAGCGAAGACATTAGTGGCCTCAATGTCATTGGCACGGGGATTGAACACACCATCACCCTTTCGTTCTTCGGTATGCCACAGTGACGTGATCCGACGGCCATGGTATTTCGAAACCTGACTCATAAGCGCCAGCGTGGCGAGGGCAGATTTCTCCGGCAACTGAAGCGAAGTAGTCATAAGACGCTTGGAGAAACTGCCCAGTCGCGCAGGGGGCGGGTTGCCATGGGCGCGAGACAACAAGGTCGGCTGCAGACAGCGAAGCAGTAGGACCATGGGCGTTTGGAAGTTGACTTTGTTCTTGGAGCGGGTCTGGGCGAGCTGGGATGCATCGGAGGAGAAGTGGGGGTCGGCGAGCCGGAGAGACGTGTCCGGGTTGAACTCGACTTCTGGGTTCATGGCGAGAGAGTAGAGGGAGCGGTAGAGGTGCTTGATGAAGAAGTTCAAGTCGAGATGAAGACCTGCGGCGGCTTTGCTGGCTTCTTGGCCTTCTAGCAGAGCAAAGGCGGTCACTGTGCAGAGCAGGGTTCTCCGACGGGCATCCCGAGCGGCGGTCTCGACGATTGTGGATTGATCCTCCTCGTCGTCCTCTTCTTGGGTGACTTCCTGGTCACCTTCCTCGCCCATTTCCTCACGCTCCGCGTGGTTAATGAGATCCTTCAGGGCCTCCAGAAGATCACCGAAGAAATCTTGGTTGATCAGGTGGCTGTATTTCGCTAATCCTTCCAGAACGGGGCCCATCAGAGGTGGGAGGCGAAGCTTGAGAATGCGGAAATAGAGACCAAACACAAGCTTGAGTGTTTCGGCTTGGTTCTTGTCTCTTTGTTCGTGGGATACCACAGCATCTGCTTGACGCATGTCCTTTTCAACTTCCTTGCGCTCTTTCTGCACCTTGCGCTCCCGCTTGGTACGGAACTCGCGCTTTTGCTTTGGCTTCTTCCCCGGTGCATCTTCTTCCTCGCGGTCAACTCGGTCTTGCGAGGCTTTCAGGTGGAATTCGCCAAGCAAGCGGAGATGGAGGAATGTGTCCAATAGACTGGGGTGAATGTGGAAATCTCTCGCCTTCATCATTTTGGCAATCAGGGCTGTGGCCTCAAGAGAGACAGTGCCGTCGTTGTCCTTTGCGAAGACATCTTCCAATGTATCACGGCACTTGACATAATCGGCATCAACCTGTCTCCGTGCAAGGCGGTTTACCAGGATCTTGAGCAATTCGCTGCGGAAATTGAAGTGTGGCACCGCCAGAAGCATAGTGCAAGCCATGTTGATTGCGAAGCTCTTCAATGAAGGGTCGGCAGAGCCATCTTTGGAGGTCTTGGCTAGTGTGCCAAGGGTTTGGACATAGTTTCGGTATCCTGCGACAAGAGCCTGTTCAAAGTCTCGAAGCTTGCGCACTTCTTTTGACACTCTGCCTGTTTTGTCCTCTTCACTCAATGGGCGAATGCGGTATCCAGGAATGACATCCTTGTAAATGGTTGCCTGCGAGGCAAGGGCCAGCTTCTTGACTGTGAGGCATGTGTTCTTCCTTGTGACCATCTCCGCCATTGTCTTGAACAGAGAGGTGTGTTCCTCGGGCTCCTCGTTGATCAAAGTCGCCATCTTGGCAAGTTCCTCCTTTGCTTGCATGATCTGGACTTTGATTGGGATTTTGGGCTGTTCCTCCTCGGGTTCCTCCTCCTCCTCGTCCGAGCCTTCCTCCTCGTCATCGTCGGTGCCTAAGAAGCTGTCGGTCTCCTCGCCCTGGTCCTCATCTTGTACTGTTGGCTGGACCTCGGCCTGAACAAAACCTTCGGAGGTCTTGATTGGCAGTCTTGCGCTCTCGCCGGCTTTTTTGGTGACTTTGCGCGGGCGGCGTTCATAGTCTTGCTCGACATCCCACTCTGCGTCGGCTTTGGATCGGACAGCCTGGTCGTCGCCCGGGGGGCTCAATCGTCTGCGCTTGGATTCTGCGCCGCGTGCCATTTTGGGTATGTGAATTGGGGGTCGACGGTGTTCGAAACAAAAGTGGTCTTCAAATGCAAAGGCGGTCCCGAAAATTTGAGGCGGGAAGATCCTGATTGGTGTATATTGCCGCTCCACTTCGACATTTTTCCAGGACCGCTTCTATTTCTGGCAGGCGGTGTCTATTATTTTGCCATGCTGATTGGAAAAACTTCATCGGAGCTTCGTGACTTCAATTCAGCACAATATCTACCGACTCCCTCCTCTCGTTTACTCACGATGCGTTCCCTCACTGAAGAAGAGACCCGCACTCTCTTCACCAAGCTTGCTCACTACACCGGAAAGTCCCTTAACGCCCTGGTCACACCCGATGAAGATGGCAGACTCTCTGTTTTCAGACTTCAAGGCAGCCGTGTCTACTATGTCGACAAGGAATTGGCCAATCTGAGCACCAGCATTCCCAGAGATCAGCTCCTGTCCATGGGTACCCAAGTCGGAAAGTTCACAAAGGTAGGGCGCATTCCCTCAAGTCCTTTGGCCGATGCTAATACTGCAACAGACTGGCAAATTCCGCCTCAACCTCACTTGCCTGGATCTGATCGCTGCCCACGCCCGCTACAAGATCTACATCAAATCCAACGGAGTTATGCCTTTCCTTTACGGTTCCAACGTTCTTCGCGCTCATCTCTCCAAGTACTCGTATGTACAACATCACGTTCCCATGCAGAGTATAGTACTAACGACGAATGCAGCGAGGACATGCCCGAGCACGCTGGATGTGTTGTTGTTGATGAGAACGATGGTGAGTCAAGCCCCAAAGGCGCATTCCCAAGATCATTGCTAATCACATGCTCTAGTTCCCCTTGGATTCGGTGTGACCTCCCGCTCTAGCCAAGAGGCCAAGAAGCTTGAAGGTACCGGTGTTGTTGTCTTCAGACAAGCCGATACTGGCGAATACCTTCGTGAGGTTTGTGCAACCGAATTCTTGTCCTATGGGCCAACTTGCTAACGTCGAATAGGAGGACACCCTGTTCACCACCTAAGCACATCGAACACTACATATTCGTACCCTCGAAAAGGCGTTTGGGAGTTTCATTTGATCAGTTTGATGTTACAAAAGTTGACCATATCTTTTACGATACCATGGTCGTTGCTTCGATGTCATGAATTGATGGTAAATATTGACACGGTGAAAGTCGCATAAATATCCAATAGCACAATCTACCAAAACTTCATAATATCCGTGAAGTGTCAACTGTAAACTGTGTAATATCATCCTCTCAGTGCGTGTACTCTGTATAGATCTAGATGGCGATTTTAAACATGATTAGTCAGCGTCGCGCCGGGGATCTTGACGGAGTAGCGGGATGATAACTCACTTCAGTTAAAGCCCTGCTCTTTCACTTAGTGTCGGCGCTTCACGACAGTGGCAGGATCCAACTTCCATTTCATCCCTCTCTCCGCCTCTTTCACTTTCACCGCCGCAATCTGCCCAACGCAGTAGCTTCAAATATTGCCAACCCCCACCATGCCACCTTACTCAAGCATCCAGAAGCAGCAGATTGCTGAATTTGGCGTTTTGACGAAGAGCAGGGATAGTGTGGCAACTAAGGTATGTTTTGACTGATCTTCACCTCTCGTCTCGACCTTGCCTTGCGGTCTGCAGGCGGATCATCGCAATCAAACTAACTTGGGTATAGTTCTTGAAAGCAAGCGGATGGAATCTGCCGCAGGCCATTGATGCGTAAGTGCTGGACTTTCTTCTGACTCCAATCTTGTTTCCTCATTTTCGAGGCATCTTCCAAGCTTGGGCAATCATTTGATCCTGCGGGCAGAAATTCACTTTGCGTCCTTGAGTTTCTCATTCAAGTCTGAGAAATTTGTCTTTCTTTCGCAGTGGTTTTTTCGCACTAAGCCTTTGTGTCCAACATGCCTCCCAAAAGGCGTCGCACAAGGCATCCTCGTGAAGATACAGATGCGGAGGCTCTGTGATTCCCCCAACACATCCCGAATTCTACTGCTTACCTATCATCCTTGTATCTTGGCTAACGTAGGGATGTTCTAGGTACTTCACTGTCGAGGCTGGCAGTAATTCAAACCACGTTTCAGACCTCACCAAGATCTTTGACAGCTACCAAGGTACCATCCTCTCAACTCTATCTCAATCACTGAAGCTAACTTCTCCCAGATGACTCTGCCGAAAACCCAGATACCATCGGTATCCAACGAGCCATGGATTTCCTAGGCGATATCGGCGTTCAGCTGGACGAAGTGACCTGTCTCGCCATTGCGGAGCTCCTCAAATCCCCATCAATGGGCGAGTTCACCCGCAATGAGTTCAAGCGCGGATGGGCAATTCTCGGGTAAGCTCGATCATTCTCGTGGATTCCAAAGCTAATCTTACTACCACATGGAATAGATGTGACACAATTGGCAGGATGACTGAAGAGGCCAACAAAATCCGGGAGAGGATCCCTAAAGACCCGGAGTTGTTCCGCCGTGTCTACAGATACACATTCCTGCTATCAAGGATGCAAGGGCAACGCAACCTCCAATTTGAAATTGCTGCTGATCAATGGAACCTCTTCTTCACCACTGACCACGGTGGTGTGGCATGGAACACGGCGACGACACCCTGGCTGGATTGGTGGATTGAGTTCCTTGAGGGCCGTGGGAAGAAGCCTGTCAATAAGGATCTGTGGGAGCAGGTGGAGGTGTTTATGCGGAAGAGTCTGGAGGATGAGGAAATGGGGTGGTGGAGTGCCGATGGGGCCTGGCCAGGGGCGCTGGATGACTTTGTTGCCTTCGTCCAGGCCAAGAGGGGCAAGGACTCTGAGATGGATGTCGAGTAGAAGAATCTGCCATGTTTGAGCGTTTCGTTTCATGGAGTACCAGATGTATGAGAGAATCGACATGTACATGCATCGGTGCTATCCACTATGGGTCAATGATCAATGGATTGTGGGTCCATCTTTACAATTTACACTTTATCAATCCACATACTTTATGCCGAGGCGCCTTGCAGCCTTTCCAACTGGCTTTCTTTTGACTCCGCACGGAGTAGTTTAGATAGTGAGACGGGAGTACGAAAGCTCTGCAGCCATGCAACTGATTAAAATAAAGTGTATATACCAGCCCACCAGGGTTGGTAGAAAAGGTAAAAAGCCATTCGTCATGAGATTGAGTAAGAACATCAAGGGGAAGATATCTGCAACATGCTAAATAGCATGATGGGTGTGTACATGGATTCAGATCAACACCGGAGAATAATAAAGACAAAAGGAGAGGAACAAAGGAAAAAGGGTGCAAACAAGCCGAAGTCTAACCAAAGATGCTTCCGAAGCTTTCATCTTATTTGCCAATTGCTGACTTGGCCCATTTAAGGGTAGTCGCGCTTCTCATATCCGGGGTCGCGGCGCTGGTTATCGTAACGCTAGAGGAATGTGAGTAATTATTTTTCGCAATTGGATCCCTTGGGAGAATGAGACATACCTTGCGGAGAGCCTCCAGACGCTTCTTCTTGGTGTGGGTGTTGACATAGGTTCCAATGAAGAATCCAATAATGTTGAAGAAAGGTACCCAAACGTGTTCGGGCAGGAACTTCTGGGCAAAGGCCAGGGCCAGGGGAGAGGTCACCCAGCTGACCTTCATGACGGGCATGAAACCAGCCTTGACGGTCGCACGGACCTGGTGAAGGGTGCGCGCACCGGCGATGACAGCCATCGAGCTCAGGTAGACGCTGTTCTGGATGGGGGAGATCTAAAGAGGCAAGCGTTAGCGACCGGGAGGAAAGGCGGTCAAGCAGTCAATGGGGCAGTGGACATCGCCAACACATACAATCAAGTTGCTGACGAGGATCTGCATGATCTTAGCCTTCAGACTTGTGCGGCCGGCAAAGATCTTCTGGAGAATTCCGATGAGGAAATGGCCGAGAGGGGCGCTGATAAACATTCCGTAGAGGGACATCTTGGGAATGCGCGAGCTGAAGTAGTGACCGTGCTTGCCGACATCGTGCGCAATCCACGAGGCCAGCAGCTCCTGCAGACCGGAAAGCACACCGGAGGTGAGCATCTTTGTGCGCAGCGGGTTCTTCTGGAGGTGGAGGAGGTAGGCCTATTCCATCGAGGGTGGTCAGTCGCGATCTGCTGCGAGTGTAGATTCCCTACTTACTTGGAGGTACCCTGTCGCGGTTTTACCACCCGTGAGCTTTTCCCCGACCCGATGTATGAGGTCCTTGGAGGTGCCATCACTGACGGCTCGGACGGTCTCCTCGAACTTCACGGAAGTCGACATTCTGACGATCGGAATGGGGTCAAACACGCGCCTGGGTAATTCAGGTGGATTATATGCAGAATGCAGAGAATGCCGAATGGGGAGAATAATAATGTAAGAGGGGGGGGGATTTGTTTTGAATCTGGAGACTCCGAGGTCCAAATGGAGAGGTTGGGCCTAGCCGAGTTCTGACCAATGGGGGTGTCGGAGACAATTGCGACCGTGTGTGCTTTTCTATTAGATGTACTCCCTTATTCCCTTATAGGTACTCCCTTCTAAACGCCCTTAATTCAGGCAAAGGTAATTGTAAATCAAATGTCCAAAATTCTAGGGAATTGAGGAATATACGGAGTACACCTAAATACGCACAATTTGGCATCGGAAACGGCAATAGAGCCAACCCGGAGAGTGCCGCTTGCCGCCAACTGCGTCGGCTGTTACTCTGTATTAATGCCGCACTCCTATTTTGTTCTTGAAACAATTACTACTATTGGGGCTTTTTGGGACTTGACAGCCTGAAGCTAGGAAAGTATTATGTAGTACCCTGTACTATGTACAACATTTGAACCTTGGAAGTACTCTGGGCTCTGATCTCATGGAGTATACCTCCACATTCCTTGCTTAAGTGGGACTGGATACTTTAAATATCCCATCAAATCTACGAGATACATACTGCATAAGATTGCGGTTCATCTTAACCAGCTCAATACCCCGTGCAAATGAGTCGTACTCATACAAAATGCGATCACCATTTACGGAAATCCATTCCGAGTCGGAAAGCCACCCGAAGGTAGTGAATCTTGACAAATCTGATCATTGGCGCAAAAGACCGCTGGTTCTAGATGTTCTAAAGTTGTATGCAATATCCATGACTTTTCGTTTCTGTAGTGATTCCTTATGTAGGTGTGTTCATACTTCAGATGTGAGTGAACAAGAGTGAACAACCGGCGATTGGTCGCCGGTGATTGCCGACCGAGCCGCGTCTGGCTTTCGAACATTTCTTTGGGCTTTCTCTAGCTTCAATGCAGCCAGTGTCTCCTCTAGAGCTGTTCTTGACACTGCATACCCATTGCTTTGGAGCTGACTGGGCCAATCACCATTATCAGCCCTTGGGCCGCGGCATGCAAGGGTATCGTGGAAATTTATATCAAAGGCTACAGCGGAATAATCCACCCCCTACTCGGCACTCCATACTCCGAACTTTGTCGGTCGCAGAACTTGTTGGCATCATTGGCACATTAATTTACCTCAAACCTACTCCATAGAAATTTCGGTGTTTAATCATTGTTCGCCTCAGCCGATGTCATCGACATGGCCTTCCTATGCCAAGACGCCACCCTGCGTTTCTCAAAAGGCTTGACAAGGGTGCTAAGCCGTCGGAGAATTTCGCTATAAGAGGCATAGTATGGTAAAATCAGTGCGGCCACTAAGGGGTATGAAGTACTCTGTACGGGAGTAGACATGATTGGAATAAGATGGTTGGATATCCGAGATGTATACAATGTTGGCCTAGCAACCACTGTGATGGGGCTGGTTTACGATCGTCCCATCGCCCCACTCATTAAGTCTGGAACTACGGAGTAGAGAGGAGCCTGCGCAGTACCTCTTGTACGGCATAAGATTACACAGATAATCATTTTGATCTCCAGACCTCGTGGTTTTTTCTGTCCACAGGTGTTCTCGGCCTATAAGTTAAACCCTTCTCAGTACGTATTTGATAACTGGAGGTTCTCGGCCACTTGCACAAGATTTCATTTGGGATATGCGTACAACTTAGAATACAACTAGCCAGACTCCCGGGTTGACAAGCACTAAAGCTTCTTTACCATAGCACCTTGAGTTCCTACTGTGGCAGATCATCTTCACCGGGGCCCTCATTATATCCATTGGAGGTCTGAGGCTTCGCATGGCGAAGTGCGTCCCCCTTGATGACATTGGACTGGTTAATGGCCTGGTCATCCTCCTGGGCTGTGGAATCCAAAGTCAGTTGACAATGTCTGGTATAAATCGGATTCTGCACTAACATATCTGTGCGTTCGACTCTTCGTAGTCGGCATCTTCAGCCTCGAAGTCGAACTCGTCTTCGATAATGTCATTCGGAGCAGACATGGTGACAGGATACGCTGTTCCGGGAAAGGTTGGTCGCTGCTGAGTAAACAGGTTTGTGCGTGCACTGGAGTGAATCGCCTCGATGATTTGAGCTCGAGGATAACCGAATCCAACGAAGAGCAAGATATTTATGCAGAATTCCTCGTTGCCTCAATCGTCATCATCACGTTGAGCTGGCGCCACTGGATGATCCCTTGATAACAGAAGCAGATCAAAAACAGGTTGAAGTACAACCAGGTCCGGTAAATCAGCCAGTTAGCCACTGGGATTATCATGGCGTGCGATGATGACTGCAATCTCGAGATCTAGACATGGAGATCGATCGAGTACCCGAGGTGACAGCCCGATGTGACGTCAACCAAAACCATCGCAAATCAAAACAGGAGTTGGTCATATAACGCGAAGTAAGGGTAGAATGGTTCATCCAGAGACTCATCCAGGTTTCTGTGTCAATATTTTCATGGCCAGTTAGTTTTTTGGGTGTCTCGGACTCTGTCGATGTCGGTTGTTGTTGCGGTGTTCTTCCCATAAATTCATGATTTACCAGTAATTTTGGCCGTTGGGTTTCCCGCCAATGTACTGAAAATATGGAACAAGGGTTTCTTGGCCTGTTCCTCCCTTCGAGGGCCCTAGAGGAGGGAGTTGTTGATGCTATCAATACGTCGTGATGTAATTTAAACCCGTATTTTATGTGTTCGATACGGTTTCACCTAGGGCTCACTTGAAACACGTGATATCCACGTGACATCCACGTGGAGCCACGTGGGAGACCACGTGATCACATTACCCTGACTACAAGCTATCCAACAGTATCAAAAGTTAGAACTTCCCCCAAGCCCTCCTAGGCTATTCAATACATCCAGAATTTCTGTTCTGGTCCCATCTGCAATGCAAATAATGCAGTATTAGATGAAGACAAACACTGCAGAGACCCATTCCGTCCCTACATCTCTTTATCCCGGCAATTCTTTCTTCTGATAGAATTTCTGATTTTTTTTTTTTTTTGTTAACATGGTATCCCCAGATGAGCTGGGGTTAGTAGAAATTGTGCTTAAGGGCTTCTCTGACTCTGCACGCCATATTTTGTAGGTATCCTCACTGTCCCGAACCAAGGGTCTGCCAGATTATATGTGGCTTCCACCAAAGTGGAGGAGATTGAATCCTCTTGAATAGTGGCCCAGGGGCCTGGTAGAGAATAGTGGTGATCGATTGAGGTTTGGGCCGGTTTTGAAAAGCTTCAGTGACCCTTCCACAATGGGCAATCTCTGAGTGATCGCGAGTCATAGTGAAAAGGATTACGTAGTAATGCTTTTCTGCACCCGGCATTTCGAAATCACTCTGTCACCTGGCGCTTGCAAACGCAATTTATGCCAAATTTGTTCCTAGTACTTTACCTCTCTGCCAAAGTTGCTCGTCAACAGCGTTTGAGTTCGTCGATCTGTCCTGCCAAGCAACAACAACACCCATCGTGAGATTTGCAATCTGCCACATCCACCTGGAGGTATTTGACACACTCTCTTCCTGGGTCTGCCACCACAATTGCACGCTCCTCACTAACCTTGAACCTGCATTTCAGTTTGGCCATCATCATGGATCCCGCCAATCGCCAGGAGGCCGACGAGGGCAACACCTCCGACGGTCAGGGTAATGGAAATGACCGTGCACTCATTCGTCCCACCATACCCGGATACAGTGAAATCGCCGGTAATTCGTCCCAATCGCAGTTGACTGTCCATAATGCCTTCTCGACTGGTTCTGCTCCCATCGGTCAGGGTGGTAGGAATGGTAGGAATGGTCATACACCCATTCGTCCCGTCGGATCCCCTCGCCATCGCATAACCGAGAATCTCTTACCATCGCAGTCGATGTACCAGAATGCCTTCCGCGAGGATGGCACTGTAGTGAGGGATTTTGCGTATCTCCTGAATGCAAATGGAGACCCAGCTGGTCACGGTCTGGCCGATCAAAATTCCAGCAACAGCCTCGGTCCTGGGGCTCAACGAGCCATGGCTTTGCGGAATTCGTCTCCATTTAACCCACGGCGGCGTGCAACAAGACCCAGGACGTGGGGGCACCCAAGGCACTTATTTCCTGCTGGTCTTGCTGATCTTGCTGTATTGGATGCTGCCGCCAGTCTCCATAGTGGATACACATACACGGAGAGCACTCAATTCCCGGTATCGCAGTCTCCTTGGTTTCCTGCTTCGCTCGAATTCACCGACTCTCAAAATGGGACAGACACAGGGCCTGGTCCTCTGGTTGACTCTGCTACACAGCCCAGTGAGAACATGAGAGGTGGTCGAGCCGATGCCCCTCCTGAAGATCCTTTCGAACTAGAAGGGTCCTATCAACATCTGCTTCTTAATGTCGGAAGCCTCATGGGGGATTCGATCCCGGACACGGATGACGGTCAAGCCGGCGAACTACTACCTTCCAGTCGTTATGTTCCAGACGGCCCCGAGCCTCAAGGACCTGAAAACCGCAATCAGGTCCGGATTTTTGATGGCGATGAACCTGAAGATCGTCAATTCGGAACTTTGCAAAGTCCCCGCCGATCTGAACCTAGTGGGCTTGATTCCATCGGCCAAGGAGGTACAAGTGGTTTTGTAATGGGTGAAACCTTAATGCAGGACCGTGAAATGATCGATTCCGGAGCCCCTGTCGACAATGGGGGTAATCATGAGGGTAGGGGTCTCATGGACGGCGTGGATGATGTGGGATCGTCGTCTTTTGCCAATTGGTCGTCGGGAACTATTGCCCCACCGCAGCCCTCCCACGCAACTGCAACTCCGGCTCCTCTCAACCTCACTCCTTCGGAACCGACTTACCCAGCCGCTCTTTTGGCACGCCTCAGCGCACATGGGATCAGTGGAAGAAAGCGGATGCGTGACAGCCCAGTAATTGACGCAGAGTGGTCACCTCACTACCAACAGGCGCCTACCCTGCGCTCATTCCCTCCTCTCTCCCCTGCCGCTGCCTGTCTTCCTGTCCCCTCATTTGTGAACGCTGGTCAAAGTGATGTGGATCCAATGGATACGGATCCAAGTGATGCGGGTCCAATGGATGAGGATCCAAGTGATGCGGATCCAATGGATGAGTCTAAGGATTCAGATAGCATGGAGAGAGAACAGTGACGATGATAGGATGTACCAAGTCCTTGGTCATCGTTTGATACGTTTGACTGTTTACCATTCCCCGTTTGCCCTTTATGGAGCTCCCCTTTCCCCGGATCTACATCTTCACTGAATTTGCCCCGTCATCATGCTTGCCCGTCATGGCATATCATATCCTTACCAGCCCATCATACTAGGATGCCATAGACAATATCAACACAGTCAAACAAAATTTTGCTCTTATCACACGTTGAATTGTACTCTAGAAGATTGGAACGCATGTATTCATGGTAAGATAACATACCCCTTCTCAGCCTCAGGATGATTGTAAGTTGTTTTTGATCCTGGTAATCGATTGTGCTAACTGGTTCAGCAATGGATTTAAGCTTGGAGTACTGTTAATACTCAAGTCCCTTAACTAAGACAGTTGTCTTTTGAGATAAAACCCGTACTCACAACGCAGGTGCTGCATGTCTCTTAAAGGTTGTTCCAGCTTGGTGACGAGTTGGTCGTGGTTGTTGGTGTTTGCCGCATTCAGTCTATGCGCCTGCACCCACGGAACTTTCAATTCACCGACAAGCTTGATATTGACTCGTCATTGATTTTCAGGAAATTGAAACCTGAAGCGTCGGTCGAAAGGCCATATACGGTTGTGTCGGATTTTCCTGCGATTTTCCGGTATCCATGAACGCAAGCTTGAGAAGCAGTCCAAGAGTGCGTTATGAAAAAAAAACCGTTGTGAGTGACTTACCCATGTACGCCAGAAATTTCGGAGTCCCAGAACCCAAACTAATGGCGTTGATGGTCAAGATGTCCAAGTGGGTATTTTCCTCATCTCCACACCAGATTCCATAATCTGGACGTCCGGACAATTCCAACATTTTATCCTTCCATGGCATAGGCTCATCGGTCTCCTGGGCTCTATTTGGATATTGGGAAGGCGCATAGACGCGCCCGCGTTTTTCCAACCAATTTTCTTGATAAGGTTAGTGAGTTTCTTTGAAGGATTCATCAGGCCAACGAACTCAAATCTTCTGGTAGAGAATCCCCAGGCCTTCCCCATGGCAGATGCATTGAAAATCTCGCACTTTTGCCAGTGCGCGTCCAGGACTGCCGGGCTTGGAATCTCATATTCCATGCTGGGCGTAAATCGGACAAGCCTATCAGAGGGAAACCGGGGAAGTGCATGAACAGAAAATTTCTTATAGGTTCTGATCTAATACTCGTTGGTGACATCCTAATATGGGGGAGAAGAGAGGAGAGATGAAAGTGCCCTGCTCAAAGGCTCTTTCCTGACTTGGATTTTAACGGGGAAGGCACCTGGGCATTGTCCACAGGCAGACTTCAACATATCATGTATGTCACTTTATCTAACATCCCGTGGTACTGGATATTGTAGGAAAAACCTTGAAAAAAATAGAAGGCTAGATGATTTCAGCATGTAGAAGCAGTACCTCTTGGATACTCCGTAGTCATATCGCTCATTCCGTGAATCTCATGCGTCTTTTTCATGAGGTATTTAGTCTCGACTGATCAGTGTTAAATCTACGTAGTATATCAGGTGCCCTTCTGTAAAAACCCGCTCTTGTATACTTGTAGTTGACTGCCAAGACCTCGGGCTACAGAGAATCACGAGTTATCATGTGAGAGTCTTCTTAATCTTAACTATAAAGTAGTTCAAGCTGGCTCATTTGGCGACTTGAAGCAATAAATAATAAGAGCTTTTTCCCCCAAATCCCAATAAAAAAACCACTCGCCATGATAGAAAGTGTCGGCAAGAGATGCTTAACGCGGGAAAATACAAACGCAAAATAAATCCAAAATAAATCCCAAAGCGGCAATCCCAGCCAAAGTTATCTTAGCCTCGGTAGCGCGGCGAAGCGGGTATCGCGCGATCCCGCATCTCATCACTCCGTGGATTTATTAGTGAATACACTCCTTTCCCTTTGACTCTCTGGACACACAACTATGGCTCAAAATGGGAGCAGTCCAGGCATCGGCGCCAAGCGACAGTTGTTGGGCGCCCTCACAACAACAGACCTGACAATCCGCCGTTTGGATCTGTAAGTCCCGGGACGTGGGCTCCCCGTAAAGCTTCCCGCTAACTGCCTCTACAGTATGCTCTCCACGGCCAGCGGACAAGAGCGAGTACTAGCGACCATCAACTACACCGCCTCAATACTGCACCACCTCACAGCCTCAGCCCCGTGGATCGCGCTTCAAACCAGACTGGGGATACTCGCCCGATTGAAAGGCCATACCCCTAATGTCTCCTCTCCATCGAAGAAATCTAAGTTCTCCGCCCTGTCCTCCCTTGCCTCGGAAACGAGATATAATCTCCGCCTCTTTGGGCTTCTCGAGCTCTGGATCTGGGGTGCCGATACCCTCAAAAACCCGCCGCAAGATCGCACACTCCACGTCCTGACTGTGCTCCAAGTCATTTCGAATGTGATTTATCAGTTCCTGGAGAATGTGGGATATCTCGCTTCGAAGGGTATCGTGTCGAAGCGCCTTGTCGAGAAATACGGGAGTCTCACCCAGTGGGATCTATGGAGTACCAGGGGCTGGTTTGGACATATTTTCTTCCAGTTCTTCGTTCTCTGGCGGCAGCATGTATTGCGCAAGCGTCGTGTGGCTGCTGAGCGCGCGGCTGCTGGTACAGTCGAGAGCAAGCAGACGAAGGCTGAAGATGACGAGGCTTTACGACTGGAGATCCGATCCTGGAAGAAGAGTCTCGTGAACAACGCTTTCTGGGCTCCTTTGTGTTTGCACTGGTGCTTTGAGAAGGGGATCGGTATTCCAGAAAGCTTGGCTGGGATTATTAGTTTTGGAGCTGGGGCTTGGAGTCTACATGACATGTGGGCGGCGACTAAGTCAGTGAAGTCTTAGACAGAGGTGGTTGATATTTTTCTTCTTGTACAGATCTACTTGCATATATACCTGGTGTCGCAGCTTTACATTGTCACGAGATTTATAGAATGGGTTGAATCGCCCTATCATTGGTTCGAATTATTGCGGGGATTGAATGTCTCCAAATCGTTGTTGCAAGAATAGGTGCTTGATATTTCTTTCCAGGATTTTGTCCATTGATCATTCACAGGTACCCATCTTTCCTCTCCCTTGAGGCTGAACGAGAGGCTTCCAGGCTTTGGCGATCTTGCGACTGCACCATGTACCGACATAACGAATTTTGGAGGAAAGGCTCAACATCCCACATGGAACGTCGGATCAATTCAAGTCCGAAATGGCCATCAGCTCTCGAACTCCAAGATGAGTTCCATTCGAATGTCCCTGCGTCGATTTTCCTCAGGCTGTGTTTGCCGTTCTGGTGGTGTCGTTGGCAGATTTGCACTTGCACGCTTGCCAGTCTCGCAAGTCCATCCTCAAGTTCATGAATGGCGTTTCTCTGTTCGCGGTCCATTCCAAAGACTAACATCCCTTCGACTTTGGCTTGGAGGTCGCTCGATTGCACAATGACTGGCATGCCTCCCTCGGCATACTGGTACAATTGGTACCCGTGGAGGGTGGCCAGGGTCATGGACTTTTGAATGAGGACATTCTGATCAAGATCGATGTGATACCTGAGGATAGTCGGTAACATCAAAACCCCATAGACGAAGCGGGGCGAGCTGTCGGGTTGATTGAGGAAATAGTCGACATCATGGTCCGTGAGGGTGTTGGTTAGAGCTTGCTTGAAGTCTGTTGGGAAACTCGGGCCAAATGCCATGCTGCCGATGTGCCTTATCGATGTGCCTACAGGCGGGAGAACTGTTTTGTTGTGGTGTAGACAACCAGGCGCATTTTGGTTATCTGATAGTTCATAGATCGAGAGCCATGAGGCTGGGTTTTCCGTCGGTGTCTGGCAAAAGGAATGGCAAAGCTGGTCTTCGGGACTGAATGCGAGGTAAAGACGAGACTTAGAGCTGAGAAGCGAAACAGAATGCCTCTAAAGTCGCTTCATGTGGAAATCTCATGGGGTTGGATTTCTCGACTGGCTTGGCTGCCTAGGCGCACCCAGGCATCGCCTGGATGGCGCGAGTCTTTATGCCAACTGCGTCACCTTTGTCTGTTTCAAACCAAATGGCTCACGTCAATCTAGAGACATCAACCCAGGTGGGTATCCCGGGATCCAAATCTGAAGTCGTGAGATACTTAAGTATACTACCGAATATGACTGGATTCTATAATTGGTGAATAGGTTGCCCTTGTTTGACCCAAGCAGATTCACCAGACTTAATAGCCCAGCTGTTGACCCTCATTTTCTTGTCAATCACCTAGGCAATTGTGCAAAGGCAGTGAATATAATATTTCATCCATGGATATTATACTGAGATAGAATGTTGCAGATCTTCCCCATATTTCGGTCTGACTCTGGTTTCGGCACAGCTTCAACATTCCAGATATGGACTAGCAATCAAGAACTGTCAATTACTGATTCCCTTGTATTTTTATAAAGAAGTATAGATTCCTCTGTACTGTAGAAGTGAAGTATCAAAGAATCAGGCATCAAGGCTGCCAATCCACTGACTTCCATCGTCATCCACGGGGCGGAAGGTACCATGACATAAGCGGAGCTTAAGTCATCGCCAGGGCTGCGGGAACCTTGGAGCTCCATCATCGAACGTTCCTCATTCTCTCCATCCGTCAGATTGCGCCTGTCTGCTTTCATTTCGCTCTACACACTTTTCTCTCCATCTTCATCCCCCGATCTTATTTCAGCGCTTGACATTTTGTTAAAGCAAGTCTTCATCCATCCACGTCACGACTTTAGATACGGCCATCATGTCTGCTGAGCCGGATCACACACACGAGAAGAAGAGGGTCAACCTTCAGTATGTGGATGATGGATTCCGTTGGTAGACGATTGATAGCTAACCCCAACTCCAGGGATGCCTCTGGCGCCGAGCACAAGGAGGTAAGGATTATGTCCGCAGATAGCTCACAAGTGCCTCAAAGCTGATGATCATCGCAGGAACTTGACACCTCTACAGCTATCCTCAAGAAGAAGAAGAAGCCCAACTCTTTGATGTAAGCGAATGGCAAAAAGATGGTTGTACTGAGCCCGAGCTAATCATTTTCCCGCAGTGTCACCGATGCCGTTAACGATGATAACTCGGTGATTGCTCTCTCGAACAACACCATGGAGACTCTTCAGCTCTTCCGTGGTGACACAGTTCTGGTTAAGGGTAAGAAGCGCAAGGATACTGTGCTGATTGTCCTCGCCGATGACGATCTCGATGACGGAAGCGCCCGTATCAACCGTGTTGTGCGTCACAACCTCCGTGTCAAGCACGGCGACATCATCACTGTCCACCCATGCCCCGATATCAAATATGTAAGTTGGTCACTACGAGTCGGGCTCTCCAAATTCTGGTTCTAATATTGCTTTCGAACAGGCCAAGCGCATTGCTGTTCTCCCCATTGCCGATACCATCGAGGGCCTGACTGGCTCTCTCTTCGATGTCTACCTCGCTCCTTACTTCCGCGAGGCCTACCGACCAGTACGACAGGGAGACCTGTTCACAGTACGAGGTGGTATGAGACAAGTTGAATTTAAGGTCGTAGAGGTCGACCCCCCAGAGTATGGCATTGTTGCCCAGGACACAATTATTCACTGCGAGGGTGAGCCAATTGAGCGAGAGGACGAGGAGGGTAACCTCAACGAGGTTGGCTACGACGATATTGGTGGTTGCCGCAAGCAGATGGCTCAGATCCGTGAATTGGTCGAGCTCCCTCTGCGTCATCCCCAACTTTTCAAGTCCATCGGTGTCAAGCCCCCTCGTGGTATCCTCATGTACGGTCCTCCCGGTACTGGTAAGACTCTGATGGCTCGCGCCGTCGCCAACGAGACCGGTGCTTTCTTCTTCCTTATCAACGGTCCCGAAATTATGTCTAAGATGGCTGGTGAATCCGAATCCAACCTTCGCAAGGCCTTCGAGGAGGCTGAGAAGAACTCTCCTGCCATCATCTTCATTGATGAGATTGACTCCATTGCCCCCAAGCGTGAGAAGACCAACGGTGAAGTTGAGCGCCGTGTTGTTTCCCAGCTGCTCACCCTCATGGACGGCATGAAGGCTCGTTCCAACGTTGTGGTTATGGCCGCCACTAACCGCCCCAACTCCATCGACCCTGCTCTCCGTCGTTTCGGTCGTTTCGATCGCGAGGTCGACATTGGTATCCCCGATGCCATTGGCCGTCTGGAGGTCTTCCAGATCCACTGCAAGAACATGAAGCTTGGTGAGGACGTCGACCTTGAGACCATTGCTGCCGAGACCCACGGTTACGTCGGTTCTGATATCGCCTCCCTCTGCTCTGAGGCTGCTATGCAGCAGATTCGTGAGAAGATGGATCTCATTGATCTCGATGAGGACACCATCGATGCCGAGGTCCTCGACTCTCTCGGTGTCACCATGGAGAACTTCCGCTACGCCCTTGGTGTCTCCAACCCCTCCGCCCTCCGCGAGGTTGCCGTTGTCGAGGTTCCCAACGTTCGCTGGGACGACATTGGTGGTCTGGAAGAAGTCAAGCGCGAGCTTATCGAGAGTGTGCAGTACCCCGTCGACCACCCCGAGATGTTCCACAAGTTCGGTCTTTCACCCTCTCGTGGTGTTCTGTTCTACGGTCCTCCTGGTACTGGTAAGACCATGTTGGCCAAGGCTGTTGCCAACGAGTGTGCTGCAAACTTCATTTCCGTCAAGGGTCCCGAACTTCTCAGCATGTGGTTCGGTGAGTCTGAGAGCAACATCCGTGACATCTTTGACAAGGCCCGCGCTGCTGCTCCTTGTGTTGTCTTCCTTGACGAGCTTGACTCCATTGCCAAGTCTCGTGGTGGCTCCGTCGGCGATGCTGGTGGTGCTTCTGACCGTGTTGTCAACCAACTTCTGACTGGTAAGTTATCCTGCTGCTTCTTTGTTTGAATATCCACTAACCCCCTCGCAGAGATGGACGGTATGACCTCCAAGAAGAACGTCTTCGTTATCGGTGCCACCAACCGTCCCGAGCAGCTCGATGCCGCTCTGGTCCGTCCCGGTCGTCTCGACACCCTGGTGTACGTTCCTCTGCCCGACCAGGCTTCCCGTGAGGGTATCCTTAAGGCCCAGCTCCGCAAGACCCCTGTCGCCGGCGATGTCGACATGGACTTCATCGCCAGCAAGACCCACGGCTTCTCCGGTGCCGATCTCGGCTTCGTTACACAGCGTGCCGTCAAGCTCGCCATCAAGCAGGCCATTTCCGCCGACATCGACCGCCAGAAGGAGCGCGAGGCTGCTGGCGAGGATGTTAAGATGGACGATGAGGATGAGGATGTTGAGGACCCTGTGCCCGAACTTACCCGTGCTCACTTCGAGGAGGCCATGAAGTCTGCTCGCCGCTCTGTCACTGACGTCGAGATTCGCCGTTATGAGGCTTTCGCCCAAAGTCTGAAGAACACCGGAGGTGGCAGCTTCTTCCGCTTCCCCTCTGCTGGTGAAGTCCAGGAGAATGATACCTTTGGCGAGGCTGGCAACGACGACAGCCTCTACGATTAAACGGCCGAACTTCGAAATGACTTTGTTTTAGTGACTTGGCTAATCCAGGGTTCTTGCTGCAGTCGAATGATAGATCGTTCTGCGGTGGAATTTCAGGTTTGATCGGGCTTATGAGTGTTCCTTTTTTTTTTAATCTTGATCTTGTTTTTCCCTGTTTTGCCCACATACAATGTGCCATAATAGTCAATACAGGTGGAAATTTCTCTACGTTCAATCAAGTCCCAGTAGATGTACGTCGTACGTCTTTGGTAGTATACAGATAGTGGGGAGCTAGTGTGCAGCTAGTGTGTTCACCGATACACGTAGATGCAAGTTGAGCAAAGTCAAATCTTGAATTTTTCTCCATGAATTACATTCATGATGCCAGGCTTGAATAAAGCAATGCCACGCTTGAACGAACATCCCTGAACCCAAAGACTAATAATAATAATAATAATATTCATGAAACGCCCAGAATATCGTGTGGTAAAACAACCGCCGATCTAGAACTTGGGGCTGAATTTGCTCATGGCACGAATCTTCGAGCCATAAATGAAGAACAGGATGGGTATGGGTATCATAGCAACAGTAATGAAGCCCAAAACACTCGAAGCCCAGCCCACGCCCAGGTTCTGGTACATCTGCGTGGCAAAGAGAGGGAACGAGCCACCGAGGGCAGATCGGACAAGGGTATTAGCCGCGATAGCAGAATTGGCAAACATCATGTAGACATCGATGATATAGTTTAGACCCTGCATGAAGATCACGAGGATTCCTAGACCGATGGGAATACCGGCAATGACTTGCGGCGCCCATGAGATACTAGGGCTGGAAGTCCAGCCGAACCAGAAGAGACCGACGGGCAGAAGAACGGAAGCAACCATCATGGGTATCAGGCGTTCTTCCGGCACGACTCTTCCATGCTTCTTGAGCTTTCGCGCAAACCGGGTTTTGGTTGTATAAACGATTAGGCAGACGCCGAGAATGACACCGATCAAGATACCGAGGAATGGGAGGGCTGCGACGCCTAAGCTTTTCCAGCCGCGGACCTCATTGAAGGAGATTGGGTAGGCCTCGAAGAAGAGGTAGAGGATACCGTAGATCAGAGCGAGGTAGATAGTCATAGCGACGAGGATCGGTTCTTGGACGAGCATTTGGAACGGACGGAAGAGATACTTTGTCACAATGTCCGACATGGTAGGCTTGTGTTCGTCGAGGAAAGAGTGGTAGGCCCAATTCTTGGTCTCGATTCGCAAACGTGCTGCGCGCTTTTGGAGAAGAACCGGTCCGTATGTCTCTGGTACGACGAACAATGCCACCAGCCCGAAGAAAGAGGAGGCGATGAGGGTAATCCATGCTGTCCACCGCCAGCCAAGGTGTGAATCTGTGATGAAGCCGCCGCTGAGGCTTGTTAGAATTGCTTTGGAGGTAACCTGGGAACGGCTGACACTTACATGATCGGACCCAACACGGGGCCTAGGAAAGTAGCCGAGCTGAACATCGCGATTGCCACAGCACGATCTACTGGATTCCAGATATCGGCCATAGCACCACCAACAACAGCCAGAGGAGAACATCCGAACACTCCCATGAGGAACCGACAGACCAGGATGGTTTCTAGGTTCTGAGCAACGGCCACGGGGATTTGAAAGATGGCGAAAATGGCATAGCCCGAGAAAAGTGGTATCCGACGTCCATATAATTCACTGAGTGGTGCCCAGCATAGGGGACCTAGAGCGAATCCAAACACGACCAAACTGGTGCCCAGAACCATCACCTCCGTTGAGACGTTGAATTCCTTTGCCGTGACCTGGGTAGCTGTGGAAAAGACACTGGAGGCGAATGTAATCCACATGGTCATCGAGGACATGGTCACAGTAATCACCCATTTGCGCAGAGTCGAGAAGTTCTGCGGATTCTCAGGATCGTCGGGGCCGTTCCAGTCGACCAGATTGGGATCTTTGATTTCTGCTGCGGGCTCGGGCTTCTCGACGTCGGTTTCTCGCTCAGTGGCTGGCTCTGTATATTGCTCCATACTGTGACGAGGCGTAGTTTCGCTTGAGTGAAATGGTTGAGGATTCATGGTGTGACACTGTGAATCGGGGCATATATTATGTGTTTTGGTGCAGCTGGAGGAAGGAACAACCTCTCATATATAAAACTTTAGAAGTGCCCAGTGGACTCTGCAAATTGAGCTCCGAGATCCATAATCAGAATCGGATTCGGAATTAAGCAATTCTTTGTCAACAAGCTGTAGTGACCCATCTCATTCGCTGCTTCGAACTTCGGACTTGCGGCCGTTCGCTCCTCCACTATGTCCGACATAATTGCTCCGAAACGCGAATTTCCATTTTGCGTCATGTTGCCTCTGGTTGACATGATTCTGGACTTTCCAGCTTGGCCTTTATGAGTCAGTCTATTTGGAAGAGTAAGCAGCTTCGACAACCTCCAGGGCATGCCTTCATGTAGTACTTGTATGTAGTCTCACTATCCAATCAAATCGGTTCGATTCTAGCCATTTGGACCAGGCTTCAAAAGGCCATTAAGAAGGCCATCGGGAAGACCTTTAAAAGGACCAATCTGATTGACCATAGTACAAGCAAAAGATCCAAGTAGAACAGGTGTATATCTTGAGTACTGCGGAATCACTCGGCCTCGGCCGTTGACCATCACCGAGAGAAGTGGAGCCCACGTTCTTGAATAGTCTAATGTTAGTATGTACATACTTATTGTAGGGCTGTTCGGATTGTCCGAGTTGACATAGCCATTGCTTATAGATGCAGCTTTATGAGGTTCCTTTATGAGGTTCCTTTACCTTCATATCATGAGTTCGTGTTCGTGCTTTAGTATGATGACCCTTTTAGGTCTTCCATAGATGCCCAGCTAGGTAGAGACACAAAGAAACCCTCAAGATATACACATCAGTACTGTACTGAGGTAGGTTTATGTACTTGGGAGGACAGGTCAATCAGGTAGTAATCAAGTAGCAATTAGGAACCAACCGGTGTTTTCCTGTCTGATGTTTACCTCTTCTACTCCAGGGGATTCTGTCGGAGACTAATTCACATAGCTCCCATACACACCTATGTGGCAGCACCTAAATTCAAACCAGCTGTATGTGTACTATGTGGATAAATTGCGCAAATGGATTCCTTGAACAGGAATAAAAGGAAAAGGTCAGTTCAAATACAAAGGGAGGACGCAGTACGGAGGACGGAGGACAAGTCAGGACGCGTCGCGATAGTCGCGGGCGGTGAACGACACCACACCACCTTCAACCCGCAACATCCTCCTGTCAAGTCCATGAGCAGCCCATCATGCCTTTGCGCTCTCGCCAAGGTCCTCCCGAGGTAGTGGAAGACTCGGGACTTCGCAGTTTATCTTTCAATCAACCACTATCATGGCGCGTGGGGCGCTCGGCCATTCCCATCGCAGATCTCCTCGAGCGTCTCCGGTCTCTCGCGCAGGAGCTTCGCAAACTCGACCAGGAGGAGATTGATAAGGAATCACTCCGCAAAGTCTCCCAGGAACTGGCCAATGCGAATCTCCTCGCTCATAAGGATAAGGGTGTCAGAGCCTGGGCCACGTGCTGTATTGTGGATGTTCTGCGACTATGCGCCCCCGACGCGCCGTTCACGCGTAACCAACTGAAGGTATGGCGATTGGGGAGACGAGAATGATGCGCGATATCTGCGCGATGAGGCAGTCCACTAACTAAGATGTATTTAGGATATCTTCACTTGTATCGTGTCCTCCATCATCCCCGCGCTGGCAGATCCGTCCAACGCCTACAATGCCCAACATATCTACGTCCTGGGATCCCTCGCTGAGGTGAAGAGTGTGGTATTGATGGTCGATCTCGACCACCCGGACTCTTTGATCGTCCCGTTGTTCACCGGCTGTTTCGACATCGTCTCCGGTTCCTCAAAAGCCTCCACCGGTGAGGAGGTGGCCAAGAATGTTGAGTTCGATATGACCCGAGTACTCGTTACGGTGATTGATGAATCGCTCGTGCTCGCACCAGAAGTTGTGGATATCATTGTCGCCCAATTCCTGCGTGTAGACCCGCGAGTCCTGGACAAGAAAGGAAAGCGACCAGATGCGCCTGTTGATGCTAAGCAAGATACACTTTTGCTGAAGGACTACCCCCCCGCTTACAATATGGCCAAGGCTATCTGCCAGGCTTGTCCCGAACGAATGACCAGTCACATCAGTCAATACTTTAACAATGTGATCATCGATGCGTCTGTTCCCGCCGGCCAAACGAATGGCTCCAAGCATGGCGCGCGCAAGCCCAATCTCGACGACTCGGATGAGGAGGGAGAGGATATCAAGGAACTGAGCAAGGCGCATCGTCTCATCCGAGAATTGTGGCGTGCTTGTCCTGAAGTGCTCCAGAATGTGATCCCCCAGATCGAAGCAGAATTATCTGCAGAATCAGTGGCCCTTCGCTTGTTGGCTACCCAGACTATCGGAGATCTTTCTGCTGGTATTGGTGTTGCGGGACCCCCTCCTCCACCCCCCATGGACCCGACCACCTACCCGCCGGTATCTCTGGTGGATTACGATAAAACGATCCCTCAACCCAATGTTCTGGTGACCCCCATCTCCCCCAAACCTTTCTCTCAGGTCCACAATTCTGCATATGAGGCTTTCTTGAGCCGTCGTCTTGACAAGACGCCATCAGTCCGCGCCGCCTGGGTTACAGTCGTGGGACGAATCCTTCTGACTTCGGCTGGGGGTTCTGGTCTTCACGAAAGCGAGGAGCACAGTCTTGTTCGAAATCTTGCATCGATGCTTCGTGACGCGGATGAAAAGGTTCGCGTGGCCGCAGTTGATACCGTCGGCCAATTCGGTTTCTCACAAATTGTGAACAGACTGAGTGTTGACGGCGGCTGCTCATCACCGGACTCGGTCCTGGCAATCCTTGCTGAGCGAGTGAAGGACCGTAAGCCGCATGTGCGTGAGCATGCCATGAAGATCTTGGCTCGCATGTGGGCAGTGGCGGCTGGTGACATCGAGCAAAACACCGAGCCTGTTGTGTCTCTTCTAAAGGACGCTCCATCCAAGATCTTTGACGCGTTCTACACCAATGATCAAGAGATCCATGTTCTGATTGATAGAGTGTTGTTTGAAACGCTTTTGCCACTCCCATATCCCCCTCTCAAATCAAAGCTCTCTCGAGGAAGCTCAAATCAATCACAGAAACAGAAGGAAAAGGACAGCCAGGCTTCTGAACCGGAGCAAGAGACAGATGTTGACAACATTCGTGTTCGTCGGATTCTAACCCTTCTCCGAGGCCTGGACGAGAAGGCCAGGCGAGTTTTCTTCGTTATGCTGGCCCGTCAAATGTCTATGAGAACTGCAGTGACTCTTTACCTTGAGGCCTGTGAGAAATACAACGGTGGAGTTGTCGACAAGGATGAGGACACTGCCAAGTTACAGTTGACCAAGATTGTTGAATCATTATCCAAAACCTTCCCAGATGCGTCGCGGGCATCGGCAGACCTGTGGAAGTTCGCAAAGGTGCACGATAGACGCAGTTATCAGCTTCTTCGCTTCACTATGGCTGCTGTGAGTGATTATCGCACTGTTGTGAAGGCCACAAAGGAGTTGCAGCGGCGCATACAAACCGCCAACAACTCCCCTCTTCTGGAGACCCTGACACCACTCATTTACCGCTGTGGATCTCTCATCTTTAACCGAAGTCACATCCCCGCTATCATGAGCCTTTCCCGAACAGATGAGAACGGGTTGGCCAATGCCGCACAGGAGATGTTGAAGCAAATTTCGTCGCAAAATCCCGAGGTCCTAGAGGCACAGGTCCAAGAAATGTGCAAAGATCTTGAGGCCCAGGCTCCCAAGGCCTCGTCTGCTGGTGAAAATAGCGCTGAAGACATTCTGAAAGCCTGTGCTGGCTTTGCGAAGAAGCTTCCTGATAAATTGCCCAAGGAGCGAAAGTTCTTGCAGGCTCTTACGAATCATGCCCTGTATAGCTCATCGCCACACGCTGCCAAGTATGCTGTGTCAATTCTGATGGCCACTGCTGACCGCAGAGAGATGTACGCCAAGGATTTGGTGCAAAAGTGTGTGAAGAAGTGGACATATGGGTCAGATCACTTCCTGACCCGTCTCGCCGCTTTGTCGCAACTGAATCTCCTTGCGCCAAGAGAGGCGGACGAGGAAAGCGATGCTATTATTTCAATCGCCGTCAACCAAATACTGCTTACCAATCGCACACCTGAACCAGATTCCGAATACACTTGGTCGGAGACAGTGGATGAAGAGACAAATGCTAAGGAATGGGCACTGAAAATCATTGTCAACCGCCTCAGGGCTAAAGACGGCGCAGACAACGAAGCGGACTTCCGCGCTCATGCCCAACCCGTCTACGAGACTTTGAACAAGCTGGTGATGGGCGAAGGCGAGATATCCAAGAAGAAGGATACTCCTGCTGGTCAGAAATCACGTCTCCGCTTGCTCGCTGCCAAGTGCCTACTCAAGCTGTGTGCTGGAAACACCGTCTGTGACGGTCTCTTGACGCCAGCTGATTTCAACGCAATCGCTCTGGTTGCCCAAGATCCGCTTTTGCAGGTGCGCAGTGGATTCATCAGTCACCTCAAGAAGAAGCTCGTACAGAAGTCACACCTCAGCCACCGATGGTACATCGTCCCATGTTTGCTGGCCTTTGAGCCCGTTCACAGTCTGAAGGAGAGCACACTTACATGGTTGCGATCTCGAGCGGCGTACTTTGCACAACAAGCACAGGCCAGTGGGAAACGTACTGAGCAGACCATGGTCATGGAACTCATCTTCTCACGTCTATTGTCCCTTCTTGCCTACCACCCCGACTATCCATCTGAGGACCTGGATGAGTCCACAAAATTGGGCGACCTCACAGACTTCTCACAATACATCCTCTTTTATCTCTCTGCTGTTGCCAATGAGCATAACATGTCACTAATCTTCCACGTTGGGCAGCGCGTCAAGCAATTCCGCGATGGCATCACCCAATCTGATGAGATCTCCACTCGCCTTCACACATTGTCTGACCTGGCACAGGCGACTGTCCGACGCTTTGCAGACATCTACTCCCAGCAGCACAAGTTCGGCGGCGGCGCTGCTGGCGCGACCAATATCCTGCAAACATACCCCGGGAAAATGGGAGTTCCCAGCTCCCTCTTCAATTCCATGGGCAGCCACCGCGAAGCTCAGGATGTCGCTGACAAGAACTTCCTCCCCGACGAGCTGGATGATCTTCTGGACCGAGTCGTGCGAAATGCCATGAAGCCAAGGAGCAGCTCGGCGCACGGTACTCAGGGTAGCTCGGCGAAGAAGCGCAAGCCTTCTCTTGATGCCAATGGCAAGCCCTCTGCAACGAAGAAGGCCCGCAAGGAGAAGTCTGCTCGTACACCGCGCAAATCAACTTCATCAGTGGGTGCGAAGCCCAAGCGGAAATCCAAGAACGATGACGGCTGGTCCTCTGACGAAGGCGCTAAAGATGCCACTCCGGCCTCTGCTCGCAGGCGCAGCATGAGAGGAACTGCTCTGCATGAAGTCAGCTATATCGACAACGACAGCGACGATGCTGACGAGGAGATGGCGGAGTGGAACAAGGCTGAAGCCAAGGGTGAAGATGCCGAGGAGGTCGAGGATGAAGCCGAGGATGATGCTGAAGAGAGCGAGAATGAAGAAATGCAGGACGATGACAAGGAGAATGGCGATGAGGCTGAAGCCAGCGAGGCCAGTGAGAAGGAACCCACGCCACCTCCCAAGCCCCGTGGAAAGGCCAAGGCAAAGGACCCCAAGAAGGACCCCAAGAAGTCCGATGCTAAGCCAGCCGCTCTTCCCTCCCGACGCAGCTCTCGTCGTGGCTGATCTATACGCTGTGGACTTTTTGCATCCAGTGACAATTTAACATTTTTCATGACCTGTCTCTGGCAACAAGCAACTTCTGGTATCTGTTTTCAATGTGTGACTACGCATTTCTCTTTCTACTGGTATTCATATTCATATTCATATCCATATCCATATCCTGATTCCCATGTTATTATTTGATTTTCAATTCTATTGCACTCAACACTTCATATTGGCATTCTTTGCTAGTCTTTATGTCTTTGTAAGTAGTACTCAGTGGGTCATTCCTGCCTGCTGATCACTTCCTTCCCTAAAACTTGAAATTACCCGATTAGGAAGTTCAACTTTTGTGGCTGCGGAACATACGTTGACCATGTTAAATAGACCTCAGGGAGAGTCTCGGAGAGTAAAGAGATTGAATTTGAACTTGTAAATCATCAGGTATACAGAATGTCATACAAAGAGTCAAAGTTGGATTCCAAAATAAGCCTGGGCGAGGTTTCAAGGGCGAACACGTCCATTATATATCTGGGGATCTATAGATGTATTTCCGAATTTTCTATTCCAGGGGCTCGAATACGACTCCATGAGCTTATCTCCAGCTTTATATACCACCTAAGTATGCCCGTCACTTCAAAACCATAGCCACGACTTCCTCCACTCGTTTTCTAGGCACCGGACGATCCAAAAGCCACCCAGCATGCCAGATGGTATCCTCCTGACACTTCACTGACTGTTTCAGACGAGGCCACAGATTGAAATGACCATGCGGTACACCAGGATAAGCGTCAATCCTCACATCAACACCATGATCAGCCAAGACCTTCGCGTACACAACACCATCATCCCGAAGAACATCCAATCCCGCAACCTGAACATACGTCCGCGGAAGAGCAGAGAACGACACAGTCGAGTTGAAAGGTGAGAAATCCTCAGACAAGAAATTCTGCTGATAGAATGCCTCATACCCACCCACAGACTTTGTATCGAGACCAGGATTCCCAGGCGCAGATGCATTCTGCTCTCGTGAGACCCAGATATCCTTGTACTGACTGGGGACGGTCTCCGCACTCATACACACCGGGATACTAGCGAGGACGCCTGTGATTGCTGGAGACAACTTCTCCTTCGCTGCACGATGGGCCGTAACGATCGAAAGATTCCCACCTGCGGATCCACCACCCAACACGAAACCCTTCGTCAAGTCTGCGTCAAGGACTGGCTCGTTTGCGGCGATCCATTGCACACTATCCCAGATGTCATTTGGGGCAGTAGGGAATTTATGCTCCGGGGCTACACGGTAGGTCGGCTGAACTACCGTGGCACCATACAGGGAAGCGATGGCACGAGCCCAGATGGTGGATTGGATGTTAGTGCCCATGACAAAGGCTCCTCCGAAGATCAGAACCACGACCGGGTTTGCTGTGGAGTTGGGTGGCTTTGTGATGCGGAGTTGGCTCTGATGGCCATCGCGCATTGGGATGTCGAGGACTGTCTCTTCTGTGCCGAATGTGGGACAGGAGTCGTGTGTTGCTTTCTCCATGGCGCCTACTACATCCCGCATGAGCTCGATGGGGTGCGAGAAGTCCATTACTGGAGGTGGGCTATGCTTGAGGATCTTGGACGGTGAGTTTAGGCCCTGAATGACTGAGTTGTCTGTTCACTTACTTCTTCTAGCTCCGGATCCACGATGCCTAGTTTCAGGACATCTTCTTTGGTGGTGTATTGATCCATTGTAGGGGCTCTATACTTGTCAAGGCTGAGTTAGGGATGGGAGGAGTCAATGTGACCGGGTCTTTTATATCAAAATGATTCTATGCAAAATGATACAGCGTAACTACCTGAGTACGCTGGTATACAGCTATACATCATATCTGGTGCGTTATGGATGTTGCAGGATTGATTCATCATGACTCACGGGCCGTCATGATGCACGTGATACCGTATACGAGCGATCTTCAACTGTTGTATTAAGGCAAGAGTATAGAGTCGAATCGGGGATATTCTGCCATTGAATATGGTACTCATTGCTCAGGTCTTCTAGACTAATTACCATGCAATGCTGGGCACTAAAACTCCCCATAATTTGATGACTGGCTTCCAGGACCACCGGGAAATCAAAGCCTATACACGAGACAAGAGTCTTGGACTGAATAGAATTCATCAAATGTGTAATGGAGAGAATACAAGTGATCTGGAAAGAGAAAAAAAGAGTACACAGGACGCCGTCATCACTTCGTGATCGAAATTGACTATGGCTGTCCAGAGGGAGAGGCGTGTACAACGGGAGCAGGGCTGGCGCTGGCACTCGCTTCGCCACCGAAACCACCGTTCTTCGCAAGACGCTCTTCAACACGCTCCTTGTGTTGCCTGTTCCGAAGGTGGACTTCAAAGTTATCCACCGTCATACCTGGGCCTGGTGTGTAGAGCTTCCCAGGACAGTCGTGGCAGCGGATTCGAGGGAGATATTGATATTTGATCTTCTGGCCCTGCTGGAGGTTGTTTGGATTGGCCACTGGGGCTAGGGTGTTTGTGTCAACGGCGGAATACCGCATGACGCCCTCGAAGGAGTCGTTGGTGTGGGATTGTTTGAGCTTGTTGAGACCGGTGGCCAGCCAACTGGGTGGTTCGGGCTGCGAGCACAGAGTCAGCCATGAGCCAAAAACTGGGGTTAATAATATCTACTTACGCCTAAGACACCGGGTTGTGGGGGATTCGGAGCATCGACTGCGCCGGTCTGCTGAGGCCGAGGTGGAGGGTGAATGCGGGATTGCTTGTCTAGTGGAGGTGCCATTGCGCGCGCAGTCTGGGCAGCCTGGGAGACAATGCGCCTTCCGTTTCTCAAATCGACCAATTTGTCGCGCGAGATCTTCAGTTTGACAATCAGTCTCTCAGATTCCTCTATACTCTCCTCTCGGTATTGTTGTCTCCGGGCGGAGACTCGAGGTTCATGGAAGACTGGCTCAGGGGTTGCTGACTGCCCCAGGCTGGCACGAAGGGCTGCATGGGCAGCGGTTGCCGCACCCCTCATACCTCTTGTACGGGCAGTACCCTGTGCAAGGTTGGGTCCGATGGCAGGAGATCCAACAGAGGAATCGTCACTATCAAACTCGTCTGAATCATCATCGCCCCGGTTCCCAGCCATGCCACGTCGGCGACCCGAGCCGGTGCGCTTGATGACATTGCTCTCTTCAAAGGATCCCACCGAGTTGGGAATCACGGAGGAGACTATCATCGTGCGGATCGTACGCTGACGATCCTTGAGATCTGGTAGAGCAGGGCCACCCCGACGGTTAATTGACCGCTTCTGGCGACGTTGTTCTCGAGAGATAGAGATCTCCGTGCGTTCGAGGTCTGCTTCGTTGAGTTCGTAAAGATAAGGAGTATGCTCTTTGGCAGATTGGTATGGGCGGAAAGCAGAAGCCACAGGAGTGGGAAGGAAAGAGGTGTGAAGGTCTGGATCCTCTATCGGGCGACCGTCGAATGGATGAGCGACAATATACAAGGATTTGGTGAAAAGTTGAGCTTGCTCGCGAATCGAGTGGGCAATAGCAGTAGTGAATTCACCAGAGAGTGACAAGTCGTCGGTCATACGCAAGGCGAATTCTTCGGGAGAATTGCTGGGGTCGTTGATATCCCACTCGAACTGATCAATGAGGGTATGTTGGCCGATAGTGATATTCAGCTTGACTGAAATGCGCATCTCGTCATTCTTATACGCAGTATATGGTAACTGAGGGTCGAGAGCGTCTTCGTGTATGTTGAGATGCGGATAGTAATCGATAACCTGGTCCTGGATGCTCTGGGAGATCATTCGCACTAGAGGGATTGAAGTCTCTAGCGCGAGACCCATGTCTTCGACCAGCTTCTCGGCGAACAGATCTGGAGAGACAACTCGGTCGTGCAAGTTCCATGTGAAGGTATCACGGATTTTGACCTTTTCCCAATCAATATCCAAGCGCACAGGCACGAGATCTTCCGTTTGCTCGTTCTGGATTTTCGCTTCGCGTCTCGAGATCCGTAGTTCTCGAGTTTTCCGATTTCCTGGTCGACGGCGATGGGTAGGGTACAAGAGCTGGGGATGTTGGTTGCGAAGGTCGGTGCGTGGATTTCCAAAACCCTCATATCCAACCCCATATAATGCAGCCGGGTTATGCTGGTTCTCGCGACGAACTGTCAAGTAGAAATCGCGTTCCGCCTTTTTATTTTTCTGTAATTCTTGACCTGGGTTTTGCCAGGCACTTGCAGCTGAGTGCTGGAATTCGCGATCAACGTACTGCGACAGAAGGATCTTGTCGAGCGGTGGGTCGCGAGTGCGTACGGCCATTGCCCCGGCGACTTCGGTGGACTGGGCAGCGGATCCATCACGAGATCGCTTTATCGTGGAATCATTTGTGCCTGTGCCGTTGGATTGGGGTGTGCCGTTGGAGCCCTCACTGCCAGGGTCTGACGCGCCCGAAGCAGCTAGCATGTTTTTCGTGCCTTGCTTTCCCTCTGCAAATGCGTCTGGGGAGTGACCGTTGGTCGATTGGTTTGTAACAGGGTCGAGGCTATCTGCACCTGGCTCCCCAATTTCCGACGCGCGGGAGCTGTTCGGGGCACTCAATTGAGAGTCGCCAAATGGTTGCTCTGATGGCAACGACAACGAACCACTCGGTAATCCGGGAGATGGCATTATTAATGGTCTATGTAAGGCAAAACGAACGTCTGTGCCACTCGTATGGTATTGGAAGCTCGAAGTGACTCAACGCGACAGGGATATGGCTTGGGCCGGTTACCGTAGCATTATGGGATGGAACCTGGCAGATAATCAAAGATGTGTTAGCGAATGCTGCTCAAGGGGGAGTTTCTCTGCTGTCACTGTCGCGACCGTGTATCCAATGCCGCATGGTATGAGCCTGATGGACGTGTCGCAACGGGCGCATATCCCGAACACGCCACAAGTTACCAGCGGGAGGGGCGCGCGACGAATGATGTGAAATTGAAGCAGGTGTACTGGACTGGGGGAATCGATTGGGAAGATAGTCCAACATACCAGGGCCGAAAGGGGAGAGCTCGATGTTGCGTGGACCGGCAGTTGCAGCGCAGAACCCGTTCCGGATCGGATGGGCTAAGTCAGCTGACTTTAATACTCGAATGGCGATGATCCCAATCAAGGTGCTGTTTATCCACAGGGGATTCTCAAGAGTTGGTGGAGCTTCTTCAAGGCTGGGGAGATAGATGAAAGAGGCAAAAGGAGATGGAGGCAGAGTAGCCGTTACAAGTGTCCGCACCCGTCAAGTTCCTGAAAAGCAAGAAAGCGCGCCATTCACCCTACAGCTACCAAAAGATGATACTGAGCGAGTCGATTACAGTTATGCTAGGTTCTAATAAGGTCATTCAGAACTCAATCTGAGGCTTCTTCGACAATCCACGCCCCCGTTGATCAATTTTACACACGATCATGTGACCTGATATACGGGTCCGGTTACATACGGGTAACTTTCAACTGTTTGACTTCCAATTCATCGGAGCAACAAGTCCACCACCACAGCACGGTGATCTGAACAGTAGACACCGTCGTCAAACTTGTTCCCCAGCGCTGCATACCCTTGGACTGCGAGTCTGCGGCTTTGCCTGACCGTGGGATCCACCAGGACGTAGTCGATACGCGAGGCCGGTTCGTTCTCGTATCCAAACCCAGTCCAAGTAATATCATTACCATATCGTTGCGAGCTTGGAACTTCCTTGTACGCGTCGAGCAGGCTTACCGTGAGTTCCTGATATGCTTCCTGGTTCTCTTCACTGTTGAAATCACCGGCCAAGAAAGTACCTGAAATGGCCCTTGTCACACCGTGATGCTCGTATGTTCTTGCCCTGTAGTCGGACATCTTCTTCAAAATGATCCGCGCAGCTTCCAAGCGGGAGCGGGATCCCTGGTCATCAAGATGTGTGTTCATGACTAGGATCGTATCCTGGGTTTGTCGATGGGTGAAAACCCCAATGGTGACGATGCGAATAGAGGCCGCATCCCAACTTTTCGACGGCGTTTCGGGTGTACTGGATAGCCAAACCGTTTCCCAGTGTATCAATTCCCAAACTGCGGCCCGGTAGAATATGGGCGAGTATTCCCCGGACTCATGGCCGTCGTCTCTGCCAACACCGATGTACTCCCATTCTGGGGTTTCGGGCTTTGCCTTCTCATTCAATCCAGCCAGAATCTCCCCCAGCTGGTTGTGAAGGACCTCCTGTAAACAGACAAAGGTCTCCGGGCAATGTCGTGTTTCGTACTGGAACTCATTCAAAAGTAGCTGTTTCCGCTCCACCCATGGCCGCTCGCCTTTGAAAGGCGTGGTGGTTGCATATCGGATGTTGTGGGTCAGAATCCGGATGGGAAGTATCTGGGTCATCATAGTGGGAGAACAATGACGATCGGGAGCTACACTGTCTCCATACAGAGCACAAAGAGGGGAACCCCGGTCAAGTGACGAGTGTTGGAGCAAGTTGGGAGGTCTGAGCGATTTGGGCTCAGGTCAGAATCCGGGGTATCGAAAGCACAACAAGATCTCAAGCCATACAGAGTAGGTCTGCACACCATTGTAGGCTAAAATCATATTCTGTAAACAACGTACGGAGGTCTGTATAGTTAGCTAGTTAGCTTGTTACATCACTCAAGTCAAGACCCATGACGTCTTCGGCAAAGCCCTAGCTCGGAGGCCTGAAACATCAGGCCACTAAACCCCACCAACGCTAAACGCCCTCTACTCTCTCTGCACAAGACTCGATCTCGGTCTGTTCCACTCCTCTAGCTTCACACGGATTTACAATCCGAACCCTTTTCTTTACCCCCTGCTTTGATTTGTTGATTGCAGCTCCCCGAGCTTATAAACCTACACAATGGCCGACGAAAAAGCACCCGAGGTTGGTAGGTAACATGGAAAGCTCTGATGGTTGTGGGCGCTGAGGTCAATATGGCCATGAGCTCTGTCAGCCAACTCGGAGAGCAAAAGAGAATTTGCTCGATGGATCGTAGCTAACTATATGCTTGTTTTCAGACTACACCCTCAACAACCCCGACACCTTGACCAAGTACAAGACCGCGGCACAGATTTCTCACAAAGTCCTGGAGGCTGTTGGTGGTATGTCTATGGCGCATAAATTCTTCTGTTACCTCTTCCGTCTGACATTTGAATGTAGCCCTTTGCTTCGAGGGAGAGAAGATCGTCGAGATCTGTCAGAAGGGTGACAAGCTCCTCGACGAGGAGATCACCAAGGTCTACAAGGGCAAGAAGATCACCAAGGGTCAGTTTTCCCCTCCCAGCCTCCAAAGAATTTCGTCTTGATTCTAACATGAAATCAAGGTATCTCTCACCCTACCACTGTCTCCCCCAACTCTTATGTCACTCCCTACACCCCTCTGGTCTCTGATGCCGCCGAGGCCGAGATCGTGCTGAAGGCCGGTGAGGTCGTCAAGATCCAGCTCGGTGCCCAGATCGATGGATTCGGTACCATTGTTTGCGACATGGTCGTTGTTGGCAAGAAGGACTCCAAGGACGTTGTGACCGGCCGCGAGGCTGATCTCATTCTCGCTACCCACTACGCCAACGAGGTTCTGCTCCGCCTCATGGTTCCCCAGGGTCTTTTGGCCCAGGGCACCGAGGAGGAGAAGAAGAAGGCCGCCGCCCAGAAGGCCCCTACCCAGGCTTACATGTCCTCTCTGCTCGAGAAGATCGCCAAGACCTACGAGTGCACCGTCGTCGAGAACACCACTTCTTGGTTGTTCGGCCGCAACGAGATTGAGGGCGAGAAGAAGATCATTCTCTCCCCCGGTAACGGTGTCCGTGGTGACGGTGTTCCCGAGGTCGGTGAAGTTTGGGGTGTCGAGGTTGGTCTCTCTCTCGGCTCCGGTAAGGTCAAGAACCTCGACCACCGCGCCACTCTCCACCGCCGTACCACCACCACCTACGGCCTGAAGCGCCCCAGCTCCCGCCAGACCCTCTCCGAGGTTGTCAAGAAGTTCGGTACCTTCCCCTTCAGCTTGCGCCAGCTCGAGGATGAGAAGGCCGCCAAGGTCGGTGTTGTTGAGTGTGTTCGTGCCGGTGTCCTGCGCCAGTACGAGCCCGCCGGTGAGACTGACGGCTCCGCTGTCTCTCGCCTGTTGACCACTGTTGGTAAGTCCTTCCCTCTGATCTGAACTTCATTGGGATCGAAAACTGATCATATCCCACAGCCATCACCAAGAATGGTCTCACCAAGCTTGCTGCTGCCAACCCCGTTGACCTTGAGAAGGTCAAGTCCGACAAGAAGCTCGAGGATGAGGAGATCCTCAAGATCCTCGAGCAGCCCCTTGCTCGCTCCACTGGAGCCAAGAAGAACAAGAGCAAGAAGAAGACCACCAAGACCGAGGGTGCCGAGTAAATTTTCGACCCCGTTCCAGTCATCATTTTTTCATGCAGCACAACATTGTGTGGGACGTCCATGTCCAATCTGAATACAAAACAGATATCCAATGACGAGCCTCGTAGCAGGTCATATGAAATCTAACCAAAAACAAAAGAACAGTTTGATTTTTCCGATTGCGACGGGCTGTGCCATCCCATTCCTGGGGGTATATACGTTATCGAAGTTGGCGCTGGAAGCTCTGGTTTCCTGCTGATCTCCTTGTCTTGTATCTAGCAGTTGGAGCAGACTACAAGGCTAAATCAATATGTTACCAGTCTGTAATCTGTCCCTGTAGAATCTCCTTGGGAGTGCAGTAGCCGTTTGCATCTCGATTATAGCAGCGACTCTGAGAATGATCTCGACCTTGGGAAACTTCAATCGCCCCCGGCTTATGACTGAGGGTGATGTCTTCTCGTCGTTGCTTTGGGCTCTTGATATAGGGCGATATCAAGCTGTGGGTAGCTGGTCCCTCTACGAACGGACTTCTTAGGAAAGGCCCTGGAAGAGCCTGTCTAATCTTAGCTCTCTCTTATTCAGAATCATCTATTCACCGGGCACATTGCATCTATTCGAGGCTTGCTCAAGATATGACAATAACACAATAGAAGAATCGGTCTATTCAAGATTCAATGGGTCTGGGATCAGCTGTTATTGTAGACCGCTAGCTCTTATTCGTAAAATGGAAAGAGCAAATCAATCAGGTGCAATTGTTGTCTTTCCAGGTTGCTCTTTCCCTCTTTCCCTCTGCTCTTCGCTCTTTCCCTTTCCAGTCCTTCTACCCTCTACTCTCTTCTATTTAATCCCCTCTTCTTCCCTCTCTTCTCTTCTTCTCTTCTTCTCTCCTCCACCCTCTTCCACTTTTTTTTTTCTGTGATCCTGATCTTGACCAGTATCATTCTGTACCAACAACTTTGCTTCGAGGGTAGCATCTCGTTTGTTGTTACTATTCCCAGTTCTATCTCTGGGCCCTGTTCCTGTATTCACTCCTGTTCCTGTCCACTCCTGTTCTTCCATCCACTCCTGTTTCTCTTCTACACATCTCGCCACACATCCTCCTTGTAACCTCACATCTTCCAAACCGTGTTATCCATCACGTACAAGATGGAAACCACTCGACGCGTCTCAAGCCGTCTTTCCGGCAAGAAAGGTAAGTCCTTGTGTTCTCCGCCTCTCCCCACATCCCCTGTCATCAGTCCCCGCGTCCCACGAGCTCTTGTCTGGGGGTGACCGCAAGTCACTCAACCCTGGAGATGACCTCCTACCCCCACCACCTGCTTTGTGCCCTACCCTATGTCACCGAAAGTGCCTACCCCACACATCAGCATGATCAGGCTCAAGTACCCTTCGTGGAGAGGAGCTTGTGTCCACGATCGTGTCTGCCCTAGCCCTACCCTCCGTTACGCGTTCCAATTTGTTTGCATCTTGAGTCTTTCGTCTTGGCCCTACACATCATATGACTTTTTCTTATCCTTGTCCAATTCCCCCCTCTGGTCCCTTGCAACACTTTGTCCTATGGTGCTGCAGCTCCATCTGAGACTACACAGCTACTCATGGCACTTACCGACCAGCGGACATGAGAGCAAACACTAACTTTCGGATAGCCCAAGCTGAACAGGCCGCCGCCGAACAAGCTGCCAAAGCTGAGCAGGCTGCCAAAGCTAAGCAGCCCGTCAAAGCTAAGCAGCCCGTCAAAGCTGAGAAGGCTGCCAAACCCGAGAAGACCAAGGCTAAGCAGCCCGTCAAGACCGACAAGTCCACCAAACCCGAGAAGGCCGCCAAGCAGCCTGTCAAAGCCGAGCAGCCTGTCAAAGCCGAGCAGTCTGTCAAAGCTGAGAATAGCGCCAAGGCTGAGAAGACTGCCAAAGGTAAACAGCCTGCCAAAGTCGAGCAGTCTGCCAAATCCGAAATCACCCAGCTTGCCACGAAGGCTGCGGGTGTGAGCAAAAGGCTCAAACTCACCATCACCGAGAAGGTCGCCGACACTACGAAGAAACTGACCAGAGCTGCCAAAGCCGCCGCAGCTCCAAAGGTCGAGAATGATTCGAAGGTCTCGAGTACTTCCAAGGCTCCAAAAGAAAAGGCCAAAAAGGCCGTGGCTCGCAAAGAAAATGCAGAGTAAGTTGAGATCCCGAGTTAGGGCATGAGGCGCGTGGCACTAACCCTAGCAGGTCCCTTCCGCCTGCCGCTACGGGCTCCACCCCGTCCGGAGATAGCGATAACGAGGATTCCTCCAGCAAGACCCGACGGAAGCTTCAGAAGAAGCCCACGGGCTGTTCCCAGTCCGCTAACTCCTATCGGACCATGCGACCGATCGGGGAATACCCAACACCTGCGGAATACCGCGCCGCAGGCGTGAAACCCCACCGCCCCCCGACCTCAGAGAACGCGACTCCTACACTCGGCTCTGACAGCGGGTTTGAGAACCCAACATTCGACAACGGCCCTGCTGATAGACTCGCGGAAGCACTGAAAATCGCTACCGCAGCGCAGTCCCCAGATGTCGAGACGCCCGTGGACAATTCCACTCCCGCAATCGCAAATGCAGCCATCAATATCTCCGAATACCATGCCGTATTGCGTGAACTCCCCCTACCTCCCTCTCCTTCTGAGCAATACGACATGCTCAAGCTTCGAGACCTGATGCTATGGGCCCTTGACGACGCCGTCCAAAACGGCAGCTCGGGCGAATGCATGGGCCTTGTTCACTTTTGGTACCTGGCCGGCACCGACAACTTCACACTCTCCTTGATTGAGAATCTGAGTCGTGGCGGCGAAGCCAACCTACGTATGTCGAATGCGCTCCGCTTATTGCTGAACGAGCTGCAACCTGAGGCCTGCGAGTGGTATCAAATCCACACCGGTGGCGTGTCCCTCTTCCCTGTCGATCAGGTTCCGGTGAGCGACTCAGGTAGATCGTCTGCCGTGCCAGCTGGTCCCGATGCTGCATTCAAGGTCTCCGATATCTACCGAGACACCAGTGGTCCTCGCCTCGAGGAACTGTTCATGAGCGGCAAGTCAAACACCGCTCCGCTCAAGCGTCCTAAGAAACCGCACCCGGCGAATGAGGCTGCCTACAGGCGCAAACTCGCGTGGGATTCCGATCCCCATCATGATGAAAAAATGCAAGAGATACGCGCCCGTATGAGTCGGGCACAACCAACTATGGCTGATGTTCAATATGCCCAGAGCGCACTCCGTGGCCAGCCCGCACCAGGAATGAACCCGCTCTGCCATGTTCACACCTTCGAGGCCATGCCTCATTACCCCCCAGGTCCCTATGACCACTTCTCAGTTTCCTCTGCTACCCGACCCATTCTAAGATACCCCGTGCCGGACCAAGATTCCGAGCCCGAGCCTGCTTCCCCTGTTCCCACCGCTGATGACACCGCTGATGACAACGCCATGGACACTGCTGAAGATAATGCCGAGGACAATGCTGAGGCCACTGCTGCGAATCAGAAGCGGACTCGCAATGCCTCCAAGACACCTACTCAGAAGCCTGACAAGAAGTCCGGCAAGAAGCCCGGTAAGAAGTCCGGCAAAGAGCCTCAAAACCCCTCGAAGACGCAGAAGGGCAAGCGGCCACAGCTTGACCGACCACGGTCTGAGCGATCGGTCTCTGTCGATACCACCCTATCCGAGGTCTCTAGCCTCTCCAACTCATGCTACTCCGTCCGCTACAACGATTGGACTGCAGAGCATGGACCACGGCAAATGCCGAATTCGATGTACGTATTTTGTGTGACTTTTATCTTTCTACTGCTGCATTGACTAACATGGTACCTAACAGTGACCCCCCCGACAACAGTGACGATTGTCATAAATGTGGAAAGGGAGGCGATTTGATTTGCTGCGAGACTTGCCCAAACTCGTATCATTTCACCTGCCTAAACCCCCCCTTGAATCGCAAGAATCTACCGGAAGAGTGGCACTGCCCCAAGTGCCAGGTCCGCAACGCCTTTACCACTATGATTGCCCATTCCCATAAGCTCAAGAAGACTGAGATGGATGTACCCCTGGACATCCAGGAACACTTTGCTGGAGTCGGCGAAGTCATTGTGAGCGCTGATGCGGGAGTTACTCGGGATCTGAGGGACCAACGACATTACAAGTCCGTGCCCCACCTGCCGCGGCTGACTAAAGCGCCCAAGCAAGATACGCCAATTCCATATGCAACGCTTCTCCGTGAATTCGACAACAAGGGAGAACCCATCCGCTGTGGCAAGTGCGGCAAATCATCACAAGGTCGCCCCATCATCACCTGCGATTATTGCCCTTGTCGATTCCATCTTGATTGTCTCGATCCACCCAGGGCTGTGCCCCCAAATCCAAAAAACGGATGGATGTGTCCTAACCATGTTACTCCTGACGACATGGCGGTCACCATGGAGATGAACGGCAACACACAGACGCGTCGTGTACGTCGAACCAAGAACATGTCCTTCGTGGACTGCGACGTCCTTCTTCCAGACGACCCCAATCAAAGTCTGTTTGATGAAGAATGGAGGGAAAAGCGCTCCCGCGTCCTGGGCGGCGACGTCGCCCTGAAGTTCATCGACGCCGTCAAGCGCGATCATCATGATCGCGCTTGCGCTCAACATGAGCGACAGACTCAGTTTGTCGCTCATGTTGAGCGCAAGTGCCTCGATCTGGCTCGCCAGATGACCTGCCAATTCCTGGCGGGCCAGGTCGAGGTCGAGGGAGGGCGGGAGCAATCCTCAGAGCTCCCGCCCTCCCTCGAGGAGGGTGTGTCGGGTGCAGTCCGCGGTGTCATCGATGCCGCGGGCTGCACCCGCGAGGCATTTGAGGCTGCCTCCACCCTCCTGGGGCTGTCCCGGGGCTTCGGCCGGGACAGCCCCAGCCCCTCGCGCCCCCGTGAAAAGCGGGGGCGCGAGGATGAGGGCCCTCCTTTGGAGGGCCCGGCGGCGCGCAAGCGTCGTCTCACCCCCGAGGCTGGGGAATCCCCAGCCCCGGCCCCGGAGCCCTCTCGCGCCAAGCGCGCACGGGAGGAGGAGGGCTCCGAGGGCCCGGCGACCCAGAAGCGTCGCCGCAGCCTCGGGGGTGAGGCTTCTGAGTCTGAGCTCTGAGGGGTTTCGGCCCCTCAGAGCTCAGTGAATTGTCAGATTCTTGTGAGATTCCCTTCCCTGGGGCTGACCGGCCATGTTCCCTCTTTTCACCTGTTTTGTGATATTCTATGTTTTTTTCTTCGAAAATTGGGACATGGTCGGCAGCCCCAGGGAAGCTTTGTACGATAATTTGTGAGAATAAAAAAAAAAAAAAAAAAATTCAAAAAAAAATTCAAAAAAGAACAAGTGTCTACTCTGAGCTGTAGTTGTAGTTGCTTCAGAATTCGTGTCTACGAAGATTCATACTTTAAAAATGATTAAGGACACGATTTTCATTTTCCAGAAAAACTGCGAGTGCTACAGATGATTTTCGCCCTCGGTAAGAATAGAGTACAGGGGCCACTCGCGTACATAGCGGGTCAAAGACACCGCTTACAGATACTTCTTGGGCATGTTGGCCCGACGACGCTTGTAGGCCACGTACGAAATGGCCAGAAGAACCTGGAAGGCAATTACCAGGAACAGGAAGAAGCCCATGCGGGGCGTCGACTTGGTAACGACTAAAGAACGATTAGCAAGTCGTGTGGAACGATTTACAGTTATAGGACGTACCGTTAACCAAGTGACCTTGCAGATTCTCGCTGAGGCTCACGTGGGAAGACCGCAGAGTATCGTGCAGCTGGGCGAAGCGACCGCTGTAGTCCCGGTCGCCGAGGTCGCGCACGATAGTAGTCATAAGCTCCTCCATGTGGGCGAGTCTGTTGTCCAGAGCATTGTACTGGTCCTTGTCGATGAGTTTCTGGAGGATTTCTGCCTGTCGGGCATCGGCCTTGCCGGCTTGGTTTTTCATCTCTTGGATGATGGTGCTGGCAGCTTTGTTAGTGAGCTGCAGGCGGCCGCTCAGGTCGACAATCTGAGCGGCGAGGCCGGCAATTGAGGCACCTGAAACGGGAGGCATGGTGGGAGATTCGGAGTCGAGGTCGGTGGGTAGTTGAGTCTGTTGATTGAGGACTGGAGGAATCCCTTGTGGTGATCCTTGGGTTGTAGCGGACTCGAGGACGAACTTGAACAGCTCGAACGAGTCGGGGTTTTCAGGTGTAGCTGCTGTGATACCGAAGGTATTTCCAGCGGGGAGGGCAACCTGGAGCTTTCTGTTAGGTCAATGGCTGGAGTAGATCATGTGAATACACACTTTGTTGGTTGAGAAACAGGGCTGGTCGTCAACGGTAACCTCGAGGATCGAGTTGGTGTGTTTAATCTTAAAGACTGAGGGACGACCTAGGTTGCGGTAGGAGTAGTCACAGTGGCCAAAGGCTAAAGCATCTGGACTGTTGTGGCTCTTGTAATCGGTCGTACCGTCATTCAAGAATCCTCTGACACTGCCACCCTGTGGAAGGAATTAGTATGTGTCGATTAATACGATATTACGGGGCTAATACGCACACGACCACCATGCGTATCAACCACTAGGGCAAAACCATCGAATGGACCAACAGTATAGATGCTGGAGGTACCAATCCGGGCCTGGCCGTCCTTGGTATACCATAATTGCAGGATTCCACCTGCTCTTTCAGGGCCACTCGCACGGAATTGGAACTCTGCAGTCCACTCCGACTGGGCAACGCTATTTGCGGGTTATCATCCGTCCCATTTGTCGGTTTCAAGCCCTTTACTTACGGACTATCTGCCCACAAGGATCCCCGGGTGTTACCAGGGTACGGCGGTGTCAAGATGATCTTGTCTGACAGCTATTTGGCTGTTAGCTCCAGGCACACATAACATGGCAGGATGTCTCTCACCAGGCTAGGCTGGTGGCCCTCTCCTCCGATTGTCCATCCTGGGATTGTGTGGTCTCGGTTTGGTGATATCCTGATCCATGTCAGATTGGTTCGTGGCGAAAAGCACCAGATACTGACGTTTTACCAGTACCAAAGCTGGAGCTTTCGATGATCTGCGATGTGGCTCCTGCGGCGAGCAGTGCCAGGGAGGCTAGTGTCTTGAGCATGTTGTACAGCTTTCACGGAGCTTGCTATGCGTTTGTGGCTTCAATGGCTTGGGAGAGCAATCAACTGGCTCTTGGGCATTGACAGTGTCCTGGTCCAGAGCAGTCTTGCTTTCTGTTGAGATCGCACAGGCCGGAAATAACGCGCGTGGTGATCCAGCCAACAACGACAGCAATGACGCAGACACGGACCTCTTTTGCAACTATAGCAGCAGAGGGTGAGCAATCGAAGAAGTGATGGAGCTGTACACTATTCAGAATGGTGTGTCGAATTCCCACGTCTGTGAAGTCCATGCGGAAGAAGCCTGAAAGTTCATTTGTATTGACATCTGTCCTTCTGTTTCTGATTTGACCTCCGCACCAGATCACGTGGCCTGGAAACAATCGTGCGGAGGAAGCTCCTGCCCGCAGTGACTTGTCTTATCGTCTGGCATTATCGCCCCATTATGCGCAGAGGTCTCAATGGTTGAACTATACCCTTCTTTGGTGCAATGCGCCATTGTCGCAACTGCCTTCAAGGTGCTGCTTTTCCCCGCATAGTGAGTCCCGCAAAATTATCCCGAGACAGCTCGAACAGGGCACATCGGATGAGCTCAAGCTAACCTCTGTCTGTTATAGCAAATCAACCGACTTTGAGGTCCATCGCAATTGGCTCGCCATCACCCACTCCCTACCGGTTCAAGAATGGTACTACGAGGTAGGTTCAACCGGGCGCATCCAGTCGCGTTGGTGTGGATGTGGATGTTGACAATCTCAGAAATCCTCGGAATGGACCCTCGATTACCCACCGTTCTTTGCGGCATTTGAATGGCTCATGTCGCAGGCTGCTGTATATGTGGACCCGGCCATGGTGGTTGTGAAAAACCTGGGCTATGAATCCTGGCAGACCGTCTACTTCCAGAGAACTACTGTCATATTGACGGAGCTGGTGCTTATCTACGCACTTAGTCGGTAAGAAAGCACACTGGTTATTGGGGTAATAACAAGAGATATACTCATACTCAACAATCTAGATTCGTCAAATCCACACCTCTGCCGAACAAAAATGCTGCACATGTGGCCAGTCTCTCTATCCTGTTGTCGCCGGGTCTCTTCATCATTGATCATATCCACTTCCAATACAATGGGTTCATGTATGGAATCTTGATCCTTTCTATCGTTCTGGCCCGGAAGCAGTCCACCCTCCTTTACAGTGGTATCCTTTTCGCAGTCCTGCTATGCATGAAGCACATCTACCTATACCTGGCTCTCGCATACTTTGTCTATTTGCTGCGCACCTACTGCCTGGATGCCAAGTCAATCTTCAGACCTCGCTTTGGTAACATTATCAAGCTTGGGGTCTGTGTGGCTGGGGTTTTTGCAATCGCCTTTGGTCCATTTGCGCAATGGGGCCAGCTGCTGCAACTCAAGGACAGGCTATTCCCATTCTCCAGAGGATTGTGCCACGCATACTGGGCTCCGAACATTTGGGCCATGTATTCGTTCACCGATCGAGCGTTGATACCTCGTATGTACTTCCCAATCGTTTGGGGTGAGACTAACTAACACATATTCAGTTGCTCCTCGGCTGGGCCTCCCCGTGAACTATGATGCGTTGACTAGTGTGACTCGCGGACTGGTTGGAGATACCTCTTTTGCGGTTCTTCCTGAAGTCACGAAAGAGCACACATTCATTTTGACCTTCGTGTTCCAATTGGTAAGTCCGCCTCACGATTCATGTATTCGACACAGTCTCACAATAGTTTAGGTTCCTCTTATCAAGGTCTGGCGCAACCCGGGATGCTGGGATACTTTCGTCGGCGCGATAACGCTCTGTGGCTATTCGTCCTTCCTATTCGGTTGGCACGTCCACGAAAAGGCTATCCTGCTGATCATCATCCCATTCAGTCTCATCGCACTCAAAGATCGGCGGTACTTCAGTGCATTCCGTCCTCTGGCAGTTGCAGGACACGTTTCGCTCTTCCCTTTACTCTTCACGGCGGCCGAGTTCCCTCTCAAGACCGTTTACACGATTTTGTGGCTGGTTCTCTTCCTCTTCGTCTTTGACCAAGTGGCGCCCGTCTCTCAACGGCCCCGCATCTTTGTTTTCGACCGGCTGTCACTGCTCTACTTGACAGTCTCTATTCCTTTGATTATCTATTGCTCACTGGGCCACCAACTCATCTTCGGTTGGGACCGACTAGAATTCCTGCCGTTGATGTTTATGAGCAGCTACTCTGCAATCGGTGTTGTGGGAAGCTGGGTAGGATTCATGGTGGTTTATTTCACGGCATAAGCTTATAAAGCAAAGCTCTCGCTTCACTGCTCAGGTAATAATCAATCAAAAAAGATTTAATTGTTACATCGTTCCCATACTATTATTATCTGGTGACTCGGAGCTCAACTCTGAAATGATGCAATAGTTTGTTTGCACTGTTTGATTCCACGTGGAGCAGACCCACGGCTCATAGAAGTCTATTGTAATACTAAGCCCAATTGGGCTTAGCGCCTCTTCATCCATGGTTGGCCTGCAGCCAAATGCAGGTCGGATAGAAACACGGGGAATCTCTCGATTTCCTTTCTTGGATTGAACTGATGATTCTTAATACATAAATTGATGTTAATTTATATTACTTGATGAGAGATATGTTACTTGATCTGGAAAACTTGGTTATCTAGGAATGCGCTTTGTGGTTCATGGGTGCAGGTAGCATATATATTCGTAAGCCGAGCTGCTCAAGTGGTACTGTCCATTCCACCAGCCTGTTATCCTGAAGTCATCAAACCATTGAATTAAACCCTGAAAGCTATCCACGACATTAGTGAGCCTTTGACTGAGTATAGGCGACATCGAAGTCAAATGAAGAGATGGGAACGAGGTCATGCATTGCCGCAATGACTGCCTTCAAAGTGCGACTGGCTTGAGGGTGCAAAATTAAATAAATTCATAAAATCTACCAATCAAGAAATCTGGCAATGGTGATGAAAGGCCTTCTGGGGTAAAGTGTAGACAGTTTGCTATCTGAGTTGTGTAAAGGGGTGGAAGCCAAGAGCAAAGATTTAAGCAAAATGGGGAGAAAGGGTGTGAATCAAAAGAAGAATCAAACTTGGATTCCGCCAGACACATAGCAGTCATCTAGGGAAAAGAGGCCAATGCTCTTGTAACACCGTGGCTGATTGTGCATCAACATTACATATCAGTTTTTGCTTGCTTTCAATAGTGCAGTGCAACACGGTGGGCCAGTTGGGGATATGAGGGATCAACTTTAGAAATTCTACATCACCTGTAGAACTTGGCTCTCTGAGCAGCAGATCATGGAGATATAGAGTATGTAGTAATTTACAGAACAGTGGTTTCGAGGTCTCCCATATAAAGCCCTTTGTCAACCCAGAGGCCCGCCGTGAGGCTGTCTAGAAAGGTACTTAAGTATATGCTGATACTCGAAAAAAATGGATAGGCCCATCTAGAGGTATGTTCATACTTAAAAGGTCTACTGTGTACATACAATGCCAAAGTCGCATCTCAAATCTCGTTGGTTGCCACCCGGGATGAATGGCTTGACGTGCGGGGACGGGCGTTTGCCAGTGGCACTGGCGGATGGACGAATGCGGAATCGGCAAGGTTGTTTGAAGGTTAGTCCACGGAGATATATACAAGAAGAGACAAAAGGATGGCATAGGTATTGCCTAGGTAGAAACAGCGAAGTTATAGGACAAGGTCAAGCACACTTGGCCCTCTAAGATAACATATCAAGATAAAAGAGATCTATATTACAAGTAGACATGGTCTATCAAAGCAGATCAAGCAGATCAAGTTGAAACCAAAGGTTATAAGCTCTGAAAGAGTGGTGTTTCATGCTAAAAATACAAACAAAGATGATGGTTGAGTTGGCCCCATCAGTTCCGATCTTAGCCCGAGCCGGCGAATAGTAATTGATAATCCCACAGGGCAGGGAACAGGCCGCAGAAGGTCATAAATGGATAGGCCAGGATAACCCAGCTCATTGAGAGGAATCGAATGAGGGTAAATACTGCTAGTGTTGTCGGAGGATCCGGTGAAAGGGGAAGGGGAGGTGATGAGGGGAGAAAAGGTGAGTGTCCAGAAAAAGTTCCCCGAGCTCCAGGGCTGGCCTTTCTGCTCCTGCTCTCCACCAATAACAGGCCACCGCGGTACTACCGCTGCTCCGTTAATTTGTGTCAATCTTTCCCTTCTTCTCTCTTTTTCTTATATTCTTCCGCTCCCTCCCTTTGACATCCCCCCATCACCTTCGAATTTGTCTTCTACTTCCGACGCGTTCTTCTCCGGTAAGTCCGTTTATAGATCCCGCACGACTCACTTAGTATGATTCGAGTCTGCGACCACACACCCAGGATCACTCCCTCGCACCCGCGAATTATCGCGTCACCATCCCAAGGTCAACCCGTGCCACCGCAATCCGCCCATCGTGACTCTCATTAACCGTGCCGATTTCGGATTCGACGCGGTCTCCACATTCACACAAGTCAATGAATGAGCTTGGTTTGCTAACCAAGGTCGCGTTTCGTCTAGTTTGTTCATGCTTGAATCGTGTTTCCGATAAATTCTGGCCGACTGGCGCGTCTACACTCGGCTTTTAAAGCATAATGGTACGCGACACCCTACCCGAGGGGATCTCTGCGGAGGTGCAAGAGGAGATTGGTGCATGTGAGGGGACAAAGCGGCTGACACAATTCCTTGGATAGGTACTGTTCAAACGCAAGCCGGTACAATACCTTCCTCAGACCGTGATTGAAGATGATAGCTCTGAGGTATGCACCGTGATCGCGCTGGCACTTGAGACTCCGCCCACTCACTATTCGTCCTTCTGGCAGGTCTGGGTGATCCCAGAGACCAACGAGGTTTTTACCACATACGAACCCTACCTTCAGCGCATGGATTTCTACAAGCAACGCAGATTTATTTGTGAAATTACCGGCCATTCTGGGTTGACATTTTTCGAGGCGCTTCGCAGTGAGGTACATCAAAGCATGAACTTCGGATGATGGATATGCGCTAAATTTTAATCAGACGGAGGAGTCGCGTGAGGTCAACAACAGTTTCCCAGATGCTCTGAGAGAGCCCATTCTGCGCCGAATTCAGTTTTCCACTGTCTCACGAGTGGATAGCCTGGGTATGTCACAATTGATCTCTACAATTGAAGCTACGCTGACAATGCAATTCTAGTGGATGAGGTTTACGAAGTGAGAATTTTGCTTCCAAATTGATGACAAGTGATCTAACAATGACAGGAATTCAAATCAGACTTTTACCCGGGTGAAGCTGTGCTAATTCTACTAGAGGACAGCAGCCGACTTCACGGTACCATCAGAGATAAGGCCAACTTTGCAGAGCAGTTGTACGCTGATGGTACCATCAAAACGCCCGCGTTTGCTAGATATCTAGTCAAGATTCTGGATCGACAAAATGAGGAGGCCCTGCTGGACCAGAATCACATCACGCGTGACCGAAAAGCATTCACAAAGCTGATGCTGCGCGGTTTTATCAAGAACAATGTGACCAGAGAGTCATGGACTGGCGCGCCTTGGTTGGTCAAGCCAACTGTCGCTGAGACGTACAAGATTCCGATTGAGGTGCCGAAGCACCTGCAGTATGGAGCCAAGGTGGCAGAAAAGAAAGCAATGAAGAAGGCCGATCAAGATGGCTTCTTTGGTTTCTTCTCTTCCCAGCAGCTGCCCGAGCTGAAGCCTGCCGTCAAGGGACAGAAGTCGAAACTGTCTGCTCATGACATGGTCAAATCAAGGGAGGCACAGTATCAAGAATACCAACGATCTCTGAATGGGGATGCGTCATTCCTTCTGCCTTCCAATCCTCTGCGCCCCTCCAAACCGCCGCTGGTTGGCGACAGGAAGAATGCTGGTTCACCGTCAGTCATTGTCAAGCATGAACCCAGACTGGCAACCCCTCCACCGATCAAGTATCCAATTGAAGACTTGGAACTTGCTCCCAATGCTGAGAAACAGCATCGCCCGACTCTCAAGTTTATGATGGTAGGCGATTCCGATGATGAAGCTGTGCAGGATCTTTTGCCCGATGATCTAGAGCCCGAGACGGTCGGGTTGCTTCTGGAGACCTGGGATACACTTAATGTCTACTGCGAGGTCTTCGAGCTGGACTCTTTCCCCTTTGACGACTTCATCCAGGCAATGCGATTCTCGTCGGAGGAGATTGACTGCGAGCTTTTTGTAGAGGTGCACTGTGCTGTCCTCAAGAAGCTCGTGAACGCGTCGGACGGCAGCGATGGCGCCGTCCAGGTTACCCTGCCAGACTTCCCAGTGGATGAATCTGATGAGTCTGAGGATGATGAAGACGAAGAGGAGGAGGAAGAGGAAGAGTCCCCGAAGCCGCAGGCCAAGCCCGAGAGAATGGCAACTCGAGGCAGTCTGGCCAAAGAAGAGTTGGTAACCATCAAATCACAGATCGAAGAGGCTGAGCCGGAGGATACGCGTCTGCATCGCGCCGACGAGCTCTTTGAGAAATACGGCTGGATTGACCGCCTCCGCAAGCGTGATTTCCGTAACGGTGGATGGCAGACAGTGATGGTAGGACTCCTGCATCAACTGTCTGTTCGACCTCGCGCGGAGCAGGTTTGCAATGATATTCTCAAGCACCTAGCACCTCTCGACACCGACCCTACACCCAGCACTGTGCAGGAGCATTACCAAACCCTGGACATTAACCTGCGTACCAAGGCACTGCAGAAGATCTGCATGTTGAGCTTGGAAACCAAGGCTATTCGCAACTATCTAGAGGAGTGCAGCAACCAGATGACAGAGCTCCGCAAGGAAAAGATCGAGTATCAGAAGGCGCGCAAAGCAGCGTATGTCTTTCTTTAAGAACGTTTCTTTTTTTTGATAAATGCTAACATTTTCTGACAGACTTATCGAGCTTCGCCAGTTACACCAGGAGCGCAAGGCTGTCCAACCCGAACCTGAAAAGGCCGGCAAGTCACCCACCCCAGTCCCTGAACTGGACGGCCTGGATGATTCGAGGATGACCGGACTCGAGGGAGACTCGGAGATGGTTGTGGACACAGAAGATGAGGATGCTCCCCGACCACGCGCTTTGCGGGGAGGAGTGGACAGAGCTTTGGAGCGCAAGCGCAAGCAAGAGCTCGAGAAAGAGCGAAAAGAGATCTTGGCCAAGCAACCAAAGGGGTCGAAGCAATATCAGAAAGTCTTGAAGAAGATCGATGACCAGAAGGCCAAGATCGAGAAACTTCAGGAGCAGATCGAGACAGTGGAAAACAGCCTTCGCGAGACTGACTGCCCCCGGACCAAGTGCCTTGGACAGGACCGCTTCTGCAACCGTTACTGGTGGTTTGAACGCAACGCAATGCCCTATGAAGGTATGCCGGAGAGCTCGAGTGCGGAAGCAGGCTACGCCAACGGCCGCCTTTGGGTGCAAGGTCCGGATGAGTTGGAATATTCTGGGTTCATTGACGTGACCGAAGAACAGCGCAAGCAGTACCAGAAGCATTTTCAGACTACTCCTGCGGAGCGCAAGAAGCACGAAGAGGGTCCGACTCACCTCTCCAATGCACGTGAATGGGGTTACTACGAAGACCCCGAGGCCATCGACCAGCTCGTGGAATGGCTTGACACGCGCGGCAATCGCGAGTTCAAGTTGATGAAGGAGCTTCTCCTTCAGCAAGATGTCATTGCCAAGTACATGAAGACCCGCAAGGAGTACCTTGCTGAAACTCTCGAGCGAGCCGAGTCGGAAGACATTCCCACCAAGCGTGTCACTACACGGACTAAGACCTACGTGGATGTGAGCGACAACCGTCTCCGCTGCCTGCGTTGGAAGAACAATACCGCCCTTTCTGTACATGGCCATCTCCATGTTGACCCTGGGCGACCCACCAAACGCAAGCGGGTCTCCGACGACACCAGGGGCGCAAAGGCAGCTAAGCAGGTCAAGCCATTACCCCGGACTCGTGCGCAGCGCAACCGCTGACGCTTTCATCCCCTAACGAGACCACGATATTCTTTGTACTAAGTATCTGCCCCTTTTGTTGCCTTTTATACATTTCAATCTGCATGGAGACGGGGCGTTTGTTAGCATTTGTTCCATAGTGAAATACTAGAAGTCAAGTTCACATAGAATCATCAAGGTCATATTCGGCCTTACCAGACACGATGACAATTCGGCTTCTCGGGACTCGCTGATATTCGGCGGGCCGTATCGGTACTGTATTTTGCCGCTTGTAAGCGTGGGGCGGTTGGTATCGGCACGTCAGTATGTATTCAACTTCTCCCAGGCAAAATACGTCACACTGTTCCTCTCGACAATACCTCTATTTCACACCTCTTTCTCCCAAGCTTTTTCTCTCATCTGGCTCTTGTGGTATTTGGTGAATAATTCACTGTCAAACAAGTGGCGTAAGGATTACCCGGCGAAGATCATCCGGTAGACCGAGAATTATCGCCGAGATCACGAGGGGAATCCCCCATTGTTTGCCCCGGATATTCCTGAGCCTCTTGCGAGCCTCGGTTGCTAATCGCCATCTCCACCACTTCTCTCATGTCGAGCGGTCATTCAGACCATGCCGATGATACTGCTACCGCACCACAACTTCCTCAGTCTGCTCCGATGAGTGAGACCGCACACCAGAGTTCGATTGGCGCAATGCCGCTCGTCTCAACCAAAGAGAAAGACAGCACCCGAAAGATAGAGAAACAGAGCTTGGAATATGCACTCAGAAGTGGAATCGCCGGTGGCCTGGCCGGCTGTGCGGTAAGTGCTCAACAATGGATTCCGTCCAATTTTCGTACTGACAGCGACTTTGTAGGCGAAAACGGTTGTCGCACCACTCGACCGCGTGAAGATCCTGTTCCAAGCATCAAATCCTCAGTTCGCAAAATACACAGGCAGCTGGTCAGGTCTTGCCCATGCGATACGAGACATCAATCGACATGAAGGCGCCAGAGGCCTATACAAGGGCCACTCCGTTACCCTTCTCCGCATATTCCCCTACGCTGCGATCAAATTCCTCGCCTACGAACAGATTCGCGCCGTTCTTATCCCGTCCAGTGAACACGAGACTCCACTCCGCCGCTTGATATCGGGCAGTTTGGCCGGTGTCACATCTGTGTGCTTTACCTACCCACTTGAGCTGATGCGCGTTCGCATGGCATTTGAAACAAGTCATTCGCATCGTTCGGGATTATTAGATATCATGCGCCAGATTTATCACGAGCGCGCAGCACCTACTCCCCGCTCCGCCGCAGCCACAGAATCTTCAACGGTTGCCGCCGTCGAAGGCGCCGCATCCACGGTGAACAAAATTGCCCCGCGAACTGGGTTGATTAACTTCTACCGCGGGTTCGCGCCGACTATTCTTGGAATGCTACCGTATGCCGGTATCTCCTTCCTGACCCACGATACCGTGGGTGACTTTTTCCGCCACCCATCTCTGGCGCCATACACTCTGAAAAGGGCAGTGGATGGTGATATTGATCCTCGAAAAGCAGAACTGAATAAGAATCGTCCCCTGCTCAATGCCCCATTCGAACTCCTTGCTGGTGCCCTTGCCGGTCTCGCCTCCCAGACATCTTCATATCCCATCGAAGTCATCCGTCGCCGAATGCAAGTCGGTGGTGCAGTGGGTGATGGGCATCGTCTGGGAATCGCAGAGACCGGGCGAAAAATCTGGCTCGAGTGTGGTTTCCGTGGGTTCTGGGTTGGTTTGACCATCGGGTACATTAAGGTGGTGCCGATGTATGCTGTTGCCTTCTTTGTTTATGAGCGGGTCAAGGGGTCATTGCGGATCGGCTGATCCTACATGAGCATTTGCACATTTGCACATATGAGGATTGCATCCTCGACTCTGGCGTTGGGGGATTTTGTTTAGAATTCGAGTCTGACGACTCTTAGAGATACACCTGGGCACATACATCCGCGATAAGCGATAAGATAAGATAACACATACCACATTCGGGGCTTTCGATGGAATTGCAATTGAAAAGTGCTCTTGTATTTCTCCTGATACTCATGTTATGTAGTCAAATGGATATGCTGTCTACTATTCACCCTGTACCATGAACCATGTCGTTGCTGTATGCTCCGTACTCCGTACTCTGTGCTGTGTCGACCCGCGCACGGACCACCGGTCCGTGGAGAAAAAGTTCTTGAACTTTTACTCCTCCGCGACTTCAGCGCCCTCTTACACCCCCATAACTCAGAATAAAATGGCGTCCCGGAAACATGACCTACTCGATCTCTCGGGCAGTGAAGACGAAGTCGATCGCGGCTACGACTCCGAAGACAATGTGGCGGAGAGCAAAGGCCGAGCCGTGAAGAGGCGCAGGACAGCGGACAACCAAGATCCCTTCGGACTCGAGTCTGACGAGGAAGAGAGTGATATCAACGAAGAAGAGGAAGAATCTCGCGCCAAAGGCAAGGGCCGCAAGCAAACGAAGACACGAGACACAGAAGACGAGGATGAAGATGAAAATGACGAAGACGACGAAGAGGACGGCGGCGCAAGCCTAGATGACACAGCAGACTCTAGCAAACCCAAGAGCAAACTGCTCAACAAGAAGCTTGCAAAGCTGACCAGCGGCAAGCCACCTAAGAAGGACAAGAGTGGTGTGGTGTATCTATCATCTCTCCCACCATACCTCAAGCCCGTGAGTTTGACAAACCGCACTGTCAAAGCCATACTAACCGCAGTAACAGTTCGCGCTCAAGAACATGCTCGAGAAGCGAAACTTCGGACCGATCACAAAGGTCTTCCTCGCACCATTGCTCCCGTCTGCCGCCGGCCAAAAGCAAAAATCCAACAAGCGCAAGCTCTACACAGATGGCTGGATTGAATTCAAATCAAAGCGGCAAGTTTTTCATTATAGTTGCGCCACGATAGACGTTAACAATGATATAGGACCGCCAAGCTTTGCGCAGAGACATTGAACGCTCGAACCATAGGAGGTCTCAAATCATCATGGTACCGGGATGATTTGTGGAACATGAAGTACCTCAAGGGATAGTAAGATACTCCACTCTTCACAATCGATATGTATACTAACAAGATGCAGCAAATGGGCCAACCTGATGGAACAGATCCAGATGGAGCGCGCAACGAGGGAAGCCACTCAGCGCATGGCGGACCAGAAGGCCAAGCGGGAGGACAAGGTTTACATCTCTGGAGTCGAGTCGGGCAGAATTGCAGATGGAATGCAGAAGAAGGAGGAAGAGAAGCAGAAGAGGCGACTGGAAGAGCAGGATGGGAAAGAGAAGCAGACCCAAAAGCCTGCGCGCAAGATTAGGAGGACATTCGAGCAGTCTAAGGCTGTCAAGAATGATGGAAATCTGGCGGATGATACTCAGCGGGTGCTTGGGAAGATCTTCTAATCTATCTAGACTATATCTTATAGGGAGTTCTCACATGCATATCAAGTTTCGGCATAATGGGGGAGCACACTCGACACAGTACAGCAACACCTGGGCACTGAATTCCAGTTACAAGCATTTGGACTTGAATCATTGATGGACATGGGCCATTAAGCCCTAGATTGCATCTATGTAAAAAAGCACTTTTTTATAAACACCAGAAAAATAACAAAACGCCAGCCTGTGCACATCATCGTCAAGGATATTACTTGGAGACTTGTTCATTGCCCATGTTAGATTCATCAATCAAGCAGTCCGCTTGAAGATAACTTATTCGCCCATGTTGAGCTCGTCAAAGTCTTCGAGCAGATCATCCATGTTGATCTTAGGCACAGCGTGGCCGCCCTCCAGACCATCTTCCTCATCTTCGTCATCCTCCTCATCCATCTCCATCTGGTGGTCCTGGGCTTGCTGTTGGCGCACCTTGTAAAGGTCAAGGGTTTGACGCAGCTCTTGGTCCTCCTCGACATCACGCAAGAACATCTCGTAGTCTTGCTCCATTCGGGCCTGTTCTTGCTCCTGCTTCTTTGTAGTAGGGACATTGACCACGGGGGCAGTGGCTTCCTCCTCGTACTCGCGAGCCATACGCTTAAGACGCCAGTTACGCTTGGACTTCTTGCTGCGAGTGTAGTGCTTCTTGACGAGAACAACATCGGGAATCCGGGAGCCGTACTGGTGGCTCTCCTCGATGGCCGTGAATTCGTCGTTGTTGTAGTTGGCTCCTGTGAGGTGGTATCCGAGCACTGAGTCACCAACGTGAATGACGTTGCCGAGGTGCGAGCGTGTGAAGTAAGTAACGTCGTTGCGTCCAAGATCTGAGGCGCGAGCCACGGTAACCTCCGACAAGAGGTATCGACCGTTGGACTTGCCAGTGGACTCGATGTCCATAACAATAAATTCTCGCAGTTCGGTGATGTCTGCAAGGTTCTTGAAGGGGTTGCGCCAGTAGATGGCAGTAGGAACCTCACAAGTTTGAAGCGTTTGCGGGTCGATCTAAAAGGTATCAGCCATGCACAAATTGAGTGAAGGGTGCTGGAACATACAAGGTTCACTGAATTTCCAACTCGGTGACACAAGGTCAAGGGCGAAATGTTTCCGAGAGAGCGGGCTAATTTTAATGGCATCGCAACGAGATCGTCCTTGCAAATGGGAATGATTTCAACCTGGGAAAAGATTTGACATTAGTTTGGATATTGAATGGTGAGATGTGGTGATACGAACGGAGAACGAGAACTTGAATGAGCGCGAGGAAGTATGGATATCCATACTGATAAGCTCTTCGGATTTCTTAGATCTGCAAATATTAAGGTTAGATGTGCGCATGGAATCAGAGCTATATGGGAGACGAACGTGCAAGGAACGATGGAATGCAAGAATTCCACCATCTTTTCGGCCGAGTTTCTTGCGGAGAAGTAGAAATCCAGACCATTGGGGGCCTCTTTGATGTTGACTGTTTCTGAGTGGGCACCGTGCTTCAGAATGACCTGCTCGAGGTAGAGGAAAGTTCGCTTGTGGGGGACCTTCTGGCGGACCTGAACGGAGGCTAGTGTGGTTGTTAGCATTCAGTTGTCGACAGTGGAAGAAGTGGACGAACCTCGCCAGGTGTTGGGGGTGAAAGATTTCTGACAGTCTAGAACGGAAATTAGTATAGATCTAACGAAGTGAACGTATATGGTGTTCGCGAAACAACGTACCTGGGCACTGCTGCGAGGCCACGACAAACTCGACTTCAAATTGTTGCTGGACGATAGTACCAACGAAGGCTTCTTGTTGAATGGTAATCTTCATTCGGATTCTGCGGGAATGGGGCTCGGTCCAGATAAACGAGGCGTCAATAATGCGCACTTTGTTAAGACCCTTCAGACGACGAAGGCAAAGGGCGAGGAGCTCCTTAGATTCGAGAGCCGCGACGACCCAGCTGGTGGGGGGTCTATAGAAATCCAACATTAGCAACCTTGTACCGTTGATCGGACGGCAGGAAACCTTACTGCAACCATCTCTCGCAATCCTTGCAGCAGTGGAGAGTAGCCTCACGCTGAATTCCTTGGGTGACATCGACTGTAGTTTGAGTCAGTCAATAGTTCTCTGGTCTGCCAATTTTCCCACTAACCCGAGAGCCTGATGCAGTCGGTACAAAGCGCTCCGGCAGCGACAGTTCCATCGATGGGCGCGCCACAGTTGCAACACAGGATACTATATGAGAACGAGGTTAGCGCATCTGTTCATATCGTAGATCCATCCATAGGCACTTCAACGGGCTTTCGGTGGGGGAATATGCACAGAAAAAGTTGCGATAAGGGTATGACTCACGTCGCAGCGACCTGCTCCTGCTGTTGCAGGTAGACGGGGGCATCCAGATCCATCGACATCTTGTCGAAATACGATTTGGAAATAAATGCTAGAAATGGGGTGTGATGGTACAACTTTTTCCACCAAAAAAAGATTATCGAGCCCCGCGGTAAAGATGACTAACCCTGTTTGCACTGTTTGCGCCCGCTATCGTTGATATCATCGGAAACCAAGAAATCACTAGTCGTCCTGTCTCCAACCCCATCACCATGAGCAGGATTCTTTTGAGAAGGGCTGCATGCCAGAATTGCAGAAATGAGCCACTTCGGTCTCTATTTTCTGGTTCTGGTGTTCCAATGCCGCGGGCCTCACCTGTTTCAGTCCACCCTCGAGCTTTCTCCGCTTCAACTTTGCGCCGATCTGACCGTCCTCCAACATCGCACCAGTTAGATAGTCGCCTGTCCGAGACAGAAGACCTGAAATTGGACTCAGAACCAACTGGATCAACTTCAACGGATAGTGTTCCTTGGTATTTGCAAGAAGAGGCTCCCCCAGCCAGGGACCGCCCGTTGAACGAAGCGCACCTTCCTGAAATCCCGAAAGATGCACCCGAAATGCTCCCGACCTTGTTGGAATATACGTATAAGGATCTGGGTCTCGACAGTCTCAAGCTTTTCGATCTCCGTGGGATGGAAATCCCTGCAGCTCTCGGCGCCAACGTTATCATGATCATTGGAACTGCTCGCAGTGTGAAACACTTGAATGTCTCTGCGGACCGGCTCTGTCGCTGGCTGCGAAGCCAGTACAAGCTGTCACCTTACGCCGACGGATTGCTGGGACGCAATGAGTTGAAGATCAAACTCCGTCGCAGGGCGAAACGAGCGAGAGCCGCCAGCGCGGCAGGCGCTATGATCGATGAGAAGGACGATGGAATCACTACCGGGTGGATTTGCGTGAACGCTGGGGTGGTGGACGAAGGTGCCTCTACGACACAACTGAGTGACGTCGGCATTGAAGGATTCGGTAACCTTGATCTCGGAACTAGCGTGGTAGTCCAGATCTTCACTGAGGAGAAGCGGGAGGATGTTGACCTTGATGGACTCTGGGAGGCCACCTTATCTCGAGAAGGGCGAAAGAAATCGCGAGAGTCGGAGGATTCTTCCAAGAACACTTCCCCTCCCCGCTCCATGTCCGACGGATTCGGGTCAAGCCCTGGCTGGAGGAGGGGTTTCCATACGATGCGCCGACTTGAGCACCCAGAGATGAGCGCTGTCGAACCTGGGCTCGAGTCTGGGCTTGCTGGCATGGGGGCTTCTTCTCCCCAAGGTGGTGCAGCGGCCGTTGCATCTCAATTAACACCGACATCTTTACTCCAGATCCTCTCCGAACTTCCAGCTGAGAGTGCACGTACGGAGCTTGGAAGTGGCCCAAATGATCAATCCTCCACCGTTTTCTTACGCCTCTTCTACAACAACCATGCGGCCCGGTATTCCGCAGAGGAAAGAGCCTCATTCAAACTGAAACTCTTTTCAATGGCCGTATCCAGGCAGCATTCAGCTTACAGCAAGGATTCCCTTTTTGGCGCATTCTCGGCTTTCCTCCGCGACGGGTATGACCTTCCAGACGACCTTGGATTCGATATTGTTTCTGCGCTTCTGACACCACAACCAGCAGAGACCGTTACCGAGGATTCCGCGTTCAGAACCTCTAATTCCGACATGGAGCTCGCTTTATCTGTTCTTGATCGTTTGAGTCTTCGCGGCGTGCCAATTTTGAATATGAGAGTGTTCAATATGCTCTACCAGGCAGTTGACGTGCCAGGCCCATCATCCCCCATTCCCAACCACTCGCATCCCACTGGAACCGCCCAAAATTCCTCCAAGGCTCAATCAAGCGAATTTCAGAACCAAATCCTTTCCCGGCTATCCAAACTTTTATCGGCCGCCAACGTTCCTTTTGTCGCAGAGGATGCTCGTCAGCTCATGGTCACCCTCTTTCGTCACGGAGACTATGACGGGTTCTGGCGGCTGTGGCGCCAGTTTCCCTTGAAGGGTGTGAATCGCACCCAGGACGACTATATGAACTTGTTCCAGTTGCATGCCGAGCTAGGTGAGGAACGACGGGCCCGCGAATGCATCTCAACGGGGGTATCCTTGATGAACCAAGAGTCCCCTGCTATCGAGCTACAAGGCCCGATAGTTACCGCCATCATGCATTGTATCTTGGTTGCAGATCCAAACCTTCAAGACCGCGATGAAGAAGCTCCCCCGAGTTTCTACCTCCCGCTGTGGACTAAGTGTCAAGAAGCACTTGGAAAAGGAGCGTGAGTGGTGGAATTGTAAATTAAGCAGATACATATATATCTCTCACTGTACAATAACAGCATTGAATAATAAATCAAATGTTCACCCAGTACTCCTAAGTAGTTGCATGCGGTCTAGATAGGCACCGAGGTCGGGGTGTAGTCAGCTCTTGAGCCTCGGCAGACGATCACTTCCGGCCCTCTCCTCTTCCCTTCAACCACCCGTGACTGCGAATGATGACTGACACTCACGATGGAATACCTACCTAGCCTTCAACAAGAGTTCGATGAGAACAAGCCGTCGCTCTTCGGTAAGTCGATGGAAGCTCGTCAATGCTTCCCCGCGGAGACTATGGGGCTCCCCGGACTTGAGGCCATCCCAAGTATTAATCACTGACTGAGATCGCATTTGACAGAACTCCTTGCTGAACAACAATTATCTGATCTTCTCCCGCCATCTATACGTTATCTTCTCGCAGTCGCGACACACCGCCACCCGCGCTATCTCCTCCGCATCCTCAATTCATATGACGAAGTTTACGCCCTCATCTCTCTAATAGTCGAACGTTACTACCTTCAAACGTTCGGCGGATCATTCACCGAGAACTTCTATTCTCTGAAACGCGAACGCGTCCTCAAAACCAAGAATGGTGAGATTCCGCGCGCCCAGGTCGGCGCCGCTGGGCCTGTCCGCGACGCCCTCAAATTACATTCGACGGATATCTGGAAGAACCTGCTGGTCATGGTTGGCATCCCCTATCTGAAGCGCAAGCTCGATGAAGGATATGACATCCATGCCGCACCACAAGCGTCTCTCGTCATGGGCGACGGTCCCCGATATAATCCCAACGACGACCTGCCGGCCAACCCGTCGTTGCGCCAGCGTCTCTTGCACTACTACAAGTGGTTCCTGCGGAAGGTCTACCCTTCCGTTAATGCAGCATATTACTTCTCCGTGCTGGCGTTCAACCTCGCCTACCTCTTCGATAACACAAAGTACTCCTCTCCGTTCTTGTGGCTCATTGGCACGCGCATTCGCCGACTCGGCGCCGCAGACCATCGAGCCATCGCTGCAGTCCTAGACCCCAAGCCAGGACCTGGTGCTGGGCGATCTCAACGACCGGGCGGGGGCTTGCTGGGTCTTCTGAGTCCACAGAACCTACACACGCAGATGCTCACATCGCTGCGATACTTCCTCCCCGCTTCAATCTTCGCCCTCAAATTCCTGGAGTGGTGGCACGCAAGTGATTTCTCGCGGCAGCTTGCGCGCAAAGCAACAGAGGTGCTAGATCTTCCGGCACCCGTTGTAGCTGGCCTCATGTCTCCCGCGGAACGACAGAAATCTTCCCTCCAGGACGAGAAAGACAAGGCCAAGAAGCAGGAACAGGAGAAGAAGAGCGGCGAACTGAAGCCGGCCCTCAAGTCTTCTCGTCGTCATCAGCCTCCCATCTCCGCGACTTCATATCTCCCCATTTACACGGTGTCTCTGCCCCCAGCTGATTCTTCAAGTGCGAATACGTGTCCTGTCTGCATGGGCCCTCTCGCTAACCCGACTGCTTGTCAGACGGGATATGTATTCTGCTACGTTTGTATTTTCCATTGGCTGAACGGTGAACACCAGCGCCAATTGGATTTCATGGACGGCGATGGCGCTGGCGCACCATGGGAAGAAGAGATCAACGGCGAAGAGGAGGAGAAAGGAGGCGAAGATGGCGAAAAAGGCACGCGCAAACGCTCTGGGAAGTGGGAGAGTGGGAAGGGTCGATGCCCTGTTACAGGAAGAAGAGTGCTTGGGGGCACTGATGGGTTGAGGAGGGTTTTGATTTGATCTATATCCCCTCTCGTTTTGTATAGCAGGCTTTCTTGACTTCGAGTACATATGTAACTGTGGACGAGGTGGTCCCGAGTCGATATGAAACAATAGATATCCCATTTGACGACCTGTCTGAAATCAAACAACGAAGATACTACCAACCACTTCTGAAAGGAGATTGGAACGACATCCTAGACTAGCTAGAACAAAGTATGTGAAGGTCGCAATACTACTCTCTACTAGCTGTACGAGGGAAAGAATATACAGCAACCAGGGTGAATGGTCAATGCCACCAGGACGTAAAATATGAATCTCAATTCCGATGCAATGAGCGCGCAACGAGCTCGCTAGGAAATGACATAAGGCTCAGCACCCTCCCCAAAGATCAAATGTGGTCTCTCAGCAGCAACCTTGAGGACAGTCTCGGCGAAAACCGAGTTCGCCCAAGCAAACCATGGACGAGTATAATCCTTGATGTTATTTACATCAATGGATTCATGCACAAGTCCAAGCAGACTTGAGTTCCGAACGAGGTTAAGGTTTCCAAGGATCTCGTCGTCATCGTTTGAAGTCATAGCCTGCACGAGCAAGGACATGGGCCAAGCGTTCTCAAGTCCAATATGGGGACCACCGATACCATGGAACTGCGACCCTTCCAGATAATAAGGATTGGATGCCTTGTCAGTGATCATCTTACGGGTGTTCTGGTAGACGGGGTCTGACTTGTCCAGAAAGCCGAGGTAGGGGAGGGAAAGCAAGGAGGGAATGTTGGCGTCGTCCATGAGAATGCGTGAGCCATACCCGTCGACCTCGAAGGCGTAGACATCACCGTATTTGGGATGTGAGACAATGGCATGATCGTGGATTGCCTTGGCAAGCTTGGTACCACGCTCCTGGAGATCGGCAGCTAGGTCGGCAGGTCCCCCAGCGGCTTTGATGACCTTTGCGGTCTTCCGAAGCTGCACTGACATTTGGGCATTCGGGGGAATGAAGAATCCTAGAATTGTGGCATCGTCGCTGGGACGGAAAGCACTGCGAATCAAACCAGTGTTGCTGTTAAGAGGATTACCCACGCCAGACAGACTGAGAGTCTCCGTGCCGATGTTTGTTTGACGCTGGAAGGTGTATTGATTGGTAACAAATTGGTTCTTCGGGTTGAATGTAGGCTTCGACTGTGCGTCGATGGTATTGAGCACAGTCTGTAACGCCTTGTACCACCTGTCCGTCAAGAACTCGGTTGAGCCAGTTTTCTCATAGAACTCTGTGCCCAACTGAAGGAAGTGAGCTAGGGAGTCCAATTCGTATTTGCACTCAAAGACGAAGGATGGGTTGTATGCAGGGTGCACAGTATCCTTCTGGGAGCTGTTCTCAGGTTTGACGCCGCTAGCTGATGGTGGCTGGAAGGCATTGCAGTAAGGCGATTGAATCACAAATTCGGACTGAGTGTTGATAGCACCGAGGATCAGCGAGTAGATACTCTTATCTTTGGCGGCGAGAGACTGGTAGTTGACGAGTTGGTTGGTTGAATCACGCAGCCATTCGGCATTGATGTCGCCCGTGACAATGAATGTCTGTACACCAGACCATTGCGGACCATCTCTTTTGCTCTTTGCGCCGTTTGACGTCGACGCATTCTGGTGCCACCGAATTGTGGTGTCAAGAGTATTAGGAAAGGCATTGCGGAACAACTGCGCGAGGTCTTTGTCCACCAGACGCGAAGTTATATCGTCAATCACCTTTTCGACAGCCGGAGACGAGAACGTCCGGCATGCTTCCGCTGGTCGTTGAAAGGGAAGGTTCAAGGGACCCCCGCTGTACGGCGCACTGAAGCTTTTGTTGACAACTGATCAGAGTCCACTGAGGGCAGACTCACTGTGGTGTTGATGCATAGGAAGTATAGTCCGGGCAAGCTCGTCGCACGATGGCTGATTCGTCTCTGCCAGGAAGGGCGCTAGCCTGCATACCCAGCAGGGCAATCGCAAGAACCGTGGAAAGTACCATGATGGATGTAAAGTGAGAAATTAAATCACAGAAAGGAATGCAATAAATAGAGAGCGTCTATCATTGCCCAACAGGGACTGTATATACCGCGATGTCGCAGTCGGAGAAGAGAGCGAAGGTGAGGTGACATCGGTCTTTCCCCACAGATCGGCGCGGTATTTCCGTCTGGGGTTGTATACACTACAGAGCATACTTAAGTACTAGGCCTGTTTACAATGAGGGTTTGAATGTACAAAATAATTAGAAAAAGATACAAGACCATTGGGAAGACTGTTACATTTAGAATGGACTAATCTATGACTGTGTGTACTTCATGGAGAATCAATACGGAGGTTATAACCCCCGTAGAGTCATTATATTGAACTATTATTCGATGAGCTAGACACGAAGCTGTGATCACTTCTTTCCAAAGAACGACATAATGTTGCCCTGGCCTTGTCCCTGGGGTTTACCGGCCTTGGCCTTGGGAACATTGACCGCTGGTTTCTTTGGTGCCGGCTCATCTTCAGAGAAAGTCTCCCATGTCGGCTCTTCCCGAGTTACTGCATTGGATTAGTACATCTCTTTAGATATCTGAGCGGGAGGCACGGACCTAGGAATCCTTCTTCGTCTTTGACTGTAGTTTTCTTCATGACTTGACGCTTGCCGCGTCGCCTACCGCCGTTGACGGTCACCTCTTCTTTGAGTTCTGCTGGCTTGATTGGGGGCGGTGCTTCCACAGGGGTTAGCTCCCGTGTGGGCTCTTCGTCGACATCAGGCATTTCTTCGTCTGCATCCAGATGTGAGCTTCTTGTTCAATGATGGAGGTATAGAAAGGAATGAGTAATACCATCTGCTTCGTCATCGTCCATCATTTTCTTGAGCCTTTCCTCTCGCTCTTTCCTGCTTTCGCGGTTGGCTGCAGCTGCCTTCTCGGTGCTGTCAGGAAATAGTTCCTCGGCTTCTCCTTCAGAGGCATCGTCAAGAACCATATCTTGCGCCGCCGGCTCAGGTGCGGCCGGAGCCTTGGTCTTGGGCTTTGCTTTGGCGAAGGAGCTGAAGAGACTGCCCTTCTTCGAAGGGGCAGGTTTACTAGAGGCCTTTGAGGAAGCCTGGGAGACAGGAGCAGATGCTGATTGGGACTTCGATTCATCGGGCTTGCTAGCCTCTGCCTTCGCAGGGGGTGCTTCTTTTTGCAATGGTCGTTTGGCAGGCACTGTCGACTCGGTGGAGGATTTGGGCTTAACAGCTGGCGCTTTCGCAGCTGGAGCTTTCGCCGCTGGAGCCGGGGGTGGGCGTGGGCCGGTCCTCCGCTATTTATCATATTTTAGACCACAACCATACTTCAAGCTCACAGCAACTTACCTTGACGTTATGGTTTTGAATCATACCCCATTGTTTCCCGCACTCCAATGGATCATCCTGCGCATGTGTACTAGCATTCTCCCGGCTGGCGTCAACCAGCACATTCAAGTCCGGTAAGGTTGAGGGCTCAAGACTGTAAACATGGATGAAAGATATCGACTGGAATGTTGCCTTGGCATCTGTTTTTGCTTCAGTCAGTCATGGGTCCACCAAGAGGTACAGACTAGCCAACCTTCTAAATCCTCCTCGCGCACCACGACAATAGAAGCAGTGAGGACTGAGTCCAAGGTTTCACCCTGGTTTGGCATTGAGCTGGGAAGGTAAGGACTACTGGCCATCACTTCATCCTCATCGTTCCCATTGTCATTTGTAGGTGCTGGCTCGGGGGTCTTTTGGATGCCAGAAATGACGTAAGTTGCGTGGACAGTTGCCGGCTTTTTCGCATTCTCGTTGCGATGAAACTCGTAAAGTATTCTATATCCTGAGGTGTTAGTGTCAATTTCAATTTGCGATTTGTGCTGCTGGTGCCGTACTGTTTGGCTCGGTTGGCGTGGACTTTGAGCGCGCGACTCAATGCCCGATAAGTGATCTAATCCCAGTGAGCAGGTGCGACGAGAAAAGGAGAAGTGAGATTCTCACAGGCCGACGCTCATTGAGAACGTTCTCTGCCAGGTACAGCTTCGAATCCATAGTTGCTGTGACAAGCTTGAAAGCCGCTACGCGTTGCTTGACCACTTTACGCGTATCAGTCAGCGGGTCTTGGCACCTGCGCATCTCAGCATTACGGGACTGACTCTCACTCTCACTTTCCCTCTCGTGTTATCACCGGCCCCCGGTCAAAGAATATAGATTCAACCGGCTGGAAGCTGAAATTAACAATGGATGCTCCTGGTGATATCTCAGACCCGACCCAATGGCTGGAGACACCACTTTCGCTACTTGCGCCGCTCGAATCAGCCCTCCGATGTCAAGTTTGCAAAGAGTTCTTCGATAACCCGGTCATTACTTCTTGCTGCCATACATTCTGCTCCTTGTGTATCCGCCGATGTCTGAGTGCGGATGGGAAATGTCCAGCGTGTCGAGCCCAGGACCAAGAGCTCAAACTACGTCGCAATTGGGCTGTTCAGGAACTAGTCGACGCGTTCCAAACGGCACGGCCGAGGGTACTCGAATTTTCCATGGAAACCGCGCGACAAGCCCAAGCGGAGAATAGAGAGGAGCCTGTTCACAAAAAGCGAAAAGTCGCACCGGTCGAAGAGGATATCCAGGTACCAGAGCCCAGCTCCGAAGGGCGACGCACGCGCTCCCAACGACACCACCCACAACCGGAAGAGCATCCTGCTATCGAGAATCCCCAAATCATTGAAGATAGTCAAGATGAGGAGGAGTATATTCCTGGTATGTCGCTCCAAGATTAACGGTCCTAATACTGGTCTAACCGCTCCCAGAGGACGGGTTGGTTGCTTGCCCCATATGTAATCGCAAAATGAAGGAAGAGGCAGTGTTCTCCCACCTCAACATCCACCAAGGGGACGAGTCACCGAAAAAGCCTCAGTCAACTTCTTCATCTTTCGGGTATGTATTGAATTGTATCATATGTGAAATTGCGCTAATTACATCCTAATAACAGGCCATTAAGAGCCCCTCAAAAAGGCCTAGTATTCTCTGGCAAACCACCCGAGCGAATCCCCGCCATCAACTACTCCATATTGAAAGAAAACGCACTGCGAAAGAAACTCTCAGACCTGGGAATCCCGAATTGGGGCCCGAAACAGCTGTTGCACAAACGCCATACAGAATGGATGAACCTCTGGAACGCAAATTGTGACTCTAAGATCCCCAAATCTAAGCGGGAACTGCTTCAGGAGTTGGATATCTGGGAACGCACCCAAGGAGGACTTGCGACGGGGCCCTCTCCCTTTGTGTCATCTACCAATGTCATGCGTAAAGATTTCGATGCAAAAGAATGGTCATCTAGCCATGACGATGACTTCAGGCGCTTGATTGTCAATGCGCGCAAGAAGGTCGGAGCAAAAATGGCACCCGCCACCGAAACAGCACCAACCCCATCTGAGCCACCGGCGAATGGCAGTTTAGTCGAACCCATTATCGACGCCGACGCCGATCATGTTATTGACTTGTCTGGGTGAACCAAGACAAGGCCAATGAAAGTCAACCCCATATATCAAATAGTGCGATATGCATTCGCAATGTTTGTCTCCAGGGAATGATCTTTACTTTGCTGGCATCGGATCCTCGACAGACATGTTGGAGAGCCGATCAATATTGTCGGCCAGTGCCGAGTCCACATTTTGATCTGCCTGTGCCTGGCGAGCAGCTTCGGCAGAAGCTTGCTTGACGCTGTCCAGTTCGGCCAGCCTTTTCTCGATGGCCCCAGCTTCTTCCCTCTCCCTGGCCTCTTTGTCGCTCTTCTCCATAGCTGCAAGCTCGTCGTCAATCTCTCCCTCATCAATGACTGGACCAGCCTCATTCATGATACTGCCGACCTCATCCACCTTGGTCATCTCTTCGCGTAATCCTTCCACGATGTCCTCGACCCTTTCGGCACCGCCAATCTGAGTGTGCAGACCACGGAGCACGTCAGTACTTGCTTGCATGACTTGTACCATGTTCACTTGGCCTGTGGCTTGTTCGATCTTGGCGTAGACTTCTTCAAGTCGCATCAAGGTGTCGAATCTCTGCTGGAGGTTATGTTCGGCCATCTTTTTGGAGCGAATGGCCGATAGGGCGGAGATGCGGTTCTTGTTCGCAAGGGCCGCCTTCGCAGATTCGTTAAGCTCGGCAATCTTAGCCTCCAGAGTTGCAACCTGCTTCGACATGGTCGACACTAAGGTCTTGATGGATGCGATCGTCGTGTCCTGTTGTGTGATTTCTCCATTTTCATCTGGAGACTTGAACTTGATAGTCTGGTCATCGTCAGCCAGTCTCCCAAGAAGAATATAAAATATTTAACAAACCTTGCCATCGTATGCGATAGACCCACTGTCGCGAGACAAATAGATTAATAGGACCTCAAGATCCGAATCAGACAATTCCGTGGTGTCGTTCAATATATTAGAGAACTCCTCCGAAAATTGTTCCTTGGAGAGAATGAGATCCAACTTCGATGAAGTCCCGCCTGTGGCTTTCTTGAGAGTTCGGTCCGCCGTTTCTTGTAGATTCTCGACCAAAACCAACTCCCGCACTTGCAATTTGGGTGCCGAATCGCTTTCCGCTACCACGAAGCCCTTCAACTGCCGGACGCCCCAACTCATGACGTTCCACGGACTCAAAGCCCCAGGATCGATGACTCTCCATTGGCTCTTCTTCTGCAGAAGTCCAGGAGTGGTCTTGTAAATCGTTATCGGGATCATTGAATTCTTGCGCACCGCCTCGTCCTAAAGAATCGACATTAGCTCCTGTCATACCAATATACTCAGGGCCCTCCTCATGGTGAACATCTCGTAGACATACAAAAACGGTCCCCAGCGCAGCGGGTCTTCCCCACTCAGAACTCTCTAGATCACGGAGGAGCGAATCATCCGTCCTCAGAATAAGATGATCTGTCTTCTTTCGCTTGATAGGCGTAGTGCCATTTTTCGAACCGCTCGATGCGGAGCGTACTCGCACGCCGCGCGATGATGTGTAGCCGCGCTTTGCGGCTCGGTTCAAAGCCTGTTCCCATGCGGCAACGTTAACAGCGTAGCCATCGGGGTTTGTTTTCTTCTGGGGTGTGAAATCGGAATACAAAGAGGGTAGGCGGTTTCTATATTGGATATCAACGTTAGTACGACTGTGTCGCTCTAACTGACTCGTTGATCGCTTCCAGATGCATCTGGAAGCTCATGACCAGTATTCACCTTCGAAATGCCTCCTCGTTGTTGAGGATGTATTTGAGAAGGTCGCTCATGGTGCGAGGGGGTATAGACCACGATCGAGGCGATACTCTCAGGGGGACAGAGTTAGGTTGTATTGGATTCCCAAACAAAGACCATATGAGATATGAGGGGATCGTCTGCGCTCCACTGTCGCTCCGTCAACAGCTTTATCGATAAGCACACGGCACACGTGACTATAAATTTGGAGATTCGACGTGAGATGGAACAGTGATTTGTATTTAAATGCAGCTTCTGGGTTTGTGGAAGCAATGTAGTTGTCATTTGGGGATGTTTGCAAATTTCAAAATAAACTTTGTCTATATACATTTCAAAGGTTTGGTCTTGTAAATCGACATCAATTCTTCCATGTTTCAGAGGCATCAATCATATAGAAATTTGAGCTCTGAATCTGCCTTTATCAGCTCCTCCAGCTCCTCTTGCATAGCCAGCTTTGCCTGCAGCTGATCAGGCTCCGGAGCATCAGACGCAATAGGAACAGGGTTTTGCAAAACGTGCTTAAGCAGCTTCATCGTTTGCTGCAATTCGCCCTTCAAGATGGCTAGTTGAGGAGCCAATTCCTTGTTATCATCGGCAGCAATGTGAAGCCAACAAGAACTCAAACCACTCAAAATCTCACCCCGCCAGCGCCAGATGCGTGGATGGGCATTTCGAATAACTGCCTGCGTGGCTTCGGTTGCTGCGTAGAGCAATGGAGGATAAGCGGTCCCGAAGGGATTTGAAAGAGTAGTATAAAGAGCAGGGACAAGCTCTTGAAGATACTTCGTAGCGTGGATACCAAGCTCATTGACGAAGATGGCGATGTTTGTGAGAAGGAAGGCCGAGAGGCGAGGGAATGGGAAAGAGGCAGTCGTTGAACCAGAAGCTGGAGTGCTGGAACTGACGTGGTGGAAAGAGGATATGAGGTTTGATCGGAGATAGTGAGCGAGTCTGTTCGTGTAGACTTCTCGATCCTGCTCGGGTTGGAGTTTGTTTTTGTAGGCTGTTTGGAGGGTTTTGAGAAGTGCTGGATATGCCGCCGCTAGAAGCTTAAGAGATCTATCCTCCGGGGTGATGGTGGGAATAGATAGAAGACATGGGGTAACGGCATCTTCAAAGACAGACGTGAGATTGGTACGCCGCAGAATGTCAGATCCACTTTCTTGAATAGCTTGCAGCAGCTGGCTGAGAACAAGACATCCTTCTGTCTTGAAGGGGAGGTTATTGTCATCAATCATTGCCAACACGGTTGGCACAAAGAGAGGGAAATGTGCTTCAAATTGTGTTTTGCCCTCGGGCTGTCAGGGTCAGCATTGTATCAAATGAGCACGTCTTTCTGGAGGGGCTTACATCGTATTGCGAGAGAGTCCACGACAACGCAGAGGCAACGTAGATATCGGTAGTCTTCCAAGGTTTTACAGATTCGTCCAAACCATTTGAACCGAAGCGAGGTAGATTCTGAGGATGGAAGTTCTTGCGACCTGCACTGGTGATGGCTGGGTTCCTCTGTTTTGCAAACAGAGGCCTAATCTTTTCCTTGAGCATGATATCGACAGCAGGCCAGAATGTTCCATGTTTGCGACTAATATCAGCCCATATGTCTAATAATTTTGATGACGTCTCATGGCTTTGTGACGTAACCCATGGATTTGTTTTGGTGGTGAAAGATGCCCCAGCGAGGAGGACATCTGCCACAATGTCAGGGCTGGGTTTGGACAAGCTGGGCAAGATTTTGCTCAGCGCCAGAAGTAGCTCTATGGCCAACTCTGACCTGAATTGGCTATCAATCTGGCATTGGATGATTTCTGGTTGGCACATTAAAAACGGCCGTTCATGGGAATTCTTAGGGGGCCTACCGTCTGAGAGACCCGCTGTTTCATCAAAATCACTTGCGAATTCAGATGAGGGTAGAGTTGTATTGCTGGCCCAGTTGAGCAAGTTGTACACAGCCTTGTTTTCATTCGGACTCAATGCTCGAGGGCCTGCATCATTCGGCAGTAGAAAGTCCCAATGCCCGATGAAGCCTGCCGCTAATAGCAGGCTTTCGCATATCTGTGGAATTAGCAACGCTAGCTCTTGTTTGCTAGAAGAAACTTACTTTAGAGTGGGTAGAATGATCTTGAGAGTCAATATCCTGCCATAGTTGTTCGAGTTGACACTTGGCGGCAGTCTCAGCGTAGGGGAGGGAACCCTGGGGCACTTTGCCGGGAGTTTGCGCCAGAATGTCACGGACTCTGCGCAATTCATCCATGATTTATTGTGATATATGAGAAGAAGAAGAATTAAGATATGTTGTGAAATTCCAGGACTGTGTCCGGAGTAGATTCGGTGGGTTTTCCCCGTTTGTCTAGTTTGTCTTCACAACCCCAATTCTGTTCGTCGGCTTCCGATCTCTTCCAGCGCCTTTTCCTTGTCGCTAATCTCGGGATGAAGCAGCTGCCATTCAAGACTCATATTGACTGCTTTGCCCATCCAGGGTCCCTTCTTGGCCCCAAGGCTTTTCATAATTTCATCACCATTTACGATTGGTCGGAGGTCGCACACATCCTCCAGGTCATTTTCTACGATGTACGCCAGGAATTGGTCATATTCTTGAGCCACTGTAATGCATGGTCAGATCTGAGAAAAATAGCGGGGAAAGGGGTATAAACTTACCTTCAGAGAAGTCGCGTTGTGCCATGACCTCTTGTAAGATAGCGAGAAGAACACAGAGTTTCCACTCTTTGCTCCATGCTCGAATTAGCAGCCCAATTCTCTGTCGGATTTCTGCAGGTGTCCCAGGGAGGGTCTTGGCCAGAAGTGCCGTTTTGGTTTCAATGATTTCTTCGTAATGCTGCGACGCAGCGCGTAGCGCAGTGAGTGTTTTGTTGTCGGTGCGGAGACTGTCTCTGCCGACCTCAACGGCGCGTGGGGGTAGTGGTCTCCCTTTGGGGCCTTGCGTGGGACGTGTGGGGATCGAAGACCAAGGAGCAAATGTCGCGACCATCCAGGCGTAATATACAGTCGATTGATCACGGAACAGGATTTCGCGGATTCGCTTGGAAGCAGCCTGGCCGTTGCTAGAATCCGAGCGGAGCAACCGTGCCAATGAGTTGTAGACAAGCGGCCATGTAGAAGTATCGGCCTTGACATCATCCTGATGGTTGGCGAAGATGGTGTGATACAGGTTCAGACGGTCTATGAATTCCAATGCACCGCATGGATCAGGACCTGCCGAACAATGGGTTAGATGGTTGCACTAGGTACTCGTCAAGCGCGGATATCTTACCACGCAACATCTTCTCTAGCTCCGTCCCCACACGTTCCTTACTGATCTTGAGCTTAAGCGCTTCGCCGATGTCCTCGATCTGCATTGCCGCTTCTGTTTCTGATTCAATCAGGTATCCCAGTCTGCTCGCGAATCGGATCAACCGCAGGACACGCAGGGGGTCGTCTTTGAATGTTTGGTAGGGCTCCATTGGACATCGAATGATCCGCTGCTTCATGTCATCCAGACCGCGCTCTGTAAGATCCTCCAAGCGTGACTCGTTAAGATTGTAGAAAAGCGCATTGATAGTCGCATCCCGCCTTAAAGCGTCTTCGACGGCAGTTCCGAATTCCATCTGGGGATTTCGACTGTCATCTGTGTATGTTTCCTTCCTGAGGTTGACTAAATCAATGTCCAGCCCAAAGATTTTCGTTGTGACGGTTTCCAAGTGCTTGGACTTTTCCGGGTTTGCTTCGATTTTGTGAAGGCTCACGATAGCATCATGCATTTCCCCATTTGGAAGGCTTTGCCTGTATTTCTCGAGGCGCTCCGGGACATCGAGGAACTCTTTGAGAGCCATCCCGAACTGGTATCCCGTCATATTGCTGATACCGACGTCGATGTCATTGCTCCCGATTCCAAGCAGCTTGTCCCTCACCCAGCCTCCTGTGAATCGCAGGATGGTTTTAGAGGAATCCTGCACATGGCTTTCTTTGTTCTCGGTCTTTTGCTCGTTGATGTATTGGGCAACATCAAGAAGAAGGGTTCGCAGAGTACTCTCAATGGGAGTGAGCTCAATGGTTGGACCGGCGGGAGTCATGATTGTATGTAAGTTCGTCCGCACCGGTGAAGAGATGCGCCGCCGTTTGCTAACTCGTTCAGAGAGATCTGGGTCTGATTCGGGGTTGCGCATGGAAGAACGGTAAGGTATGTAGGGTCGGAGGGGCAGGTCTTGTTGAATCGATCTTTGGCTTGCTCTTTTCGCTAGAGTGCGGGCAAGTGGAGCTTTAGTTGAAGAAAGACCAGAGGTCTCTAAGAAACACCTGACAAGGCGCAACCACATTGAAACATAATTGCGAACATCGAATACTTTCCTGGTGAGTCAAACTGATTGTCGATAAGGCCCTCACGTGGTCTGCATCACCGGCGATGCGCCTTGCTCTCCGTACCTGATTACATTTGACCAACAAGACACCTGGGCAGTATTCAGTACTTCGTGACTCCAACACCTTACTCAATCTGAGCCCAACTGGTCTGCTGCCTTATTTCGCGGTGTGCTTATCGGCCCGAATCATTCGACTTGGCTTTCTCCCCCAACAACACTCTGGAACGCCGACATCCCCACTCGCATTACTCCGTACAACTCCCCGATCTCATCTACCAGTCGATGGGGCCTATCGATCAACTTTACTCGCTCTAAATTTGCATAAGGCAGCAGGTGTCCGCCCATGACATCGCCCGGAGATGCTGCTCCGGTCAAACCTCCGCCGTCCTTCTCCCCCGGCGTTGCGCGAGTCGCATCTACTTCGCCATCGCGATACCCAGGGGAGCAGGAACCGCCGCAATCCCTAGATGCCGACCTCACAGAAACTCCCACGGCCACCTCTCCAGGTCCGCTCTCGTCCACGATTGCCGACTTACCGCTACGGCCTGGCTCGACACACTCACGCTCTGGGAGATCTTCAACCCCGCAATTAGCAAGATCATCAGTCGGATCGCCTTTAGATGGACGTTTTGATGGCTCCGAGGATATTAGGTCGTTAATTATCCGGTCATTCTCGCCAACTGTCGCGGTCCATGCATCCGAGGACACCGATGATTTGGTCAGAAATAAGGGGTTCAAAGGGGGATTCTGGGAGTTGATCCGGCCCTTTGGAGAAACAGTCCCCGGAAAGGTGGTCATTCGGGACAGTATTGGCTCAAGTCGCGCCTGGGAAGATTATGGAGTTCGCTTTGTCGATTTCAAAGGGATCGGCAGGGCCCCAACGGGCCGAGAATCGGGATCTCTGGCGCAGATGGAGGAGGTGCTATCAAAACATCTGGAATCATCAGAAGGATTGCTGGGGGCCTCAGTACGGACAAGGGACGTCCTGGGATATCCTGCGACAACGCCATTATGCAAGCTGTTCCTTCAACAACTGCTATGTTCAGCCCCCGCAGCGCCTCACGAAACATTTGGCCACCCAGTAGCCAATGTTATAGTAATCAGCTCGCGCAATCCAGCTCCTCTGGAGACACTGAGACAACTCTATGCCGACACTACCACAGGCGACAAGCATCCACCCGAGTGGGTCAACCAGGAGTACCTTCGATATTACGTTTTGGTTCATGACGAGGAGCGAGATGATATTGCGGAATCCACGAAGCTTTATGATCAGATGAAGCGGCACTTCGGGCTGCACTGCCATCTTCTCAGACTGCGGAGCAGCCAATGTGTGGTGACAGATGATGACAGCATGCAAGTTCCCCAGTGTGAATGGCTCTCCCCTTCAGAGCACCTTTCGGGGGCAGGAGAAGCAGGCAAGTATCTCCACAAGTGAATCTTTGGCCACGTTCTAACTTTTGGCTAGAAACCTTGGTTGATCTTGGCTCTGATGGTACCCCATACCTTTTCGACTCTGATGCCACTTCAATAAGAGCATTTATCAGGGAGCTGGTAGTGCAATCGGTGATACCATTTATGGAAAACAAAGTGGCAGTGTGGAATGACCAAGTTGCTTCCCGCAGGCGTGGCATAAGCGGCAGGTTCATGTCAATGTCACGGCGATGGGCCGGTTTTGGGTCAAGCTCACGTTCGAGCATTGCGGGCTCATCGGGAGGCAACAGCGGCAACTATGATGCGACCCAGCACTTTTACGGGCCGGACTCTCCAGAGGCTGTCTTGCGAAAGATGGCTGATTTTGCGTTCATGCTTCGTGACTGGAAACTTTCTACGTCTACATATGAGATGATACGGGCCGACTTTGGCAATGACAAGGCTTGGAAATATCATGCAGGTGCCCACGAGATGTGTGCTGTCAGCACGCTGTTAAACCCTCTGGCCACCTCAGCCAAAATCAAGCTCGACGGTGTCGACCAAATGTTCGAGACTGCTTGCTATTCCTATCTCACACGTTGTTCGGACGCACCACATGCTCTGCGTTGTCTTTCCCTGGCGGTTGAGCTTCTCAAGTCTCGTGGCGGCTCTGCCACCGAGAGCGCCGCCAAATGGGCCATGCGGGTCATGGACTTTGGCTTGGTTGGCTCGGTGGGTCAAATCTTGTACACGGAACGGGTGGCAGCCTGTTATGCCTGCAAAATACCAGCAGGCGCAGCAAAATGGGGTGGTCGACGGAGAAAGGCTGGGATGTGGAGCATCCTCGCGGCCGATCAGTGGCTCAAAGCCGGCAAACCAACTCTGGCCTCAGCGTGCCTTGAAGAAGCTGAGCGTCTCTACGCAGATGTGCTTTCGGCTGATGGTGTCTTTCCGATGCCTGAAATGCAAAGCTTCATTGATAACCTGCGCCATGCCGTGAGGGTTGAATACCTTGAGGCCAGAGGGTTTGATGCCCGAGATGAACCAGCCGCCGCCGAAAATGTGGGCGCCGAGGAGACTAGTGAAAAGCTCGACAAGCGCAATCACCGGCGCTCTCTGATCGGGCTTCCTATGCAGCTGGATGCTGGAACCCTTAACATGACGCAGGGTCCTCGGGATACTGAGGTCCCTCCTAGTGATGATTTCGAACGAGCTTAACTCATGATGGCCTTAATATCTCGCCATAGCATATATCCATAGAATACACGCCTGATAAAACAGGGCATCAGGTTGCTGACCTATTCATTGCATAGATAATCTGGGCACTTAGGCATTGACCGGGGTTGCGGCAGGTTCAAATAATGAGACTTGTTTCGGAGACTACCTTACCTAGATCAACTTATTTTCTTTCTGTATATTCTCTTTCTCTATTCTGTTTTCTCGTGCCCCAAAGTTATACTTAAGTATAATTTAGCAGATCGCAGTACGAGTACGGAGTGTAGATCTTGGTCTTGGCATCTCGGCCGCTAGATCGACGTCATGTGGGGACCTGACAACTTCACATCGTTTCGCCAGCTTCGACAGCTGTTCTTCGGATTTCATCTATGGAAAATGGAGAGCTTTGATGATGTTCCTATCGCTGGACCAGTCATCCATGAGCCGTCGTTCCATAATGATCACCTACCACTCCAATCAAACCCGTCTGACGGTTCGGTCAAATCCGACCTCACTGTGACAGCAGCCTCTACCATAGCGCCTAGTGCCAAATCATCATCGCGAATAGAGCGCACCGACGACGGAAGACTGGCGGATGATACCTCTGGGGTATCGGAGTTTCCCCCCTTGCCCTACAACCCACAACTTGGACCCCATATCGAAGAAGAAGGGGACGGCGAGGATGAAGAGCCGCGAGTAGCGACATCCTTTGAGCGAGAGGCCTCGACAACATTAGCACAGAAACACCGATCTACCTCGGATCATCCAGAAGATGAAGGCATTAATCGCATGCATAAGTTTACGCTCTATGAAACTGCAACGCGATTCTATATGGTGGGTATCAATCTTGCTGAGACGCGGTTCCGAATTCTGAAGATCGACCGCACATCGGAGTCTGGTGAGCTGAGCATCACTGAGGATGACGTGGTGTACAGCAAGAGGGAGATGGTTCAGCTTTTGGATGCCATCGACGACGGAAACAAAAGCTCCGGCGGTTTGAACCAGAAATGCAGTGCCTGGGCTTTGCTTGGATTTATCAGATTGACCGGAGCATACTACATGCTACTCGTCACCAAAAGGAGCCAAGTTGCCATGGTTGGCGGTCACAACATCTACCAAATCGACGAAACAGAGTTGATTCCACTGACCACTGCGGAATCCTCACAATTCAAAGCCGAGAGTCATCCCGAGGAAGCCCGATATATCGCAATTCTGAACAACCTTGATTTATCGCGGTCTTTTTACTTCAGCTACTCTTACGACATCACTCGCACACTCCAGCACAATATCTGTCGGGAACGAAAGGTCGATCAGCATGGACATCCACGGCCCCCTTCGCAAGACTATCACTCGATGTTCATTTGGAATCATCATCTCCTGACACCGACATATGAAGCCATCAAAAACCCTTTCGAGTGGTGCCTTCCCATCATTCACGGATATGTGGACCAAGCAAAGATGAGTGTGTATGGCCGATTGGTGTACATCACGATAATTGCGCGTCGATCTCGTTATTTCGCGGGCGCCCGTTTTCTCAAACGAGGTGCAAATGACTTGGGATATGTCGCCAATGACGTGGAGACCGAACAAATTGTCTGCGAACAGATAACGACCTCATTCCATTCGGCTGGGCCTGCACTTCACGCAAACCCTCATTACACCTCTTTTGTTCAACACCGTGGCAGCATACCTCTCCATTGGACCCAGGAGAGCACGGGCGTATCACCGAAGCCGGCCATTGAGCTTAATCTCGTCGATCCATTCTATTCGGCTGCAGCTTTGCATTTCGACAATCTCTTCGCAAGATATGGAGCTCCAATCTATATCCTGAACTTGGTGAAGTCCAGAGAACGAACCCCGAGAGAATCGATTCTTCTCAAAGAGTTCACGGATGCTGTGACCTACTTGAACCAATTTCTTCCCGAGGACAAAAAGCTCATTTACCAAGCATGGGACATGAGCCGCGCATCCAAAAGCCGAGACCAGGATGTGATTGAAATCTTGGAAGATATCGCAGGGGATATCATTCCTAAAGTTGGGTTCTTCAAGAATGGAAATGATCCCGAGTCCGGCCTGCGACTGCAGAACGGCGTCGCGAGAACCAACTGCATTGATTGCCTCGACCGAACTAACGCCGCCCAGTTTGTCATTGGTAAAAGGGCACTTGGATATCAACTTCATGCTCTTGGAATCATAGACAAGACAACGGTTGAGTATGACACAGATGCTGTTAACCTTTTTACGAACATGTGGCATGATCATGGAGACAGTATCGCCATCCAATATGGTGGATCCCATCTCGTCAACACCATGGCTACGTACCGCAAGATCAATCAGTGGAGTAGCCAATCTCGTGATATGGTGGAAAGCTTTAAGCGATTCTACAACAATTCCTTCTTGGACGCACAGCGTCAAGAGGCATATAACCTCTTCCTCGGAAACTACATCTTTACGCAAGGCACTCCGATGCTCTGGGATCTACCTTCTGATTACTACCTACATCACACCAATCCCAAAGCGCACTCGGAAAGGAAACGACCTAGCTACATCTCTTGGTACACACCAGAGCATTTGAAAGAGCGAGAGATGCCCCCGCTCCCATTCCACCCCAAAGAACCACTCTCACACTTTGACGATTATTGGTTGGAATATTACCGACCGCTTGCTCTTTCGTCACTTTCCAAGATTTTCTCTTGGAAGATGAACTCCACGTCCCGTTATCTACCCCCAGTTCGCCCCGGACATCCGGTTCCTGATCTGAGCCCCTTCTTCCCACGCATTCCTCAAGAACAGATCCAACGCGAGCGTGCCCCCCAGCGTAGTGTCAAGATCCAGGAACCATCGAAGAGCCGCAGCCGAGCCTCATCGAGCACCACACCGATTGTCCCAGCCGAGCCAACCTGGGCCCATCAGCCTCCATCTTCCTCAAAGGTCCCTCCAGTCAGCGGTATTATCAAAGAGCCCACTTTTGAGTTCCACAAGACGACCAAAGTACCTCCTATCAATTCTCCCAGTACGTCAGGGACCCCCACTGCTACCAAAACCGAGATTGCCCAGTGGACCCTCGGTCAGCTCGTGAGCGATGCACTGAACCCGTCGGTCACCGAAGCCGAACAAGAAGAATACAAGCGGTATATCAATCACCCGCTTCAGGTCCCGCTAGTAGTCACCTCTGAAGATGAAATGACCGCCGCGTCACTGCAAGACAATGGATACAACGATTTCTTTGAATACGTGAACAAATGCAACGTGGAGGAATCGGTCCTTAAAGGGAATGCAGAGGGCAGTCTAGCTGACTACGCTGAATTCTTGAGTATCTCAGAGGAGGGACTTACGGTGTCCGGCGAGGACTTTGAGAAGAAGAGATATAAACGGTACCGCCAGTGGTTGCGTGGCAAGAGTCTCTTCAAGCAGCGTGTCGATGCATGAATTATGAATTTGTAACTTGAGCACTTAGCAGATTGTTGATACCCTCAATGCATTCTCTGTACTTTTAATTGGTTTACTTCTAAAAATTACTGTTCGTGTTCTGGTATGTAAGGCAGACTTGGCTACGGAGTATTTGAGATACAATTCCGCCACTAGGTTCTAAAGTTGTTCCATAATAGAAAACATACTGTACTACTCGACTATTTATAGTTACTGATATTCCAAAATATCTCCCATACAACTTCAGAAGTGAAGACACTACATCCCTGGCGGAGTAAAAACTGGGGTTCCCCACGCCGAACACTCCGGCCCGAACACTCCGGTTTGTCACATAGACCTTGACTCATCTACTTTTATTTAAAGATCGTATTTCTTGTGAATTCTATTAATCTCACATATTTAAGTCATTCCACCATGATCACCAACATCCATATTCCAGGCCTTGCAGGCGCCAATGCCTTCACACGCCCTCTCAACAAGGAAGACGTAGATATCTGCGTAAACGTCGAACAAGCCTTCACAGAAGCAGAGCGATGTTCGAAGGAGAAGGTATAAGATGAACACGAGAACCCACTATTGGTCTGAACTAATCCTACAATGCAGTTCTGTTACCGACTCAACGCATGTCCCGAGCTGTGTCTGGGCCTCTTCATTGAGAACGAAGATGGAACACCAGCTACGATGATTGGACATGTGATTGCTATCAGATCACCATATACCCGTGTGACAGACGGGTCCATGGAGATGCCCGAGAATTGGCGTTCGTTGCCGGATGATGAGCCGGTTTATGTGAACGAGGAGTTGATTGGAAATCACAAGTATGGTGATACTGTTGCCATTCATTCTGTGGCTATTTCACCCGATTTCCAGGGGAAGAGAGTTGGGAGGTCTTTAGTGAAGGCCTATACGGAGTATCTGGAGAGTGGATGCTTTGGGGCCAGTAGGGCTGTGCTCATAGCGCATGATTACTTGGTCAACTTTTATGAAAGTGTTGGATTCAAGAATCGGGGCCAAAGCAAGTCGACGTTTGCCGGAGGGGTGTGGTTTGATATGGTACAGTTCTTCCCTGGTCTCAATTCGTGGTGATTTGGTACTAATGCATATCATGACACAGGATTATGATCTCTGAATTGGGGTTCTTTGGCTGCAGAAAGTAGCTGAAATGACGAGGGAGGGCCGCTGTTTCCTAATAATATAGAATCAAAAGGAATCCTGCCATAGCATCAAACACAACAACGGACCCATTCTCACATTGCTCTATACTTAGCCATTCTCAGGCCCCATGCCCGGTGGCGATGGCTGAGGCTCAAGGCTTCGCCATTCTCGAAATCGAACTTTTCTTGTTGGTGATCCTTTGGAATCAGTATCTGATCCATCGGAATGTGTGTTCTTCTTTTCTGGTGTAGTCGGATCCGCGCGAAGGCGTAAAGGTTGCTCGGAGCATGTCGGAACAGTGCCGGGTTGCCACTCAAGGTCCATCAAGTCAACAAAAGAGACTTGCCCTGAAATACCATCCTCCAGAATGTTGCGCCAGGCTTGACTTGGAATGATTGCGCCATATTCAGTCAAAGCTTCAAACGCTGCTGCACCCTTGTCGATTGCGGATGGCCCCGACGTGGGAGCAGGATCATCATCCCCTTGAACCCGCCTACCAGCCCAGCCCAAGACCATAAAAGTCTGCAACCTCATCCCATAGCAGAAATAACCGGCCGTCCATTGAGGAGCCAACACAAACCCTCCTAGAAAGGCGGGAATATGTACTCCCTGTAGATCGGCCAGGTGCGGGTAGATGAATATTTCGTTGACGAGGCGATCCTGTGTTTCCTTTCTATTGAAGGAACCTTTGAGTATCACGGTGTATCCATGTGAGAGCAAAGTTGCCTTTATCATACATGCGGTTTGGCCTCGAATGTTTAAGCGCTCAAATGCATCGAACTGACGTTCTACGAGTTGTTGATGCAACCCCTTAACAATCTCCATTGATTGGAGTTGATGGCACATTTCACCATGTTTGCGGAAGTTCGGGCACTGGGGGTCCAAAGGACCTTTGTTCCTGGTACCCAGAAGACAGGCGGCAGTGCAATAGAGCACTTCATACAGTACCGGTTGAACTGGTGAGTCACTAACTGGGAGAAGGCTTTTGTTTTCAGGATAGTGTCGCAGAAATTGAGCATGCCATGGCTCAGACCAACAGGAGTCAAGGTATCCAAAGCCTAGCGGTGGATTGAAGCGGTTGTAATGATTGAAGATGACATTTTCGAGGACTTTCATGATGGTCGACTCACCCTCACAAAGCATACTACCATGGACCATTTCCTGCCAGCTGCGAGGAGAGGGAAAGAACGTTAACGCATGTAAAGTGAATGAAAGTACCTGACCCAGCGCTGTGCATCGAGTCCACTTGGAATTGTCAAGTCTCTGCTCAATGAGGACATCTTTTGACGGGACACAGAGGTAGTATTCGAGCACGACGGGATTGCCCTGTTCATGGAACTCCCGCACAATGCGACAAAAGACGTAGGCATCGCCCGTATTTATATATCCAAACCAGACCCCAGCATCGACCATGGAGCTAAACATCATGATAAGTGCGACCATAGTGATGCGCATGGAAACAGCCCCGAAATCATCAGTATCGTCAGAGGGAGGCACAAGCAACGGTCCCTGCTCCAGTCCAAAAGCAAGCTCTTTGACGGTCAGCATGTGCTTGGGAATGTCCAGCACGGTGTAAATTGGCTCTGTGATAGAACCGTGGGTGATGAAAGCAGTGCGGTTCTTAACTTCGTAGGAGAATTTCATCTTGCCTCTGATCTTAAACACGCGTTTCAGGAAATCATCGTCGCGCAGAAAGGAAACAAGTTCCATCACAGATTGGTCCAACGTTAGGGCTCGAGATTCCGTCAAATCTGACTTGCCCGACAGAAAAGTATTGTGTAGCGCTGCAAATCTGTCGTTCAGGAGTTTTTGCCCGGCAAAGATGCGTTTCTCGGTCAGACGAGGACAGCTGTCGATCTTGTCCCACATCTTAGCTTGGATTGTAGGAAAGGTTTTCCACATGTTAGCATGATGAAGAGTCCATCCACAGCTGCCAAGTCTGGAGAAGTCTACCCAGTCCAGAGATTTGGCATGCTGGGGGAGCTTGTAGAAAAGTCGATGGGCGGCTTCAAGATGTGGGATCAGTTGGAGTTTCTGGTTGTCTTTCGAAGACTGGACCACTGGCTGCCTGTGGGTATTGTCGTGTAGATTTGAAAGCATTTTTGTATAGAATGGAGAAGTGCAGTAGAGAGGTAGAGGATAAAGAGGATACAAACCATGGAGAGCTCACAGTGAAGAATGCGAGGCAAAATGGCAAGAAGCCCATCGAACCTGCCATTACTCGTAAACAATTGATCTGATTTACTTCAGTTACTTCAGTTTACTTAAGTAGACTTGGATATATCTCTGATATCATATTCTATCTCTTTCGTGTTGGTATTCAAAGGCTGACAGGAAACACCTTGTCTTTCGACAAAGCCCTAAGATCCAGTCCACTGACCAAACTCCCTCAACGCCTCACTCGAAATTCACTTCTTTGATGAAGACAAGGCCTTTCAAGGTGAGACAAAGTCAATTGATTCTTCCAAGAATACCTCCTTTGTGCCTTTTTTCAGTCTTTCATGCCCTTTGTCTCATAACTATAGCACAATGGCATTGGAAGCACAAAGAACCTTAAAGCCAAGCATGTACTTGAGCACCCTCAGTCCATGTACTTAAAGACCTAAATCCCCTTCGTCTTTAGAAGCATCAAATCCTCATTTATCACCAAACTCAGTATACTCCAACTTCAACAAAACTCCCCGCGCAACAAGATGCCTGAATCACCTATCCTCGTCGAAAGACAAGCCCGCGCTGATCTCGGCATCACTAACGATAACGATATGGCTGCTGTTCTCCGATGTATTCGGGTCGCCTACGCTCCTGTCATCAACGATCATCTTGCCAATGGGTTTACGGAAAGAACAAGTGGCTATTCCCCGAGATTCAGAAACAAATGCCAAGATGCATTGCGGGCCCAGATCCCGAACTTGCCAGAAGCTGTTCTTGCACATTCTAGAGCAAAGAACGGGGGAACTGTGAATGAGGATCGAGTGACGGATTATCTCCGCATTCTTCTCTGGTTAGTTCGTGCTAAAGATCCCAGTACCTACAATCCTATCGTTCCTATTACGGAAGTAAAAAGAGTATCCAGACCCCGAAAGAAGGCCCCAAAGTCCCCAAAGTCCCCAAAGTCCCCGAAGGTGGGGAATACCGGTCCACAAACACCTAACCCTGCCACTGCTCCTGCGCCTGCCCCTGTCCCTGCAGCCGAACCTGCAGCCGAACCTGCACTTGTACCTCCACCTGTCCTTGCCCCTGTTCCTGTTTCTGTTCCTGCTCCTGCAGTAGAAGTATCTTCTTCATCACTCACCACAGAACAGAAACCCGAGCCGAAGACCGGAAGCAAGCGAAAGACAGATGATACTGAAACCCCCCAGCCTACCTCGCCAGTCCAAAAGAAGCAAGCGGCAAGCGCAGAGAAATCACCTCCACCCAAGCGAAGAAGCCCACGGCTGAGCAAGAGCAAGACACCAGAGCCAGCCCCTAGCCAGCTACCCAAGCCACGAGCCATTCCCCTCGACACAGAAGGGAAACCAGTTTCGAATGAGACTCAGGCCGAGGATAACCAGTCGGAGACCAGCGGACGCCCTGTTCAGGTAGAGGCTGAAGCTGAGCCTCAAGCTCGAGTCGACGAGGCAGCAGGTGAGCAAGATGCCCAGACAGAGATCATGGATGATGATGATGAAGACCCTGAGAACCCCCACCAGAACACAGCGAAAGAGCTAATGGATATGATTGATCAAGCCAGGGAGTACGATGAGGCCAGCCACCGCAATGAGGATTTCGATATTCCGATGCCAGACGCACCAGACGCTCCGTACGCTGAAGATGACGATATCTCACAGTCTTCGAAACAGTCATTTTCTTTCTTTAATCTTTTCTAGGTGAGCATTGCAATGTCTCTTCTGGCGAGTGTATAGGACGAGAGGATGAAGAACAGTGAGAGAATGTGTTGATATAAAACAGGATAAAGAGTTGAGTTGAACCAATTTGGACAGTGCCTTCTTCCCGGACTTCTGCTTATTGTGGTGTGCTTTTTGTTATGATAGTTTATTCAATCCAGGCGTTTTCAAACAAACCTTCATTCTCGTACATCATTCCTATAAAAATTGATTGTAAATTCCTATATCATAAACCTAAGACATGACTTCGTCCACGGGTCATTATTGAAAGTCCCTCCAGATGCCAGAAGCCAAAACAAAGACCCTAGCAGAGAGCTATTTCAGCATCGACTGACTTGACCTATATGGGAGGCAAAGCATGATCCGAAGCTAAAAGCGACGGATGATCCGCAAGGTTATCCCAGAAGACAGTCTCAAAATCGCAAAGATCCTGGCTGAAGAAGGTATCCCAGTCCCCATTATCCACTGGATGCGAAGGTGACTGAGCAGGTACCTGAGAACTGTCACGGTGAACTGAATCCAGGAATCGCTCGATTGCCTGCGTAGCCTTTGATACCAAAGCATAATTTGGATCACCGCGTCGAACAATACTTCCGACTTGAACCTGCGCAACGAAAATACCAAGGTTCATGAGGGTTTTGGACCGGGATGCTCTCGCCTCGTTCAGCATGTGGCCTTGTTTCAACATTGAAAGAAGAATCACCCCTGCAGCGGGGAGACCATAGTGTGCGATCTGAACAGCCTGGTTAGTGACTCGAGAACTATACCCAAAATAGACACTGAACCTACCTTCCATACTAATGATGTTCCAGAGAACACCAGCTGGTCCCGCAAAAGGATTGTTTCGATTACAAGACCGAGCATTTGATCAGAAACATCTATTATGGATGCATCTGGCTCGGTCAGAGAGTCAATGAATGACAAGTGAAGCAAAAAGATGACGTGTAGCTGGTCTAGACGCATGCTTGCTAACATGTCACGCTTAAATGCGTCACCAGAGCATTCTTTCAAAGTAGACGACAATTTGAATTCCGAGGGAAGTTTTGCCCATTGAATCGCAGCCTTTTCGCGGACAGCACTGCAGAGATGAATGATGAGCAACTCTTCTCCATGGAATTTTGGGGCCAATTGAGCTTACTTCGCTTTCTGGCTGAAGTTTTCACGCTGCTTATCTCGAAGCAGCTCAAGAACATCTTCTTTGAGTGCTGAGCAGAGCGCAGCCCACCGGATCCCTGCCCTGTAGCAAAACGGGGTGTCTACCCGCCATGTAGTATGCCTATCCCAGGCATTTGTAACATTGACCAACTCAGAGTCTGGCGGATTCAACGGTATTTGGAAATGACAAAATCGCTTGCTCATGCGAGGGGGTCGGCCTAAAAAGATGGCCACATTCTTATCAGCAGAATAAGTTATGGCCCAGGCCGTTTTCCTCAATTCCGCCAGGAAGTTGGGAATGGGTGGTTTGCTTTTTTCGACATTTTCATGGTAACCAAGTGCAAACATGGATGACACAACGTTACCAAGTCTACTCCATGAATGGAAACCTGGATGGTCATGTCAGCCGACGATAACGAGTCCGAAGGGTTCGTACCTACTCTGATCCCCATCCACATGAGTGTGGATAATGAAATTCTCGTATTGTAAGACTAGTTGGATGTCGTTCAGACTATCCAAGGAGAGAGCTATATCCAGAGCAAGATCGCTGAGGTTTGTCGAGAGTTTCCGAAGAGTGAACTGTTCCTTTTCTGTCTTGTACAATGGCGGGAAGAAGGGAATAGCTATCGTCGCTCGAGTAACGGCGCAGAGAAATATTCCGAGACTTTCCCATCGGAAATTCTGATCGAGGAATTGAGCAGAGAACTCCGATATATCAGAGGTCGGGTTAATTTCCAGCGGCACTCGTGAGTTTTGCGTTAGGCGTTGGGCATATGCCAAGTGCCAGTTGTCTTCTTGTGAGAAGCTTGTGAACAGGCGCGTCATGTTCTCGGTGCACTTTTCGACAAAGGGCTCTGCTAGAGACATATTGGCACCAGTCTCCAGCCAGAACGTGACGAAGTCCTTCATCGCAGCCAGGGGAAATGTATTAAGCAACTGTCTGAGGACGTCGGCACCCTGGATCATCAAGATATTCTCGCCGGGCACCTGCGACTGCATTATTGTGGCCATATCTGGTTCGGCAGCATGAGTGTTCCCAGAGGTATGATATTCCTCGGGGGATATTTGATTGAAGATCGCGACATGGCTTGACGATCCTAGAAATCCCGGGTTTGGATAGGGATTCTTCCTTGGTGCGAATGACGGCGAGGCTCGAGCCGGCGATACCCGACTGCCCAGACCAATGAGTATACTCCACACGAATAGGAGATTTAGAAAGGGAGTATCTTCTACGTACCTGGGAGATGGCTGCACGGATGGGGTGGAACTCTCGGCTCTTTTCCTCTTGAAGGGAGTCGTTCGGTAGATGCAGATGCCTGCACGGTCATTACTTGCACATCTGGTACATGCTGGTCGCTTGTGATCACAGGCGACTTTCGATTTTCTGCAGGCCTCGCAAGCTGCCAGTCTTGAAGCCATTGTGTCGAGAGAGTTGCGTTCGGCGCGGAGCGGAGAACCGGGGTTTTCGGAGTAACACGACGGTCCGACTTAGTAGCACGGAGTACTCGGTGACCTACCGGATTTCCTCTGCCACTTCCTTCTTGGCTTTCTATTTCCGTTTTAGTGCTCACCTCTTGCCGCTTTTCGCTAAGTAAAACTGAGCACCAACACCGGGAAGCGGTGTGGGATAAAACAGCACGGGAAGAGATACCCGAAGGGTTGGGCTACAATCTAGGGACGGATCCGCCCCCAATCTGCCTTCCGAGGGTCTCAACCAGTTCCGCGGCTAAGGGCGTTTGGCCAAAAATCTTGGAAAATATATCCTTCCCTTGAGGCTTATCTCAACATCGAAGTGGATCAACTTTGAGCTTACCAACTCATATCATACATCCAGATGGTGAAGGGATCATGATGTTCGATGAAAACGCCAAAACACTTCGTGGGGTCCAAAACGCACACCTCTGTCTATCCCAGCCTCCTAAGACGGGCACCTAGGCGGGATTGTGATCAGGTACTTACTTGCCCCCTGCTCCGTAGCGTAATTTACAGTACCACGACCTCGGGAGTGAGGCGCCTATGGTGATTCGTTGATCTGAAGTTGTTGAAAAAAAAAAGCAAATATAAGCCTCACCAAACAGGTTCACAAGGCAATACTTAGGATATACTCGTAGACCTTCAGCCCCAGAGACAGGCCCAGCGTCCAGTTCGATCTAGGTGCTGCAAACCCCCGAACTAGTAATGCTCGCATAGATCTAACTAAAGATGTATACGCCCATGTTTCTAGCCTGTATCTATGTATTCCATATTGTTGTGTAGGGAGTTCGTCCCAACCCCCATTTGTAGATAGATCCGCTCCCCGCTTCCCCCCCCCCCCTCTGTTCCTGAAGTCTTCTCTCTCTCTCTCCCCCTCTCCAGAGAGAGTCAATACAACCGGTTCTGTCCGCATCTTCTTCTCTCTGGCCCCCTAGGCTTAACACATCAAAGAGCGAGCGGCCCTGCAATCCACGCATGCGATTGTGATTGATTTCTGATATTCCGCGATGGAGATGCAAGACAGGCAGGAATCGAGGGTGGAATTGCTCTCAGAAACACAAAAAGCACCGGGTCGATTTTCCTGGAGCTCCATCACTCTCGATACATGGATTCTTGAAACAGTATCACTGGTATTCAGTATCGCTTGCCTTATGTCCATTTACGGTATCCTTTTCGCATATAAAGGCAAACCGAGGCCAGAATTCTCTTACAATATCTCCTTGAACGCCATCGTTTCTGTGCTGGCAACTGCTTGCAAGTCTTCATTGATATTCGTGGTGGGAGCGGGGCTCAGTCAGTTGAAATGGGTGTGGTTTCAAAACCGTCGAAAGTTATCTTCCATTCAAGGTGAGCAATTGGATATGCCTATCTGGGGAAACTCCACACAAGGTCCCTACATTCTCTAATTTCTGAATCAGCCTTCGAGGATGCCAGCCGTGGACCAATGGGCTCGATTTGGCTATTATTTCGACACAAGGGCCGGTCAATAGCCTCGCTCGGTGCTATGATCCTGATATTGATGTTGGCGTTTGAACTCTTCGTGCAACAGATCCTGAACTATCCCACTGAACGTATTCGAATATCGACCGAAACGCCTGCAGCGGCTGCACCATAAGTACAATATTATGATCATTGGTTGACAACATATAACCTAACCAGTGCATACTATACGGGAATATGGACTAAAGATTTTAATCTCGAACCTACCTGTCCATTAGGTGACTGCACTTGGCTAAGTTATAAATCCTTTGGGTTTTGTAGCCAATGCTCCGATATCACATCTACTGCGACGTTGGACTGTGCTATGCTGTCTTCCAACCACAAAGCGGCGCAGAATACTTCATTGAACGGAACATATAAAGTTGTACTTTCTCAGGGCAGACCTTCTGGAACAATGTTAGAGGCAACATTTAGAAATAGAACCTTTAATTTGATTAAATTTAGCCGGGACGTAGTGTAGGAGACGGACAGCTATCCTGTACTGGACGGTTCAGTCTATTTTAGGATCGAAAATCCTTTGATTGTTATGGCGCATTCCACATTGAATCTTAACAATACCCGTATTACAAATTTATCGGACCCAACGGAAGGTATTTTCATCGCAAAAGTTATACAATGTGCCTTTAACTTTTGTGTTAAGGAATACAAACCTTACATTACCAACGGTATAATCGTTGTTAAAAGATCATCGTCTGATTTTGGTAAGACAGAAAATTTGACCGGCCCAGAAATTAATAGGAAATCTTCACTCCTTTGTTGGATATCTAATCAGATATCGAACGATATAGAGCGCCATTATAATATTTCATATCCAATGGAGTTCGCATCACCACGGGTGATAAGCCTAGAATTCACATACTGCGATTTTGGCAACAAGGAAAAAAATGTCTTCACTGGATCCATGTTGACTGGATTAACTGTCGATACTTATTGGCGCACGAATTCCAGTTGGGAATCTAATCAACGAGATGGGGGGCTAGATGTTGTCCTTCAAATTTTGATTCTAGGGTTAGACGTAATAGGGTCACTGGTTGCGGACTCGATGACAAAAACCCTTTTGCAGAACTCGGATATCACTATCCCAGGATCGATTTACGCCAACCAAGTGATGGTCAGGGTTCAATGGGTATGGATGATTCTTCCAACATTGTTGGTCATATTAGGGATCGTGTTTCTGGTTTGGACTACATGTGCCAGCAGAAAGAAGATCGTTTGGAAGTCGTCTGTACTGGCTTTCCTCTTCCATGGGTTGGAGGATCAGAGAGAACGGGATAACTGTATGACTGGTAGTGGGATGGAGAAGCTGGCGGAGGCTATGCATGTCCAGTTACATCCTTCTCAGGACGATGCACGGGTGATGCTACGTGAGAATTAGACTCAATCGATTAGCTTCAGCCAATTTATCATGTCGGGTATTGGTTTCGTAGAGCACTAAAGACACCCCCATCACATGGCTGCAATTTGTGGGATTTATGGAAGGGAGACGACAGAGGATATTGCGGTTCGCAAAGCAGAGTTCCATTACCTCCAGAGACTCATAGGTGCCAAGACCATCGCAAATTAAGAGTCGTGGCCGCCCGCTCAGTGCTATAAAGTTAGGGTTGGTACAGAGTACAACCTGGCATCGACTGTCCCGATCCTAAGGAAACCCCACTTGATCAATCAACATACCCGGAGCAATGTCCAAACCATCGAGATGAGGGATACAGTCGGCGTTTAGTTTGCTGCGAATTGTGTCTCGGATGAAAGACTGCACATGTTCAGCTGAATCAACTTCGGACAACCAACACTGTTTGATGATCGTTCCGCATTGAATGTCAGAAACGTCAGGAAACTCTTTCTTTTTAAAAAGTTCTTCCACTTGATCGCTAGAGATCTCTTCATAGGGGCTGGCGCCTTGAAATACCTCGTAAAGAGTCGACCCGAGCGCAAACAGGTCGGTAGCCAAAGTCGGTGGGTCCCTCCAATGTCGCGGGAGATAGAATCGAGTCCCTTCACCAGAGGCCGGCTTAGACCCATCTAGTGAAGACCCAGAAAAGTCAATAATCTTGATATTGAGAGTCGCATCCAAGAGGAAATTTCGCGGTTTAATATCGCAGTGGATGATGCCGTTATTATGCAGGAGAGAAACGGCTTGCGCAATTTGATATGCCCAATTCAACTTCAGGCTCATCGGAACCGACTTTTCAGCTTGAAGATATGTTTTAAGATCGCCGTGTTTCATGTACTCAAGGATAAGGCCATCCCTGGAGTGACCCAATATCCGTACTAGCCTTTCATGTGGGCCAAGGCGATGATAGATACTGGCTTCCTTGGCGATGTCCAGGATGTGGTTTTCCATGTCAGAGTCGGGAAATGGTGATTTGAGGGCGGTACCATCATCAAGGAGTTCCACAATCCCAGTCAGCCCACCAGAGATGAATTGCCCTTGAGCATCTCTGCTAGTGGTAACGACCTTTCCATGTCCATTCTCGCTTGCTTCGTAATCGCACTGTGGTCCCTATTGAAGGTTGGTCAGGAAGCTCTTGCGATGGAAAGGGACGCTGACATACCGCTTCAGTATCGTGATAGGTGGGCGAGTGGATCAGGCGTGACAAGGGATAAACCAAGACACCCGCTATCCAGTCTTTGAGACTACAAAATGTTGACAAGAATCGCCGCAGAGTCTGCGACAAGAGCAAAAAAGCCATTTGGAATGCAGCCCTGGAGCGATTGTCGGACCGCGTCGCAATCGCGTAGAAAAGTGGTATATCACATGATTATCTGCTAGGGTCTATGTATAGCTACTTATGTACTCTGTAGCTTGTAGAATCTACTGACTGATTTGAATATTTGACGAGTTAAATAGCCGGGAAATCATGCATATTCACTATTTCCATGTATCTCGTCCATTATCCTTCAGAGCTGTGCTAAAGAGACTTCAGACTGAGGCTTGTATATGTTTCTATGTAGAGTACAGAGCTACCTAATGTATTGAATTCTATCACTTTGTCCAGTTACTCCGTAGATATAGATATAAAACACACCTTATATGAGTTTAGGCCACAGTCGCGAATATCCTAGTCGCGGCCTCATAACTTTAGAAGGTCACTTGACGAGCGATATGACCAGAAGGTCCTACTCGTATTCGTTATTTGTGTTACTACCATTCTTAGTTTCAACAAATTCCAAGATCGTTTTTAATTTCTCATCCTCAAATACTAAAAAAAACTGAGAGATACAACTTGCGAAGTGTCAACAGCAAATCATATATCCTCGGTGCACACCTTAGTTGACAGGAGCTTCGGAGTCGTGGAAAGATCCAAGCTTAAGAAGCTTCTTCGCGTTGTCACGACCAATGAGGCGGTAGTTATCGACACCACCGACAGCTTCCTTAATGGCCTTGGCGTCATTATCCCACCAGCCGCAGCCATTCTCAATGGTCTCATAGGGGTAGTCAACACTGAACAAAACGCGATCGGCACCAATCTCGTTGACGACATACTTCAGGGTAGCAGTGGAGAAGTGTCCACTAGTGGTGATCCAGATGTTGTGCTTGAAGTAGTCATAAATGGTCTTCTTGGCCATGACACGGCCTTCCTCGTCAGCGATAGGACGCTTGACATCCTCGAACCAATGGTTGATACGCCAGAAGTCGAAGGGAATGTGTTCGCCCTGGTGACCGATGATGACCTTGGCGGTGGGGAAACGGTCAAAGACTCCGTTGGAAATCAGACCCAGGGTGTGCAGGTTAACGCCGTTGGCAAAAGACAGAGGGGGTCCGATCAAGTTCTGACGCTGGGCGTATAGCTTATCCAGAACAACATCAGAAGGAGCAGCAGGGTGGATATAGAGGGGGGCATCCAACTCGGTAAGGACCTTCCAAAACTCGTCGTAGGCGGGCTGGTCGTAAAACAGGTAGGTCTCACCATTGGGACCGGCATGCTGGAAGTCGCAAAGGAGAGCACCATGGAATCCAAGCTCCTGAACACAGCGGCGCAGCTCCTGACCGGCTTGCTTAGGGTCGTGCATGGAGAGACAGGCGAAAGCACCCATGCGGTCACGGTTGTTCTTGATCTGCTCGGCGGCCCAGTTGTTGGTCTCGAAGGCAGTCTTCTCCGCCAAGGCCTTGTCGGAGATGCCCTGGATACCGGGGACTGTCAGAGAGATAATAGTGTAGCCAATGCCGTGGGCGTTGGACAGACGAACACGCTCGCCGTTGATGTCGTGGATCTGGCGCATATAGCGGGCGCGGTCCTCGGGGGCAATGTACAAGGCAGCTTCGGCCTTGGACTTTTCCTCCTTACCGGCACGCTCATAGGCCTCCTCGAGAACAATCTTGCCCAACATGTTGAGAGTTTGAGTTGGAAAGTAGAAGTAGAATGAATAGATTGCTTTGATGGTTGCTTGGATGGTTCATTTTGGTCTCGGGGGTGCAAAAGGCTTTATGTACTCGAAAGTTGTCTGTATACTGCGGTTAATCGGCATATCTCGGATTTAGAAGACTTGATGTGGTTTCCCGACTACTCCGACATCAATGTGCGGTGTTCATGCCACATTCCAATCAGGGCATGTCGAGTGCGAGCTTGCTGAAACCAGGCGGAGCAGCTCTATCAAAACTTGGTGTATATTGTGGCGTCATTGACGAGGTCATTGCCGTTCAGCCAATGATGGCTATCTAGGTGCGATCAAGCATGATATCAACCAGGTAGAGTGGGTCTTGAGATCAACCCAAGACCGATGTAGAGACGACTATAAGCGGTCTAGTCCGGAAATCATCAAGCTTTCGTACCAGTTCCGGGGGGCCCAATTATCGATCATTGTGGAGTAAAGTGTCGGGACAGGGGGAAAGAAAATCACTTAGCAGGTGAAGTGCACTTCCGAAATTTCGGAACCGGATGAGGATTTGCCTCGGAACATTTATAGATACTTCCACCTTACAATCACTAACATCGCACCGACTAGCTTTCCATTGGTTAACATTTTCCCCGACATAAATCTATCACTATCATGCCACGAATGACACTCGGCCAAAAGTCTAGAATGGGTTGCCGAGAATGCAAGACTCGGAAAGTCAAATGCGATGAGCAACGACCAATATGTGGTGGTTGTTCCAAGTTCAACAAACGTTGTAGCTTTTTGAGAACAACGCCGTACCTGTGGAACCCACTATTGAATCAGACAATAGGACGTGGTCAAGCCAACTCTTCTCGGAAGCCGAGACTGAATGTCGGGAAAGACTTGCCCCATGCCAAAGACAACCCCGGCTATACCTTGGAAGACATGCGTCTTTTGCACCATTTCACCTCGTGTACAAGTGCGACTTTGTCAGATGACCCAGAAGCTCACCGAACATGGGCCACCACGGTCGTTCAGATTGCATTTGCGCATTCCTTCCTTCTCCAAGGGATTCTGGCCCTTGCTGCTCTTCATATGGCAAGTTCTAATACAGATGAAAAAGAACGTCTTCCCATTCTTGCTGCCAGTAAACAAGATGCTGCACTGAGAGACTTTCGACGTCAGCTGGAAAATATCACTCCAAAGAACTGCGATGCTGTATTTGCATTCTCATTCCTTGCCGAATACTACATCCCTGCCTCTGCAGGAACCGTCATCAATCCCGCTGCCACATTTATGTAAGATGATTTTTTTGACGCAATTACGGATTGGCTTCGCTTACACCAAGGAACATCTAACATATACAAATGCAAAGGTCAATGGATTCAGAATGGCCCTGTTGCTCTTCTTTGGAGTGATATCTTAGGCGAGAGATGTCTTTCACCAAGTAAGCACCAGACGGGAGACACCAAATTTTACCCGCTGCATGACCTTGCAGAAAAATGGGATACAGATATTGTATTCACAATGAGCGATGCCCATGAGAACAAGATCAATTCTCGGGCGCTAGAAATCTTGGTTGAGGCGTTCAACATTGTCTCTAAGAATTCCAAGGCAAACACTGGCCGGGTATCTGTTAACGAGCTTCTTAACGATGATCCACCATCAGAAGATGAGAATCATACAAGAGTGAAAGGTTCGAACTACCTCAGTCTGTCATTTGGATGGCTATTTGAAATTCCCATTGGGTTTGTGGAACTTCTTGAGCAACGCCGACCAGCGACGCTTATAATTTTTGCTTATTTCTCTGTCCTATTCCAGAATGCTCCCAAATTTTGGTGGAATGAGCCGATTCCGGCAAAGATTGTAAAAGCTGTTGCTGCGGTGCTTCCCCCGGAATACCACAGGTGGATTGAATGGCCAATACGTGAGGTACTGGGTGATGACTGCTAGAGATATGTACTCAAGTATTAAGTATGTCATCCACACTGTATGAGTATTGCTCTCTTCCAAAGTTCAATTAATTGTATGAGTACTTAGCATACAATTATGCTAAGCTTTATCAAAAGTAGATATCTTTTGTACTCAGTTGCGTATATCAGGAATAAACACGCAGAGAAAAAATGAAACTCGGATCAAGGGAAGACATGTATATTGGGTTTCTTTGATATACTCCAAGGTAGTTTCGAATCTTAGGTGTATATTACACAATAGATGAGAACAGCGTGAGAGGAAATGCTGAAGTCTGTATGCCCCACGTTGAGGTGCGTGTGCATAAAAGTGTCCCACCAGCCGTTCGCCGTGCACCGCCTACGCCCACAATTGCCACACGAGGGAGTTTTCAGAAGCTCTCCCCCCACTTGTATAGACAGTCATACAAACTCAACTTCGACACAAACCCCATTGCACAATATCCACAATGTCGCAAGCCGGGTCAGACGGAGCGCCCCAGGGCCAGAGTACGTCCGCCAATCTCCCTTCAGCCTCGACCAGCAGACAAGCAACAAACACGTCAAGAGCCAACTAACCCAACCTCCGCAGTCAACCTCGCCTCACTTTCAGTCCCGCAGCTGCGCGCACTGCAAACCCGTCTCACCTCCGAACTCGAACACCTGACGACCTCCCACACGAAGCTCCGCGCAGCGCAGGCCAAGTTCCGCGACTGTGTGCGCTCAATCACCGATGGTGTGACCGGTAACGAGAAGAAGGGAACAGATGGTCGCAATGAGATTCTGGTCCCCTTGACCAGCTCGCTATATGTGAAGGGACGCTTGACGGATCGCGAGAAGGTGTTGGTGGACGTTGGAACTGGTTTCTACGTCGAGAAGGTTTGTGTGGTTCATGGTTTTTGATCTGGTGCATGGCTGACTGGGGGATTTCCAGACTCCTGCGAAAGCGACGGAATTCTACGATGGTAAGGTGAAGGACTTGGAGACAAACCTGGTCGAATTGGAGAAGATTGTACAGACTAAGAGCACGCAATTGCGCGTCGTGGAAGAAAGTGAGTTCATACCGAGAGGGTGGCATACGCGATCTCGGTTGCAATGTGTCAATATCGTTCGAAGGCTAACTTTTCCCCAGCATTGAGACAGAAGATGCTCGCCGGGGAGGGTGCTCCCCCTCAGGCGGCGACTGCAGGCTAAGCCTAGCATTAGTACGATGAACATATCGATATGACATCCAATAGAGCAATTAAAGCTATACCTATTGAAACCTGCTATTGCAAGTCGGACGGGCCTGGTCGCAATCTTGGAACCGGTAGCTCACGAGTATCTACTCGATGCCACCCTGCAGATGGAACCTCCCTTAATCTCGACCAAAACAACATCAAAAGCAGCGTGGTGCTACGTGTTGTAGACGCCATCTTAGTGTTCTACGGTGCATCACGGTGTTTCATTGTGGATATGACATTCGAAGTGGAATAACTGATACTCAGCATAGCAACCATTGGCCATCCACTCGACTCCATGATAGTTTCCTTCCTTTCTTGTTGAACCGAGCCCAAACAACACCGAGGTAACACCATAGCAGTTGCAGAGCTGATCGGAACAACATATTAGTAACTGTCTCAAGCAATTTGCCCATTCCCGAATAAGGCAACCCTAACATTCACGCATCACCAGCCTTGCTCGTCGATTCCAATCCATGATCTGATCCTATGTTCCGATCCTTCTCAAACCCAAGCCATATGTAATCGTGAAATTTGCACCTGATCAGAAAAGAGCTCCATTTCAGTCTGCAGGACTTCACTCTTGCTCGTCATTCCAGTCCATAATCATATCCAGTCTTCCATTCCATATGTAATCGTGAAATTTGCATCCGATCAGAAGAGAGTTCCGATATCAGTCTGCAGAACTTCGTCCATGTTAATGTGGGCGGAGCCCATCATGCGGGCCAGTGTCTGAACCTTGCTCATGAACCGCTTCAGCTCCTCCGCATCTAGTTGCTGTCGGATTTCACCATCCCTTGCCTGAGCTTCCTCCTTGCTCATGCCCTCTTTGGCCTTTGCAATATCCCTGGGCGATGCCGGGAAGAAAGAGGACAAGCACGGAGTTCTGGCAAGGTTGCCGTTTGCCTGTGCGGCCAGGATGTCATCCCATTCGGGGTTGAAAAGCGTAGCACCCCATGAGATTTTTGTGGGCACTTTAGGCCAATGTCGATGGGTGTGTACATACTCATCAAACCGGGACAGCTCGAAAACGTATGGGGTGCCGATGACAATCAGCTGGATTGCTGACTTCTCAACAAACCGATCGATCGGTGCACCGTTAGGCAAATCCCCTTTGCGCTGGGGCAAAGACCCAATGCTTGTCGCGCTTGGATTCCACTTGTATCTCATCGATCTCTTAAACCGGTCCAGCTCGGCGGCGACCTCTCGCTCTTTGTGAATCGTGAGTGCTTTGATCTCGATTTGCCAGTCAGCCCTATGGTTGAGAAAGTCAGTATTTGAACAATTTTTTTTTCCAAGAAAAAAAGTAATTCACACACCTCTCAAAATCAATCATCCCAATCTGCATTGGCTTCTTCGGGTCTCCTGAGGCTTTTGGTTGGCGTCGCTTGAAGCAGCGAGATCCGTTGACCTCGAATTCGCATGTTCCATACGGCAGCGAGAAGTACATCTCTATCCGGATGATTTCGTCACTGCTCGTCCGGTAATCAAAGCTGGCGGAGTGCTTGGGTATAATTTCCATCAGGGAGTCGAGTTTGACACCTGCCCATGGTGCAAGCAAGTCCTTTGCCGCCTTGATCCTCTTGAATATCTCTTCCTGTGACAAGCAAACCCTAATTCAAGAGTCAGCGGTACAATGTGGAATCTGGTTGGTTGATGACCACAAACCCTGGAAGCAACCGACCCTCCACATTCCCGAGTCTCAACACCTCACGGAACTCTTTGAACGAGTAAGTGCTCCCGTTTGCTGGCTTGTTGCATGTATCTAGGAAGAAACATCCAAACTTGGCTCGCATTTGAAGCAACTCATTGAAGTTTGGCACTAACCCCAATGCCTTTCGGAGATGGGTTTGAATGACATCTTTGTTTTCCTGTTTGAAGCCCTGCGCAAGAGATTCCCAGGCAATAGCTTCTTCCTTGGGCATCCTGATTCCACACAGGACTGGCTTAGAAAACTCTTCCCTTGTTTCCACGATAATATCTGTTGTCATCAGGCTCGAAGTGGGTGGTTCAAGAAGGAATAGTGCAATCTCAGTCTCAGCCTGAATCGCCAGTCCTCGCCACATCTCACGCAGCTCATCGGCGACCTCACAAAGTGATTCCGCGCTATTTCCAGAGACAAAAATGCGATTTGTGACTCCGTCCCTTTTGTAGAGGTGAACAGCATACCCTTCGCGAATCTGGTCTAGCTGCTGGCGGCGTTGGCTTAGACAATCATCAAGCGAAGGGCCGCGACGAGGCCATAGGAAGATGTACTGCGATGGTGAATAAAGGTCAGCGTTGATGTTTCAATGATAAGGGTAGAGAATGATATTACCAAGAAATCCGTGGGGTTCTCCGGTTCATGACGCAGTCGCTCAGACTTGGCACTGTGCGCCTCCTTGGCCTTGGAGCTCACAACTTGCGTGTTTGAATGAGCGTGGATCTTGTCCCAGCGAATTGGCTCCCTAGTTGTAAGACCCTGGGGGTTGATGCGGTCCACCCAGCTTTGTACCATTTTTTGAGCAGCGGATACCTCATTATCCCTGCCCCAAATTTCAAGAACCTAGATGCGTGTCAACTTTGCTTGTTGAAAATGACAACGATGTAAGCAATCACTGACTTTGGCATTTGCTACTTTGACTCTCACATAAGCGCCGGTCTTTGATATGAGTTGGATGCAAAAGACGGTGCCCTCCAGATCGTCATCTGCTTGTGCGACTCTGTTTTATTTGGATCATCAGTCACACAAGTAATGGTTCGGCTTGAATCACTTACTTGGCTTCAAACAAAGCGTATTCAAACGGGAGTCTAAACAAAGCTGGCTCAACGTAAGCTGTTGGACACGAAAAAAGTTGAATCTCAAAGTACTCCGTACCATCTGGAGCATTGCCCTTGCGCCACTTTGCTTTTCCCACTGAGTCACCTGGGACGAGCGAAGGTTTGCGATCATGCTTTGGAAGTCCTCTCTGTCTGCGCGAATCCCAAGGTCGATCAAGCCGACCAGGCTGACCAGGCTGACCAGACCAACCAGGCCGACCGTGAGCAAATGAACCTCCCTTCTCCGTGGCATTCTGATGTCTGTACGGGATTTGGTTAGTTCCAAGGTGTCTCAAGATCAGCGATTGGATCGTCCGCGGTCGAGTAGCAGAGGCAAGACGACCTGCTGGTGTCAATCGCTTTGATGTGAGGGGTGGTAATGACTTCTTATTTTCTGCCCGACCAGCAAGGTCTGTGGTGTTCTCATAATCATTGTCAAGCCCCGAGCTATCACCGATCGCGGGATTCTCATCATTTCGGATATCGACGATGAATGATCGGGGAGGGCCGTAATTTGGCAATGCCCATGCTTAAAAGATGTCAGCAAGTGTTCATATTGGGAGAAATGCTCGCTCCTACATTCAGCGCCTTCCTTCTCCCACCTGCAAATAGAGGACAAAGTATTAGCAACACGTCAATTGAAAAGCGGGCAAAACGTACTCCATGGCAGTCACAATGTTGCAGAGCACGGTTAAGAACAGACCGACGGTCGCTGTTGTTTGGGTCAACGCGACGACGAGGTTGTAAACGGATGTCACAAAGCACGGTTAAGAAGAGACTGACGGAAGAAGAGACTGACGGTCGCTGTTGTTTGGATCAAAGTAACCACGAGGTTGTAAATGGAAGATGTTTGAGAGCAAATGTTCAGGCTTGCGTATGTGAATTAGGAAGGTTGCCCAGGTGCCCAGATGGTCCCAAAACCGAAGGAGCACTGAGACTATTCCCAAAGAAGGCTCGATGGATATACTTCCCAATTCCGAAGGAGCGACCGATTGAAAACTGACTTTCCCTCACATCCTTCGCAGCTCAAATTCATAACTGAGGAGCATATGACTGAGTGGTTCATCACTTAGTACATACACAGCTGGACATGGATGTATAGGAAGTGTCATGTAGCGGAGCAGAGAACATGCTTTGCAAGACGCTTCGATGCGGTTCTGCAGAGTGCCTGCGATGGGTACATCCAAGGAGTAGATCATTACATGCCACGCTCTCCCGGCAATGCAGAGAACCACCTTTGAGATATAGTACATCCCATGTAGAGACTTCTCATTTCTTGCATTTTATAGCCTGGATACAATGTTATCGATAATATTCAAGTCCCACAGGTTGACAGATGATACGACATGAGATTCAGCAACAAATAGTAGAAGGTGATTGATATCGCCAGCTGGGCGGGCTTTGTGTATCGTAGGCGAACCATGCTGCGAGTGAACCACCTGGGGATGTTGTCTGAAACAATGGGGTAAGGGCCATATCACCTTGTACGGTTGATAAAATTCAGACGCAGTGATCAAAACTTTGGAAAGAAAGGAACGTTGGAAGTATACGAGCTGGCCAGTTGTCAGAAGTGCAGGGTTAGGGCTCAAGACTGTGATTGGTTGGACCTCCTTTGCCGCGCTAAACCCAATGGGGATGAAAGTGGACAACGCGTCAACGCGATTTCTCCTTCTTCTCCAAATCACCGTTCCTACCTTTACAATGAGCGATAGCGAGTCAGATGGCACTCCGCCTCCTAGGCGAAGTTCAGGTGCAAGTGCTCGGGCCCAGCAATGGATGACCAAGGGTGCCCTAGTTCGCGACGACTCTGATGATGAACTCGGCAGTGAAGACCACCCATGGGATTGGATTTACGACAAGCTCGATGCTATTCCAGAAGAGGGTGCAGAGGAAACCCCTGACAAGCGAAGCCGCAGACGATCTTCACGGCCGGCCCGTCAGCGACGAAAAATCATCGGCGCAAGGATGGGCACGTTCGAGTGCAAATTGGGCGAGGTCGTTCTTTTGAAGTCACCCGAAGCAGGGAAGGAGTGGGTTGGCATCATCTCGGAATTTCGGGACGAGGAGGACGAAGAAGAGGAAGGCGAAACATACAAGTCTGCTCACATCATGTGGTTCGCATCGCCTGATGAATTCATTGGCACCAGGAATAAGCGCCGGGCCGATGCCTTGCCTAATGAGCAATATATCACTCTGGATTTCAATAGCAATCCTTTGACTTCCATATCTGGCAAGGCTATCGTCATGTCTCCAAGTGCCTTTCACCAGAAATACCCCAATGGACCTCCGAAGAACAAGATTGAGTTGGCGGAGTATAACAAGTGCATTGTTTGTCGACGAGGCGTGAATCAGCTTCAAGGGCGCTATACCGATGAATTTCGATGGGAGGATGAATATGAGATGGGCAATATCCACGCACTGATTGCCTGGCTAAGGGAACCATTGAAGTCTTCCCGAAAACGCAGAGCTGCGGACGATGACGTGAGTGGGAACATAAGACCAAACTTATCAAAACAGAGTGCTAACCTGAGCCAACTCCCAGTATGCGGATACTAAAGAAACCGAAGCCCCTACTACACCAAGAAAGAGGCAGCGGATGACAACAAGCGCTACACCAAAGTCACAACGCAAGAAGGCCTTGACAACCCCAACCCACAAACGGTATGAGCCTGTCAAAACCCTATGCTGACTACATTACTGACATTTTCTAGCATCGTTGTGAAAAAGCCTCTCGAATTTACACCCCTGGGCACTCGTGTTCTCTCACCCACACATTTTGATTCTCCCTACCGTCAAGCTCGCAACCTGCTACATGTTTCCACTGTTCCTGATGCGCTTCCATGCCGAAAGAACGAGTTCAATACAGTATACAATCATCTCAGTGCCGCCATCATGGAAGGCACAGGAGCTTGTATCTACATTTCCGGTACTCCCGGTACTGGAAAGACTGCCACGGTGCGCGAGGTAGTTGCACAGCTCAACGCTGCTGTGCACGAAGAAGAAATGGACGACTTCATCTTCGTCGAAATCAATGGCATGAAAGTCACGGATCCACATCAATCATACTCCCTACTGTGGGAAGCTTTGAAGGGTGATCGTGTATCGCCATCTCATGCACTGGATTTGCTTGAGCAGGAATTCTCACACCCTTCTCCTCGTCGCGTCTCTTGCGTTGTGCTCATGGATGAACTTGACCAGCTGGTTACAAAGAACCAGTCAGTCATGTACAACTTCTTCAATTGGCCGGCCCTCCGCCACTCGCGTCTCATCGTCTTGGCCGTTGCAAATACCATGGATCTTCCTGAAAGAACCCTGAGTAACAAGATCTCCAGTCGTCTGGGCCTCACCCGTATCACATTCCCGGGTTACCGCCACACAGACCTGATGGAGATCATAAGTACGCGTCTTGCTAACGTGCCGGGCAATATCGTTGATCCAGATGCAGTCCAATTCGCCAGTCGAAAAGTCGCCGCCGTGAGTGGTGACGCAAGACGAGCTTTGGACATCTGCCGACGAGCTGTCGAGATTGCCGAGCAAGCAGCAGAAGAGGCCGGCACAATAGAAGACATTACGAACGAAGAGAACGGGGCGCTACCTCCTACGCCTAGTAAGTCTGCCGCTCGTCGCAACAAGGCAAGCGCAGCCAAGCCGGCTGGCGAGTTGGCTGTTGCCAAGACTGCGGCTACCAAGGGCCAGCCGGGTCGTGTCACAATTGCTACAATCAAGCAAGCCATCCACGAGGCTACCTCCACCCCCCTCCAACAATCCCTGCGCTGTCTCCCATTATCAGGAAAACTATTCCTCGCCGCTCTTTTGGCGCGTGTTCACCGCACAGGTATCTCAGAATCGACATTCGGTGATGTTCTTGACGAGGCTCGCCGCATTGGCGATGCTGCGGTGGCTGTGGCTGGAGCAGCTGGAGCCGGAGTTAAGGACTTCCTTCTCGGAGGAGGACCCAGCGCGCGAGTCCGATCCATGGGTAATGCGGCTATGTCGCTCATGAACTCGGGTGTCTTGGCGTTGGAGCAAGGCACCGGATCTAAGAGCGTGCTCGGTGGCACAACAATCCCCACTCGTGGTGATCGCAGTAGCAAAGTGCGACTTCGAGTTGCCGCGGAAGATGTCCGATCTGCTTTCCGTGAGGATCTTGAGGCTAAAGGGTTTGGGCTGGGAATTGAGCAATGATTACAGTGGGCCTTTGGGGGTGTTTTGATATGGTGCGCATTATTCGGAGTTTCTCAAGTAGTGCGATAGCATTGTAATTTGCATATGATACCCTTTCCAAACAGATTGTCTTACTGAGGCATGTAATTTCGCTCGTTCGTAGACCCTCCACTTCAGGGCTCTGTTTTTCGTAGCCATGGACGCTACGTGTTTCAGAGACTACAGCAATTGCTAGGTGAAATGGGACAACTTGAATATATCAACCATATATACATGCACATCCCGAAGAAAAGAACTATTCAGCTGAAAGTTCCTATAGTACAAAACATCAATTCTTTTCTAGCTGGACTGGATTCCAGGCCTAGCCAAACCACGCCTAACTCCACATAGTGCCGACACAAACGGTGCAATGAGTAACAAAAAGAGGGTATTAAAGAATCGGAACAGAGGTTATGAATGCCATTATGTTCCTCTAGTACCGTTGTCTACCAAGGGTGGGAGTCCAAGTCAGAGGATGGGTCTCAGGTGTGGCATCTTCATCCTGCTTCCAAACCTTGATGGTCTTATCAGCTTCACCGGTGATCAGACGCAGACCAGTGCGATCAAAGGTAGATGTCATGATACCAGCTTCCGCCTCAAGTGAACCGGGCTGTGCGGTGGTCTCGACAGACTGGAAGCGGTGGCCGGTCTTCCAGTCCCAGAAGGACATGGAGCCATTGTCACCACCGGAGAAGAGAACATTATCATCGTTGACAGCAAGGGAGTTGATGACGGCATTTTGACCATCGAAGTTCTGCATGAAATCACCCTTGGGACACATCCATTGCTTGATGCTGCCAGTACTGGCACTGGCGAAGGTCCACTCAGTAGGGTGAATGGCGATGTTGCGAACACCCTTCTTGTGGTGTGTCAGGACGCCCATACTTTTACCAGCAGCCAGATCCCACAGTCGGACTGTAGAGTCCAGCGAACCAGAAATAATTTGAGGATCCGAATCTTGGCACTTGATGTCTGCCACTGTACCCTTGTGTCCACCGAGGACATGGACATTGCTTCGCGTCCGCATGTCCCAAACTCGACACACACCATCGCGACCTCCAGTGACCAAAAGGTCCAGACGAGGATGAAGAGCCAGTGTGTACACACCACTCAGATGGCCATGGTAGTGGCGGATGACTTTGTTGGTTTCCAAATCCCAGCATTTGACCATCTTATCTTCACCACACGAGAAAAGGTACGGATGCCGCGGTGAAACTGCCAATCCGCGGACCGTGGAGATATGACCGGTCAGTGTCAGACGCAAGGCGCCCGTTGCGAGGTTCCAGATTTTGATTGTGCGATCTCCAGCACCACTAGCAAACCACTGATTGTTGGGTTCCACTGCCAAAGCGCGCACCCATCCCAAATGACCCGAGATAACGCGCATCAGCTTCCAAGGCGCGTGCCATTCCGGCTTTTGTTGTTGGGTAGCTGAAGGTCTCTGGATCAAGCTCGTGGGCTGGGTGTCGGGGGCTGCTGCGCCAGCACCCGTGCTAGATGGCCGCCTCACGAGCGACATGGATGCTCCGCTGCCGTCGGCGGGTTTCTGTGCCTGGATCTTGGGTCGTTTCGTCCGGCCAGCTGTAGCCTTCGCCTGCTTTTCCGCGAGCGCGCGGGGTAGCTCTGTGACATCTTCATATTCCGCCTTCCGCCGGTAGGAAACACCAATCGAGCCGTCCGTGAGAGTTGAGGGAGTGACCATCAAATATTCCGGGCCAAAAAGCTCCGCGGTACGCTTCGCAGATAGTCGCACCGTATCCTCGACGGAGTTAGGCGAATTGAAATCCATTGTGAATGTGTAGGGAAGTTAGGCGAGAGGTGGAGAGGCGACTTGGTGTCCGAGGGCGAGATAGCTTCAAGCCGCGATCGATCGTGCGCGCGGTGAAACCCGTGTGGCGGGCGTTATATGTCGAGTCGATGAGGATAATGAGCTCAGCACATTGGCAGACTTGCAGCAATTAGGCAAGGCGTGGGTGAATTGCGCAGCTGAAAGGCACGGCAGTGGTTGAGGATTGAAGAAAGACGAGGTCTTTACTGAAACTGAATTCGCGCCGATGCCTGAGGTGTCAACACCCATGACTTTCATTTCGTTACACTCGAATTGTCTTCGCCTTTCGCCTTTCCTCAAAACAAGATAATCTCCATTCGCACACTTTTCATATCACACTTCTCCATCAGCTTACAGGAGTGCTCTTCTGACATATTCTCTACTGCTCATCGCCATAAACTCGCTTACTCAGCCATAGTGGGCTTATCGCAGCTCTTATCGCAATATCACTCTACCTCCATCTCCATCATGGATTCAAATCAGAAGTTCGCCCTGCATGAGGCTGCCCGTGAGGGTAGAAGTGGGTGATATTCTGCTTGAAATGGGCTGTACTGACTGTCACCTTTAGACCAGGTTGTCGAGTCGTTACTGAACGTTAGTGTCTCACATGTTTGGATTGCCCCGCTGTCATTCATACAGTCAATTCAGGGTGGCTTTCTCTCGTTAAGCTTAAATTTCCTAACAGCATGGTAGTCAAACCCTAAGTCTGCGCTTGTCAAAGACGATGACGAGCGTCTTCCAATTCATTGGGCTACAGCCTACAATCGGCTACCAGTGGTGGAATTGCTAGTTGCCAGCAAGGATTTCGATCCGGATGTCGAGGTACTACCATTCCATCTTCTTATTCAATTGAAAACATCATCATCTTTTCAGCCCATATGTATGGTGCAATATGTTAACCTGTCTTAGGATGGCTCGGGTTGGACACCTCTCATGATAGCATCCAGTTTGAAGGATGCTTCAGGCGACGCAATCATTGAGCTCCTCCTTCGAAAGGGTGCTGATGTGTCTATCAAAAGCAACACTGGACAGGTCAGCAACCCACGCCAGTCTCGTAACTTCAAGTGTCTTTTGAAACTAACAAACCATTAGAATGCTTTGCATTTCGCAAGCTCAAAGAACAACATATCTACCGTCCGGACTTTGATTGCAAACAAATGCAGTGCCAGAGTGAAAGATAAGCGTGGTCAGCTTCCTCTTCACCGAGCAGCCGCAGTGGGATCTGTTCCCATTCTGAAAACGCTCTTGGAAGAAGGCAAGAGTCCCGTCAACGCAACGGATAGTGACGGATATACGGCACTCCACCAGGCTATTGCTGAGGGTCATGGCCCTGCCGCAATCTTGCTATTGAAGTCAGGAGCAGACCCTCTGAAGAGGGATAGCGATGGAAGATTGGCAATTGAGCTGGTCCCGGATGATAAGGTATGTTCCTCTCCTCAAGTCAAGGTGGATAGAGCTGATCGGCCAATCAAAAGGTCAAACAGTTTATTCTTCAAACGGCAGAGCGGGAAGGGATCGAGCTTCCATGATGATTTGATACGGCTATATCGCAATTCCTATTTTAGCCTGCAGACACTCGGGCTAACCGGTGTGGGAACAGCGCCTCGGTATGTGCAATTCCCCGCACCGCAGTTCTCCCAAGCACAAAATCCAAATTTTGATTTCGATTTGGGCGAAATCCCCCTTCAGGACCGGAGCTGTCCGGGTTTGGCGTAGATTATTGATGTAGACTCATGAAAAAGCCGGAAAGTCGCGATGTTGAAACAAGGGTAATCGCATCGGCTCGCTTGTAAGGTAGTACTTATGCGATGTGTCTTGGCCTACATTAATATGTGACAGATGAGGAAGAATGAGGGGCCTCGGTAATGTCGCTAATCACCAAAAGTACCTAGGCACACGTATACGGCAATCTGAAGACTGGCTTTTGAGGACATCTTAGGTTCTTCCCTATACGAATTTGAGGTAGACACTGACCTCAGCCTGCGCTTTAAAGCCATTCAAAATGCCTTGCTCGACGAGAACAACCTTTCCGGTAGGAAACAAAGACTTCACCAATGCAACTGTTGTCATTATCGGAGCTGGAATATCTGGTACGCTCAATCCCCCATGTATAGTGGACTACGCTCATCTCTTCAGGAATATGCATGGCCATTGACTTGATCAGAAGAAACAACTGTTACAACTTTGTGATTTTGGAGAGAAGCAGCAGTGTGGGTGGGACCTGGAATGACAACAAGTATCCAGGCAGTTGCTGCGATGGTAATTATTCTGAATACAACATGTGGTGTGCGATGCTAATAAATTTTAGTCTGGAGCACGTTGTACAGTTATTCCTTTGAGCAAAACCCGGACTGGTCAAGAGAATACCCCGGGCAGGAAGAAATTCATGTGAGCGGGATAAATACTGAAACCATTCCATTCCGTCAAGCTCTGCTAACGTCGAATGATAGCAATACTTGGTTGGTGTCGCGGAGAAATATGGACTCTACAAGCACATCCGATTCAACTCGACGGTGGAAGAGGCCCGTTGGGACGAAGCCGAAGCCAAGTGGAAAACCAAACTGTCATTGTCAGGACAAAAGGACAGTGAATTCTCGACCTCCTATACCATCAACTCGGATTTCCTAGTCTCTGCTGTCGGCCAGCTCAACCTTCCCAGATATCCAGCCATCTCAGGACTCGATGATTTTCAGGGAAAGCTCATGCACTCCGCTCGATGGGACTGGACCTATGACCTGAAAGGAAAGCGAATCGCTATGATTGGAAACGGTGCCACCGCTGCTCAAATAGCACCAGAGGTTGCACAGCTTGCTTCCCAGTTGACTATTTATCAACGAACACCAAACTGGGTGATCCCTCGAAATGACGGACCAGTTTCTGCTTTTCAAAAAGCCTTGTTCAGATGGCTTCCGCCGCTTCAATGGCGCAAACGTGCCGCTCAAATGGACTATCGCGAAAGCTTTTACGAAGCAGTGGCGGACAAAGACTCGGATTTCGCTCAGGCAATTCGAAGCGCGTGTGCAGCCACACTGAGGGCCCATTTGCCCGACAGTCCAGAACTATGGGATACACTTACACCCAATTATGCGCCAGGATGCAAGCGTATTATCATTACAGATGATTACTATCCCACTCTTGCCCGCAAGAACGTTGATCTAGAGACACGAGAAATCACAAGCATCACCGATGTCGGTATTGAAGTTGATGGAGAAGATGAACAAGAGTATGATCTGATCATCCTCGCCACTGGCTTTAGGACCGTTGAGTTTATGCATCCCATCAAAATCTACGGGTCTGGGGGTCGGCCTTTGGAGGAAATTTGGAGCAATGGCGCAAGAGCCTACAAGGGTGTGACGGTCGAGGACCTACCAAACTTTGGAATGTTCTATGGCCCCAATACCAACCTGGGTAAGTGTTCTTTTGTCTTTTCGCTTGTCGCATTCTGACAATGCCACAGGTCATAACTCTATCATTCTGATGATCGAAGCCCAGTCGCGATATCTCAATGCACTTGTTGGCGAAGTGATCAAGGCTCGCCAGCGTGGTGAGACTCTATCATTGAGACCCACAGCTGAGGCTCTGCAGAAATTCAACGACAGAATCCAGTCAGTTCTAGAGACCACTAGCTTTGCAGATCCGAATTGTGGCAGTTGGTATAAGAGAGATGACGGTGTGGTCACCAACAACTGGTCTGGAACTGCGATAGACTACCAGGTTGAACTGTCCAAGATAATTTGGCAAGATTATACAACCGAGGGCACTGATACGAAGCGATTCCTGAAGAAGACCGATACCAAAGTTGGTCAGGTAAATGAAGGATCCATACTGAGTGACAGGTCACTTGTTGTGGGAACTGTTGGTATCTTGTCGGTGGCAAGTTATTTCATCGCTCGGTCGATGCTTACCAAGGCCCATTGAAGAATCAATTGATTTCCAGGGTATCTACACTGCTGTTTCGCTAGAGGCTTTAGCTGCTAGTGGACAACCAAGAACTTCTCAAAGAATCCTGCTCCCACTCGATTCTTCTCAGACTATCCGGAATTATAAATGTTTACAAGCACTTGCATGGTACATTCTGAGGCCCAAGACCTAGTTTTATTTTAGAATCTCCTGCGACTTCGCGGCATCGAGTCGTTTGCTCTAATTGATAGCGGTCAACAGACCCAAAACCCCACCTGCAAAAGGCAGCAAGCCCCTGATCCCATTGAGTACGACCCACTGTCTGAGCAGTTGATCATCACTTTTTTCACTTTTTTCACTTTTTTCATTGGTAGACACCAGTTCATCCTTGCCGGCAGCTCTTGCCGAAAGGCGATCGTTTGTAGGTCCAATACAGATGATCGTATAAGGCACAATCGCCAGGACTAGTGATGCAGCGGCACTGTACATGATCATGGGAGCACGGCAAGTGGTGCGTTGAGCACGAGCAGACCATGCTAAATATCCAAAAGCGGTGGAAGTCACAGCGGCCAGCTTCGGGCCGTAAGCATGGCCATATTCATACAGACGTCGCCATACTTTGAGGATTGCATTAGAGGATACACTGTCTTCGGATTTGGCCAAAAGCATTGCAGGTAGTGCAACTAAGCTATAAGCGGAAATCTTGCCTGCAGGGGTTCGTTACTATCAGCCTCACAAGGATCTATTCGGGGAAAGGCCATGTCGGAGCAGGTTAGAGGTTTAGATATTGTATCAACTTACCAGACAGCCAGAAGGCACCACCGATCGCTGTCACCGCTACCAACTTGTCCGAGGCTGCCATGGTAGGGACTTTTGGAGGAATGAAGTTGGCGTTTTGTTGGCGTTTTGTTGACAGGGGTGAGCTTTAGAACTTGGGGGCCGCAGCCTTAGCTTGGGCCTAAAGATTACTAAGGCCGCAGATAGCCCGGGAAATGGGCCTAAAACGGGCTTGCATTTGATCGACTATCGTTGCGCAAGGCTTTGATCGCTACTGTGTCTGTCAGTGGCTAGAATAATAAAGATTTTCAAATTTCAAACTTGATGGATAATAAGACGTCGAGGACGGAATATGGAGTACGCTTAAACCGGAGTTGACATCCAAGATTATTTGCTCTCATCTTTCCTTCTTTCCACACAAGCCACTCTTACACCAGTCAAGTTCTCAAAACGATGGACGAATACGGCAACGTGGTTGCTTTTGCAAACTACATGGGAGCCCAGAACCGCTCTCTTCCTGAGCTTCAAGAAGTCGAGTCCTTGAGTCCTCGGGTGATACGGGTTTTGGGCGGAAATCCAGGAGTCGTAAGCCTCCACTGGCATTTCATTGAACACGTAGACTAACGGTGTTTTCCAGATGCACCTGCAAGGGACTAATACTTATATTCTCGGGGACGGACCGGAGCGTCTCTTGATTGACAGCGGACAGGGCCGCATATCCTGGTCGAACTCGATAACGGCTTTAACGCGACGGCATAACTTCAGAATCTGCAAAGTACTTTTGACACACTGGCATCTGGATCACACCGGTGGCGTTCGAGATCTCATTGAGAAGGATCCGCAATTAAAGAGCGCTATTTACAAAAACAACCCCGACACCAACCAGAAGCCAATCTACGATGGACAAGTCTTTATCGTCCAAGGGGCGACAGTTCGCGCCGTTTTTACGCCTGGACATTCAAACGATCATATGTGCTTTTATTTGGAAGAGGAAAACGCCCTATTTACCGGCGATACCATTTTGGGACACGGGACAACTGTTGTGGAGGATCTGTGGGAATATATGCACAGCCTGCTCAAGATGGAAACAGTGAATCCTCATGTCGGATATCCAGGTCATGGGGCACTCATTCCAAAACTGCAGCTAAAGCTGCAGCAAGAGATCAGGCAAAGGAAACGCCGTGAAAAACAAATTATCGCTTCGTTGGAAATCATTGGGTCGAGAAGGGGGGATAAAGGTTCCGCAACCGAAGCCGAGATTATTGCAGTGATATTCGGCCCCCAACTACCCCCAGATGTCTCCGATCACTTGAAGCCACAAATTAAAGAAATTCTTATGAAGATGGCACGCGAGAAGCGGATGGGCTTCCGATTCAAGGATGGGCAGAAGCGCTGGTTCGCCAATTCTATTGAATCTTGTTGAATCCATTGGACTCAATTGGCCCCCACCTTGAACAAGGGGTTTTTCTCTGCAGAAACTACACTAGTCCTATCCCATTAAGCGCTATTTTCTCACTGCATGATGATGACCGGTTATCGAAACTCGCATGGCAAATCCCTGCTGTTGGCGAGAAGTATAAATCAGAAAACACCATATGTCAATTATCTTAGAACAGATGGAGCCTCAGCCCAGCTATACACTTGAGCCTTTTGGAGATGCGGAACCCCAGCCAATTCAATATAGTCTGTTTTGCCCATGGGCTTCCGGAAAATTCACTCCATCTGTTCCGGCAAATTCGGACTCAAAGCAAAATCCGAGATCATTCAACGCTCAGAGACTTTATCTCCCACACAACACTAGTTTTGCGAGAAGAAATTCGAAACCTACCAGAAGAGCTACGGAGCCAGCTGCCTCCTTTTGAGAATGCCTTGGATCTAGTTGAGTGGCAGAACTGGGAACGTGGACCCCTAGCAGGTGCTTTGGGGGGGGTATTACGATGTCTGTTGCATATATCATCATTCATTGGGTAAGTCACTTTTCGAGAAACACAGGGCAGTTTGTTGACAACAGCAGATATTACGAGAGAGAACCGGAGCGATTTTCTCTAGCTCAATCGACGACATGTTTCTCGGCCCTCGGAGTTAGCCTGCTAGCCGGCGCAGCTGTCGCTGTCTCATCAACCCTGGCAGATCTTCCCAAGCTTGGTGCTGAGACCGTGCGAATTGCATTGCGGATGGGAGTGCTAGCTGGGCAAACATCTCGGTGTATCGAGTCCCGAGAACCATCTACGCCGCCTGAAAGTTGGACCGCCGCCGTGAAGGACCTGGATGAGGATATTGTCCGAAAAGAGTTGGAATCTTTCAATATATCGGCGGTAAGCACACAGCGGAAGAGAGAGACGAAGAGAGAAACTAACTTCAATTAGCACAATCCGCTTCCTAGCCACTTGTTTATTAGTGCGGTCAGCGAGGACACCATCGCCATCAGCGGCCCTCCCTCAAAGCTCAGGAAGCTCTTCAGAGTTTCCGAGCATCTTCGAGCTACCCGTTACGTCTACTTGCCTATCTACGGAGGCCTAAGCCACGCACCTCATATCTTCAACCACCGTCATGTTTCTTCCATATTGGAAAAAATGGACTCGGCAATAGCCAGTCGATCGATAACCAGTTCCTCTCCTCTCATCTCAAACACAGACGGTTTGCCAATTCAAGCAAAAACCCCACGCGATATTTTTGCAGCGGTCGTTTACGAGCTTCTCACGTGCCCGACTCGATCCAAAATGGCAAAGAATGGCGCTCTGCAGGTGATGGGGACAGCATGGGTGAAGTGCTGCGTGTTTGCACCAGGATCATGCAACTTGGCAGCAGATATTGTTGCCAATGGAGAGATCACAGCTCCATCATGCGATTTCCAAATCATCAATATGATACAATGGCTTGACGAGGATACCAACGACGCTGCACCGCTCAGAAAGGAAGACTCCAAGATTGCCATCGTGGGGATGTCCTGCCGGATGCCAGGTGGGGCCAACGACTTGGATTCATTCTGGGATTTATTACAAGAGGGCCGTGATGTGCATCGAAAGGTTCCAGCAGACAGATTTGATGTGGGTAGTCATACCGATCCGTCTGGCAAGATACGAAATACCAGTCTCACCCCGTTTGGTTGTTTCATTGATCAACCAGGGCTTTTTGATGCCGGGTTCTTTGACATGTCGCCCAGAGAAGCAGCCCAGACGGACCCTATGCATCGCCTTGCGCTTATGACAGCATACGAAGCCCTTGAGCAATCCGGATTTGTCCCAGACCGAACAGAATCAACTGATAGGAGGGGTATATCGACATTCTACGGTCAATCGAGCGATGACTATCGTGAAGTTAATGCGAGCCAAACAGTTGACACATACTTCATTCCTGGGGGCTGCCGGGCTTTTGCTCCGGGGCGTATCAACTATTTTTTCAAGTTCAGTGGGCCCAGCTTCAACTGTGATACGGCATGTTCTTCGAGCCTGGCGACTATCCAAGTTGCTTGTACCTCTTTGCTTCATGGAGATTGCAATATGGTGGTAGCAGGAGGCCTCAATATCCTTACGAACAGCGATGGCTTTGCGGGATTAAGTCGTGGCCATTTTCTTTCGAAAACCGGCGGTTGCAAGACATTCGACGCAACTGCAGATGGCTATTGCCGGGCAGATGGAATCGGATCCGTCGTTTTGAAGCGGCTGGATGATGCGGAAAGAGACAACGATAACATTTTGGGTGTTATTCTGAGCTCTGCAACAAATCACTCAGCAGATGCTATCTCCATAACCCATCCACATGCTCCAACTCAAGCCGATCTATATCGTCGAGTCATGACTGACGCTGGCGTCAGCCCCCTTGATGTGGACATGGTTGAGATGCACGGTACCGGCACTCAGGCAGGTGATGCAACCGAAATTGAATCGGTCACCTCGGTCTTCAGTCCACCAGATCCTAACCGTATAAGAACCCAGCCATTGCACATCGGATCAGTCAAAGCCAATGTAGGACATGGCGAGGCTGCAGCGGGTATTATGGCTTTGATCAAAGTTCTGTTGAGCTTGCAGAAAAACATAATCCCAAAACATGTCGGCATCAAGACTGCACTTAATCCTGCATTCCCTGATCTGAATCGTCTCGGCGTCCAAATTCCTTATGAGCAGGTTGCATGGCATCGAACACCATCCCGAAAACGATATGCAGTTGTCAACAACTTCAGTGCAGCTGGTGGAAACACTTCCCTTTTGCTGGAAGAACCACCAATGCGCTCTGAGCCTGAGAAAGATATACGGACGGCATTTGCAGTGGCGGTATCGGCGAAGAGCAAGGTTTCTTTAGGAAGAAATTTGAAATCACTCGTGGCGTTTCTCAAATCTATGCCACTAGAGGGCATCCCTCACCTTTCATATACCACGACGGCACGTCGCATGCACCACAACCATCGCATTGCCGTGGCTGGTACTTCACCGGAAGCAATCTGTCGACAATTCGAGAAATATCTTCCCACAGTTGAATCACATCGACCCGTCAGCAATACAATTCATTCGACTGCTTTTGTGTTTTCTGGCCAAGGAAGCTTCTACGTCGGCATCGGGCGCCAGCTTTATGGAAGTCACTCAAGGTTCCGAACCCAGCTACACCAGCTAAATGATATCTGCCTGAGTCACGGTTTTTCTTCCTTCCTTGAAGTCATTTCGGCCGAGCCCAGTGAGCAGCGGCCTATCTCTGAGCCTGGGCCTGTTATTGTGCACCTGGCAATCACTTGCATAAGCATCGCGTTGTGTGATTTCTGGGGCAGTCTTGGGGTGAAGCCATGTGTTGTGATTGGAGCCAGCCTTGGTGAGTTTGCTGCTCTCTATGCCGCTGGTGTTCTCTCTGCAAGCGATGCGATTTATCTCGTAGGTCACCGAGCTCTGCTCATGCAAGAGATGTGTATCCCCAACACTCATGGTATGCTGGCGGTGCGTGCGACTACAGAGCAAATACAGAATGCACTGACTGGCCATTTGTACGAAATTGCGTGCATCAACGGTATCAACGATGTCACGTTGAGCGGTACCGTTGAGGAAATCAACCATGCAAGATCAAAGATTGAGGCTTTTGGATACAAATGCACCCAGATCACCGTTCCATATGCATTTCACTCTGGTCAGATGGAGCCACTTCTGGATCAGTACGAGGAGATCTGTGGGGGAGTGACATTCAAGGCTCCCACCTTCCCTGTCGTCTCTCCATTACTGGCTGATTGTGTCTTCGATGGCCACACGATCAATGCGGCCTATATGCGAAAGGCAACGCGATGCCCTGTTCAATTCACGAAAGCGTTGCATATTGCTCTTGAGATGGAATTGATCGATGAAAAGACCATCTGGGTAGAAATCGGACCCCATGCCTCCTATGGCCAGTTTGTTCGCAATGCGATGGCCTGGGAACCCACGATAGTTTCTAGCCTCAGACGAGATGAGGATAACTGGCATACGTTTTCCCGGAGCTTGGCGCAGCTGCACAATACCGGGCTCAATATCAATTGGCAGACATGGCATGGGCCGTTTGAGGGCCAGTTACGATTGTTGGATCTTCCAGCATATCAGTGGAACACTAAAAACTACTGGATCCAATACAACGGAGATTGGATGCTCCAGAAAGATCAAGCCTCGCCACAAGGATGTGCTCAGGACAGCCAATCCTCATTGCAGACTGCTTTCATACACAAAATAATCAAGGAATCTATTAGCAAAGAGAGCGGCGAAGTTATAGTCCAGTCTGATATCTTGCGAGCGGATTTTTTGGAGGGAATGGGTGGCCATGAGATGAACGGCTGTGCAGTTGTCACATCAGTAGGTCAAGATTCATCACCCAGTCTTTCGTTCTTTTCAAATTAACCACAAGCGCAGTCCGTTCACGCAGATATTGCATTCACCTTGTCCAGATACCTCTACACCCGCATCAGGCCCCAATCAACCACCCCTGCCATGAACCTGAAGAACATGCAAGTCAAGCAAGGTCTCATCGCGCGAGAAGACCGCTCCCGACCCCAGTATATTCAAGTGCATGCCGTGGCAGACTGTTCGACCAGTTCGATTCAGCTCTCTTGGTACGCTTTGGATGACCAAGGGGAAAGAGCGCCGGACTGCTTCGCGGCACTTACTACACAATGGGATGATCCAGAATCCTGGTTAGACGAATGGTCGTCCACCTCACACTTGGTTGCTAGCAGAATCGAGGTTTTGCAAAACCTCGCTTCTCAAGGCACAGCCAGCCGGCTAACTCAAGACATGGTATACATGCTCTTCGGGACTCTAGTGGATTATTCAGAAAAATACCGTGGTATGAGAACCGTTATTCTGAATGGCTTAGAGGCAGCTGCGGAAGTGGTGCTAGCCCCGGACGAGTCATCGGAGAAGTGGACTGTGGCACCATACCATATAGAGAGCATCGTGCATCTCGCAGGCTTCATTCTGAACTGCGGAAATGCAGTGGATCATCGAAAGAACTTTTATGTCACGCCTGGGTGGAAGTCCATGCGTTTCGCTCGTCCATTGGTGTCTAGCCAGCCATACATGTGCTATGTGAAGATGGCGCCCATTCTCAAACAACCTGGGTTCTACGCAGGCGATGTTTATGTCCTGCAGAATGGCGAGACTGTTGGATTGGTCGGTGGCGTGACATTCCGCACATTTCCACGCTCACTTCTGGGTCAATTCTTCAGTCCGCCTGACATGGATACTATCTCCCAGGAGCCGGTTCATGTTACCAGACAGCCTCCGGCGTATACCTCAGAAGCCCCAGAAGTTCCAATGCTACCGGTCCGAGGGAATTCGGAAGCAATGCCTGAAGCAACCAGTTGTACCAACAGGATGGGCACTGCCTCGTTTAAACAGGAGCAAGCTTCTCCGAGCTCGCTAGCAGAAAATCCCATCATCCAGCAAGCCATGGATTTGATTAGCAAAGAGACTGAGATTGATCTTGAAGAACTTTTGGATGAGACCGAGTTCTCATGTATTGGGATCGATTCACTGATGTCCCTTGTATTGGTGCAAAGATTTGCAACGGAGCTCAAGTTGGAATTGCGCGGCTCTTTATTCTTCGACTGTCCCACGATTGGTGACTTCAAAACATGGCTGAGGGACTACTGTTGATACACCAGAATGAGATTCCTCCTCTGCCATAGGATATGGATGATCCGTAAGTTCTCGCCAGTATAAAGATTCAATAAATCCAGCAAATGATGTAGTCAATAAACTGACTGTAACAATCGATTCAGAAATGGGTATATAGAGATCGAATTGAGTCGTGAGAGACATTCATACTCATGGGTTCCTATGGTACAGGCATCCACAGGCTCGAATAAATGCAGCAAAGGACAAGTGCCAAAGACCAAAATCACTTCAGCATCGGCCTCTGTTTAGACTTGGATCTGATTTGTGGGTCTATACTTTTCACTTTGTCTGCGAGTTTTTGGAAGTCAGCCCCAAGCTGTGCATCCGTCAAGATGGTGTGTTTCCACGATGACCACTCATGCCCATCCAGTCCATGCAGGAGAGCAGTGCAGAGCATTGGTTGGGTCTGCTTGAAAAGGTCCTTCTGGTCCATGCAGACTTGTAACCATGCATCTTGTAAAGCCCCAGTATACTCGCATGCTGAGGAATAGTGGCTGATTTTCTTCTCCTTTATAAGGCTCCAGCCTTCTAGGGACAGCTCAGATGGGGACAACTGATATAAATCTCGTAGCTTTCCCCAAGACTCCTGTGGACTTTTTGAGCCACGTAAATGTGATCGACTGGACTCTGTCACATTCACGTTGATGATATGACTAGCAAGCGCATTCACACGAGCCAACGTAATTCGCAAATGGGGGTAGCTTGAGAGCTCGCTGTCCGCGACAAGCTTGCCTTCTACAACCGCTGCCACTCCATTCATTCCGAGCACTTTTTGCATATTGATAGCCCAACGACGGTAATCGTATCGCCCGGCCAGAGGACCACCGGAACATCTGCTGGGCATGGACAGTAGTCCATCTCCACACACTTTCTGAAAACTTTCAAGAAATTGAATAGTAAAGGCTCGGCGTTTGTCCTCTTTTGTATCTTCGGCATCCCAGTGTTTCGATAGACCTGCCGATGGCTCCGTAGGCGAGTCACTTTCTGATTTGGGTACTGGTTCGGTGGGGTCAGCGCGCAGCTTTTTGGCAGCTGATATTAACGAGTCTTCGATGGGGTCGAAAGGTCGTTTTGTTGAGGTCAGTGCTGGGGCCATTTCAGTCTCTGCTAGCCCTGGGGGACTCGAGTTATGCAAATGCGTCTATGGACCTCGAGAGTAGTGCTTTGTCCGGAACCTTGGAGTAAGCTCACCGTCAGCCGGCAGAATACAAGGGCGGTGAAGTGATCTGCATGTCAACCATGGGAATCCATCTAGACACCGCGGAATGTCCTTCGCATTCTTCGAAGGAATTTTGGAATTCCCAGCCTTCCTTTGCTATTCCATCTCCATATATATGAAAGGTGAAATGGATTCTTTTACAGAACTCTTTCACACACGGCTAAAAACCAGGTCACTCGAATAAACGCACCCGGTCCCTATATACACCGCGTTTGTTTCCTCCGTGCAACGATCCGCCATATCGCCCTTGACTCGCCGCCATGCCTTATCGTGCCCCCTTGAGGATCAAAACCATGGGTGCTCCAACCCTCTTGGAGAAACGTCCCCTCTCCCCTCAAGTCAAGACACCCTTGGGAGATGACCTAACAACCTCTCCCGCAAAAAGGCGCCGGGTATTTATGGCTGATAAGCAGTATGCGGAAGAGCCCGAAAACCCAAGCTCTCCTGCCGTCACAGACCCCAATGCCCGGAAACTGGCTGAAACTGTGGCCTTTGTGGAGCGAGCATTCAGCTCATGGAAAGCGTTCGAGGATGAGTTGCTGCCAATAGAATGCCATTGCGCACCCTTGCGTGGCCGCTCGGACTACCGCATTTGGAGCCGCAAAATTAAGATGATCCTGAAGCGACACTGCGTTCTCGATCTCGTGGAAGGCCGAATTGCACAGCTACCCCAAGCGCATCCCCTAGATCGCGATCTGGAGAGACTGAACGCAACAGCCGCCAGGATCATCACTAGAAACCTGTCTGCCCTCACTAAGCCCATGGTCCGCACCATGACCAATCCCCGGGCGATGTGGGAGAAACTTGAGAGACACTGCAAGCCGTCCGATTGGTCTTTGGCACAATCGGGTTGGATGAGCCTGCAAAATATCAAGTACAGCCGATGCTCTGGTGTGAGAGACTATGTGGAGCAGATGGATGATGCATGGAGATCTATCAGTCTTGATAGAGATGATATTTTCGAAAGTCATGAAATCGCACGCTGTGCTAGTTTGGTGTTCGCTCTGGACACGCCAAAATGGGAAACCTGGAAGACGAATGTCCTTTCAGGCCGTCAAGCCAACATCCCTAGCTGGGCAAACTTGGTGGACAAGCTGTTCGCAGCTGAGTTCAAATAGCCAGTGCTCTCATGTTTTATGTCTACCCTTCATTGCATTGCGATTTGTTTTTGGCGCTGGCGTGTTTCTTTTTCCCTTTTTCATGATTATGTCCCTGTTCCAAAAATTTCCCCCAATGATTATGTGCTAGTATCGTGTAATATCTAGTGTGATTTCATTTCCACAGCCAATCGAACTTGAATTGTTCTTTTATCACAACCCCATCTCAGCTCTGGTTGAGCTTCACTCGATCTGACTCCTTAGTTCCTAAAATAAGAGTGGCCAAGACAGACAGGCCCCACCTGGCGTACTCACATGAAATCTCCATGGGCTTCGGGGAGTGTCCTACATGCGACTAAACCTTTCTGAACCACCGGTAAATTCTCACCTGCATCGACTACTCGTATATTTGGGAGGATGAAAACAGAACTCTCCCGGGAAATTACTTGCGGCAAAACGATTGTCTCCAAGATTAGGATCAACGTGCTTAAGCCTCCAGAAATTATGGACGATCTCGACGTTTAAAGAAATGATCGCGCGAACAAGGCTGCTACAGGGAAAAGCGGAACGCCGAATAGCACAGGAAATCTTATCTGATCGTCGATCATCATTGAGACAAGCTTTCCGGTGGGCCGGGGCAGTGTTGGCCGACGTCAAACGGGTGGCGATACTTTCACTCGGCTCGGGCATTTGATATACGAATGACATGATCCATTTATTATTCTTTCGCAGTACTTGTGCTTCTCCTATACAGTGATGTTGATACTCCATAACATTGTCTACTTGATTCAAAGTAAGGATTCATAAAAGACATGCAAATCAATCCGAAACGCCAGACGCAGTGTGATATCTCCCCTTAATCAAGCTCATTCACGGGTGCTCCCAGAGCGGGAACAACCTCGATGATCGACTCCATTCCCGGACTAAAGTTCCAAATTCCATTAATTCTCAGACCAACACTAGCCAATAGCTCGGTCCATTGACGCTTCGATCTCTCCACCCCAGCACCAATGCTCATCATCTGGATGTCCATGGCTGACTGCATACGCCCCGCATTAGTGTCAGGGAGAACAAAGTCCACAATGATGATACGGGAGTATGTGGGGTCCATAGCTGCCGCTGTGTTGAGAAGGATTTTCTGGCAAATGTGGTCTGGCCAATCGTGGAAAATGGCCCGGAAGTAATATGCGCGTGCATCTATCGAGACAATGTTAGCCCCATCCATCCAGCCGCTGTTCTCTTCTGGCCACGTAGCAGGGATTTAGATGATACTCACTCTTCACAGGTTGTGGGTCTAGGAAACTGTATCCCATTGTCTCAATGCCCGTCCGGTCAACCGTTGAGACGATTTTGGGCAGATCCTGTAGAATAAGCCGCCCCGGCTTGGACCTGTACCCGGAGACAAACCTGCCGAGATCATGACCCTGGTTTCCTCCGATGTCCACTAAGAAGACAGCTTCGGGGTGGGAGCTTGCCCCGTCTATTAATCTTTCCAGGGGGTAGACGTCAAACCAGTTGGGCTTTCCCTCTCGTCTGCTGGACATGTATGAATTGAACAGAGCCTGATGGCGTTTGTTCTTGGCAAGCCATTCGAACTGGCTCTGTCCAACAGCCCACTGCATTGGAGATGAGGTATACTCCTCTGGATTGATGTAATTGTGCTCCCGGAGGTACTCCGGAAGTTTCGTGAGGGTGGGGACTGTAAGGTCGTAGCTGGAGCTGTCAGCTTTATTTCGGAATATGAAGCAGGGTCTGGCCCAAATTACATGCAAGGGACCCCATTTTGCCCTATTGGCTGGGTCATTGGGATGGTTTTCTCATTTGGTCGGTATATTTCGGGCTCAATGTTTGTGCATAGGCCAAGTGCAGACATCACCCTCATGAGGCGCACTTGAGACTGTTAGTAACCTTTTTGTTGGTGTTGAGATTGACTTACCGATCAAGGCTCTGTCGGCACCGGTACAAAGGGCTATATCTGTGGCCGTAAGGCCGTCTTTCTGGCCATCCCTCACAAGAAGCGGGAAAATTCCCAGATCCACAACGGTGCGCAGAGCAGCGTTCTCTGGGGGCTATTAATGTCAAGTTAACATGGAAACTCTGGAAAGTATAGATGCAATTGACCGACCTGGTAGATCAATCGAAGAACGGTCTCGGTAGGGGTTTCAATGGCCAGCTTTAGCTCATCAACAAGCTGAAGAAGACGAGCATGTCCATGAGCAGAAGGGATAGGGTCGCAAGTGACCTCTTCTCTGATCTGGTCAGTCAAGGAAAGAATAGTAGAGGTGGCCATGTTGAGATATTATAGATCTGAGCAGGATGAGAGAAGGGAAACAGCTGGGGCGAGCAACTACTACTTATACTGGGAGTGAGTCGACACCGTCCTTACCCCAATGCGGATCGAAACAAGGCCCAGTACGGACAGAACTCGGATAGCGAAAATGAATAACATCCATGCACTCTCCGGTCTCGCTCTGTGGAAACAAAAGGCGCCAATTGCGCCATGTGCGAGGGCGAATAGACACCAAACCCACTTGTCAAACGAGGCAGCTCCTACTTTTAGATGTTAGTACTCGTACAATTGGACCCATCGCGATGGACCCACGTCGATCTCTCCACTTTGTAATTGAGGAAAAAAGAAAACAAGAAGCAACTACTTGTAGTAGTGAAGTGTTGGTTGAACTCTGTCCACTGATCCACTGTCTGCATGGAGTAATGCCCTGCTTATCGCGTATACCTTCAACTCGGACACCGCGCTTGATGCGGGTTTTAAACAAATCAATAATTCCTTCTTTACTTCCTAATTTCGCAGTTTGAGATATTCTCAATGCCGCATATCTATCAACCTCTCCAACATCACTGGCTATAGCTCCAGGAAGGTATCAATCAGCTCGGACGGCTGATCAAAGAAATCAAACATCACAATCCCCACCCGCTTGCCTTTCTGTCCTCTCAAAAAAGGAACCAGGAACTGGTTTACCCCACCAACTGGAGTATATTCCGTGCCGTTCCCCAAAGCCATTATGCGAGGCCAAATGGGGGGTTCATTCGGGGTATTTGTAGCGGATGCAAAGGTCCAGAACAAACTGTCCGGATGCTCCTTGGTAGCTTTGTGGATGTGTTTCACAGTAGCGTTGTATTTCCATCGGATATTCTCCTTTGCTTCAGATCCCATTGGTGTGAGGGGCTGGTAGTAGTCCTCGATATAAGCAGTCAGATTGTCCGCGGCATTGTAAACTAGTTCAATATCTTGACCGTTGTCAGTCCAGAGACGAGGCGAGAAGTGAAGTCCAGGGAGCGCGTCTGTATAAGACTGTGGTATTTTATCCAGATCGAATCGGCGCAAAAGATTGATTTTTCCACGTGCATCCCCCAATTTCCCCAGGGTATCTTTATTTTGAATAAAATACTGACGAGCAGCTGGGGAAGTGAGGATATTATGAAGCAGCAATTGCAAGGTCGCGTCGTTGGACGCATAGGGAGATGTTGAGCTCTCATACTGCAGCGACAGGAACACTGTCTCCGAAGGGTGGTCATCTAGCCACTGGTAAAATCCAAACAAAACATCGTCGACGGTGGCTATTTCCGACAGCAGGGCCTTGGAATGATAGAAAATCAGAGTGGTGTTGGTGGGATCGTAAGCATACCGCAAGTCGAATGCGCGTATGCCCATATCAAGCATATTGATCAAAGATAACTGTTGACAACGAAATGTCATTGGAGCGGGCACAGTAACCTGGTTAAGGTCGGTGATGCCTTTCAACGCATCTTGCGAGGCCTGAGTGTAATTCCAAGTGGCGCTGTCATGGGTCCCTGGGATATTCATGTGAACCAGCAATGTTTCGTCTGGATATTGTTTCATCCATTGCGACCTATTTCCTGACCTGTGGGCGTAGGGTCCAAATATCGGGGCTGCATCTTCCAGGACTTTTTGCAGTGCGAAGTCCGCTAGGGGTGAAGATGCAAATGGAGATGTGCACAGGGCCAACGCCGTGAGCGTCGACTTCCACATATTAATGATACTTCTCTCAAGTATTCAAACTGAATGGATTCTAAAGATTAAATGATGAGAAGACAAGACTGAGTTGTGGATGCGGAATATGGGGGCCTTCAAGGCCAACGTTGATGCCTCAAGGGGGCCGCCAAGGTCGCTTGCGCTTCTACACTCCGGACTCTTCCATCTCCACATCTGAGAGGACCAACTCCATCGCGTCGAAGCGAAGTTTTTGACGATGATTGAAGCGAAATGGTTGTCACTCACGCACGTGTACCCATTGCCGAGTCGCGACTGGTGCGGAGACGGTGGATCTGGTTTATAGCGGGACTAGCTGCCATCGGGTTCGAGCTGTTTATATTCAGAGACCTGAGGCGCTGGTTCTCTTCACCTCAACTGCTCGGGAATATGCGAAATCTCATCTTTCTTTCCGCGGGGGCCGCCCTGGCTCTCAACCCAAGGGATACATTCTATCCGCCAACCTTGAGTGACCCTGCCTACATCGCCAATGGCTCCATTGGGACCTACGGTGGTATCTACAAGGCTGATACCAATGGCCCAACCGGTGGAACTCCCTACGGGACTTATGACTATTGCTCAATGCCGCATCCTCGCTCAGAGGAATATGGGTTACCCGAGGCTCTCACTAACGGGTCAACCAAGGGCAAACTTGTGTACTTGGAGTACCTCCAACGCCACCAACGGCGCTCTCCGTACAACATTCTGCCAGGGGGGGAGGTAAGGATCCAGTGCTGAATCATCCCAGCTAGCGCTAACTACTCGCCAGAATCAAGCATATCATTGTGATGACGTCCGTCCGTACCTGTACGCAGGATCCAACGGCGCAAGCGGTATTCAGCCAATGCCCATGTACGCTCAGACGTACCAGGACCCCACCAACCCCTTCACCCCAGGTGTGAATGGTACATGTCAGTATCCGCAAATCACCATTGGTGGTGTGCAGGACGGATTCCAGCATGGTAAAGACCTATGGGCAGTCTACGGTCAGAAGCTGGGCCTGATCCCCCAGCGACCAAACCATCGTGTTTGGTTCCGATCCAGCGGGTCTGCTCTTACCCAGGCCTCGGCTGGTGCTGTCCTGCGTGGCGTCTGGCCCAATTACCAAGGAGCTTTACCGTTACATCAGATGGTTTCCTCTGTCGATACTGTCAATGAAGGGTACACATGTGCTGCTGTCAGCTCTACTCTTTCTGATATAAAGTCGACAGCAGAGTGGAAGGAGCATATGACTGTCACCGAGGAGCTGCGTTCAAATTTGGGCTCAATGCTTGGTGCGACGGATAGTTCTTGGCAGAGTACCTTCGACCACTTCTCGGACAATTTCCAGGCTCGCCTTTGTAATGGATATGAACTTCCTTGCAGCTTGTCGAACTCCTCAGCTTGTGTCAGTAAGGAGATGGCCGAGGAGGTCTTCCGTGCTGGTGACTGGGAGTGGAACTACTACTGGCGCACAAACCCAGATGTGGTCAAGTACATCCAAGTCGTCGAAGGTCTATTTATTGGCGAGATTGTTTCTCGCCTGCAGGCAGTTTTGGATGGTCACTCTTCGCTTGACTATAGTCATATCTTCATTCATGATGGTGATATCGGCCCTATACTGGGTGCTCTGGGAATCGACGTGCTGCGCTGGCCGGCTATGGCATCTAACATTGCTTTCGAAGTTTGGTAAGTTGACACTGGATGTTTTGGTCGGTTCCAGATCAGCTGACATGAATATGAAATCTAGGGAAACCGAGGGAAGTGAAAAGTCATTCTATGCTCGAGTTCTATACAGCGGGCATCCCATAAGAACTGTCCACGGGGTACTTGACTGGGTTCCACTCTCGGGCCTGATTGGCATTCTGCACCCATATGTTCCCCAGGATATCACATCTCTTTGTGAATGAAGGACTGCTTCTCTGGAAAAGTCATTGAAAGACCATTGGAGATATCATCTAAGAGACCCCTCTGAAATAATGTTTCTGAGGTTTTCTTTACATCCAGTGTCTTGATACGAACGGCTGAGACACCGTTTCTCCAATATTTACTTTAGATTGCTTTTAATAGCTAGTTACCTTCATTAAAATCGGGAGTCATCTTGATAAAAAAAAAAGTAAATGGACTCGAATTATTAATAATTAATAGAATATTTCATCCTCCCAAGGCTGTAACAGCGCACCGCTCATCCAAAAACAAAACGCTATGCACCTTTTCATCGTCCATATTTTCAACCACAATAAGCCCCCTACTCCGAAAGAGCAAACTTGCTCAAAGCACGAAGTCTGCGGCCATAGAAGTAAAGCAGCCAAATACCAATGATACCAATAACACTCAACCCACCAAGAAGACTGACACCCCTAGCCACACCCAGGTTCCCGAACAGCGGATGCGCAAACAACACACTTCCACAAGCAAGAGCACTGCGGAAGAAATCATTTGCCGCGAACAAACTAGCCGCATACTGGGGGTAGCTGAGCGGGATGTAAACGAAGATACATTGCATGACGATGAAGACCGTCGCGCCGTAAATGGTGATGCCAATGGTGGGTGCGATCCAATGAATAGATGCGCGAGCAGTCCAAGCAAAAAGGAAGAGACCGATAGTAGGACCGAAAGAAGCAGGCAGAGCGGGAAGAAGACGGGACTCTTGTGCTCCGAACCCGAGGCGTCGAATGCGGGGATTCATCCAGTAGTGGATGTATGCGACGTAAATGGCTATTCCGACGATACATGAAACCATGATACATAGGAAGACGAGACCGATCTGGCCGAGGTTCATGTTGTAGTCGACTGGGTAGACGAGGGGGAAGACCTCGAAGAAAGAGTAGTAGATGCCATAGATGATGGCCGTGTAGATCTGGACGAAAAGCACGGCTGGATCCTTGATGGTGATTTCCAAAGGCTTGATCAGAGCATCCACGGCAATGTCTGAGACATGCATGTTCCGCTGGTCGATCTCAGACTGGGACATGAACCGGCTGTTATTGTGAATCTTGCGCAGGCGGGCAGCACGCCTGAGCAGGATTGTGGCAGTGCTGGTTTCCGGGAGGAACAGGAACATCAGGATCAGGACTGGGGCAGAAGCCCAGATTGATATGTAGAGGGACCAACGCCAGCCCTTGACTGGGACGGCGAAACCACTGAGAAGGGGTCCGAGGGCAGCTGATAATTTGTGTTAGCACTTGAGCAAAAGGTATGAGTCTGCGAGTGAAGGGATGGGAACTTACGTCCACAGTAAGCGGCAGAAACCCAAGCCATCATGGCGTAAGGAAGAGACATCAGGCTATACATGTCTTGGATTGAGGCACCTCCAGATGCCAGACATGGAGAGCCAAAGAAGCCCTGAAGGAAACGAAGAACCATCAAGCCGGCGAAGTTTTTTACCAAAGCCGTTGGGATGGAGAGAATGACGAAGAGGAACATTGTGACAATGTAGACTGGATTGCGTCCAATGACTGGGATCTCACTCAGTGGAGAGAAGACAAGGGGACCCATTCCATATCCAAGAACATAGAGCGACAGGCCCAAAGTTGCGATCAGGGTACTCACACCAAACTCCTTCATGACCCCCTCTGTGGAGGATGTATAGATGGCAGAAGTGGTGTATACAACAAAGGTATATAGACAAATGATGGTGGCGATGAGAGCACGCTTTCGATTGGACCAATTGTGAGGGTTGTCCGAGTCGTCAGTGTAGTACCAATCAACGAGGATGGCTCCATCCTTTGTCTTCTTGGGTGTAATTGGAATAGATTTTGTTTTTTCGATCTCATGTTGTAGCTCAGTCTCGAGACGGGCTTCGGAGGGTGTCAAAGAAGCTATGGTGGAGGTCCGACTCAAGGGCTCGCTGCTGTTATTGGTATCTTCGGGATTAACCTTTTCGTCTCCAATGGTGCTTGCAGCAGAATCGTTCAATAGCTGAAGCCAGGCATCGGGGAGCTTGAAGTCGGGTTGTTCTTCCGGGTATTTGAAGTATTTGTTGTTTGTCAGGTAGCGAACAATCTGCCCAAAGGGGGCATCTCGAATAGCAGCTTCCATTTGTGTGACGTCGAGTACCAGTGGTACTACAAGTTTAGGGCTGCAGCTTGATTTGACTTGATAATTTTGACAATGTCAGGTAGGACAGACACATTATATACTCTCATCATATCTTTATTATTCTGTGAGCCTCACGGAGCTGCCAGGATTTTCGATTTAAATCCGAATATGCATAATCAGCTTGATTCCAAAGCAAAAGTGCAAGGAATAATCAATAATCATCTTAGGAATCAATGAGAGTGGATATCTCGATCCACCTATCAGAAGGATCTCCCCAACGCCATCCTAGAAAAGTCGTGTTCAAGTTGGCCCGATCCCGAACGTCACGACCCGTATACGTGGGTAAGCATAGAGTTTGCTGGACTTACCGTGGGACGCCTGGGAAAAACCATGGGAAACATGTGAAAGTCTCGTACAAATAAGCTATGCTGACAGATCAATCGGGGCTGATCCACGGATCGCGCCATAGCCAACCGTGGGAAGTTGACAGCTTAACCCCGACATTCATATCTCCGTAAACTCACCTGGGTCCAGATCTACTCGTATGAGTCAATTGCCAAGAACGGAATACGAAAACCTGCAAGATGCGTGTTCTCACAGTGTTGGCGTCATCTCTGCTTGAAAAATAATTAATCTGTACATGTATTTACATCGGAATCGTTGAGGCCCCCAGCGCCACGCAATGGTAGATGAAACTCAGATAAGAGCTCTTTATTTCATCGTACTATCAACCAGCTCCCGATAGATTTTCTTGAGATCGGCGATGTCAGCATTCAGCTCGTCCACTTGCTCGCTCTTCTCGCCCAACATCTCAAGGGTCGTCTGATACCGCTGGTCGAGGTCGTCTAGCTCAGCTTGGAGTTCTTCTACACGAGAAGCAGAGAGCTGCTTTTCCTCAAGTTCACGCATCAAGTCCACAACTTGCTGACGAGCCTCGTCGCGCTGAGTCGTCACACGTGCCAGCTCATCCTTGGTGCCGGCCCGCTCGCTCTCCAGGCGACGCACGGACGCACTCATGCGCTCGACGAGCTGCACGGAGGGACCGGCGCCAACGGTATTTTCCGAGATAATGTCGTTGATGCCACGCGGAGGTGCCTGAGTACCACCGTAAGCCGAAGGAGTGGCAGGGGTGCCCGAATCACCGAAGTATTCATCGGGCTCAAAGCTGATGGAGGGTGCTCCGATCATTGATGGGTTGGTATTGAGAGGCGGAGGAGAAAGTGTTGCTTGGTTGATCGAAGCAGGGTAGGAGTTTTGTCGGGGCGGCGTACCAATCTCCGGTGAAGCAAACGGCATCCCGGATGAGCGTCGGCTGGGAGGACGGAAATCCGAGAGCCCAGGGGCCAGGGCATCAAGGGTGCTGGACCGCCGAGTAGACGCGACAGGGGATACTCCACGCGTCTGCGATGGAGAATTCGTCTGTATCTGGTCTCTCCATTTGGCCCGCTCGTCCTCTAGCTTCTGCGACCATGTAGTGTCAGAGGTCTTTTTCTGCTCGGTCATCTCCTTTTGCGTAGAAGCGAGATCTTCCGCCGCCTTGGTAAGTTTTTGCTGTAGCTTCTCCAACTCTTGCATGCGCTCCTCTAGTTTGCCGTTCAGGTCGTGCTCGGTCTCTTTTGCGTTGTCTAGATTCTCCTCGAAATTCTTCAGCTTGGTGTTCTAGAATATCCATGTCAGTATTCCATATCAAGTCGAACATTGATGATTTCATCTCACCATCTCTCGGATTTTCTTGCGCAGATCACTCTCCCTCCGACTGGTATCGTCACGCTCCTTCTCTACATTGGCCAAGCGTGAAAGCAAAGAGCCTTCAAGAGTATGCCAGTTTTCACTAGCAGCAGCATACTGGGTCTGGAGAGTTTCGATCTGGCGCAGAAGCTTGGCTTGGGTTTCTCCTGTAGTCCCCGATGAAGCTTCTTCAGCACGGGCCCGAAGACTTTCCATCTTGCTTTCTAGGACAGACTGTTCGCTCTTCAACTCAGCTTCAAGCTTTTGGGCTTTTTCCTTCTCCTGTTTCACATTTTCCTGCAGATCGGCGATCTCTCTCTGTGACTTTTCGTTGCTGATGTCGAGTTCAATCTTCAGATTTGAGAGCTCCTCCTCTAGCTCTTCGGCTCTTTGCTTCTCCTGGTCCAGTGCATCAGAGCTTGCCTTGCTTTCCGCAGCTTCGGCGCGAGATACTGCACGACTCAGTTGCGACTTCATTTCTTGGACAGTTTGACTGAGGGCGTTGCGTTCATTTGTGACAGCTTCGAAGTCTTTCGTCGATTTGGTTTGAGACGAGAGGGACTCGTTTGTCCGTTTTTCGGCTGCCTCTGCCCGTTTGGCTCTCGTCTCAGAGTTGGCCAAATCTCGTTCCAGCTTCTCGGTCTTCTTTTTCATTTCAGTCTGCGACTTTGTGTTCTCAATCAGTTGCTGGCGCAGCTTTTTTATTACAGTCCGATGGTCCATCTCTGACTTCGAAAGTTTCTGGCCCTCTTCAAGCAGTAGAGCAATCTTCTCGTCTTTCTCAAGAAGTTGCTTTTTTGTGCTGCCTGGCGTGGCACTCGCTGCCGCACTCTTGGCCGACTCTGCAGCATCCTTTGCTAAATATTTGAGCTTCGACTGCAGTGCGTCTATGCGCTCAACGTAGCCATGTAGTTCTTCTTGCCATTGGGATTCAGCTGCTTGGTGGTCCGCTTGCATACGAGCGATTTCCGGGTTTGGGTTGTCCGTCGTGTTGGATGGAGCATCAACACTAACTCGTGGGCTATCGCCTGAAGCAATAGCACTTAATGCCTCGTGTCGTTGACTTTCCTGAATTTCTTGGTCAACCTTCTCCGATTCAGTTGACGGTTGAGCCACATCGACTGAGGCCCTGGGGATAGAATCCGTCACGCTAATGTCTGCGGATACACGAGCTATGTCTGCGGAATCGTGGCTCGGCCTTGGAGAATCTATTGTATTTGTAGTATCTCCTCCAGTTGCTGAACCTTTCTGGTCTTCCTGCGTACTCGTGACGGACGCGGCACTGGAATCGATGTCCATACTGGACCGAGCTCCGATACTTGGCACTGGGCTAGCAGGCGGGGACGATACTCTGCTTTGCGGGGAATTCGAGGAGAGATTTGAGGCATTTTGCTTGACCATGGCTCTGGCCAAACGTTCCTGGAGTCGATCATTCCTTTTCGCGCTCGACGAACTGCGGGACATTGCTTAGAGCCCATTAGTCAATTTTGTGGTGCCGCTTGATCTCTTGGGAGGTTTCTTACATGCAGCTGGAGCCTTCACCGTTGGCTTGTCTCCATTTGCGTTCTCTGTAGGCTTTCCAGTCGTGCTGGTCTGGTTTCCACTCTCGTCCATTAAGATGTTGTCCAGCCGAGACTCAACACCCGCTACTGCCTGCTGGAAAAACGATCCCATCCCCCATTTTTGCTTTGGCGCGTTTTGTTCCTGAGCCATTGTCGCACGTTATGGTTTTAATGATTGCGAGAAGGCTACAATGCGGGAGATGTATCGGGTTGCATTCGCATAGATTCGGCGGGGACTGCGCTCGGACACCGTCCTGTCACGATGATCGTGAGGGGCAATCTGAAAACGTTCTGTCTATAGATCCCTAGGCTTGGGGGTCTGGTTCCCGTCTTGTTCTCGGGTGGAACGACCGACTGGTGGAAGTGTCGAGCCAAAGGTACTAGGCAGAACCCGAATACGTAGAGTAAGGCGCTAAGGCAACAAGCTCGGAGGATGCGAAGAATTCCACTGGCAATAGAGAATAGCCCAGGCGAAAGGACAATTCGAGGGTGGCCACAGGTAAAGAAAGTGAAGGTTGGAGCAAAAGAGACAGTTGTTGAGGCTGTGGCTTGAGATACCGTCGGTCTTGGCGCAGGCTTCCGTCATCCCCAAGCTTCCCCGTCCCTCAGGACACACCTCCAGTTATCAGACACTGCCAGCGACGCTCTTTTTCCTGGCTCAGCACTGCTCATATCACATCCAATATGTCGCTGGAGCCCCCAACCTACCTCGGCTCCCTTCAGAATAATATTCGAGCTCGGCCAATTCCATGGGAGGGCGCTGTTCGAGCGGGCAACATCACCGATGACCACTTGAAGAAGATCAAGGCGGTAGACAAGGTGCGCAAGGACCAGCGCCGTCAAACGATAGAAGCAGATCTCGCTGGATACACAGATTTGTTGGCCGGTGGTGCCCAAGAGAAGAGCGTCTTGGACTTGGCCTCCCGAAGGACCGATATTGTGCAATACATCCTAGTGCTGGCCTCGGATTTAATCCAAGGTACTACTGATCATTATTGCTGGGGCGGAGCTGTGCTAATCAAACATTCATAGACGTCCCATCTCTGGCGAACTCCCTCATCTCCCACCTAGAACCGTACAAGCCATTCCTACCATTCCTGCAGCACTCGACCAATGCCGAAGACCCTATCCCTCTGCTCACCTCCACCTTCCTCACGGCTTTAGTTTCACACAGCCTGGTTGCTACATCTAAACCCGCCGCGCGCGACAATGAAGCTCTCCCCCAGCTATATGCTTATCTCTCCACTCTGGCCAAGAACCAGGACAGTGGACTCCAAGACATTGGCGTTCAAGGATTCTCAGAGTTGCTGCGAACTTCGAAATCTAGACAGATCTTCTGGGCGCAACGAAAGGAGACTTTGGACCCCTTGATCGAGACCCTCCGAACTGCGGCGGGATCGAAAGACAATGCTAGCACTCTCGGAAACAGCACTCGCGGAGCGGAGCCTGGTCTTGCAGGCGGCGTAAGCCTGCAGCTCTTGTACCGGGTGTTGTTAGTGCTGTGGCAGCTTGCATTCGAGGGTGCTCTCGTGGGTGATGAACTACAAGAGTGAGTTTCAAAGACAAGAGATAGGTCTGCTTCTTGAGCGGTTGCTAACATCTTTCAGGAACTATGAAATTATCCAGCTGTACAGTCAGCTCCTGCGCCTTTCACCGAAAGAAAAGACCACACGTTTGCTCCTCGCAACTCTGTACAGTCTTTGCTCTACCAACCGGACGTCCTTGCTCCCCATCGCCGTTTTCGTTCGACTCCCCGCTCTCTTGGCCAACCTGGGAGGCCGCCATCTCACCGATCCCGATCTGCTCGAGGATCTCAATGCGCTCTCTACCATGTTGGAGGAATACACCAAGACCCAGACCACTTTCGACGAATATTCCGCCGAGGTTCAGTCCGGCCAGCTGCGCTGGTCGCCTCCCCACAAGAACCCGACTTTCTGGAAGGAAAATGCCCGGCGGATCGTTGAGGAGTCTAACGCAGCTTTGCCCAAGAAGCTGGTTGAGATTTTATCCAAGAGTTGGGACAATGATAAACAGGTGTTGGCTATTGCCTGTAACGACGTACGGAACCTCGTGAAGGAGGTTCCCGAGCGTCGTGGGCAACTGGAGCGCCTGGGTCTGAAGGCAAGAGTCATGGAACTGATGGCTGATAAAGATGAAGCGGTGCGGTGGGAGAGTCTACACGCCGTTGGCGAGTGGCTCCGGTATAGCTTTGAAGGGTGATGGTCCTATTTTCTGATTGTTTTTTTCCTCCCAGGATGAACATATACTCCTGAGCATGTACTGTTTATTTTCCTTGCCATAGCGCATACACCTCTTTTGGGCTAGAATCCACTGAAACAATCTTGATGCCGGTGGATCTTGCGATCGGCCGCTAAAGAACCATACATCGGTAGGTCTTTTTGTAGGTTCTTGTGGTCTTGTTCAATTGTCGACTTGTATACCTTGTTCTCCTGTTCTCCTGTTCTTATCAAACTTATATAACTAGGGTTCCCTGCGAGTCCCATTCCCCCGGATAAGCCTATTTGCCACGCGGGAGGGGGATCGTTATCCTTCCCCGCAGAAATTCTTCGACCACCACCCAGCATGTCGAGATCCTTCACAGGCTGCAAGAGATGTAAATCCCGTCGACAGAAATGTGACGAGCAACGACCGAATTGTGGCCGGTGCCAGACAGCAGGCGAGCAGTGCCAATATGCAATGCAACTGCAGTGGGGAGGGCGGGCATTCTCGCGATCGCGATTCGGTGCCTGCGTCGGAGGCACGGGAGGCATGCAAAGACTAGGTACGATCTGGGCTCAAAGATTTTGCAAACGTTCACTCGTTGACCATATTCAGAATATTCACCTGGAGAGTTCATCTACACTACCAAGACCAAGGCTGCACAGTCGGGGTCAGAACTGACTCTATCGCAACCCGTCGATCCTTTTTCCTCCTTGTCCTCCGATCAAAAGGCCCTGCTACACCACTTTATAAACGATGCCTCTCAGATTACCGCATGTCATTCAGGCATGCAGCAGGATATATGTCGCATGCTAGTCCCCATGGCCCTTCAGACTCCGTCGCTGCTCTACGCCACCACTGCCCTCTCCGCGATCCATATCCAAGCCCTACACAATCAGTCGGACTCTGTAAAATCAGCCCCAGATATTGCCCGGCTGATGGCTCTAAGCCTTGAGCATTTTCGCACAGAATTGCAAAACCCCTCGTCGAAGGATTCGGAGGCGCTGGTGGCGACAGCCCGGACATTATGTCTCGCGGAGATCCATTCGGGAGCCATCAACCCCAACTCATGGAGGGCGCATATCGACGGAGCGAGAGCATTGATGAAGGCTTCAGATGCAGCCGGCGAAGACTCGCTGCGGTCTGCAAGCGGGTTCCGCCGGTATCTCGATCGCTGGTATTGGTCGATTGTGTCTCTCACAGCATTAACCGGGAATGGCCCCCCGATTGGAGAGACATCAGACTTCGTTTCTTCGGATCTGATGGGCATGGGCGAGTCTCCGGATTTTCTGGACGACTATTGGGGCTTCAGTGTTGATCTTGCGGCTGTTTTCCGGCAGATTGGGGCTGTCGCTTGGCGCAACCATGAAGCTGAAAAGGCTACTGGAGGCTTCGTGGCGGGAGAACTTGAAAGTAATGTCGATGAAGATGCCGAAGCTCTGGAATTTGCAATCCGGAGGTTAATGAATCGTGACTCTACCCCCCAGCCCTCATTCTACCCTGGAGCAGCGGAGAGTTTATCAGCGGAGAGTGCGCAACAGCTCTTACTTTGCAATGAGGCTTTCCAGCACAGTGCGCTCATTCAAATACATCGGCGTCTGCGAAAAACGCCAACTACCTCGCCGGAGGTACAACAGTCGGTGAAGCGTATTTTAGAATGCACCGCACAAATCGGCCCATCATCCGGCCTCACACCTTGGGTGATATTAACGACGCCGATCTTCATTGCCGGCTGCGAAGCTCGCGATCAAGATAGAGATACCGTCAGGCAACTGCTTTCATCATTGCATGACACCATTCATATCCCGAACGTTTTACAGTCACTCAAATTTCTCGAGCAGTATTGGTCAAATCAGCTCAGCGAGGAAGAAGATTGGAGTCATTTCCTTGGTACGAATTCATATACTCTTCGCGCTTTCAAAGCTAACTTATGACTTTCCTAGACCGAATGCAATTCGATTTCATTCCTTACTAGGAACGCAATCGCTGAGCATATGTTGGCATTCCTCGTGTGCAATGATTCAGGCGTTTCGCTTTGGGGGCTTTCTTTTAACACATACACTGGACTCGGGATCGCGGCGGGAAGTTATATTTATAGGACGAATATATGATTAATGCTCAAATTCGAAGAGGCAAAGAAGATACAGAATTTCCCGCACTTGGCCTCGATTGCATCTGAGGCAAACTTTCGCCTTGCCTTCTGTCCCAACCTGCCAGGAAAACATTAAGCAGCTCGTTCGCGACACCCAACAGCAAGAAAATCGCAATGACCTGGCCGAAGGTCCAACCCTTTTCTTCGGGGTCAAGCTCGTTACGTTGGATAGTCTGCTCCAATGAAACAATCAAATACACGCAAAAGGAGCAGTAAGCCACCCTGTTCAGTGTGTATTTGAGCAAGGCTTGGCCATGCAGTCTCTCTGGTGGCCCTGGATCTCTCTGGTATGCCGGAGAATTGACTTCTACAAACCAGTTGATCCATCCCCTCGTTTGGCCTTCGATTCTGTTGCCACTCGGGGGATTCCGTTTGCGATTCCCGTAGTACACACACAGGCACGGCAACATACATATGAAAACAATGGCGTAACTTGCCACTACCAACCCCAGGGTCCCAAGGATGATGTATCGGAAGACAGGCGATACAGCTGTAATACTGATTCCAAACACAACATACACGGTATCACCGTTGCATTCGGGCTGGCTACCGAAATGAGGCGCCGTGACCCAGACATAGATGTTGAAAGCGAGGAAAGCCCCCAATGCCAGAACCTGAAGAAAGGCAAAGAAGTATAGTCTCCAGGGACCAAGCCCTGCGTATCGTCCCTTGTTGACTAGGTCAATGCCTAGGATAGCGAGAAGATGGACGACACATATGGCGTGGAAGAGCGTTAGGTCGCCCTTGACGGTCTGGTAGATTGCTGTACAGAGGAGGGCGAGGCCTTGCATGCCGAGGGCGGAGGAGACACCTCGCGAGAATTCCTCTTGATCCTCTCCTGGTGCAAAAACGCGAAGCAAATAGCTTACTATTGACCCACCCAGGCAGAGGGCATAAATGGATATGCGAATCTGCGGGTATGGTGTTAGCTATGCTTGCGCGTGGAAGTGAGCACTTGAGGTGGGTGGCGATGAACTATAGAATGTCTGGAATAATGATACTCACACCGACTCCAGACACATCTGGATTCGCTTCAATGACACAGGTTGTCGAGTTCATGCTGAGCCGAAGTATACTCGCTGTGAGGACTTTCCAAGCGACACACTTTACGGGCTTGCTTTACAGGCTGAGCAGCTCTATATCACAGTTTCACTGTTCTCAGTCGCTTTCAGAACCCAAGAATCCTCTATCAGACCGCATGATAAAAAATCAAACAAGTCAACGCAGACCGGTCAAGGCAACTGGGCACTAAGAGTCTCTTGGCAGCCGTATTGCGCCACAAATTCTTGCGGTGACCATCCAAATGACATCTGCAGATCCCGATCAGTGAGTCAAGGCTGATTCTGTCAACATGGCATTGTGGCTTTCCTGCCAGTAAGGTCACTTCAATTGGGTCGCGAAATGATGCCCCATATGGCGCCCCGGGCCATTGCTTACTGCAGGAACCGCTAAGCCTGAACTGGGGTGCTCGAGCCAACATCGGTGGCTTAGACTCGCCAGTCTTGCCTCTTGATTGGTTACTCGGGAAGTGTATCTTCAATGTACTCCAGGTCTTCGTTTAAGCCACGGTAAATACTTGGAATGTGGCCCGGTCAGTGGGGAGAAACGGGACCCTGAGGCTTTTCAGCCTCTTAAGTGCATACGAGATTTCTCTCCGATGAGATGAACATTTCTAGGCGAGAGCTTCCCTTTGATCTCCTCTTTTAGTCGTGAGTCGACCGGATGAGTCCTTTATAAACCGGAATCTCGCTCATGAGATACTCATCGATTTGATACAGGGTATTCTAAATATTGCGAATCACTTGATAGCCATCACTGTTATTCTATCCAGCCAATAGCCCCTCCGAGGTGCTGGAAAATATTAGAGCATCATGGACATGGAAAATGCTAACCGTCCGGCTATCAGCAGTGAGTCTCGTTTTTGATGATTTCCCCATCCCTCTACGCATCAAAAATAGCAGTCACTATCTAGTCCCAGTCTTCATCTACTGCATATATCTCTTTGTCTTTGCTAACAGTCAGGATCATAGTATGGGTATTCTTCGCCCTAGCAGCACTTGACATCGCAGCCAATGCTGCCGCTGGTCCAGCTGCCGTTGCAACAGCCGCCCATGTGAATGGCAGTCCACTCACAGCACGGGCATTACAGCTTGGAGCACTGGCTGGTGTTACCAAATCGGGAATTCTGGCTTTCGTCGAATTTCTGGGATATGCAGGTTTGCCGACACCAGCTTGGGTACTGCTGGTCTTGGTGGCGAGTTGCTTTGGCATTTGTGTAATCATCACAGCTGAGATCAGCAACTTGGTGCTGGGAGAGAGTAAGCCTTTGACAAGGGCTTTGTGTTGTTGATCTGCTAATCTTTGGTAGCACCGAGCGCACTGCTTGTTGCAGCTGTTGTTGCAGCTATCCCTTTGTGGGGTGAATGTATCGGTATCTATCAGTGTAAGCATTCCTTCTTCGCCTGCGAATCATATTGAGCTAGGTATTGACGATTGATGCAGCGGCCGGAGGCCTGTATGGCGGTAAACCTCAAACCCAGACCTGCATCATGGGACTGGATGCCTTGGGGGGATATGTGTTTGCTCGGATGGCACACAATGGTGGTTATGACATCTGCTCCTATAACGCTGCGGCTGCCGCTGGAGCAGTATATGGGACGATCACCGGGGTCTTTCATACAATCCTTGGATGTATGGCCGGGTGTGCTACCTATGAAAGCACCAACGGACATTATACCATGCATAATGTTTTCGGGACGTCTGAAGGGTACGACAGTAATTGGAATCGGAATGGACATTTCTAAACGTGATCGTGGACTTTGTACATACCCCTATAATCCGAGGAAATGAGATATGGTCCGAAATTTCAACTCGCTTTCATAGGGAGACGCACAGATTGCCTACTTAGGATGATATCCACCCACGAGCATTCCGAGTAGATCAACTTGCGACATGCTGAACCCTGGTAAGGATGAGACGTTGGTTCCAAGTCTGATGAACCCATGTTTCTGTGGCAATCGAAAGCAGACAGCAAGGGCCGTGGAATTTGGTAGATGCAATGGTGAGACACTTAACCGCCTAGGAGGTTGAGACATATTCAAACGGTTCTAATGATAGAACGGGTGTGGCTGGAACTCGATCTTGAAAATCAATGATCGCCGCGGCTACCGGCGCGAGTTATGTATCAAATCATTAGATGTAAGACAAGTCTGAAGATGAGACATGGCCTAGATTTTGAGGTGAAAGTGGATCGAACGATGCAGAAGCCACTTTTTTTTCTGACGTGCAGACAGGGGTAGTCGACTAACTATAGTGTCGCGCGCATACGAGTAGGTTGAAAACGATCCTTGTTAAGGCTGAAATTGAAGCCAAGGTTAACGCCTTTCACGCCTTTCCAGTTGATGTACGTGATTGGAGATGTCTCGACAACATCTTAACATGCCGATGCACAATGCAACTTCAGCAGAAAAAAGCATTCCTAAGTACAGCTTTGCACCGATCGGGCTCCTATCAACAGCCCCAATGACTATACTCCATATAGTATCTTCACTCCGTAGTTATATTGAGTAGTTGTACATGTTGTACTTGTGTACCGGAAGAAATTCATCAGTGGGGCCAAATGGAGCAGCCCTACGAATTCCGGATGCAATAATTTCATGGTGTGACAATAGATTAAGCCACGTCCCATGGCTATTTATGTCTCATAAACGGATCACGGGTCTTGTTTAATTCTCTTACTACAGAGTACAGAGTACTCTGTATGCAGTGAAAGATGTTTGCTAGAACTGCTATAACGAGGACCCCGTAGATCGATAAGGGGGACAATTTTGTGCAGGTGGAGCGATGAAGACAAACCTCTGTGTGGAGTAATCTGTAGGTAATAATTCATTTGACAACCGGAGTCCAAGGTTACAATTAATTATTCGAACTTTACTCCGTAGAAAAGGGGATATACTCAGATATGAGTATATATTTCCCCTGATAGACCTCACTCACAAGGTTCAAGGAACTTCAGGAGTGCATGGTTAGCTCTAACCTTCCAAGATTCAAACCGAACTAAATACTACTTGCTTACGGTCAATTATTTCAGTGTGTTTAGACAATTGGTTCAATCAGATTGACCGGATCAGCTGTTGATGTGACAAAATGCAACTCCATCTCTTTAGCCTAAGCGCTTACCCCGTTCCAGTAACACATACCGACCACGCGCTGGCCCGAGTGTTTTGCGAGGCGCCCGAGTCGGTATCACGGCTGAGCTAGCGTGCATGATAGGATTGAGCACGTTCTGCTTTTCTTCAAACGAAGCTTGGCTCTGAGCAGGAGAAAGGGGGTCTTCTCCACTGGGAAATGTACAATTATTATTCCATACAACCGTGGAAACCAACACACTCTTTCCCCCTTAATTTATTGAAAACTTGGGCTTCTGAGATTTCAAGTCCAAATGAACAGATCGCATATGAAATATGTCTGAAGATGTACGATGTACGAGTAGGTATACTGTGTAGCTGTAGGCCAGCCTTGCGTGTACTTCGTAAAAGAAGTACACAAGCTCTAGGGCAAAGTCAAATTGATAAGTATTCGGGAGGTAGTCACAAGTATTGTGTGGGCAAACACCCCTAGTAAAGTACGAAAAAGTGACTTGGGAGGAACCTGGCGGCTACCCCTGAATCGCCAAGCCTTAGCGTGGGACGGGCCAACCTCTCCAGATCCTCGACTCAAGGGGGTTCTTTTGTACTGCACACTATTGAAGCCAGTTCTATTTTCATCCATGACGCGCACTCAGACGAACAGTGCTTCAAAGAACAAACAAACGGAGGTACTCGTATAGAGTACACTTGAAACTGACATACAAGTACAAAGAGGATCTACGAACGTCGCCACGCTTTGTGCCTGTAGGTTCAAGCGATGTCGATCCTACCAGGCCAGAGCGCTATCGGGATATTGTATCTGTGCCAATAAAATTCATTCGACTCCAGACCCACGACTCCAGCCCCTGCGATCCACCTTCACGCTTACCTTGTCCTGACTTGCGCTACTGAATGGCGTCTGGAACCCACGGGCGGTTTGCGCCAATCGCCCCCGGCTCTTTGTACTCTTTTTTTCTCCTTTTCATGCCGTTTCTCTTTGATGGTCCTGATATTCCTGATATTTCGATATTCTCCTAATCCTTTCCCCTTTCGTCATCTCATTGGCGCGCCATTCTCATTTCCGTGCTAATCGGCATACATGCCCCGTCGATCCATGGCTATTTTTTGATACGGACCAGGGTGTTTCATGGCGTCTCCAATGCTCGGCGGCTCGCCGGCCCATTCAGAGAGCTTCTCTAGTCTCAATTCCCCTCCCTCATCCTCTCCAGTGCGAAGGAAACCTCTCCCGCAAAATGTCGATCTGATTCCGGGACCTATTCACCCCTCCTCTCCCCTTTCGATTGAGGGAGATAAACCCACCCCCATTCCCACGGCACCTGTGGATAGACCACCATCCCCTTCATCGGCGGATGGAGACTCATTGATTCAAGTACAAAAGAACCCGAATAGGTATGCCGACTCGACTCTTTCCCCTTCCGAAGCTTTGTACTGCAGACCCTGCTTTGTTCTCCCGCCTACGTGTGGGTAACACAACGTGATATGGCCTCTGCATGCGGTTCCACTTCTCCAGGACCTCAAAGGCTAATCGTGTGTCTTTGTCTCGACTTTCTAGATATTCCCGAGGACGGCACTCTGCGCCTCTACACATCGATACCTCTACCTCTCGTCAGGGCTCCGCCGCATACTTGAGATCCGTACTCGAAGACGACGACGACGATTCAGACGAGGCCATCGATTACTTTGACGAAGAATACGAACACCAGTTCACGAATGGAACCCCTCTGCACAGCCGTCTAGACAGCGAACCATTCATCCCGGTCCTCAACTCCCCTCCTCCGTCTAAAAGGTCGTCGAGGCGGGCGACGAGCATGGCATTGCATCCACCATTGAATCGGCCACCACCATTACATATTGACGTGGATCATCGGTCAGTTTCAATGTCGATGGTTGCGGGAGATCCAAGACAGCCTAAGACCCCTGGAAAGAAGATCAGTTCGTTCTTTGGCTGGAAGGCGGCAAACAATAATCCTAATGTGGCTACTTCACCTGGAGGAGAATCCTCTAGCACCGAGATCTCCGACTCGGGGCGATCAGTAATGCCAACTCCTATGCCCCCATTGGCGAACGTCCCATTCAGATCTCCTTCCTATGATACCAAGACCAATGGCTTTGGGGGGTCTAGGCGGACACCCTCCACTGGGTCCTCCAGTTTAAAGGAGAATATATATGCATCCAAGATGGCAGATATTGAGAATGAACTACGGGAAATAAGCGCCGAGCTGGCGGGGTCTATCCGCCGAGAGATGGACCTAGAGGATCTAGTTGAAAGATTACAATCAGAAGGCCCAGATGCCAATCGTCGGACCAGCGACTATTTCTCAGATTCAGGTACTAGCTCTGTCCGCTACGCTTCAGATGCCGGGAAAAATGAAGACATTGAGAAACTTCGCCGGGCTGGAGAGCAAGAGCGCGCCCAGCTGAAGGTCGAACTATCTCAGAAGTTACAAGAAGAGCGCTCTAAAAGGGTAGCTTCTGAATCCCATGTCCAAATATTGGAATCCCAAGTGCAACAGGTACGTCTATCATCTATCTCCTACGCGCGACTTACGCTAATATTTGCACAGCTTCGTCGCGAACGAACTGATTTATCTGATCTTTCTTCCAAAACCAAAGAACTCGAGACAGCCTTGGAAAATACCAAGCGCAAGTTGCTCGAGGAGCGGCAGTCCAAAGATAACTTTGAGGATTTACTAACTGCAATGCGAGTAGAACTCGAGCAGCTGCGTAACGACCGAGATCAACTGCGCGATGGCAGCCGCTTGGCAGAAGAAATCGAGGCCCTCAAAATTGAGAACGCCTCTTTGGCCCAACTTCAAGGAGGCCGGTTCGCTTCGATTGCCGAGGAAGGTGGCTCGCCCCGAAACTCAGCATTTGGACTCTCGAGATCGAACTCTCTCGCACGCAAGCCGAGCAGCCTGGCGCGCTCTGGTTCCCTGTCGAGATCGAACTCAGTCTCTAATAATAATAAGGGTGGAAATTCACCCGAAACGCGCGAGTCATTGGTCGACAAAGTTAATGACGTCGAAATGCAGCGTGATGCTCTCCAGCAGACCCTGCGGAGCTTGCTTGAACGTCAAGCATACCAGGCTCGCGATTTTGAGAAGCGCACCCGCATGCTGGAAATGGAGCTGGCTCTTGCGCAACAATCCGAGCAACCGCGAAAGCTGGGCTACAAAAGAGATGTATGCATCCTTCGCGATGAGGTGAATGTTCTCCGCATGCGCGCTGAAGATGCCCTCGATGGCAAGTGGCAGAGCGAGAAGAACTTGGCTGGTCTTAAGATGGACCTGGACCGAGCGGAGCAAGAAACCAGTTCTCTGCGCGTTCTTTTACAAGAGGACACTGCCGCAGCAGAGCTAGCCGCTGGCCAAGAAGGCTTCTCCAGTGAAACGGCAACTTCGACTTCCCTGCAATCCGCATTCCAGCAATTGCAGGCAGACAGGGCCAATGCTGAGGCCAATGCCGAAGCATCGGATGAGCTTTCTGCGTCTCTAGAGCGAACAGAGACTCTCGGCACTAAGGTTAACTACCAGCTGCGCACTAATGCCACTGTCCATGCTCGCTTAGAAGAGGCTATCAATAAGGGTGATCAGGACCAGCAGATCTCAGTGGATCGAATCAACACCCTACAAAGCCACATGAAGGAGCTGGAAGACCTCCTTGTGACCGCCCAGCAGTATTCCGAAGAGGAAATGGGCAAGCACGAGGATGAGATTCGCCTTCTGAAGGAGAGCCAGAATGCTCAACTCACCCGTATGAAGAACGGTGGCCGTGCACTTGTCAGCCTCTCACCCCGCCCACCTACCGCACCATTCGATACCCGCTCCCCGCGTCTGGACCACACCACCAGCGGAGAGGGTATCCCCTTGGCCGAAGTTGTCCAGGCTGAGCTGCTTGAAAAGCGAGTCAAGGCCCTCGAGAAGCTCCTCCGCGATGCGGATATGGAGATGGAGCAAGTTCTCGGACGAATGAACCGCACGCAGCTTGACGTTGCTCAGCTCCAGACTGACAGGTATGTATCTATCCTTTTCCCATTTCATTCCCCTGTTTGTCACATCCCATACTAACCTTTCACTGCAGAGACGACGCTCTTCGCCAGACCAGCGAACTCCAGTCTGAGATTCAAGCCGAGCGTGATACCCTCAAGGGTATGCTCAACGCTTTATAATCCCAGCAGACTTCGCACATCACACTTTCTTACTTTCGTTAATATACCACATCTGCATATGCATCTGTACTCCCATCTTCCATGGTGGTTGAGGACAAGGTGTTTTGGAGTTAGCCCGGAGTCGGGCATTTATTTTGGATTCTTATACAAGGACCATGCGCGTGGCGCGCAGACCGTTCTTTAGCTTGGGCGTTCCTCGGGGGATTGGCGGCGGGCTCGGGCCATGCTTGTATATATAAAGCGCCTGGTTTTGAGTACATATCTAATTGGCTGTATATTATAATTGATCAATTATGAACGCGAGCATTGACACCGGAGACAACCTGTGGATATCTGGAGATCTGCGTGACATTTGCCGATAAGCATGTTTGTTTGTTTTGCACGGGTGTCCTTATCATCTGCCAACGCCGCAAGGAGCTGACTTTGGAGCACCAGATCTTTGTCTACAAGCTTGTCGTCGCATTAGGTCTTATACATTGGCCAAGTCTATCTTCCTGCGCTCCACCTATCTTTCGCCAGCCAACCTTTACTACGGTCTGGTCGCATTTCGCGCAACTCCCAACAAACCAACCCAGCACCCTCGAGGGGAACAAAAGCCTACATCCCTAGACAAGGGACACTGAGACTCAGGGATATTGCTATAGTCCCCTTGTTTTGCTTCGGCAGCATCCTCGACAAAAATCGATATTCCACAACCAACAAAGAGCCGCAAGCCACAAAGACACCACGACCAAACCCAACAAATCCCCAAGTGAGACTGTTTGTCTTTCAGTTTCACTTTGTTCCTCGATTAGACTGTCTTGACAATCAAAGATCTCAAAGGGCCTTAGAGATCCCAAGGACACACTAGCCATGGACTTCCTACCAGGTACTGGCCCTTTTGTCAAACCATGATCAAACGGATAAATACAAACAAAGAATACTAACGAATAATCTGTTGTGCAGAAAACTTTCAAACGGTTCTCCAAAATCCCACCTTCACATACCTCCAAAGCGCAACGCAAAGCCATCTAGTGTCAAAACTCACACATCTACGGACAATGGTTGTTCAACCCTATCTCATCGAACAGCTGTCAGAGTTCATGGCATCTTACTCAGCCTCGGCGCCAGATCTTCTCACAATCTTCCTTTTGGCGATCATTCTCTTCCTCTCTCTGAAGCTTCTGGGCTACGCCTATCGCATCGTCATGTTCTGGGTCACCCTCGTCTTCAGACTCGTGTTCTGGGGCTCAATTATCGCTCTCGGCTATCATGTCTACAACGCAGGACCTGAGAAGGCCTACCAGGATTTCGGATGGCTTTGGGGCTTGCTTTATGGATTTGTTGATGACTTCCAGGAGAAGGGCAAAACTGCGGCCGCGGCTTATGTGGCTAATTAACCACAGTCGAATTGTTTATGAGAATACACGATGGGATATCGGAATCGTTGCTGTCTCAGTGACCTGGTTATTTGGACTAAATGTACTGTTTTGGGGAAGACCTATTATTTTGGATTTTTAGGGACTTCGGAATTCATCAGTTGATTTTGGTTATCATTATGGCATGTAGTAATTTCGGATATGCTTCTATATCCAGTTGTAGTGTAAAGACCCCCCAGCCTGGATCATCTCGCTGATGGCACTATCCAACATTTGTGGGGTATCAAGACTTGGCCCAATCCATGGCAAAAGCCTTTCGTATTTTCGATGCATCACTGTTCAAGACCCTCACCCGTAGGTAGCTTGAGGCATAAAGCAGGGGTTTCGATGGAAGCTGCAGCCTCGTCGACTGGTGGAAAACTCGACGCGGGGTTTTGGAACTCCTGGACCGATCGGCCATGAGGCACCCCGAGATGTTCCGGCGAAGCGACACAGTCATATCGCTGTAATTCACACAGATATTGTTCCTCAATCCTCATAGTTCACCTCGACCTCGTCCTTTGGCTCTCTTGGTTCTTGAGCTTCGTGGTACTGGATGGCATCATCAATGTGGCTGACGATGGCCGCGACACTATCCTCGTCTTGGACATCGAGTTGCAAGAATGAAACCATGCTAAAGTCATCAATCAATTGTCCGACAGCCCGATTGAGCTGCTTGAAGGATCCACCACTCATCAAAGCATCCGTGGCCATGGGGTTGGCACTGGCAGTGAGGTCATCTTCCTCCTTGTCCTGCAGCAGTTGCACATCCACATTGGTGAAGCGTCTTAGTTCTCGGCGCGAGACCATATCACGGACTTGGTCCATCTTGCTTAGAATGTTGACGTGGGGCATTTCCATCATCAGCATGGCAGACATGGCGCTCAGTGTTCCGGCAAAGAATTTGGCTTTGTCGATGACAAATGTGCTTTCGAGGAGGTAGGCGGCGCACATGTTGATGTTCAATGGTCCCTGTCGGGAGAGGAATTGGGTGAGAGACGGTAGGAGAGGAATATGGGTGTAGAGTTCGATCTGGCCGGGCATGTCAAAGATGATGAGATACTCTTCACTGAGCGGTTCGATTGCCTCTGACAGGAATTCCAGATTCTGCAATAAGAACTCGAAGCAGTAGATGAGACCTCCGTTGGGGCCCAGGCCCATCTCTTCCATGACATCTTCTAGTGTGATCAGATCGCGGATATCGAGGTCTGGTTCGTAGGCAAAGGTCTCGGCGGCAGGGTCGAGATTGACATAGAAACAGCTGCGACGCGTAGTCTGGAGATGCTGAATGACTGCATTGCTAAAAGTAGTTTTGCCTGCACCCGCAGGGCCCATAACCAGGACACCAAACTTGGACATGATTGCTGACTTGGTAGCTATATAGACTCGGGAAGAAGGAAAAATCGCAAGCTCAACTATCTTATCGGCCCGGTAATAAGAAAATTGCACTTTTGCCGGAGGGGCTGAAACTGCCAGTACTCACCGCTTCCCGATGGCGCCATCGCGGGTGTCACAACTGGTGCAGGGACCAAAAATACAGCGTACACGGTCAGTATACTTAGTTGTGACTTGTTGCGACCCCACTTTCACTGCCTTTTCATTGGTACCTGACCTGTACATTCGCAAATCCACTAAAATTTCCCCTCCCCAATATCCGATTTCCTTTTTCTTCTTCCCCCTTAACCCTCCGTCTTACTCTTCTCTCTTTCCATTCCTCTCCATCCACACATTTACAATGGGTTCTATCGCTCAGTCTGGTACCTTCCTCTTCACCTCCGAGTCAGTCGGTGAGGGTCACCCCGATAAGATTGCGTGAGTATCAATTCCCCTCCCCCACAGTCTCTGTTTGGGATTTTTTTCCCTTTCTTGCGCCAATGCCAGTAGTAACAGTTTGCTGACCTTTTTCCCAAAAGTGACCAGGTCTCCGATGCCGTTCTCGATGCCTGCCTGGCTGAGGACCCCCTCTCCAAGGTTGCTTGCGAGACTGCCACCAAGACCGGTAGGTTTTAATCTCATTCTCACCTCAGTCTAGATCCCAATCTGACTCCTCCACCAGGTATGATCATGGTCTTCGGTGAGATTACCACCAACGCTCGTCTGGACTACCAGAAGATCATCCGTGGCGCCATCAAGGACATCGGTTACGATGCTTCCGAGAAGGGTTTCGATTACAAGACCTGCAACGTCTTGGTTGCCATTGAGCAGCAGTCCCCTGATATCGCTCAGGGTCTCCACTACGAGGAGGCTCTTGAGAAGCTCGGTGCTGGTGACCAGGGTATCATGTTCGGCTATGCCACCGATGAGACCCCTGAGCTCCTGCCCTTGACTGTTATCCTCTCCCACAAGCTGAACGCTGCCATGAAGGCCGCCCGTAACGATGGCACCATCCCCTGGTTGCTCCCCGATACCAAGACCCAGGTCACCATTGAGTACGCTCACGACAACGGTGCCGTCAAGCCTCTGCGCGTTGATACCGTTGTCATCTCCGCCCAGCACACCGACGATGTCACCACTGAGGAGCTCCGTGCCACTCTCAAGGAGAAGATCGTCCGCAGCGTCATCCCCGCTGAGCTTCTTGACGACCGCACCGTCTACCACCTCCAGCCCTCCGGTCGCTTCGTCATCGGTGGACCCCAGGGTGATGCCGGTCTCACTGGCCGTAAGATCATTGTCGACACCTACGGTGGTTGGGGTGCCCACGGTGGTGGTGCTTTCTCCGGAAAGGACTACTCCAAGGTCGACCGCTCCGCTGCCTACGTTGCCCGCTGGATCGCCAAGTCTCTGGTCAAGGCTGGCTTGGCCCGTCGTGCCCTTGTCCAGCTCTCTTACGCCATTGGTGTCGCTGAGCCCCTCTCCATCTTCGTTGAGACCTACGGTACCTCCGACAAGACCTCCGACGAGCTGGTCCAGATCATCCGCAACAACTTCGATCTGCGTCCCGGTGTCATCGTGAAGGACCTTGACCTGGCCCGTCCCATCTACGCACAGACTGCCAAGAACGGTCACTTCACCAACCAGGAGTTCTCCTGGGAGAAGCCCCGTGCTCTCAAGTTCTAAAGGAGCACTCTGCTTAGCCCGGTAACCCCGGGCACTTTTTGACGACTGTGATGAGCTAGCTTTGTTTTCAACAACTCAAAGCATGATGAGCATAGACTATTAAAACCCTCATAAAAATCCAGGGACTGGTGGCCACTTTTGGTACCGGTCTCTCTGTTTCATTATCTGCATGGTCGCGCAAATGACGGGCCTTTTTGGCGAAGACAAAATTCAACATGATACCACTTTTCATCGGCTGGGAATGGAAGTTATTTGGCGTTTTTCGGAAGCAACAGCCTTCAACCACACCCCTATCTCTCTACCTCACTACCTCACTCCCCACGGTGCCTCCCGAGGAGTCACTGGTCTCGCTTCCACACGAGGTCACACTCCGTCGGCTTCGACGAACGACACCGCCGCAGTGCTCTCTGCGAGAGCACTCTCTGTTTCTGTTCGTCTTGGTCCTGGGTCTGCTAAATTAAACATTAGCTATAGAATCCAATAATATCTCTCTTCATAATATCTTTCGTTCTGAACACTACAGCTATGTAGCACTTTGGATCCGGGTATGTAGTACGGAGTACTAATTCTGAGATCAAATGGCTATGCAAATTCAAAATAATTCCTAGTCTGTCTTCGCTATAGCCTAATTATCCTCTTATTAGTTACTATGTACTTCGATTCAAAATGAAAAGTTCCTGATACTCGAGGCGGAGTGCACGTCCCGACGCGTGACGCCAGACCCAGAACCCGCGCGATCAATGAACAACTCTCATCTCAAGTCCAACCTAGTTTGATGGTCTTCACAGGACTTGACTCTTGACTCAGTACACAATGCCCCTCTGGTCGCGATAATGAACCCGCGAATAGTCCCTCAAATCTTGGATCCACTCAATTCAGCAGCGCTCAATAATCTCCATGAACCGACCCCTCCACCTACCAAGAAACGAAAAAGAAGCAACGATGAGGGGTCAGATGGTGCTGCTGGACGGCTTGCTACTTCATCAATTGTGATTAGAGTTAGTACTGGTCAATATCTGCCTAATGGGGGCTGATCATATTGAATAATGTTGCTAATCCACCTGCGACTATAGGCTCATGCCGCATCGCTATCCGACGAGCCCTTGATCCTCGAGCCGATAACTGCCCTTTGCCGCTCTAAACTTCCGTTCTCATGGCTTGATGACACGCCTGCTTCCCGGTCCGACGAACAGCCTGGTGGCCTATTCACCGCGGACATCCCCACGCTGGAAAATGACCTGCGCGCAAAGGCCGAGCCAACAGTCCTGGCTGTAAAACTTGTGGTCAATGGAGGTCTTTACATTGTCGAACGAGTAAAGAGGGGTATATATTCGCTCTCCAAACTCGCTCGATGGGTGCACGAGGGGGATCTCCTCGCTGCAGCAAAGGAATGGCACAAAAGTGAACCTGCAGGGGTCGATGCTATGGCTGTCGATGAATCTATGACCATACCTGATGGCTTCGACTGGTGGGAGGCTGCGCGGATTGAGGAGCCCATGGCTGGTCTGGCAATTCAGGAAAAGCCAGCTGGGCTCAGCATTGCGCTTGTCTTTGGGCCATCTGAATCAGGTCTAGACGGCATCGATCACTCCATGGGTGTGGAAGAGGAGAAAAATCGCCCGTTCTCTTTCCAAGCAAGCTTTGACACCGCCGAAGATGATCCATTCACAGTTTCAAAGACCCAGGGTGACCTTGGTGACGCTATGCATGTTGACAGTGTAGAGCCCAACGTCGCAGATATGCAGCAGTCACCCGAGGAGCTGTTAGATGGAATGAGGGATCATTATCTTCAGGCTCTCTACATCTCAAAAGTGGGTTTGCGCATGATATCTCAAAGGTTCTTCGTTGCTAACTTTTTCTAGACTTCCGTGGCGTACTTCGCGAAAGGACCTTTGACACGGTGCCGAACTGCCTTCCAAGTCCGGGATTCAGAACAGCCCCAAGGGTCAGCGGAGTTGATTGGATTCTATCGCGAGGCTATTCTCGCAGCCAAGAAGATGGATCTCAAGTACAAGGAATCAGTACCATCAGCGATAGGTGATGCAGCACTCGCAATTTCCGATGACGACCAAAAGCCCAAGGGTCGGAAGAGTAAGAAGAAGAAACTTGGCAGGAATGGGTTGTATCCTGGGGAAGAGGGCTTTATCCACAAGTGGTGGAGGGATAGGGCTATCAACGAATCGTCTGCACAGGAAAATTCGCGTGAAGCGGAATCCAAGAAGCAGATCTCTGATCTTCGATTGCGCGAGACACAGTTACAGATACTTCTGATTCTGGAGGTCTTGGTCTTAGAAATGACCATTGGGTCGACAGCCAAGGGCAACTTCAACCAGGAAGAAAAGCCAGATGGGGACAAAGAGACGCAGAAGAAGCCAAAGGCCAAAAAGCTGGCCGATTTGAACGTACTCCTTGAACTGCATCTTGATCGGATGTGCATCTGGCATGCTGTGAGCATGCAAGAGACAACGGCTTCTGATACAGCAAAGGCTTCATCATTCAGTAGCAACCATCTGTCTGGTAAAAAGACTGAGAGCGATGCAGTGCGTGACTTCTGCACCGAGGTCATCGTTCCATTCTACGCCGCTCGTCTTCCCGACAAGTGCAAGTTGATCACTCGCAAATTCGGCGTCTCTAGTGGTATCTCGCCAATCACTAAGAAAATTCGGTCTTCGGGTAAATCCCACCGCGTTGAACCTGGAACCGAGATCAAACGACAGCCCCGGAGAACATTGCAGCGAGTCCTCACGGATGACAAGGCGACTACGTCCCAGGCTCGTGTGCCAGGATTGCACAGGTCCAACACCGCACCCAGCCACCCCAACGCCAAGCGCGACAATGAGCCATTACTGCCTACCGTGCTTAGTGGCAGTGTGCGAGGCGGCATGCAAAAGCCCAAGCGCACTGACAACCGCGAGGTTGACCTTGAGGCCGTGGCAAGACAGCACGAAACCAAGTTGAAGAAGGTTCAATTAATGGCCGACCAAAAGAAGGAGCTTGACGCCGCTATCCAGGCACTTCGAAAACCAAATAGGGAGCTCGTATCTAAAGATATTGCAGAGGATGTGAACAAGCGAGTTTCAAGCGGCGGAGGCAGCTCGAGGAAATCCAAAAACCCCGTTCGCAATCCATTTGGTGAAGGTGTCCAGGTCATGGCGACGCCTAGAGCCAATCGCAGAAAAGACCCTGGACCAGGGCTGCCACACATGCCTCGCAGCCTAGTCCCGTCGCGGTCCTTTGCAGGCGTTGAAAACTCGCCCATCGGCGAGTCCCCGCTTAGGATTCCCTCCTCAAGTAGGCGGGCAATCTCGTTCTCTGGCGGCGACTCTGACCCATTGAGTCCTCATGGTAAGGGGCGAAGTCCTCGATCAAGTCAACCGGGAGGAACCATTCATGAAACCCCTACCAGACCCTCCTCGAAAATCTTCCAGAGCGACTCAATTACCCGCAGACCCTCGTCCTCTGGCAAAGGCTTATTTCGAGTACCCAATCTTCCGGCCCCTCGCTCTGCGACACAGCCCATGGTCCCAGGGAGTCCGGTCCACTCACGCCATCCTTCCTTCATGGCATCATCGCAAAGCGCGTCCCTACCATCTTCTCAGCAGTTCAAACAGTCGCTCGAAAATGTGCGCTCTTCCACGATCATGGAAACACCACCCAGGAAACGTGCACCAGCACCAGTATTCACTCCCACTGCTGGTGCACCTGCGTCTCTCGGCGCCAAAGTCCCCAACCACCGAGCCTCCTCTCCTCCGGCCGTACTGGGGACACCAATCAAGGGTGCTACCGCCGTGCCTGTAACGCCTGAGAAGTCACAAACACCATCGATTTACGCACAACTGGGATGGGACGATGAGATGGAGTTCTGATTTTCACACATTGTCTAATTGCATAGCGTGCTCATGTGACATGCATTGGAGTGCTCCGTGCTTCTTCAAATGCAATGTTTACCTTTTTATAGCTTCTTTTCTTATTTTTGTACCTTGTGGTGTTCAGGGTGGAGTTTGGGGCTGAAGCACTGGGCATGTGCATTGATTGTATTGTTTACAATCCGGATATATCCCCACAACCGTATCGCGTTAGCAAGCATTATCCATGAATCTTGAAGAATCACATAGTAGAAACTAAACCCCAGTCTATCCACGCTCCCGGTATCCCCTGAACCCGCTTTTTTTCCAAGATTTTCAACCCGAATACGAAAATGATATACAGGGCTGAACGAGATCCATATTTGAGTTAAGATTTTTACTTGGCATGTTTTGGGTAGAAAAATCTGACAGTTGCTAAATTTGAATGGAGTTAGATGAAGATCGACATGGATTGTACATAGGGGGGTCTAGATTGTAGATTTCAGCCACAAGCTAGGCCCATTAATACATTAATATATCCCTTCTTCCGTCTTTTTTTAGATCGAAGTCAATTGCAACTAGATCGGCCTTGGCTTTCAGTCTAATTGCCTTACGTGGTCGCCCCCACAAATAGGCAGTCGTCTTGTTAACAACTTTAACCCTGAGCTTCTTTTTCATCTTTTATTTTTGCCTCAAATCTTTACAGATGTTGACACTTCCACGGAAGTGAAACTATGCATATTCCACCATGAACGATCATTCCAAGGCCCCGAATCACAGCCGCCCTCTACTATACATCCCCAACACACTATGGACGCGACTCTTCGCCTCAACCGTCATCACGGAAACAGTACTTACTGTCGCAATTGAAAGGTAACGGACTAGCGCCTGGGAACTTCTTGAATTTGGATGATGGCTGATGGTCGCAACTCAGCTGGATCTTGATCAGTCTATGGAACAATCTCAGCGACGACGGAAAGAGTCAAGGACCACTGCGCCTCCAATCATTCCTCGGTCTTTTCATATTCGCCCTGCTTTATGAACTCGCCCTCTCGTACGATGCTTTGCGCCGGAAAAATACAATTCAATTGGTTGGGCTGTGCATCTGCAACTTGGGCCTCTTGACATATGGCTTCCTCCAAATGCAGGAGATCCAATCAACCATCAGCAGTATGGTCCAGGACGACACCCTCTCCGACCACCTGTTGAAGGTATACCGGATCGAACTTATCATTGTGCCGATCATCTTGGGTGTCGGGACAGTGTGTATGATTTTCTTTACATGGAAATTGCGGGCCGAGTTCTCCTGGTCCATCTACAAAAACATCAGCGCAGATCTGCAGATGAAGCGCCGATACCTCACCTACCAGGTGTATATCTCTCTGTTGAAGTTTGACTTTTTCTTCGTGTTTGGCAGTCAACTCCAAGTTCTCCTCGTTGTCACCGAGGCCGAGGATGCCGATTTTATCCTGAACGCCGCCTTGATCCCGATCACAATCGCAACCTTGGTTTTGTCCGCCCAGTTCTGCAAGCGAGAAAAGAGAAAGTCTCTCCTTCTTATGATGGTGAGGGTTATCAGTTGGCTGTGTTGTGACTCCCAAGCTAATCATCTTCTAGTTCTTCATGCTTATTATCATGGCCTGCTTTGCCCTCACCCTAGTCCGCATGCACAGCCCCTCAGACAGTGCCGATTTCAAATCTGTCCGAATATCTCTGACGCTGTTTGCCAGTGTCTCGCTCTTATTGATGTTACTCACGCTCATCAACTCGGTGATGTGTATCGTCAATTTCAATAAAGGGCTGAAGCCTCACGTCAATCCCACCAAAAAGCGACGCAAAAACTCGGTTGCATTGGAACTCCAGGAGAGTGAAACTCCTACACGGTTCTTGTTGACCTAAAGATGTTGAAATGACCCTTCTTTTACGCTTTCTTTCTTTCCCATGTCTTATATCCTGATTTTTCTACATGTATATGTACCTGATACCACCGATTTCAATTCAAATTCAAATTCAAATTCAAATTCGATTGCCATAGTCATCCTTTACCATCTGAACTCAATAAAGTCCCGAACAGTCGAAGTATAGACCCGACTGGGTTGCGAGTTCGTGATTGGTCCGGTGAACTTTAGGTTGGCCGGTGACCCCGCTTGGCTCTTTGTCTTCGGATCACTTCTCGACTTCACCTGCACTTGCATGCGAAAGAATGGGCGACTTCCAAAGATCTCAAATGTTTCGGGCATCCAGGCCTAAGAAAAGGGCCATTGCGTGAGTTGATACAGAGCAATAAATGTATGGGTAACGCCCTGACTCATAGCACAGTTGCCATCGGTGCCATTCACAGAAAATCAAATGCTCGGGGGAAAAGCCATGCTCAAAGTGCCGGGCTGCGGGCTACGGGAATCAATGCAGCTATGCCACTCGAGATCGGAAGATAAGGGTGGATGAAAGGTACGTTTCTCCGCCAGAAAGTCTTGGAGCTATCAATGCATTACTAATTATCATCATAGCTACTTGGAGCAGCTATTGAGGGATAGTGAAGAGCTACATGAACGTCGACATCGTTTAAAACAAGATCTTACACTCCAACAGGGGCCCGACACCGAAGATAGTGCTACTGGAAACGACGAGCCCAAAATACAGGGTAGTCTCTATGGTGATAAGCCCTGGTTTCAGGTGCATGATGCCTCGATTCTGCCTCTCTACATCAGTGAAGCAACGTGCGCAGCTTTTGCTACACGGCTTTGTCAGTGTCTATCAAAAAACAATACCCCAACGCTGTACCTTCCCAAAACCAGGTACACTGATGAATCGACTCTTTCATCATTACAGAACATCGACACACCGTGGCCTACTCTTGTGTCTGCTCGGCTGATGGTGAACACCGCACTTAATCACGTCATTCCATGTTTCCATTTGGCTTTGAAGAAAGACTCCTTGGACATGCTCCAAGGAGTTTATCAACGAGGGGATTTTGACAATCCAAGTATAAAGTGCAAATACTTTGTCCTTTTTGCCCTCGCAGAGGCAGCCCAGGCTCCTCGTGCTACATCCAACCAATCTCCTGTGCCAGGCTCTGCCTACTTTTCTCGTGCGCTGAGCCTCATTAACATCATCCCCGAGAGGCCAAGCATGATCCACATAGAAAGCCTGCTGCTGATTGTAGGTTGGTCTCCTTATATTTGTTTTACCAATACTGATCAATCTCTAGGCCTATTTCTGTCAGTTTCTGAATCGCTTCCACTCGGCGTACATCTATATAGGGAGTGCATTGCGTCTTGGGCTCAGTATAGGCTTGAACTACAATGTCCCAGAGACACAAGATCTGCACCCCATCGCACGAGAGCATCGAATCCGTATATGGTGGACGATATACACACTCGAGCGCTTCTGGGGCGCAAAATCGGGGTTTCCTATGCAAATCCACGATGAGGATGTTCATGTTGATCAACCATCTATCTCGGCATCCAAGGCCTATCCTGATCAATTTGCAGATGGCGCATATCAGGTCGCAGGCATTGAACTATCCAGAATTACAGGTGACACGTCTGCAGAGATCTATTGCCAGAAAATCTCAACCGAAAAGTTTTTGTCTCGTGAACAAAGACTGTTGACTCAACTCAAACAGTGGCTTCAGTCTCTGCCTCCTCATTTGAGGCTCAACCCCGATGGGACAAGCCCGAAGCATACGATTCACATGCATTTGCAGTTCAATTTTGTAAGTTCATATGCTATCCCTCTCCTTGGCCAAAAGCTCACCTTTCCAGTGCGTCATCTTGACCATTCGACCGGTTCTCTTGCATGTTCTCACTTTGCAAATGAAGGACCAATACAACCAGCCTGTAAGCCCTATTTCTCCGGTCCTGGTCACACTAAGCGAGACATGCATACATGCAGCCAGGCACTCTCTGGCACTATGTGTGAATGAATGGACCGGAGGGTCCTTCGCAAAATATGGCTACACCTTCCCCGCGTACCTTTGCTCTGCTGCATTGGTCTTGATGCTCTCAAGTCTTTTAGAAGTTGGGGATCCTAGTGATCTAGCATCAGCTGAAACAGCCATGGAAATTCTCAAGAATCTTAGTCTGTCTGATCGGCTGGCATCAAGGGATCTCTATGAGCAAATTCGGCGGGTGCATGAATGTCTTCTCAACAGTCCCTTCCCCCCTTCATCTCTCGCCACTGAGAATCTCAAGGTCGAAACTCTCAATCCGCCGTCAGTGGACCAAGGTGCAGCCACGGGGTTATTGCAACTTTCAGGCCATCCCCAATACCCTGTGGTTCCTTCAGAGGATTTGAGCCATCTGATTCTCGATTCAAATGTCCCATACCTCACCACAGAAATGGCACTTCACCAGCAAAATATGCAAGACTTTTTGGAACGGCCCGACGTGAACTTCGGCCTACTTGACCCTGTGGGAATGTTTAACGATTTCGATCTCGCCATTTCTATGTCTACCCAGTCCCCACCGTACTAATGCAGCAATCACCAATGAAGTGACATGCCTAGGTATGTTACTTTTTTTCGATTTCTCATCAAGCCTTGGTCGAATTGGCTACTCGTCAGCTAAAAGTATCCGGGTGGGTCATACCGCTGATAAGCGACATCGGCCATTTTCACGTCCGCCGTAGCGTTTCGATCGTCTATATCCAAATAAATACGCAGTCATAATGAGTCAACCGTCTATATTCTCACAGGCTCAGAAAGTTTCAAATTCACCATGGCTTCTCCAAGGTTCTCTTATTCCTATTTCCATATTTCCAAGAGCAACGGTGTAGCAACATCCGCTCAACAGCAGAGAGCTCTACGCCTCAAAGCCCTACAAACATCCCCAAATTCATTCTCATCAACCTATGACCTTGAATCCAAATTCACAAACACCGACTGGCAAACTCTGATCACATCCCCTGACCGGATAATCTTCATCTGCGCCGCCACACCACTCAACCCCGATGACTCAACAGCCGGTGAACCGCAATGGGTCGGACAAGTGACTCTACGAGGACCAATGTCCAAACAAGACTTCGAACTACCCGAAGAAGCAGGCCAGCCAGCCCAAAAACCCGACGACCAAGAAGAGCGATGGCAAATGCTAAGTCTATTCACGCTCCCCGAGCACCGGGGCCAAGGCCTCGGTGCCAAATTGTGTCAGAGTGCTATGGATTATCTGCAATCCTACCGTTCTGCGCCACAGGGCGTTCAAGTCCGGCTTATCATTAAGGCTGGGAATCTTGGGACGATCAAGTTCTATGAGAGGCTTGGCTTTACTTCGGCGGGGATGGCGACCCTTGTTGAAGCTCTTATTGCGAATGGTGATGAGAGTCTTTTGCCGGAGGACTTGAGTGGAGCGAAATGGACGGATAGATATGGATTGATTATGATTACTCGGCTGGTGCGTTGCTGAACTTGTTGTTGTGTATACAATTATAGAAAAGTGAAGACTTGGGCAAGTTGTCAGCTCGGGTTTGGCTAGATGACCTGTTCAATAGATCATTATTTGGAATGGCTATGGGGATACTCCACGGGCCCTTACACAAATCTCAATTCATGATCAACTTGTGGATAAATCGTACGGGATCTTCAGCAATTCTCACAGTGGGATTCAAAGCACAGAATACAAACCAGTTCCTAGCACGAAAGACGAGATCTTGAATATGAAAATGATACATAAAGACATTGAATAGTATAGAACACCCAGATACAGGCCCGGACAGCATGGGGAATACAAACGAAGAAAACAGTGCATCCGACCGAGAGAATCCTAGATACCTCAAGGCATAAGAACACTAGATTGCCCGATGCCACGGCGATTCATCCTCTATCGACCGTTTATGAGAAACAAAACCACGTACATACTCATAATCTTGTAACACTCTGTCCAAGGTAATGACAACAACGCCGAGTAGAGACATTCAAACAGATAATAACGCCGATATAGGCATAGCACGAAAGAATAAGCAGGTACCTTAACCAAGTACAACTCAAAGGGTATAGGAAGGTTGGCCCGGATTAACATTAACCGAAGATCCTCCACCATGGGATGCAGCGAGGAATGCAATGAGACACTGAGACGGCTGGAAAATAGGAGAGAATTCAGACACGAGAAAGAAAGAAAGAGGGAGGGGAGAACAGAAAGCGCGTATGAAATGGCAGAAACGACGGAAGTGAGTGAATTGCCCCCGAACGTGAAAAAAAGCCAATCTAGGTTAACGCCGACCGAATCTAGTAGTTCCATCCACCTAGGGTGCTGCCAGACTGACCCTGCTGAGGCTGACCGGGTTGCATCTGCCCGCCAGGGCCGCCGGGCCACCCAGGCATACCGTTGCCTCCCATGCCCATTGCAAGGCCTGCTTGTTGAGGGTTGCCGGCCATGAACTGCTGGCCGCCGGGGGCTTGGTTCGGTGGGTACATGGCGCGTTGCATGCCCGGGTAGCCGGCTGGCGTGCCTCCTGGGTATCCCATTCCCTGCATGCCTGGGGGTTGAGCTGCTTGGGGGTGCTGCATCTGAGCAAACTGCGGCGGTGCCTGTGGTATTGACTGACGCTGTTGGTTGCGAGGAGACTGGTGGTGGAGTTGGTGTTGCTGTTGCGGGTGTTGGCCGATGGGAGATGGGCTTTGCTGTGGGGCTGCGGACATCTGTTGCCCGTATTGGGGCATCCCAACACCTTGGTGACCCGACGAGGGCAATGGAGATGGCTGCTGCTGTGGGGGAAGCTGGCCCCATGCCTGTTGCTGCTGGGATGGGTAGCCGTAGGGAGGGGCCTGCGGCATGCCTGCAGGCATAGGGGGGTTGGATCGCTGCTGCATGAGGCCGGGCTGCATGTTCGGCGGCATTCTGAGGGAAGACTGTCCAACCGATTGAGGATGGGCTTGCTGGGGATAGTGTGGCTGTCCAGCCATCATTGAGTTGGCCTGCAAAGGCACTTGCTGGGGGAGCATGTGCTGCTGGGAATGCATTTGATTTGACATTCCTGCCTGGGGAACTTGAGAGACCTGGACAGGCTGCGACACGGACAAGCCCGATTCAAGAGCGGTGCTAGACTGAGCCTCCGAAACCGGGGCCTCGCGGGGCTTGGAGTAGAATTCATCCAACCCCTTTTGACGGAAATTACGCTGGTTGCTCAGGACTTTATTGAAGTCCGCTGTGTGTTGAGCTTGATTGATAAGGTCGGCTGCTGAACTGGTCTGCGTGCGGTCGTGATAAGGCTGCCCCGTCATTTCCTGTCGTGCTCGAGGTATGGCGTTGTAGTCTCGCAGTCGTGGGTCATCCGCTGTCGCCATGTGAATCATCGGCAGCGGTGCCAGAGAAATTGAGTCCCCAACATCCAACGAGAGACCTGGAGGCAGAGGCTCGATTGTACTGCTGTAGACAACATCATTGTGAGGAAGGGCAGGGAGCATATTTGTAGCTGGCTCCGACGTAGGTCCATCCCGAGCCTTTGCTGCCCCGGGACGCTTTTCCCCCGCCATGTCTTCTTCTGTAAAGCCTTGCTTGATGGCCTTGCTTTCCCAGTAGTCATCTCGAACTCTGCGCCCGTTCACAATCACCCGGCTCCCAAACTGTCGGAACATGGACCTGGCAGAAACGATGGCAATCTGACGAGACCGGTAGGAATATGGCAAGATGTCTTGATGAATGAGATCGTCTTTCTCGATCTGGGAAGCAATAATTTTATGCAACGAGCGATTCTTGTTGAACAAAAGATATGAATCTCGATAATTCAGTACCCTCGCGCACTCGGTTGCAAGCATAAAGAGCTTCGTGCCCCTGAGGGGAACACGGAACGTTCGGCATTTATATTCACGGTCACCCTGCAGATATCCCATAGGATCTGCCTTGGTTTCTCCAGCCTCATCAAATTCCTTGGGTATGTACTCGTCGCCCTCTGGATTCAGCTGGTCGGATGTGTGGTCTCTCACAGTGGGAAGTGCCTTGACCAGTGACTTGGTTGGTGTAACTTTGCTATCGGGTGAAGCAAGAGGCGGCGAACCGGCGGTGGATGTCGGCAGTGGGCGTGCTTGCATTTGGGGTGTTTGAGTGGGAGTGTTTGCGACCGGCTGATCATTTGAGCCAGCTCGCGGTGTCTTTGGGGGTCGACCACGCTTGCGACGACTTTGTTCTTCTATAATGCGAAAAAAGAGACATGTTAGTATCCATCCGCAATACACCAGTCGCGACTAAAGCAGATGTCAAAGTGCTGTTGAAAGTACAAATTGAAATGCCTGCCCCAAGGCACACGTACCATCATCCTGGTCCGCATCGGCGAGTCCATTCCCGCTGCGCTCTGGGGTGCGACTACGCTTGACACCACGGGGGCTTGCTATTGCATGGGAAGGTGCTGGTAGGGCAACAGCAACTAGGATGGGTATCAGTTTGCAAGCAGCGATGGGGATATAGGATACAAAGAAAGAAGGCAGTGAAGCGGGATATGCAATTGGTTTGACTGGGCGGTTGATTGAATGTAGCAGGCGCGCGAGAAATAAATTGCGATCGCAAACGAAACGCGGAAAATAACGCAAGGACACAAAGCGCACAAGGTCAAGGGTGTGAGGCAGAACATACCGGAGTTGCTCAGGTTCGCAGGGTCGATGGTCCCCGAACCATCGACAGTGTCCATACCATTCATCGTAGATAAGGAATGAGACGTGCCATACATAGTCACAGGACGGGACGGGCTGTCGCAAGATGGCGCGTCAAGCAGACGCGCAATGTATCCGGGACGGTGGACACAAGAAAGAATCGGGAGTGGCGCACAAGGAAGATGCTTATGCAGGTTGGGATTCCCCTATGGTAGATCGTCAGGTCTCGCCGTTGAGCTTGGTGTAGGTTCGGATGAACTTGGGTTTGAGAGGGGAAAGGAAGCGAGGCGGTGAAGGGAGGCAGAGCCTGAGATTTCAGGTTGCATATATCAAGGGACAAGGACACAAAGAAAAGAAGTGAAGAAAATCGATGACTCTGTCAAAGTCTAGCCTTGCTTTTTTCTTTCCTTTTTTCTTCTCAAAAAGCCGGGGAGGAATCAAGCTTAGCAAGGAAGAGCAAGGTTCAGGGCATTCAAAGCATGAATCAATAAGTGTGATGATTGGCCCGCAAAGAGATCAAAATACTCACAGTCTACTCCGTACGGAGTACTGCAAAGAAAGTGGCGCCGAATCAAACACGGATCTATTGCCTGCAGATTTCAGATGCCCCGTGCTCGTAGGCTAAACCGAATTGTCGGTCATGGAGAGAAAAAGGGAGCCCAAAATAGTAAAAGATAAACACGACTTGGGCTGAGAATTAGTAATTTTTCCCCGCGGATAAAATAAGATATCACGAATGAGCGGACCAGAGCTGGATGGGGCAGGGGGGAAGGGAAATCCTTTTGTGAGCTTTTGGGCGTCGCGGGTACGGCGCCAGTATACGGCAAATGGTGAAATGTTGAGCAAGAGTCAAATGAGATAGATCAGTGAAACCCGACTTTGGCAGCCTGAATTCAGCGAACTGAGCTTCTCCTGCCTTTTCTCCCCCTTGGCTCTTTTTTTCTGGCTCTTTTTGGCTTCACGAAGTCCCAAAAAGACTAGGTTCCGAGGTGGCACAGCGATCGAATCCTCGATGTACGCTGAGCAACACGGAGAAGGACCCTGCGTCTTTTGGGCAACAAAGGGCGTAGGTGTATGCAGGAGTAAATAAGAAAGATAGAATTAAAATTGAAAACAAAAAAGGGTGCAACGGTAGCACAAGAGAAGTACAAAAGGCCCTTTGAATTTCGAATCCCTAAGATACTATCCGCATTGGGGCCAATCACGAGATCACTGACAGCCGTCGTATTGGTATTGTCCGTGTATTATGATGAAGATGGGTTAATATCATCTGTAGACTGGGAGATTGGGAGGCACGGTGAGATCTAGAGTATGTGGGGATATGAGGCTCGCCACAGAGGTTGGCATGGCATCAGTCTTTGCGATTTGAGTCTGATATTGAGTTGACCAAAAGGCCCAGCCTAGATGTCATTATAGACCTGGGATAGAGCTACAAATATGCCTATTCAAGTCTGGATTGTGAGCCGTGTAACTTGGGATGTCTTGCACTGTAGCGCTAACAAGTTGGTAGAGAGAGAGGGAAACAGCGAGCCTGTCAAGAGATTTGACCACAGCATCTGTACACAGTGTAGATGATGGGTTTCGAAGACTGCAAGGGAATGATTATCACCGATATGCGTACGTGTTTACTACTGGTGTCGGTTAGTGCAATATGCAAAAGCCGAGGGCCCAATCCAAGGAGCAACGATGATGCTCGGTCGGATCATATCGGGTCCAGCACAAACTAGGAATCTAGATAATCACGAAAGCCTAATGAATAGTACGTCATATTGCTCCTTCGTGGTGCTCGTCTAGACTCGAGTATCTCTTGTTTTGTGCCGATATCCAAGAAGCTAGCTGATAACCCTCCGTAGAACGTAGAAGAAGATGAGCCGTTGAATAGCCATGAAAAGAGCATTGTGCTCAGACCACGCCAACTTACTAGGATTGCCGGCAAATTTGGGTTAGTTTCTCCTAATTTGGAGGAGATAGGCGCTTCTATTCTGTCAGTATTGGAGTAAACAATGCAACTAATCGGAGCAGGTATTCTTGTATCATAATACCAACGTTTGGTTATGTTTTGTTCGCGCTCTTACCATCTTTCTACATAATCAAAAGGAATAAGGTCAGAATTACCACGATGGGCAGTTCGTGATGGGGTTGGAACGGTCATAGTTGTAATATGCAGCAGCCTCGTGTTGCGGAACCAATACCTTCTTAGACCAAGAATTATTCAAAGACAAAGCAGACCTATGATTCGCTCCAATACGAGCAGATGACCTACAGAGGACACTATGGATGGGCCCGAGAGGGTCATTTGAGCGGGAACTAAAGGGTCGATCAACGGCCCATGCGCAGCCAAAATCAAGTCTGCCTTGAACTGCACCAATCAGCATTAACTCCAATTTATCCAAACGACTAACGGTGCTGTTAATGCTCAGACCATCGCCGGGGTCGGAATTTATCTTCGCTGATATACCAGGGACCGCAACGTCCCCGTTGGCTGTGCGATGTCGAGTAAGCAGGATGTGGATAATGCCTGTAGGCCTTGATATACACATAGAAGCCTGTTGCAGTGATACGGGGTCCAAATAGGAACACCCCAGAGTATTGCGCACTCGATTCCGGGTCTCACGGCAGCCGACCTTGCAGCGCTGCCGTTTTTTACGCTCGGTGCCGGCATTTCTCTCCTGTCACACTAATACACTCAACCGTGCCGCAATAACCTAGCTCAAAGTGACTTTCTGTCTTTTGGGGAATTGAAATGTCGTTTCCTGTCCTAGATGCTAAGCCTAGGCCTTGCAGTACTTTCTGACATTCCCTCAAGGGCTCGATGTGATCCACTTCCCAGATGTATGCTGCGCAATGTACTCTCGGTCATCATCATACTCACAGTTTGTGGTTACAAAAGAAGCCATTGCTCTCACCGAAGGCTCACTGTGACATCTGTGGAATGACTGTTACAGATACTGGCGAGATGCTATCTGAAAAGTACGAGTAAGATTATCCCCTCAATCTCCCCGGACACGGGAAGTATAGTACATTACAGGCACGCAGCAGGCAAAGGCTATACCACCTACCTCCAACTTCAGGGTCGAATCATAGCCTCAATTATGTATACACCTGGGCGGTAGTCGCATCTCCCGCTCTCCCCCTTACGTTCCTAAAGAACCTTGGAACTACATCCGGTACATGCGGGGTTGATTAGCTGACGCATACATAGCCTGAGCTCAAAAACTATTCGCCATTTTCGCGGACAATACAACATTTGAATCATATCCAGACGTACTAATTTGCGAATATATCAATTTTGGGGTCTAATCCCGAGTAAGAGTTTGAAATGTTTCTCCCTTAATGCAACATCGAACCCGGACCCATCCCTGGCATGGAAATGACTGGACAAGCATAGCTTAGAATAAGCGCTCTAAAAAACGTAATACTCCGGGGGACCATTGACTTGAAACCTTCAAGCTGTATCCTAATCCTTGAGCGTGTATTCTTTCGGTACTTCTAAAGTTCGCGTTCGTTGTGGGACTATAAATGCTACGTTTCGGATTATCATCAACTCTCCTTCTTACTGCTAAGAGCTTTGAGAGCCCTTTAGTCGACTATTTGAAAAAAGAAATAAAGTACATAGCCTGGGAGGCTTCAGGGGGCATGTGTATGATTTAATCACGAGCTCAATCCGCGGGAAAGGTAAATCTTGCTTTTTCCTAATCTCTATAATGAGCACAGCTTAACTTACTCGGAGCGTTGCGCGTCGGTGGCCACGCGTTGTACAGATTCACATTTAGATCAACTGCTGTTACGTCTCGATCTATCATGACCCTTGGCCTTTAGAGTGAACCCGGAACAGATGTAAGCGCGAAAGTTCCGCCTCTGACCTTGCATGGATCAGGATATAGGGATATGAACCACGCAACCAACTACATTTGGAACACGTCTCACCGGGGTATCTCTTTATTAACCATGTAAGTCTCAGTCCTTCCGTACGCCATTTCAGACTGCGAGAATGTATCAAAAACAGGAATTTCTTCAACCTAGACCCCCAACATCTACAAGCTACAAAGCTACCCATCTCCAGCTTACCGGGAATCAAGGCCGAACCCTGTTCTCGGATGCTTATTCAATAACAGAATTATCCTAGCTGACCCAAAAACCAAGTTAGCTGCATGTTCATCTCCGATACTCGGCATTTTCCAAGACGCAATGAGCAAATCAGAAGTGCGGTCGCATACGTACATGAGCGCTAGCCATTGTTGTTTGAAACTGCAGCAGAAATCGGAAAGCGACGTGAGCTATATGCACGGGACACAGAACCCATGACCTGGGATCCGAATCAATCTCGTAGGCAGCGAAGCTCCTTCGGTATGGAGAGGCTCGAAGAGTCTTGGTCATTTGTTGTCCTGCGGTTGTATCCGCTTCACATTCGGGGTCATTTATGTGCATTTCAACGTGTCTTAGATTTTGAAAAGGGGGATCGGGATTTTTATCCTTCATTTACTCTGTGATAATTAACTAAGCTGTTCTCATTACTCACAGGCAGTAGAAAGTGACCAACAAGCACAAAAGCAAAAGAAAGCGTAGAGCTCGAACCAAAGGTCAAGATGCGTTTGCGTTCCTCGTTGATGATTCAAGGTAATAGCGGCTGACAGTTACTTTCGACCCCGCGCTGGTTACCCCCAACTGTCGACATGCACAAAGAATGCCTTGTATTGGCTCTTCTGGATGCACATATGCCAAAGTGCCTGACTGCAGATCTTCGAGAAAGATCTTACTCTCTATTTTGAGATACTCGACAGTCTGAGAGTCATGGGATTCGCGCTATCTAGACACCGCTCCTGTCCTGAGTCGCGAACCTCGGCCATTCTGAGACGCCCCCTCACTTCAACCTACAAACGAAGCCAAGAAGTCTTTAAGTGAAGGATAGATCAGATGTATCACGCGAGCATGTCATCGGTCATCGAGTGGCTCAAGACCTGCGGCAGGGCACGATATCTGATTGTTAAGAGGGAAGGGCGTACCCGGTGATTAGATCTCAGACTTCAGGTCGAGGCTGATTCATGCCTGAGATGCCAACCAAAAGATTGTATACGATATTCCTAGGCTTGGCTCTGGAGGCCGTCGGCTTCAACACCAGCCCTAATGATATCCGAAGCAGTGGGTACGCGAAAAGGGTACAGACAGCGACTAGAAACACATCTCAGTACAACCTTGGAAACATCTTATATTGACTCACTCAAAACTATTTACTTAAGTATATCAATTGTCTAGTTTGAGTCCAAAGAAATGCACAGAGTGGCTGGCGGAACGGCCGGCCCGGATCCGAACCACGGAAAGCATAACGTGGAATGCAACAGTATTTGAACGGTGCAGTTATACTCCGTATATCCAATAGAATATCGCCTAACACACAATAAACTGGTCCGTTAAGATCAAAGTTATAACAGAGAGGCTCCGATCCACTTGTTGCACTATTCAGGGCTCCAGGGAGACCGGACGTTTCAGCTGTCAACTTGACCCTGATCTACGGAGTCTACGGAGAACCGGTCAAACCGTCAGATTAGATTGAGTTGCTGCTGTTGTATCAAATGGGAGAGAATTCGCATGCACAAGGCCTAGTGTGTCTAGCTTGGCTTGGCAGAACCAAACTGCGGGATACTTGCTTTGCCAATGTGAGCAGACACGAGTACGGGGTACGGGGTAGAGGCTTGATCCTCTTTCGTCTCTCGTACGGATACCTTACTCCGTACTCGGCGAACGCGGTCATAGGTGCATAAGGACTACATTGTATGCTTAAATGACCCTAATAGGCAATCGAGATCACATTGCGAGCTAAGAAACTTAGACCCCACAGATTCCACTCCATAATCGTACGAGTATTGCATTGGATACCCGTACGTTGGACTTCACGATCGCAAGGGCAGTAGCACATGTTGTCTGAGCGATGCGTGCGCTTGGAGCGGGAGCGTGTTAGCAGTAACATCGTCGCAGACAAATTAAAGATTTGAGATCTGCAGTTGCGTCTGTTTCTTCTGTACAAGTAGATTAACATACGAATCAACGCAATCTACCAGTGTGTACGAGATGCTCGACGGAACTGTATCGCCAAATAAGGTGGGAGTTCTTAATTCGCGGTGTGCGAACTAGTTCAAGCTAGAAGTGCTGGTGGGCCCACCGCCGAGTGCTAGCGCTTAGAGAACCTGCTTTCTCACTGTCTAGCCCTCGGTCGGAGGATTCTAGACTTCATTTCTAGGCCTGGTGGCTGCAATAGCCTTAGTTGCAAATTGTGGAGTTGGTTAGCTGCAGCAGATCTAACCATCTCGTCTTTGTTTCAGAAACGGTGTTACATACATTCTTATCGATATCGTCTTCTTTCTAAGGGGGTTGTGGGTTGAGATCGGCTATGCGTTGGGTTCTGCTCCGTACTCGTACTCCGTACAGCGCATCGGAGAGAACTCCGACCGCGGCAGTGCATTCCTAACCATATTGAATCAACATTTGGATTTGTTTCAATTTGGGGAAGATCCCTCGTGAAAGGCGGAACGAATTTCTCCATTTCAACATTTCGATGGAGACGTTATTATTTTGATGGCACAAAAGCACCCCATTCTCGAACGCCACTCTAGACGATGTTTGGTCGGGCTCTGTGGGCGTCCTTGGTGTAAGTTTAGGGAGGGGAGGTATGGGGCATTCGAGGAGCCAGCGTTGCACGGATAAATTAACCATGGGATTAGGATTGAAAGCCGTCTTCGGCGGATAGACACTTGGCGCCCCTCAGGATCGTCAGGAGGGGGGCATTATTCCTGAGTGGAACGACAGCGTGGAATGCAGGTGGACTTGTCGGTGTGCGGATTTTATCCAGTACGGAATACGGAGATGCTACTCGTATGCCCATGGGGCGTGGGGATGGGGTCGGGGCACATGCATGCAGTGGAACTTCTTTGGGTGCAGCGAGACAATAACTGAATGCAGAATTGAATGGTGCTCTACGAGTAGGATCCGTCTGTACGGAGTGGCGCTGGAGGCCCCGGGGTGAGGGCTTGCCGAGACAAAGCCCAGCATGTCCACTTGAGTCGACGATACTCGGCAGTCCGGAGGGGGCATGTACCAGGGGCTATCAGCACATCGTAGGGGTAAGGGGGGAATTCATTTCTGATCTCTGATCGAGTCGAGAAGAATGCAATTGTCGTAATTTAAGGCTCGGGAGTCGAGTACGAGTATTTCCAGACTACATTATCTCTGTTTGATCTACGAGTATGTTTAAACGGGTGTACGAGTATACGAACATAGGCTGAAAACGGACTCAACTTTGGCCGTGAGGGGGTTCGGACTTCCAAGGAAAGTAATCCGTGGGGATCGTGAGTTTCCCCGTGCAACGTTTCTATTTTATTCTGTAAGGATCCTCAGGGCGAATAGAAGTAAGATAAGCTCCGCAGAAGGGTCCCCACCGAAAAATTTTCGAAGCATCAAATGATCAAGAAAACTGGGGCTATCCACTCTGAGGGTCCGAATAGCCGCTGCACACACCGGCCCTTTTTTGATATTCTGCATTATGGAATGCCCAAGAGTGTGAATACATCAAATTTAGTGATTTAGTGGTTTAGTGGTTTAGTTATACTAGGTGAAAAAGAATAGAGGTCAGAAGTATAAATACGAGCGAAAAAGGGTATTGGCCACATTTGATGAATCATGGAGTTAATAAAAAAGAAATAATAATAACGGAAATAGGTAATAGGCAATAAACGAAGAATAAGAAAAAAAAAAGGAAAAAGGAAAAGGAAGAAAGGGACACCTCAGAGGGCGAGGCCCGAGGTCTGGAACCGGTTTCGTGATCTGCTGACACGGCCTGGGCGCTTGGACCAGGTCTTCCCCATCGTGAAAAAAAAAGGGTATAAGACTCGCTACCAGCGCCCTTGACTTGGCCCTCACTTTTTGGCCTCTTCCCACACTGTCCAACACTGAAAAACACCCCAATTTCTACCTATTCGGTGAACCAAGAACTCGCAAAAACACATCAGTTCTCATATGGTCATTCAAACAATGAACGCAACTACACAAAAAACCCCAAAGACACCAAAGCCGGCCTCAGTGCCCATTGTCCAAAATAAACGTTGGCCCCCAATGGCCAACCGCAATGCTCTCCCTTATAAGCTCACGCATCTATCCAAGGAGAAGCTCGCCCGTGAAGCTACCGCCCCCGACCCAGATCTCCGCCGATGTGTGGCCCACTTCCGTCTTCATTGTGGCTCTGTGATGTGGACGGAAAATGATATGAAGTCGCGAATCAGCTCCTTTGACTTTGAGGACACCGACGATGAGGACGAGATGGAAGATATGAAGAATGCCGAACTCCCGGTACTCAAGTCCCGCACACCACCGGCCGAGTCCGAAGTCGAAGTCACCAAAGAACTTTCCACACCCTCCGTCCCGGAGCCCGTCGCTTCCGTGGCCACTCCAGCTACACAGCCTTCCCCTGAACACTCCGAGCATGGTTTTTTGGAAAAGGGTCGCAATTGTCTTGAGGCGACCTCTAAACACCTCTGGACAGGGGGGTCGTGCATGGTGGGCCCTATTGCGGGCTGACCACGACCTTCACTTATAATTACCTTCACCTCTCTCTCGCCACCTTTTGCGACACTCTTTTTTATTTCAGCCGATCCACGATACCATGATACCACGACTTTGACGAACACACAAAATGAACTGTATATAACTTTTTTTTATTCTATTTACTTTGGACAACATGTCACAATATTTTTTAATCACACTATTATTTTTTTGCTGGGCAATTCACTTCATATACTCGTACACTCAAAAAGTAAATGAACCAGAGAACTCGAAATGGGTTTGCCCCCCACCCCACATCTCTCTATTCTTAACTTCTATAGTATAAGTTGCCCCAACGGGGAAGGTCTAGCGACGTGACTCATCCAAAGCCGCGTACCCGATTCTGGGGATCACCTGATCGTACTCACGTCTGGAGAACTAATGCAGGCCCCAAATCCGAAGGGGTGGACCCTGATCCTCGTGGAATCAATGGAATCAGTGGGATCAGTGGAATCTAAAACGGGGGGTTATGTTTGGTGGAAACTGGCGTGTGGCGAAAGTACATTTCGCCGATCGTTCATCATCGCCATGTCACATTCTCCATCGTGACGGAGCCCGTTTCAATGCGCTCCGCAAGATATGCTCCAGCAGTGTCTCATAGGACATCCTATTGTGCTTCGCGATAATCGGCAATTGAGACCACTGGGGCCTCAACCCTGCCAAGGGGTTGATCTGTGGTACGAATATGAGTGTCAGTGGCCTGACATGAACGCCCAAAAACAAAACACCTTCAACCCATGAGCTCACAAAAACAAGAAACGCAAACAAAGATAGAGTCATACAATACATCATCGTGCCCAAGATGCAAGGTCCAAGGTCCAAGATGTAAGGTGCACGGGTATCTCCGTCATCGCTAACAAGAACGTCACTTACTTCCAGAACGTTAGCCACTGCATCGGCCGACTCCCCATCCATCCTGATATCGACCCTACCCCCATCGCGACATCGCAACGCTCTCCAGGCCCGCAGTGCGACCGTGCATGCCCGTTCGACCAGCGGATCTTCCCGATTGGCTGGGATTTCATCCGCGAGACCATCCCAGTCATCGCTGGCTTTGGACTTTTCAGTCGTGAACTCGCCGTCAAAATCAACGTCACGGTCTTTGTTCCCCCTCCATGCCATCTCAGTAACTCCCAGCACCCATGCGTCATCCCCCGTCCCCAATATCCCCACTGTGAACTCTCGCCCTGTCAGGAACTTCTCAACCAGGACTGCTGGCGCTGACGTCGCACTAGAATGTATGGTTTCGACGGCTCGGCATAGTTCATCCATGCTGTGGATGACGTTGCTTTGTTTGATTCCCTTGGAAGATCCTTCTGCTAGTGGCTTCACGAAAAGCGGGTACGAAGATGGGTTTAAAAGGCCCCGGGCATGCTTGGAGGTTTTGGTAAGAGCGCAGATGACTTGGGGCGTGATTGTTCGATTTCGAAGTTTGTCTAGATACACCACTGCAAATGGTGCGGTCGGGATTCCATAATGCTCGAGGACCATCTAATCTTTGTTAGTTGGGGAATTTCAATCGGAAAGACAGCACGAGATCAAAACATAACAAAAAAAAGAAAGAAAGGAAGAATTGAAAATAATAGAGAAACAAAACTCACCTTAGTCTTTCCTTTATCCAAACACAGTGCCATTGTCGCTGTGTCGGAAAATGTATAGGGTATGTTGAATGCCTCCAGCATAGCCGGCACTTGAGCTTCCCTCGCAGTCCCATGCACGCCCTCGGTGATATTCACCGCCAGATCCCAATGTGCAGCTTCGCCGGAGCCGAGTTTGTTCGCCAGAGTCTTAACATCGGGAATGGGGACATATCGGTGTCCCAGTCTGATAATAGCCGTAGCAATATCCTCTGCTGCGGCGCCCACTTCCAAGTGCGCAATGTCGGCCTTCTTGTACCCCAGATCTAAATAGGTGCCTGGGTCTTCGTATATTAAAGCGATGAGGAGATTTGAACCGACCATGATAGCTTATGGCAAACGGTGTTGCAGAGTAAGATACAGGGAGAATTACGGCACAGAAGATGGGCCCGTTGATTATATGTACTCAAGCTCGAAGTCGTAGTGTTGCAAGCCACGATGGGCAGCTCTCCATATGTGATCAGCCTATGTTTAAGCGGGTATCTCTGCACCCGATGCTCCGGTATGCAGCGGTTGGGCAGGCTGCATTAGTCGGTGTTTTGAGATGTGTTGTGACGATGATCGTGTCAATATATCACTTTATCCCGGACCAGCCATGCAGCTACTGCATCATTAGCGGGCTTTCGTTCGATTTCTCCGCTGTTCAAGGCCACTGGCGTCGACCCAATAACCCGCCGCCTGAAAAATAAGATCCTCACCGTAACTCACGATTATCAACCGCTTCATCTTCTATTACAAAGGATGGGGCGGCGGTGTTCGACGTGTACTCCGTTCAGACCAGGGCCAGCGGTCCCTTAATATATGAAAGGGGAAAATAATAAACAGAACCAATAGAATACTACAAACGGACACGCATCACTCATTGGGTTCAAAGGTACGGACAAAGTACAGTATTTCAAACAGTATGATTTATTTTTCGACCAGTAGATTCCCAGATAGCCGAGATATTTTCAACGCCTCATGTCTCGGCTCCCTCAGCCCCATTTCAACGAATATTGTGTATTCACTCCGTGCAACCTGACAGCTTTGGAGGCCGAAAAGTGGATGCCCCGCCAATTCCCCTTGACTTGTCACCTCCGCACGTTAGCGCCCAATTTGGTCTGATCGCGGTTTTTTGGAACAACCATGGGGTTCAGTACTCCGTGTTGTGCGTAAATCAAGGAAATGCGTCCATGAAGACATGCAGTAGTCTCTGTGCAGCTGCTCAAGTAGTTCTATGGTTTTTTTTTATTATGGGCACTCGAGTGGTAATATCTACACTGGATATATTCTTGCTGGTTTGGAGATAGGCGACGGGAGACTTGAGCTTGGTCTTTATTGTACAATATCACCGATGCCTCCATTTGAACTGATCGGTTCCTGGGGGGGGGAAAAAGAAAGAACAAAAGTTCTCATCGGTCACAAACAGAGAACTACACCGTCGGGGTGGAGGGGAAAAAAAACAAAAGCAAAAAAGAAACGTCCCCGGGAAGGCTCGAACTTCCAACCTCCTGATTAACAGTCAGACGCGCTAACCAATTGCGCCACGGAGACGTATTTGTTGAAGAGGGCGGCTCTTTATTGATCTATCAGCCAGAAGCCTTGTCCAGCAGTGATTTACTATGTAGCATTATGTTCTTCGTGTCCACTCAGAAGATACACAACCTCCCCCCACACGTTGGTTATTCTATCATTCTCCACACTTAATTATACGTCTATTCCGTGCTGCTAATCACACACACTAGGATGGGTAGCTCTCTTGAATTGAGATTTCCAGTTCGGGCTGACGGCTTGGCTGGCCAAGTGACTCTTTTGATCATCATGCATTTAGATTTGTTTATTTCTGATTGTATCCAAAGCATACAGGCTCGTGCCATTGATGAACTATTAGATACCTCAAGCTATCTACCGGCGTATTTAGCTGTGCTGATCGGGTCAAGTTTTGCCTTCACACAACATGTTCCAGCATGCCGCACCTCACAGTCTTCCTGCCCGGTCTTATCCCCCCACCACATTCGGCCATTTTCATCCATCTTCCAATCGTCGACGAGGTCAACAAGAGTCTGCAGATGCCCCAGTGTGGCAGGCTGATAACCTCGTGGCCGCTTGAGAGCCAAATATGTCCCAAATGCAGCCAAGAACACGGCGAGAATGGCAAAGATGAGCAATCGCGAGTATATCATCTCAAATCGAACATTACCATGATCATAAGAAGATACCGCTTCCTCCATGGTAGGAATCAGACTTTGACCTATGATCCAGTGCATCACCGCCTTGAGTATGAACTGAACAATATTCTCCCAACTCGAAGCAGCTGCGCGAAATGGGTCTGTGGATATCTGAGCCCCCGAGGCCTCTTTCTTCTCGCTATACGCCCGCCGCCAAACTCCCTCGTCTCTTGATAGATTGACTAATAATTCTAAACAGTGCAATGCGATGGTCTGACTGGCCTGAATCAAACAGACAAAGAGAACACAAAGCACAGCCTGGGTGCCGTATGAGAAATCCGAGGTAAACGTGAGCGAATCATTCTCAATTGGCGATAGTCCCAACGATACTTGGTTCTCGTAGCAGCCATAACTTACCGGAGCCCACTTGAAGCTGAATTTCCAACAAGTCGCCTCCGGTGGGGGATCGAAATAGGTTTTACTCCGGTTAGCCTGGGCTTTCAGAACGAGAGCTATGGCGATAGGCCATGCAATGGCTAGAGCGGCGAGTGTCCACATTATAGCGAGGATATACCTGACTACACGCTTTACGCGAAGCATGTTGCCCTGTCGTTTCATGGGTTCTGTGGGCTGGGTTGGCTGGTCTCTCTGGTGAACCGATAGCATACATCTTCCGGGTCGATGAGAATGATCAGCTTTTTGCGACACAGCCAGGGCGGTGTTGAGCGGGTTAGAGCTCCATGTCGGTATCAGTTTGGGACTAGATACTAAACACCACATGGCGATGAGTGCCTGTCCAACGAGGCCGATGCCCAGTGCTACCAGAGCAGTAGCGTTGAGCATAACGGAGGAACCCTCTGAGGCAAAGCCCATTGTGAACGTAGGTGTATCGATGAACAGAACAGATGAAGCAGCATATGACAGAATCAGACAGGCCAGTGCGATCAGGTTGATGTACCATCTGTTGGGGCCAGATAGCTTGGAGCTCGTGAAGAGACGGATGTTCGTGTTGAATTCCAGACGTTGCTCGCGATATAGTGCCCAGCGCAGCGAGGCAGCGTGCACAAACATCATCCCATCAGTACAGAGGGCCAGGATGACGTTGATGGCGAGGGCCAAAGCTTCTTGTCCACCAGAGGATATTGGAACCGCAATTCCAAGCCTCTTCTTCTCAGTTGCGAGTATGTAGGCACCGGATATCAAGCAGAGGAGGGAGAGGATTACGCCCGTGATTATGGCCGCAATGCAACCATACCGTGTACCGCTTGCCGTGTCAACGATCGGTCCGGTCTGTTCATCTTCTTGTAGTAGTTGCTCGGCCAGTGATTCTCTCTGCTCATCTAAAGACCGTGTTTCACAAAGCCTTGGATTTGGCGTGGCTTGATCCATTTCAATGTCTGGTCTGGATGGTCATGGGTGCTGTTGCTCACTTGAGAACAATTTGGCTGATGGTAAAAACCGAGGCGAAAAAGCCCCTGCATATTGAACACCAATGGCGGTGCGAAAGTCTTGGTGCACCCGGGTTAACATGGAATTCCCGCTCGCCTTGCTGAGCCGCCTTTGTATGTGCACACACCCGTATAACTGCCGATCTCTAGCCCAAGAGCAGGGGGCCAGTCCAGGGTCCCGGGGGCTAACTCTTTCATGCGATCGCCACCTGAGCAATATTGAATGGGATCGATCTAGCCGTTTCAAACACCTGGTGTTGCCGGACGGTGATTCAAGAGAGATACTTTGCAGATGCAAGTTTACGGGACTTTCTGTGGAGCTTATCATGAGAGTAGGTGTCGGGGCACTTGAGCCTCTTTGCCAGGCCTTTTTTGTTCCCATGAACGTCGAGTGAAACCATTTATGTTTCTCTTCTTGTGGCAACCTGGAAAACAAAAACAAAAACAAAAATATAGTGCATCATCCGTGAATCGAACACGGGCCTCGTCGATGGCAACGACGAATTCTACCACTAGACCAATGATGCTGAATCAACCAGTGAATGTGGATGCTCATTGGCTGTTGATGTTGGACGATCCCATATTTCATTTATGTTCCCAGATGGAGGTTCAATACATGGATCTTTCCAAGGTAGGGTTGTTTACCACTGTCGCAGAACCTTGAACCTTGCTCAAATGAAAGGCTGCATAGAAAGTTGAGGTGTTTTTAAACCTGGTGCCATATTTTTAAAGTTCACGCAAATTTCTGAAGTTGTTGTCCTGCAAACGCCCATAATCTCAAGGTTATATATAACTAGAGGGGTACACAGTCGGTGACAAAAATCAATTTTCGGTATGCCATAATTCCGTATTCTGCTGTTCCAATGGAATAACATACATAGTCCTGAGCATCCCAAGGTAGGAAGTAGCTTCTCCCTGTCTGCTCTAAATTCAAAGACATAGAACTTGCTGCAGGGCGAGTGGAACAAATATACCAAGGGCAACTTTAGAATCAATGCCGTGGCACCGAACAGATCACTCCCGTGAGTATCCCAACCAAGAACTACTTAAGTAATTTCCAGCTCTACAGGAAGAGCAATTGGTCCTGGAATCAAATGCAGTAGTGCAAGTGTGAATTATTTCGAAACCGTCACCTGGATGTTGCAGTCAGCCCATTTGAATTACCCGATGACCCTTGGCCAATAGCGCAGCATCGACCACTGGGACAGTTGAACCCATTACAGCCAACCGTACAGAGAAACACAAAGGCTCTGGCATCTTCTGCATTATAGGAGATTGGGCCAATGCCACCTAAAAGGAATACACAGAGAAGAGGCTGTTGTCCGATCGACGCCCAGTATACTGCCAGCGAGGTGCGGAGTAGTGAAGAACCGCGTTTTCGCACCCAACATATCCAAGCATGCTATTCGATTAGCCATGGAAACATGGAGGCTTGAAAATTCTTTCCTCATCGGCGCGATCCTCAGCGAATCCCGATTTTCCCCCTCTTGATCCATTCGCTCACCATCTCATTCTCGAAACAAACTTCAATTTATTGAACATGTGCTGCCTGGCTTGTAGCGCCATAGAATTCGCCACTCTTCAACAAATACGTCTCCGTGGCGCAATTGGTTAGCGCGTCTGACTGTTAATCAGGAGGTTGGAAGTTCGAGCCTTCCCGGGGACGTTTCTTTTTGCCTTTTTCCAAATGTCACCTATCACTGACTTGTGTGTTTTTTTTTTTTTGGATACAATGTGGATTTGGTTTCGAATGAAGTACGGGACACTTCCAAGGTTGTGAAGTATGTACTTCAATCCGCGGTTCGCATCCAAAGCTTGGACCAATTGCTGCCCTTCCAATCGACCAGAAAGTCAGTTTCTATTGAAACAATGCCAACCGCAGAAATATGGCTGTCAAGCTATGGGACCCCGAAGGTCGCCTTAAGGGTGATTCACTTTGAGCTGCAGGTCAACATCTGGGATTCGAAGAGCACATGAACTGCGTTGAGTCACAGATGGCGACTGAGAGTACTTTTCCGTCTTTTTTTCCCGGTCTCTTTTCTCGAATCACAGAGCGGAGGTTGGGAAACAATGAGAGACTGTGAAAGTACGAATGAGGCGAAAAATGAAAAGAAAACGACTTCAAGAACATTGAACAAAGATGACAACTTCAAGTCATTTAGTTCATCGAATATTGACTCTGGAAGGTCGAAATCCCGGATTACATACAATTTCAATTTGAAATTAATGACATTCAGCTATGAAATATCCAGACACCACAATGAGCAACAACCAACAGAGCCAAGAGGTGGAGAGAAAGCAAAAAAACGCCACAACAAATCATACATACACATGCCCGGTAGATTCAAACAGTTGACCAGATAAGAGAATCGACAAAGATGAACCAGAATCCTCCGTGATGAGATGGAGAAAATGTATAGCTCCGGAGAAAAGTCAGCGACTCAAAAAATCCCAGCGCAAAGCAAAACTCGATACCAAAGGGTTGACGGGAGTCAGACCCTAAGGAAACCCGGGCCATTGCGAGGGACCATGAAGTGTGCCAAGTCCTGCTTTGCGGCGGTTCTCAGCCACCCTCGTTGCTAGGTTTCTAAGAGCCTGCCAGTCTGGGGCAACGAGGGTATGAATTGGGGACCAACACTGCAACCGGAAATTAAATTGGACATTGGCACTCCTGGCGGCGTAGCTGTTGCCCCTGAGTGCTATAAACACAAGATCCATGAGGCTAGTGGTTTCAAGTCCAAAAACATCCTGCCAAGTTCCTGTCAGGAGCTGGATTCCGTTCAATTCCAATCGACGCAATGTGGCACGAGATTCATAGAAGATATCGCGGAGGGTCTCCCATTTGACTTCCACGCGCTCCAGCTTTAGGCATTCCAGTTTGGTCATTTTGGATGCCTCCAAACCAGTCAAATTGAGTGGAGCCCGAGTTTCCACAGTGAGGATCTTCAAATTTCCCGCGAATCCGATGAATTGTGTTAAATATTCAGCGAACGGCTGCAGTGGATATCGGGCCTTGATGTTTGAACGAGGAGTTGCTGGCTTCCGGAAGGCCTCGATTCCACTGTCATCGTTGATGATGAGGTGCATCTCTTCGATATGAGATAGAATGGTAGTGAAGTTCTCCGTGTAGCTTTCGACACCGAAGAAACGGCCAAACTCGGCAGTCACAGGGAGAGATATGTAAAGACACTTCAGCTTTGGCATCGAGACATAGCGCATGGTATGAATGATGGAACCAGTGAGCTTGGCAAGAGAGGCCGCTGGAATTTGATCCTCGACACAGAAGGGAGCCACCACTGTGGGTGATTGGAGACGCAAGGTCTTCATGTTCTCAAAACGACTGAGAAGCGCCGAGACAGCGCCTGTTGACACGTTTGTAATGTATGCATCGTACATATCTGCATCGTGCCATGCTCCCACAATACCAAAGCTCACATCCTGTACGTCGGAAGCCCATTGACTCGCAGAAGCCTTGAAAACTGGCTTTAGAGGATCTTCCGCGCGGCCAAGGAGACCAGAAATCCGTCTGAATATCCGGGGGGCGAGTATGGCACTCCAGCGTGGGGTCACAAGTCGCAAGCTCGAAAATAGCTCCTTCGTTTCGGGGTTGTCATAGGCATCAACAGGAAGAAGCAACTTTTCCTCCTGCGAGTCAACGGCCACAATGTAATCAAATATCTGATGGAGAGTCAGAGTCAGTTTCTCGGTCGTGTGCAGCTTCCGTGATGATCAATCTGTCAGTACCTTGTCCCAAATTTCATTGGGCACAGCATAGAATGGCCGGACCACAGCACCCTGATTAGCACTTTTGCGCCTTTTGTTTAGGCGTGTAACAACGAAAGGATAATCCGTCACTAGATTCGGTCCTCGCATGGAAGCCGAAGGCCTGCTTCGAGGGGTCGGACTATCATCCGCCGAATAAGCCTCAGTGGGACTGCCATTGTCAAACACAGAAGGCGGCGAGGACCCATCGGAGACGAAGTCCCGACGGCGCTTAGGGGTACCGGATCCCAGATTTAACGTAGAGAGTGCCTTCGAAGGCGTCACCGGTTGATAAGGCGGGTCCATACTTGGAAAACTGACTGGAAAGATGGTTTCAAGGATAGATCAGGAGTGGGGACACAAAGAGACACCAATAGCGGAAACGAGAGAGGTATCAAGAATAAACAAAAGAGACCTAGATGGTAGAGATCTGGTACACGTCCCACAAGTAGACGTGTAAATGACTAGATATAAGGCACAGAGATGTAATCACGTATGTACGCGCAAATGATGCAAGTTTGAACGCGAAAAGAGGGACACGACACAAATTAGAGGAGAAAGATGTTAGAGGAGAAAGATGAAGGGAAAGAAGAGTGTCAAGTGGGAAGTAAACAGAAGGGCGTGGACATCACCTGGTAACCGCGCTCTTGAGGCAAGTGCGAGAGCCTTGGGAATTCGGCCGCAATACGTTCGTTCCTTCCCACCTTGAACGTGGGATATACTGCCCTAAATTCGAGGCTAACGGGCTCATTCTAAGCTCAAGTCTGAAATCCCACGAAGCCACCTGAGAGGTTGGCCCCGATGAATGGTATAGAGTATAGGGTTGAAAAAAACCTCACAGCAACGGCCACACCAGGCCTCACATCGGACTAAAACTTCCTGTGGTGCCAAAATCCATCTTCAACGAGACCAGAGACCCCCGACGAGACCTCATCGCTAACCCATTGGGGTGTCAAGCCATATTTTTCGTGTAAGTTCTTCTCCAATGGATATGGAAAACATGCAATCCTACCACTGTATAGTAGCCATCATCGCTGGATGAACCTGAATTGTATGGTGATACCTTATCTTATATAGCCCCTAGGAAGGCATGTCTTGAGGCACTATAAGCCTATATGTCGATGGGACGTGGCATGGAAAAGCGTTGACCATGTGTCTGATGAGAACAGTGTTGTCTAGCATCACAAGTGAAGTTCCAACCCTAGAGTAGCGAATCGGTAAATCTTCAAGATTTTTTTCAATCTCCAGTCGAGATGGCAAAGACCTGACTGGACTGCAAATTATGAAGGCTTATAACAATGCGGGAGGTGAATCTCAGCACCATCATCGATCGGGAATTTGCCAGCATCTCGGTAAAACATCGTGCTCCAGTTGTGTAGCCACAAAATCCGCCACTTTTTAACAAATACGTCTCCGTGGCGCAATTGGTTAGCGCGTCTGACTGTTAATCAGGAGGTTGGAAGTTCGAGCCTTCCCGGGGACGTTTCTTTTTTGTTTTGGAAGCTATCTCATGATACATACTGAGCTCAGACAGAATGTGTGAATAGAGGACTAGAGAGAAGTGCGATGGGGTTTTGTTTTTCTTCCCGACGCACAAACACAAAAAACCCCCCAAGTGGTAAAAAAATGTACATGTTTAGAGGGTTTGGAGAACCAGGAACCCTATTTTAATCAACACAGTGAATTGAAGGCGAGTACTGTCACGGGCTCATAGCCTACTATGCTTATGGACCCATTCCATACATACTTAAGAAGCGCGTGCGTGATGGAACCTAATGTAGCCTCAATGTAGGGTGTGGTGGTATATACTGAGCTGGAATGTAACAGATGATCTGTTATATTGTCTACCTTTTGGTCGAGTGGATGGACGTCAAACCAGCGTGGCATCCGGCCCCTCACAAGTACTTCAAGTGCTAAAAAAGTAGACTCATTTCTTTTAGCTAGTCAAGTAGAGAGCAAGACCCCCGGAGCAACAGGAGTATATAGTATAGTACAATATAATCGCCAATTCCAGCACCTGGTCTCAATTAAAAGCCAGTAGCCAAAGGCGTAGTGACCGGGGCCGCACTGGAAGGACAGACACAAGCGGAGACCGACGAAACGGGCGGCTCAGTGCAGTGAGGTTCAGCAGTCCAAGGAACCGAAGTAGCAGTCGCCTTCTTATCCGTCTTTTCAGCTCTGACCAAGACAGGAATAACAGCACCGGTATTCAGTTTGAACGTGCGGTGTCCCAAGACCCTCAAAATCGACGAAATCTCACCAGAATGCGAGGTAATCGATACAAAGGACTCCTTCTTACTCGAGGAACCAAAGAATACCTGACCGAGTGCTGTTGCACTTCGAATGTCCTGCGCACCACTCGTTTCCGCCAACACCCCATTCCACAGCTCATCCTCTTCGCTGAATCCTTTCTCAATAGGCCACGAAGGGAACATCTCATGGATGTAGCTACGGCTGCGACGGTGGTCGCAGGTGTGAATGCTGATTCCCTCGCGGAAAAGTTCCTTGATCGTCGGTTTGAAGCTCGCGCTACCTTTAGGCAAATCCAAGCCTGTGAAGGTCAAATTGGCAGTTTGCAGAGTGCGGGTCAATGGGCTGACATAGTAGTGGTCGGGTGTGTGGATGCGTTGCTCGTTGATTTCTTTTTGCCAGAATGCATTTGCGGTCAGGGCTTGCGAGATACCGTTTTCCGTGAGAGAGGCATCGGCCCAGGTTGCCGTGCTATTGCCGTCTAATTCGGCCCAGTAGCACTATGGATGTTAGTTTTTTTCGGATTGGAAGATCGACTCTGGAGATGAAGCTTTTGCGCTAGTAGTGCGTTAGTACTTACGTTCCAAGCTGGCGTGCCATAGTATGTCTCGGCGGCGTTGTGCCATCCTTCGCCGTGACGGCCCAAGAACAGAACCTTGTACTCGACATGTTTGGGGGATTCCTCATTGAAACGGGAAACTTGGTGGTAGAAGCGTTCCCATTGAGTGAGGTGCTTCTTATTGTGCTTGTCCGCGGGGTAAGTGCGGTTGATCAAGCCGAAATTCTCCGCTGTCTATGACGGTGGATTAGTGATGTAATCTATGATGCTTTCGAAAGTAGAGATGTCTTGAAAACGGACTCACATAGTCAAATGTAGAGGCATCGGTGGAATCCTCATCTTGTAAGAAATAGCCTGTAACAGCACTGTACTTGACAGTGGATGCTTGGGCAACTGCCAGGCCCACAAGGGCTGAGCCGAGGGAGAGCTTCATGTGAAATAAAAAGCGGAGATACACGCGGGTTTCAATTGATTAAGTTTTTCTTTTCGTGCAGATCGGAGAATGACAGTCTTTTATACCCTTTCGGAATAAGCCCACGTGTTGACCTTCACATTCTTCAACTGCGTAGCGTAGAAGCAATAGATTGGTTTCCGATGCTTTGCGTTTTGTTGTCCTGTAGTTCGGCGCACGTGCAGCAAGTTGGCTTAAAAGGGAACTTCAGTCCTAAACGGCCGGACCTCACACCCAATGACTGGGCTGCGCTAACTCTATAGCCTCTTGATCGTCATCTTCAATCTCGGGGATTTCGGGGATTTCGGGCAATTTCCAAGGTTCTTCCCCCCTTTTTTGGTGTGGTAAAGTGGTAGATACCGATATATTGTATGTATCAAAAGTGACAGAATGCTTAGCCAATATGCAAATCCAAGTCCATATTCCAGAAAACCCCGGTTCCAAAACCCCACGGGCATAAAATGTCCAAAATGAAACGAGTAGAAGGTAAAGAGGCTCGAGTCGGAAGTCGAAAACGAGCTCGGGAGAAATTAAAAGGTCGTATCAACCAAAACAATAAACGCAATCCCAGGCCAATAAACAACATGCAAGGAATGCTCCAAAAATATGTAACCCCGGTGAAATTACACCCCAAATAAACACACAGAAAGGATAGAGTATATAGACATAAAGTGACAGTGATCCTCCGCACAAGGCGAGGGGAAGAGGAAGATGGGGGAATTTTTTTATGCATAGTGAGCTCGTCCCAGACCAAAAAACACCAGAGCTGGTCGCACATTTCTCATACTCATGAGGGAAAGGCCCAAGCCCTTTTTTTCCCACTCAGGAGGGATAATTGCTGGGCGTCGTGTTGTTCGCAAACGTGTAGGCTTTCGGCTTCTGCATCGAAGCCAAGTGATGGCTTCCATAACGGTTGGCGTCATGCTCTGGGAAGTCCTGCATCATGAAATCGCCTCGCTTCCTCTCCGCAAGCTCGGCGGAGCCGGGCATATCGGTATCTTCAATCGAGTAGATCAAGGATGGAGAGCCAGACACAGGCTCCATGCCAAAGTTTTGTCCGGTGTGATCCGCTGTCGCATCATAACCCATGGGCGACACAGTACTTGAATGAGGCACTTGGAGGCCCGCGGGATATTCGGGAGAAGAAATAGAGCCAGTATCGGCCCAGCTGCGCGCGGTCAGAGGAACCGCGTCACAGGTAGCATATTCGGGAAAAGAAGACACTTGGGCCGGGGCTGACATCGGCGGGGCGACGTTCTGGTAGGGGAAAGGGGTATAAATATCCAGAGGCGTTGTAGGAGGCGATGCGATGTTGACCTGCATGGGTTGAGAGGTAGGGAAGAAATTGGTTGTGGAATGGGCTGACATGCAGTAGTTGCTGTCTGTGGGAGAACCAGGCATGAAGTGCTGGAGATCTTGCGGAGTCAAGGGGGTCGGAGGAGCTAGGGTATTGGTCGAGACTGAGGGCCGAAGCATCTTCTCGGCCTTCTTGATAGAACCCGACTCGGCAAAAGTGAAGTTGAGAGGAGACCGCTGAGCAGCGGATGCCTTCCTCACACCAGCATATCGGGAGTTAAGGCTTTGAGTCGACTTGGACTGTCTCATCGAGTTACCAGCTCCGGAGCTAGGCATGCGAGCCGTTGGGGAGAGCGATGACATCGAAGTCGAGTTAGCCAATGGGCGGTTCCCAGTTCCAGAAGTACCAATCGCAGCGGGTCGAGGACGCTTGCGTCGCGCGGCGAGATCAAGCTCCTTGCCAGGTTCTTTCCAACCAGCCCCTTCGACACGATTCATAGAGTGAGACAGGCCAGCCTGGTCAGGTGTGCAGATTCCGATACCCTTCAAGGAAGTCGTCAACGCATCTGAAGACTCCCGACGAGTGACCGAGATATCTGGTGCTTGCATCTGCATAGGGTACTGCATGTTGCCGTAGACAAGACTGGGGTCATGCGCGTGGGATGGACTGGCTTCTGACCACTCCTCTGTGTGAGGAGGCAGGTGACCTGAGTAAGCGTCCACGTTGTGCAGAGCAGGGTGAGAAGAGGTTTGCATATCCGACATTGGGTGATGGGGAGCAGAGTAAGAGTTATGCTCTGCGGTGCTGTAACCAATGTGTTCATCGTGCACGCCAGTTCCCCACGAGGCAGGCTCCTCCTTGATATCTGACCAACCCGGGAAAGAAGAGTTGATGTTAGATAGATTTGCATTGTCAGTGTTCGAGGTGGCAGTCTTGGGCGGGGGCATTGAACCGGGTGAGACAGCCTCTTCTTCTTCCGGAACGGCGTCGTTCTTGCTTCGAGGGTTGATTCGGCGACCGAATCGATCCCTGGCGGCACAAGCAGCATTGAGTGCCCTCTGCAAAGAGGCGAATGTCGCCTCCCGTGCAGATTCGCTCTTTGTTTTGTGATGCTTGGAGCGACTAGATGTGGAATCCGACTTGGCATGACCGCTAGTGTTGGGAGTAGGGGTTTGCTTGGGAGTGGCGGACTTCTCCGATTCCTCTCTGACCACGGACCCTTTCCGGGACTCCGACAGCTGGTCCAGTGTCTCTGATTTCCGCCGAGCAGCCTCCTCTGCCTCGGCCTTGGCCTTTGTCATCTTCTCGAATTCCTCCTGTCGTTTTTGTTGCTTTGCCTTGGCGCGGCGATTTTGGAACCAGTTCTGTGGAATATAGTTAGCTTCGAGTAAAAGTGTCATTGGACCTGCGTGTAGTACTCACAGCAACGCGAGGCAGACTTAAGTTCGTCTGAGCCGCCAATTGACGCTTCACATTGCTGCTGGGCTTGGGGTGGGCTTGGAATTGAGCTTCCAGGGTTTCAACTTGTTCTTTGGTCAACCGTGGGCGGGACAAATTCTCTGTGTATTCGTCGTAGTCCATAATCGGTTGGTGGTAGTAGTCGATCATTTCCATTGGCGGGTGAGGGTGAGGGTACATGTAGCCATCAATGGGGTGCATCATGGGAGGGGGGACCATGGAAGGGTCGTATGCCATGTGTTGATCCATTGGGATCCCCTGATGACCTTGGTAGTTCCATGAGGGGTGAATGTAACTCATGGCGAGGGAGGTGTGAACAGGTATAGGAGAGAGGTGAGTCGGTGAGTACCGAAGAGAAAGGCACGGGAAGGGAACTGCACGAGAGAGTGGCAGTTATGAGATATATGGTCTATATCATTAAAGGTCGAGCGGTTTGCGACCTGGAAAGAGTGTGCAGGGCAGAGGCCGTGATCGAAGAAAAAGAAAGCAGAGTTGATAATAGCCGGTGTTAAGGAGAGACTCGGGAGTTAGGGACCCAAAAGAGTGTGCATGCAAAAAGCAATGAAAATAAAAAAAGAAAGGAAAGAAAGGAACGTAAAGGATAGACTGAGAGGAAAGGATGAAGAGAGGAGGATTGAACTTTGGAGGCGTCGGGGGGAAATCGGGGGAGACGGCTGGTAATGCGCAATACGGAGCTTGGTGATCGCGGACTATGATTGGGTGGTGACCGGGTATTGTCCGGTAACGGGTGGTAACGAGATGAAACAAAGGTCTGTGTGCCTTAGGGGGGATGTACTGGGTACATGAGACTTATGTACTACGAGCACCCAAGTGGATGGTACCTGTACCTCGATCCAGCTATATCTAAAAAGAATTCAGAATTATAGAATAATCGAATATTCGAATAATTGTAGAATTAAAAAAAAAAACGAAATGACGAAAAAGAGAAAATGGGGGGAAAAAGAAAGCATCCGAGATCTCAGATCTACCACTCCCCGTTTGGGAATTTAGAAATGATGTGAATATCCACTTGGGTTTTTTCTTTTTTGAACGGGCTGAAAATACCCCCACACGTACTGTATTTCATCCTTTTTTTTAGCCCGTGGAGTCGCGCTACCACCCGCTCGGTAGGGGGTGGCGTGGCATCGTCACAGTATTTGAGATGAAACTACTCCTCCGTAACTATTTCTATTTTGATCTTAATATGAGTATGGAGATGTGAAAGGCCCTGGTCTACTCGTACGCACCTGGGTTGGGTATTACGGAGTACAAGCCACTTACCCCAGTTGCCCGTTTGGGTTGCTCATTTCCAAGGCCTCATGTCTCGGATGCTCACCACGAGGTATAGTCATGCCGTGAGACGATAACCGTTGAGCTACTCGTACTCATGTCGATATAGTTCCAGCTCACCCATATCGAACGGAATAGTTAGATCTGTACAAGTAAACAAAGGATCCAAGGTTACGAGATGCGGAGGAGCTCTTGGCCGGGTCGGGTACCATGGGTACTTCCCGCGGTAATCTATACTGCAGGGCCTTTTAGACGCAAAGACGTAACCATCCCAGTTCCTGCATTAGCGCCATGTCTGATCCCTACTGCAAAGCAAATCATGTCCACTCTCCATATTGGAATTAAGAATTCAGTGGGTACTTTTGGTCTTAAGATAACTATCTACACTGTCTATGTTCATACCTGGACCTGGACCTGGACCTGGGTACATCTATAGATATGGCGTGTAGGCAAAACCAGCTGCACTCCAGGGCTATATGCGAGTACTACCTCCGCCGTACGGAGTACTCGTTGACGTGGTGATTGGGCTTGCATGATTATGCCCAAGGTAGCAGTCACAACCCCCCCCCAATCCAGAATCCTGGTCGATTGTTCCCCGATCCCTCGTACCAGGAGCCTGGAGACCGGAACGCCGGGCTAGATGATCGGATGTACTCTTCCGGGCCAATACTGTGGATGGCTGATTATAGGATCGTCGCAATGGAGCACAGTGGTACTCGTACCCAAGGAGTGTTCAGAGCACACTATTGAGCTCTGAAGCAACTGAGGCCCAACTATCTGTTACTGGGCTTTCTGGAGCACTGTTCCCCTTGACGCTAACCCCAGTTCATACTAGTGAGGGCGCATGGCAGCGGTCAGCCAAGACAGACTAAACATCAATAGTCGACAGATCCTCCGTCGATCACTCAGGGATCTGCCGAGCTTTTTGGTCTTTTTTTCCCTGTGTGGCGGCCTTCTAGACAACCTGCCCCTGTGTGGATTTCTCCAGGCTCCAGCTCAAGTGATGTGTGACACCATCTTCCCTTCCCGGGGATCTGGTTGGGCCCTGCTCGCCTACACCACGAACGGGGGTACGGAGTAGGCGCTAAACGTCTTGGAACCAGAGGACTCCATGCAAGTAAGTCACGAGTGATTGCAGAGCCAGTTTCTACCCACACCCCCTTTAGCGGCACATGTGCTTCGCGACAGGTATTACGGAGATCCGGAGAAAAGTACGAGCACATTGATGTTATGGTCCAATTTTCACGCAATTCCCTCGGGGATCCCCTATTTTTACTCATTGAAGTACGAGTATTCCGAGAGCAACCTGAAACTTGACAGAAAATTTGCCTTTTGACTCTTATTCAAAGCCGACAGCAAAACGTCCAAGGACGTTGGGCGATGAAGCCTAAAATTACGGAATGTGGAGGTCTGAAATTCTATACAAACGTGATAGGATCTGTCGGGAACTCTAATTCATCTGGCCTCGTACTCGTCGGCACATGGATGATAGTGACTACTACTCGTACAGAGAAAAGGGAACAATGAACCGGTCTAGCGGAACCTTCTCTCTTCCGTACAAGTATACGAGAGAGAATTCCATATCCAGGAGCCACTGCTTGTGATCTCCCCCTATTTCTGCTCGATTGAGCAACATGATCTGACCCGAAAAGCCGCCAACGCTCAGTGATCCAAGGTTGATCATATTCGATCAGCCAGTCGTATGGACCGGGTACATTTGCAGTGGAGACAATGGCCAACCAGGGGGATACTTGTTTCTCCCCGGAGAGTATCTCCACCCTCAAGACCTCTTTTGAGACTGGCAGCTCCACGTCGATCATAGGTGCACAACGTGGCTATTAGCTTGGTTTCCAAACTTCGCACTCGTAAGTACCCTATCACTCGGTACTGCGTTGGATGAAGTGCCGTGATTGACCTCGCAGCGATTCGATTCTTAACTCAAGCTTTCCGTGCAGCAGGGCGGCTATGGGAGCCATGTCACACCTGTTGACTCTTCCGATGACGATTTGACTTCTGTTTCCCCCCTTGGGCAATTGTGTCAGACCTCGTCTTGGCGCGTGCCCCACTACAAGTCTCATGGTGCGAGCCACTTTAGATCGTATTGAGTTACATACCACAAAGGGAAGTAGTGAGCAGCGTGGGTATAGACCAATTTGATATCGCACCGGTCTGATCGAAAATCCCACTACAGAGTAGGGAGGTATAGAGTATAGAGTATAGAGAGAAGGTAGTAATGTACAGATTACAGAGTAACACAGATCTTCGGCATTAGGGGATCTGCTATGATGACCCCTGGGTCGATCCGCACATGCATTTCTCGCACGGATCCCTCGACTCCATGTGACTATTGATTGGATCTGATTTCGACCGTTTCGCTGGGAATTACTGTACTCTCTCAAATATCGGGTTATGAACAATTCCCCGGTGATTTGCAATGATCTACGGTTGTGTGACAGCACATCACCCTCTCTTGGGATCTTGGTGATCTTTGACTCCGTATGGAGACGCTCGTACACAGAACTCCCTCGTATTGATGTCACGTTGTCACGATGTCACGGCTGGTGAAACGGATCCTCAGATCGCCCTCGATCATCCCCCCGCTTCTCAAATCCCTGCCCATGGCGTGCACAGGGGCTTCGAAACTGACTCGTCATCTCTCTGGGACGTTCTAGTGCGAACACTCGGAGTATTTCGGTGACCCGAAAGATACCAGTGGCTGAGCTGAGCGGGTTGTGTGATAGATCCAACAGCACTCCCTTGTGGCGCTGAGAAGATCTGTGGCGGTGCGGAAGGGTATCCATCGCCCTGCATACGGAGTGCAGCTCGCAGACACTCTCCTTTCTTATGACACTGTATTTGTCACATTTGTGGGTCCAGAACTGGGAAATCGCCAACTTTGCAGCAGCCATCGACAGGAACGGTCTGCAAGTTGACTGGCTGTCCACCTCGGTGCATCCCGATCCTGTCGCCCAGATCGGAATCTTGGAAGCGCATCACAAACCTATGTGTGACGAGATTTGCATTTGCCCCTCATCCGTCATCACAAGTTTGGAGAATCACCGTTGTAGCCATCAACGAAACTTTTTCTCGACTAACTTCCATTCCTGGACTTCGTGATATTCAGGAGCCTGCATTTGAGCAATCTTTTCCCGACCCGTGCGCAGGAGCAGAAAACCCCATCCCCCTTGCATGTGTCCTCACCGGCAAAATGCCTCTTTCTCCAGCTCATTGGAGAAGCTTTGTTCTCGCCCGAGCTTCTCCAGCGGCTGGGATGTGTCCTATCCAAAACGAAATCACCCGGTCCACCAATTAGGCCCACCGATAACTTTGGCTCCCGTGTTTCCGGAGGACAATGCATATCCTTGTGAGAAAGACCTTGGGAGCTGGCTGCAGCTGTAGCTACGGAGTACGAGTACAACGTGCAGCCAAAGCTCTGCGAACGCGTTACCGCTATACAACCCAATACCTAACAAGGCCTCCCCTCGAGTTCAAGGTCATTCTCCTCGGTGTTACATTCCCGATCACTCAGTCTGATTCCAAATCCACCCAGGGCTCAAGCGTGCATGAACAGTCGTTCGCAGCTTGCCTTGCTATTTGATTGGACCACAGCTCAGCAGCGGGTATAATTACTTGCTGCAACGTCCTGCTGAGAAAATCCGGATTGTCGCCCTGCAAGGACTGCGCTGCTGCAGGTTGCAAACTTACCGCGCCCACGCCACGGCGGTCCAAGACGATCGTGTCACTGCGTCAACAGGAATACAGCTTAATCCTTGCGGGCCGAATCATCGAGACGGCCCGCCATCCTTGTAAATAAGACTCATCTGCTGTCATCGTACAAACCGGTCATGCAGCAGCGTCAGCGCCTCTGGTCTCTGCTCGCAACTCGGCTGGGCTCCACATCGTCTCCATTAGACAGTCTGCACATGGCGGTATACGGAGCTAGATCATAGGTCCGTTTCGTGAAGATCTCACACCTTGCGTGACTCGATCACGCTACCGTCGGGGAACTAGCTACTCGTAGACCGTTTGGGATCGGCTCTCTCGCGGTATGTTTGTAACGTTTCAGGATATGCAGTGCGGTGTGAGGAGTTGGAGCTCATTCAACCCTGTGGTGAGTATCCAGTATCCATTTCATAGCACAATCGGCTCCGATGAGGGACCAGGCTTCACGGTGTGCGCTTTTGGTCCACCAGGGGCTCTCAGATTTGCCACACAGGCGGGAATTCAAGGAGGATCACTTGTCAGATCTGATACTCTTTGTAGATCATGTCAAACGCCAGTGATCGAGTATCCTTGTCTTTGGCCTGGGGCTAGATGATCACTCCGGGGGCTTGTTTTGGTCAATGCTTGGGGTGGGCTGAACGATTCCAAGGTTGTCAATACACACCATCCCCAGTGATCCGCAATGATCCCATTACTTGCCAACGACAAGGATACCCAAAGATGTGTCAACAAAATATGTATGTAGTCTAAGTCTATCTTATGGAATACACAATCAGAATGCTGTGTGACGTAACTCCAAGTAACCCTGGTATGCAGCAATTTCCAAGCACTTTGTATCAACCGCACTGATTGAGACCGTCTATTGGAAAGCATTGCTGATCTCCAGCTGCAGACGACCATCAACAACTCCCTTCACGGAAACGCTTCTCAGATCCTCCACGATCCAATCGGCGCCAGCCTCTTGAAGCTTCTCCAGCGAGTGTGTTGTCTTGAGCGCAATGACCTTGAAACCAGCATCCTTGCCAGCCTTGATACCAGAGGGAGCATCCTCAAGAACGACAATTGAGGTAGAGTCCTCGAGACCAATCTGCTTGCGTCCGAGCAGATAGCAGCGAGGATCCGGCTTTCCGAGCGGAACATCCGCTGCCGTCACTAGGTTCTTAGGGTGTGTGAGTCCAAGGACTTCCAACCACCCGTCGATCAATCCCCTAGTACCAGATGTGACAACACCCCAGCGGGCGCCAGAGTTCTCAAGGGCTGTGAGGAGGTCGCGGCCACCGGGGATTTCGACAGCATCTGAGCCGTATTCTTGCGGAATGCGACTTTCGACGTAGTTGACGTCTAGAGGTTGCCAACGTGTCAGTTTTTGCTGATACTATATGCAAAATGTCCTGCTGCATCACAGATGCTGTAGACTTACAGTCCCAGTTGGCCTTGGTCTGATCGTATAGTCCCATCACATCGATGCTGCGACGGCCATGGGAGGTGGCGAGGATAGTCTTAGGGTCGACACCTAGCTCGGCACCGATCCTGGAGGGAATTGCTGCGTTAGGTAAGGCGTCAAAGGTCCGCTGGTGCTGGTATAAAGCTCACTTGTGCCAGTGCTTCACGATTGCTGTTCAATCCCACGTGGTTAGTATATATAACTCCGGTAAGGGTAATGATGAGGTCGGTACCATCTGTGGAGTCGACGATTGTCCCGTCAAAGTCAGAGAGAAGACCATCGAATGTGTGGACCTGCGGAGGCGCAGAGAATGATCCTGTTGCAGACATGGTGGGGGAGGGGCTGTTGCGCGGGGATGCGAGAGATGCGAATGGTGAGGAGATGGGAAGGGAGGAGTCGCGGTATTTATTCAAGCGACGAATGTTTGAAAGAGAACAGCGGGAATGTCAAGAAAACACAATATATTGGTGACTCAAAGGCTAAGGCGCCATTAAAAGCGATTTCTTGCTTATCATGAGATCCAATTGAGTTACCCCATTAGGCAATCGGCCCGCCGGATGCTCTTAGTCATTCATATTTCTGCGGAGATCGGTCGAACTGATTATCCGCTTATCGCAAAATCTTGGCGCTCAACTTTTTCTTGCGGATGGAGTTGTAGATTTCGCTGTGTAACGCTTCGTGATATACAACGGCGTGCATTCAAAATGGTTACCAAGAGTGGATTCGGTAAGACGACTCTGTCCAATGCTACAATACTCGATCCTGGAAGGCAATTCTAACTGTCTCTAGGAAAAACATCCAAGCGGGTTCCCGTCCGCTTGAGACACAAGATTGAGAAGTCTGCTGTCCAGAAGCAGAGAAAGCAGAAGAAGCTTGCAAAGAAGGTAATTGCCACATATATGCTCTCACAGCGCTTACGGTTTATTGACAAATCCTTGCAGAACCCCGAATGGCGGTCAAAGATCAAGAAGGATCCCGGCATTCCCAATCTCTTCCCCAACAAGGATAAGCTCCTCCATGACATCGAAGAGCGCAAGCGCCTGAGGGCCGAGGAGATCCAGCGCGCTCGTGATGAGGCCAAGGCCCGTAAGGCCGAAGGCTTGCCCGCCACCGCAAATGGCGCTGGGGCTGTCGACATTGACGAGGACGATATGCTCGACGATGATATGGAAGGCGACGACTCCAACCCTATGGCTGCTCTTCTCGCATCAGCACGCGCTCGCGCCACCGAATACGATGACAACCAGAGCGAGGACGAGGATGAGATGGATGAGGATGACGACGAGGACGAGGATGAGGACGAGATGGATGAAGACAATGAGGGTGGCGCACTGCTCGACGGATCTGCCCCACCATTGGTCACAGCGAGGTCCTTCACAAAGGAGAGCTCACGACGCCAGTTCGACAAGGTGTTCAAGCAGGTCATTGACAACGCCGATGTCGTTCTCTACGTGCTTGATGCCCGTGACCCGGAGGGTACCCGTTCCAAGGAGATTGAGCGCGAGATCATGGCCGCGGACAGCGGCAACAAGCGTTTGATCCTTATCTTGAACAAGATTGATCTGGTCCCACCCCCAGTCCTCAAGGCCTGGTTGATCCACCTTCGCCGCTCCTTCCCAACCCTTCCCCTCAAGGCGTCCACCGGCGCTGGCAACGCACACAGCTTCGACCACAAGCAGTTGACAGTAAAGGGAACTTCCGACACCCTTTTCCGCGCGCTCAAGTCATACGCCAACACCAAGCAGATGAAGCGATCCATCTCTGTTGGTATTATCGGATACCCCAACGTCGGCAAGTCCTCCGTGATCAACGCTCTCACCGCGCGATTGAACAAGGGCTCGAGCAATGCTTGCCCAACTGGTGCTGAGGCCGGTGTCACCACCAGCCTGCGCCAGGTCAAGCTGGACAACAAGCTCAAGCTCATCGACTCTCCCGGTATTGTCTTCCCTAGCTCCAGCGACAAGACCTCCACCAAGAAGAACAAGAAGCAAGAAGAGCAGGCTCGTCTCATTCTGCTCAACGCCGTGCCTCCCAAGCAAATCGAGGACCCCATCCCCGCAGTCAACCTTCTGATCAAGCGTTTATCTTCTTCGGAGCAGCTCATCGCCAAGATGCTGGAGGTCTACGGTATCACTGCCCTCTTCCCCACCAGCAATGGTGACAAGACCATGGACTTCCTCGTCCAAGTGGCTCGCAAGCGCGGCCGTCTTGGAAAGCGCGGTGTCCCCAACATCGAGAGCGCCGCCATGACCGTCATCAACGACTGGAGAGACGGTCGTATCCAGGGCTGGGCCAACGCGCCTGTGCTCAATGTGGTTGCCACAACCGATGCGCCGGCCAGCGCCACTGAGCCTGGCGCCGACACTGCTAAGGTTGTCACCGAGTGGGCCAAGGAGTTCAGCATCGAAGGTCTTTGGGGCAACGGAGAAGGTGACGACGAGGAAATGGCCGAGTAGAGGGACACTTAATGGTCGCGTTACGAACTCGTTATCTCATTTGATTCTACCTTTCTGGATACCAAAAAGTGGGCGTTATATATTGGCATTCCATCGTTCCCTAAATTCTCAATATCAATGCAAAAAAGAATAGAAACATTCCAATAATTTCACTGAAGTATGAAGCGAAGTAGCTTATAGTGTGAAGTTCAAGTAGGCATCGCCAAGCCCCCGCGGGAGAACTCCAACGCGTTAGCGCGTCCTCCTTGCAACTTGACTTTGAGACTCGAAATCTCAACAATTCGAACAAAGAAAGCGTACTCCATCCCTCGAATACTTTCAGACGAGAAACTCGATCGTTTGTAAGGAGGGGCAATCCACCAACTCCGACTTAAAATACGATCGCAATCAACAAATACTCCGTACCTCATCGCCACTCCACAAACCACAGACCATATACAAAATGCCCCCTCGCAAATCCACAGCCTCAGCAACTCCCGCCGAAGGAGACGACTCGCTCCTACAGAATTCATCTCCCGCGCCGCAGCCCGACAAGCCTGTCTATGCGACAGAGCAACAGTTGAAGGCTCGAGCCGAGGCGGGCGCCAGCATCGAGGTAAGCAGCCATACAGGGACCATTCACTGGATTTTGCAGGAACTCCCTAGTGCACCCACATCAGATGGTAGGTAATAGGAATCAAAGCTAATGAATCACTCGCAGGACTACCTCCTCCCTCGATCATTGACGCTTCGTCTCGCCAAGTCGGTCCTCCCTCCTAACACAACTGTCCAGAAGGATGCGGTGCTAGCCATGCAAAAGGCTGCTACTGTCTTTGTCTCATACCTCTCTTCACAGTATGTCATGTCCACTCGTTTTTCGATACGCCCCGTTCCTCCATTCCCGGATAAAGGCCATTACTACGATATTCAATTTTCGGTGCGGACTGATCAGCTAACTGTGTGATAGAGCCAATGACGGAACATTGAAGCGCACGATCGCGCCGGCAGACGTATTCAACGCACTTTCAGAGTTGGAGCTGGACTCATTCCGCGGCCGACTCGAGCAGGAACTAGAAGCTTATACTGAGATCAAGGCTGGGAAGCGCAAGCCCAAGAAGACCGATGAGAATGGATCCACGCAGGACGCGACAGGAACGACCGAAGACGGAGATGTTGAGATGGTCGATAACCCCGCCAAGAAGGTGAAGCGAGATGGAGAGGATCAGCCTAGCGTTGAGGCTGGAGAAGATGATGGGGAGGAGACGCAGGAAGATGAAGTTGAAGATGAAGAGGAGGAGGAAGAGGAAGATGGCGAGGAAGAGGATGTTGATCATGGTCATCGTGAAGATGATCTTGAAGTTGTGGAGGATTTGGATCGGGAGCCTGGTGCTCGGAAGGGGCCTTTTGATCCTGATGCTGAAGACACGGATGAGGATGATGGGCCTGGTAGTCAGCTGAGGGAGAACCTTGGGTTGGGCTCTAGTTGAGAGACCTCTATTGGTGTGTTTCTACACCTACAAAAGTAGGTGCTCTACCTATGAAGCATCTATTACCTTGGAGTTGGTTTGATGTGGATGGTAGGCCAAAGACTGAGCTGGGAAAATGCATGCATCCCAGCTTGTATTATACAAATAATGATAAATGGATTCCTGTTTCGTGTTTTCTTTTTATGTTGGTCTTCGAATTGTCCAGGAATGGATATAATCTGGGAATTTGATCTGAATGTCCAGCTTTGCTGAATGTAATGTACCGTCCACGGGTAGCTGCTATGTTTACGTTTGTATGATACAACATAAATTCAGGCATGGTTTACGAAGGTATACTTAATTGCCTCGACAAATAAATTTCGGAATGTTTGGAATCGACTATATAATCAGATCAGCGGCTTATGAGTTCAGACTATTTGACACAAATCAACTCCATCCCTACGAACACTTGAGATAGTTCCAGCTGGTACAAATGCCCAATCCCCCGTCCATGGTGTACCAGGGAAGATAACATCGTTGATAGATCAGGCGAAACCAGAGGCCAGGGATATGAACATGGGGCCATCACACGTGAATACAGTCATTTGAGTTGTTCACTCACGGGGCTCAAGATAACCGAGCTTTGGGCGTCCAAATGCGCCCTAACCAACCCCTGCTTCGACTATGGGGGGAGGGTTGCTGGTTTTCATAAAGCAATCAAGATTTACAATGGCCTTTTTCTCGATATTTAGCGATGATTCTGGGATTCTCTTATACAACTATAGAGCTTTTCTTGCACAACTATGTACAAACTAGTCAATGTTTGACCCAATACAGCTATGATACTCAAGCAAGGCTTTCTCCTTATTCCAGCTTCAATTTCCCTTTTGCTTCGGAAAGACGAAGTTGTACACTCATGCCGGAAGCCTCTCTTTCCATCTCACTGACAGTTGTACAATCGGTTTCGACATCCCCTACACCATGAAACAAGAATGCAAAGACCGAAGATTTCCATAGCAAAGCATCATTCTGGGCAAATACGGCGAGAACAAAGAAGATGATGCCTGAGAGCACCAGGAGGCCTGGCAGTACAAGCCAAGGCCAATGTACCTCGACATAAACTGTGGCTGTGTACGCGGTTCCATGGACGTTTTCCCCACTCCCCTGTAGTGTCATCTTGTTCAGTGAATCCGCAACACCAGACATAACCTTATCAAGACCGATGCTGGCGATTCTCTTGGTAGAAGGGTCAGATTCCGGGGGCATCCAGTGACCCTCCATGCCCATCATCCATTGGTCTGAGATGGGAGCTGAACCAGCGAGAAGTTTTTTTTGCATCACTTGGATGGTGTTGACACCACAGAAGGCAAATTCAACGGGACTTAATGCAGGTAAATTCCACGACCCGTTCCCATAAAACGGTGATTCCATGAGAATGTCAGCAGGACTCGAGGCCGGCCTCCAACACAAAGCTTTCAGCCAAGGTGGCTCCCATTTCGGAACTGTAAAATTTCTCCAGAACATAACTCCATAGTCGACATTTGAGGTTTTGATGGTGGGATTTCCATCGCTGACAGAAACATTCCAATCACTGAGGCAGATTGCTAGACTACACTCAGTCACATTGCGAAGCCTGAAACCGCTGATAGGATCCGACGCATTAACGGAATGGATATCATATCCGACTTGAGCGTATGCATATACCATCAAAGGGTTAGTCACCCCCGCAAAAGTTAAATTGTCGACGCGCTTATCCGATACAACACCCAGGTCTGTCTCATCACATGCAGAGTGGACATGCCAGGTAATATTTTGTCCGAACTTAACCCTAGGAGAGTCTTTTGATATGAAGAACTGAGAATCCATGACAGTTGAGTCTCCATGCGGAATTTTGACAGAGCATGTTGCATTGAAATGTTCGCGCTTGTTATCCGAATAGGTTTCGTTGTGTTTTCTATGGCAAGAAAACGCTGTTTCAGTCGTGATATCACCACATTTAGTGCATAGGCTGAGAGACTTGAATGGAGACCAGGTACAATTCCCGGTTGGGCAATTTGGATGGAACAAATTATCGTCCGACCAGACTCCTGATGAATACGCTGATGCCCATTGCATATCATCCTGGATTGGCGTGAAGTGCTTCAACCTCTTGGTTGTAGCTACGCCTGTTCCATCGCCCATAGCCGCCTGTTGTATGGGATATCCTACGATCTGTTGCATGAACGGATCGAACGACAGAAAAACGATGACAATTCCTGCACCAAACGAGGCAACCCAATGTCCCCTCTGGAATAACAAAACGATCGAACCAAAAGGTCCTCGACTAGCACTATCAAAGGTCTGCAATTGGACCAGTGGCCTCGCCTTGCCTCGAAACCACACCCATTTAAGTTGGCCAAGGGCTTCGCCGATCGTGAATAGCAATGATGATTTACAACCGGTCGCAAGCACAGAGATGATGGCGTTCAATGACATGCCATATCGAAGATCAGGTCGAGGTTTGCCATTGTAGGCTATAAGTATGCCACATATCGCGAGAAAACAAGCAACACTGAACAAAACGGCGATTGTTTCCACAAGCCATGTATCGAGGCAACGAGCATTGAAGCCTTTACGATTTCGAGGGGTTTCTTTTGACTCTGTCGGTATCGAAGGCATAGTGATACCCAGGGGTAAGAACCAGATAATATGATCTCTTGTTCAAAAGTGTTGAACTAGGTTTGAGACGCGCCAGTTTGCATACAATAGATGGATAACTTTAGAATTTGGAGGGAATGTCCACCACTGGGGATACAGGAAAAGGAATGATTGAATTGCTTAAGGGGTAAAATGATGATATCTGAGAGCTACTTAAGTATGGATTTATGTGCGGCTGAAGCCCTTGCTTGACTCGAGGGGCCGCGGACCCGTGGACCCTTCAGTGAGCCAGTCATTCAGCTAATGTACTTAAGTAATAATCAGGTGATGCTCAATAAGCGAGCTTGGTGACCTCGGGGATTATGGAATACTAAGGTGCTCAACTGTACTCAGTGAGTAAAAAGCGGAAAGGGAAAGCCAAGAAGTGACAGGAAATCAAGTACATATATAGGTATACAAAATATATAGATCTAGAGATATACTACTTAAGTAACATTGAACTTGAGAACAGCCCATGGACCGCACCTTCCATTGCTGCAAGAAATATATCGGACAACTTGAGGCACCCAGACTTGGTATGAATGTCTACGCTCCAGAACATAAAAGACCAGTCGAGACCGAGTAAAATAAATTAAACGATACAGCACCTCATCCAAGGTATAATATAGAACACGAAGGCCGATGCAAAGATACAAAGGCATGGTAGAAACCCTAGAAAGAAGACCCAAAACAACAAACCGATCTGGAACAAGCCCATGCTTGACCACCAAACGCCCCAGCCCATGCAGAAAACGAGAATGTCTATCAGTGGTATCTTTCGAAAAGAAGACAGTAAAAATCAACCAGAAAGACAAGCGATGAAAGTAGGAGTACATGATCCGAGGTGAAAGCATGAAAGTGAAAAGAATAAGAAGGATGAGAAGATAGAAGGAAGCCAACACCAAAGACGCCCATGTGAGAACCATGCATCATGTCGTGAACATGCGGTCACAGAGAATTGATATATGATACGATATATCAATTCTAAGACCCAGACGTTAGAGGTTATGAGATCATTGGAGCAATGGTGTGAATTTTGAGATCTGCCCAGTCGGGCTTGCTTTCGGAGTCAGGTGCGGAAATTTCCATGGCATTGTTCTTTGGATCCCCTGGAGGAACTGGACACATAATCTTGGCAGAAAGCTTGGAATCGACAGTTGCTGCGGCGAGAGAGTTTTTGGTGACACGGGTGTTCTTGAACCCAGTGATAGTGGTATTGGGCTTGGCCGGAGCAGGTGTCTTCTTGCCACGCTTTGCGGCCGCAGCTGTGGCAGTGGGCTTCTTTGCGGCAGGTTTCGCAACGGGTTTGGCAACGGGATTGGCAGCAGACTTGACGGTAGACTTGACGGTAGACTTGGGGGCAGACTTGGGGGCAGTGGATGTCTTCGGCGCAGCCTTCGGTTGACTCTTGAGAAGTTCCGCAATACCGCGACCCTTGCTGGCCGGGTTGGTGATACCCTTGGGTTTGATGGATTTTGTAACGCGTTTCTTCGCGGGGTGCTCGTCAGGACCAGAGGATGGCGAAAGGAGGCCAGTGACGTCGCGAGTTCGTTTCTTGCTCGGGGTGATCACCACAGCAACATTGGAGGTCTGGGAAGTATGGGTCTTGATGGTGCTGTCGAGCTGGGGCATGGGCTCGGGCGAAGACTCGTACTCGCAAAGCTCGCTGTCGCTGGACTCCCAGCACTTCAAGTTCGCTTGGTTGGCGACTTCATCGCAGGATCCTTGAACAACCAGGTCGAAACAGTCGTCAAACTCCTTGCTGCTTGGGGGTTCGTTGTTGATGAACATGGTCACACCGTCCTTGCGACCCCGAATAATCGCACACATACTCTTCACAAGGCGACGAACACCAGGAATCTTCAGACTGGTTCCGGCAACAATCAAGACGCGAGGGCGGGATTTGATGTCGGCGTTCATCACGGAGGTAATGGCCTCTTCATCGGGGTTGTGCTCGTTATAGAGAACGATGCGCGGGCGCATACGTCCGATTCCGTGACTGCGGAGACCACCAATCAGGCGGGTTTCGTCGTTGATAGCACACTCCTCACAAGCAGGCGGGTCGGCCTCGGTGAACATCTCGCGGTTGAAGTCAGTGAGGAAGCGACACTTTTGGCAGACCATCTTCTCAATGCTGCCATGCAATTGAATGGTGACAGGCCAGTTGCCCTTGATATTCAGCGGAACATCAGTCGCCAGGGGCTTCATCTGGGTTTCGATGCCATCGATGTTCTGGGTGTAGAGTCGTTTGAGGCGGCCTTCGGTTCCTAGGCGGGCTAGCATTCGGTGGAAGGCGGTGGGCTTGGTCCTTTGAGCATCTTCGGACAGCGATCGGACCATTTCGTGGAAGGGAGCGGTCAAAGCGTCATCCTGGTAGACGGCAGCATCAAAGAGCAGCTTGCCAGAGGCTTTGAGGTTATGTTTCTTTTGTAAAGATCGGAAGAGACCGTCTCCGGAGCGGAAATCCGGAACTATATGGGGGGTTAGATGACAATGGCAGAATTCCCCAACGCAGAAACTTACTGCCCGCGGCGGTGGAAATGCCGGCGCCTACAATGACGACAACATCCTTTTGATGGCGCAGAGTTTGGACCAGTAGATTATGTTGGTCACTTTGGGCGTGCAAAGATTTGGAGAGATCGAGATACTGGGTGGTTCGTTCCTTGGGGAGTGGGTTGCGTCTCCTCTTTGCGGGACGGGCTTGGCGTGCAGAAGAACTCTCTGCGGCGGACTGCTCAAACTCGGCCTCCAGTTGGGATGATGGAGAGGGATAACGTGCTTCGGGACCTGGCGATGATCGAGGCGAGTTGGACGCCAAGGAGCTTATGTCCGAACAATCGGAGACTTCGTCGTAATTGAACCCCATGGTTGCGGATGTGCAGACGATGAGCGGTTGTCCAGGTCACGCAACGCGGTAAGCTCAGATGAGATGCCCGAACGAAGGATTCGGAGGCAGAAGCAGCGGGGGAACGCTGGAATTCTTTAAAAACAGCTAAAACAGAGCAATCATGTGTGGCAGAAGTGGTGAGGAGAACGTGTCGGGGGGGAAAGGGAGAAAGGAAGAAAGGAGTACGGAGTACGGAGTAGAGGGATATTCGGGTCTCCAGGCCAGGAAGACGATGAGGTCAGCGATCAAAAAGATCAATGAGTCTTCCACGGTCTTTAAAGGAGACGGGAAAATAGACACAAAATCGAAAAAAAAGCAGTTTGAAAAAAGAAAACCAAAAAGCCGAAACAAGTCTTTGTTTTGGGCGTAGAATTCCCGTGGTGGAATGTGGTTGTGTGGCCGATGAACTGGAGCAACTTGGTCAGTGCTGAATCGGAAATCGAAGTAACGTTGCGCGTTAAAGAGGGGATGTTGAGGGTGTTATATTGACGGAGGACGCGTACTTAAGTAGAAGATCCAAAGCCCCCCCCCCCGCAGTGTGAGGCAGACAATATGCAACAATGCCAATTCAACCAAGCTAATTGAGGGCTTTTCAGTCGCTAAAAGAACGATGTTTTCGTTCTGATATTTTGACACTTCGGGAGTCAAGCGCTGATTCGTCCTACCGGATGGGGACTAGCATGTACAGTCTCTGATTGGTCAACCAGCGTTGGCAGGGCTACCGTCACATGATGTCACGAGGCCTGACTAAGGGGGGAAGGAAACAGGCTGACTACAGTATACGACTACAGTCGGGACGGTTGGACAAGGAAGTCGTCGTGAAAGAAAAAGTGGAAGATATTTTAGGCTTGTGGCCTGTGGAAATTGTCAGATCCTGGCCCAGTCCTCCTAACTACCCCTGATCGTTTGCCAATTGAGGATACAACTCTGAACGGTCTGGGCAATTTTATAGAGCCATGCTGCGGAACTGATCACATTGATAATCAATCAGCCCAATGCCCTTGATCATGGAGGAGGGTATCAATGTGGATGACCTCTTTGGGGAGCCCAACTCCTTGGAGCTGGGCCTGCCGTCCGCCTCTCCCATCAAAGGGCTAGCACAATGTTTAGATGAAATGCGCCTACTAGGCTGCTGCCAGTAAGATTGGCATGCTATCTCTCTCCACATTCCAGAAACTGACATCCAACTAGAAAAATTGCATGGTCACGATTGGGCTGTATTGCGTCCATCTCCTCGGACAGGCTCCGAGTGATTGTGCGCTTTCTCCAGTGCCGTCCCTCAGATGGCAAATGGGTGCTGGGAGAAGAATCGCCCCTGACTCCAGTCATGGAAGCCCACAACGGGAACCAACTGGCCCATCTACTATGGAACGAGACTGGCTCGGACCTGGCTGTCGTCGACTGCTCGGGTCGCATCTCCATATATTCCATCTCAATTGCACTGAACAGCATCACAGGTCTGCGACAAGCAGCATTTGATTCCGGTGATGATGGAAGCCAAGTCGTGGGAATGATGTGGCTCAACTCCCAACGCTCAGTATGTTATCTAGCCCATCACTTTTTCGCAAGAGGGTTACCACTGACCGCAATGTAGATTCACTCCTTTCACCAAGGAGCCAAGGTCAATGGACGGTGGGCATACTCGCCATTTCGGCGACGACCTATCGGGCCTTTCCACCCCATCAATAAAGGCGCCTTGCTCAGCGTCACTAGGGCCGGCCAGATGAAGTTGATATATCAGAACCCCGACAGCAAATGGGCCGAGCTGCCTATTGAACTTAACAATACAGGATCATCAGAAATGCTGTTGACACATGCGTCCATGACTGCCACACAAGGTAATTTCCTCCATCCCGGACTTCGCCCTGGCCTGACTGACCCATTTGTGCAGCCGGCATCCTGCTCGCAACATACTCTGCATGTCAGAAGCTGTGCCTGTACAGGGTTCAGGTAACCTGGAACCCACCGCAGTGGGACCCATCGCAGGCCAAACAGCCAGGCCAATACCCTGTTCCCAGTGTCCGTTTGATCCACTGCAAGGTAGATATGCCAAGCAACATATTGAATATCAACCGTGGCCTCGACCACCCAGATCTCTCGTCACAATTCTCGAACACCGTGTACTCATTAACACGACTGGAGATCATGCCGGGACAGGTAGAGAGCCCTCCTGGGTCTTCAGCCAATCCTTGGATCCTGGCTATCTTCTCGAAACCTATACATGCTCCACATGAATACCAAGAGCAGGTTGGTCCATCGAGTGTCATTGTTAGATGGCACTTGGAATCCGCGCCGCAGATCCTTCATCCCAAGTTCGATGAAGTGGCGTTGAAAAAAGGCAACACTCAAGCAAAGGTGTGATCCATCAGTCTTACATCGCAGGCTTATACTGACAGTTTAGCCCCAAATGGAATTGCGCCGGCTGGAAGATATCCATTGTGACAAGTACATCGTATCAGCCGAGTTGGTGGAATATGGAACAGGATTGGCCATCACCCACGAGGACGGCTCAATAACTTGCTATGATACGAGGACGATGGTTCCTTTCAGCGGGAATGAAGATTCAAGCACAGTGACGTGCTTAGCCCAAGCGGGCTATCAGTATCCGGTCGAACAATCAGGTGCGTCCTAGTCCGAGCTTGTTGAGATCCATGCTAACTAGCGAGTAGGTCTCCATATTACCTTCTCCCCTAATTCCTGTGTTGCCGTCACACTGGACAGTGACGGACAGACGCAGCTGAGAGTGATGGAGCACTCCTTCGGTTCCACAGAAGGTGTTTACGATGAGAGTATGTGTTTTCAGAGCTGGTTCTCCGGCCCCGAGGCTAATTCAAAAACAGACAAATTTTCAGCTGCCGTTGCGGCCTTGACATTAGCATTCTGTCGGGGATGTGGAGGGGATTCTAATACGGACGACATCGTCATGGTTTCCCTCAGACAACTATCACCAGGTGAGTGCACTTAGTATCCTGGCACCCAGCAAAGTATGATGCTAATGCTTCTTAAAGAGGCCCAAGTCACATTTATCAGTGAAGTGTACCGCGCGCTGCCTGTCAATTGTAATTTTACTGCCGAACAGGACAAACTTATGAGCCATCCATACATACCCCGGTGTCTCAGCCTACAAGCCGCGCTCGGCTTTAAAGGCAAGCCAAAGCAGCGCAACCTGGCATCGGCCGTGCCATGGGCGATTCTTCAGCTTCGCCATGCCTCGGTCTTATATGCCTACTTCTTCCAGTACAACAAAGCTGGACAAAACGAATCGCTCGATCCAGGTATATAAGTCACAGACCCCATATTTGCGATACTCCTGCTAACCAAAAAACCAAAGATGTTCTACGCATGGTATTAGGCAACACCAAGTGGACGCTGGATTTCTCCCACTTCATTCTCAATGAAATCATCGACCTAGCAGATGAATTCGAAGACAGCTTCAACGACCCAGAAGCATTCACTCAAAAACGTAAGTCTCAACCGACCCAATGCACAAATCCCAATCTAACAACCGCAGTGAAAGGCACAAACTCACTCCCACTCCTAATCCTCCTTTCCAGCATGTCTCGAGCCTTCCTCCGCTTTACCTGTCGTGGCCTGCGCGGCGTCCACACCGGCTTCGCAACCGCAAACCCCGCCACCCTCCTAGGCGACTCCAGAATCCTATACACAGAGATCTGCCAAACGATTGAATCCTCACCAGTCCGCATAGACGTCTACGAAAAGTTCCTCGCAGGCGTAGACTCAGCCGTGAAACACGCCTACCAAGGCGCAGGCTTCGGCGACGCCGAAAGACCAGGTCCAGAAAAGGAACTTCTCGTGAACGCACGCATCCCACCCGTTCTCACGACCGCCGTGGCAACCCTGCTGCGACAAACAGTGCCGGCGCTGAAGTCCGAGATCAACCGTATGGCCATCTACCTGGGTGACTATAGCTGGCTTGGGTTTGGGAATGATCGGCGGACTGCGTTGTATCGGAAACAGCGGGAGGTGGACATTCTCAAGAAATGTCCATTGAGACCGCCTTTGCCGCTGGGTAGTGATGGGCGTATGGCGCCGCTTAAGAAGCGGAGGTGTGCGCGGTGCTGTGAGGTTTCTGGGGATACGAATTTGCCTAGGTCGCTTTCGTCGTTTAAGATGATTGCCAAGTTGGGATTGTTGAGGTCTTGTCTTTGTGGGGGGATGTGGATCCTTCAGACGGATGCTGGGGAGATGGGGAATCTGGGTGTGAATGGGGTTGGGAATGGAGATGGTCAGAACTAGAATGAGTGATGTTAGAATTTGGATGCATTGCGACTTCGGATAGTTAGGGGGTGTTAGTAGGATGGGAAGATATGTTGGCTGGTATACTAGTTCAAGATTGCTTCAAGGACTCCAGCATACTTCGATCGTGCTACAGAACCACAGCATATTCAAACAGATTGTACATTGCATACAAAAGGTCTTCAGGAGACGACGTATATCAGGAACCGAAGTATATTGGCGAAGAATCCGAGTAGAGGGGATAGCATAGGAGTATCCCGAGGTCCTAGATCTAACAATCTGGACCGTCATGTAGACTACATGCGACTTGACGTCCACAGAGATTCTCAAAGGGCAAGAAAATGTCTAAGTCATGTCATGTCAAGAGTCGATTTGCATCCTATTTAGATACATAATCAAATTCCATTTTTTTGGATGTAAAAAAAAGAGAAAACCGACCCCTTCACAAGCTTTCAGGTTCACATCGTCACGTCCTGCTCGTGTCCAAGGCCAGCAACGTCTTCCCACAAAACTCCATATCCGAACAAGTTCTGCGTTTAAGCCTGCAGGGATTAGTTAGTATGAGATTCTGAACTGCTGTAGATTCAAATCCCGGGTGGCGAGAAGACGAAAAGTCGGGACATTCCTGTGCCTCAATCCACCGACTCGATACCCGGGTTTGATAGAAAAATCATACCTTAACGGCGTACTTGCGCGCAGGGAAGTGGATGGCACGCTTGCGCTGCTTGTCGGTGGTCTGAGTGCGCTCGTGCTTGGTGAGACGGCGGCGGATCTCACGGGTGAGCTTGGGGCGGAGATCGAGAGGAAGGTACTTCTTGTTCTTGTAGAACAGACGCAGCTGAGCGCGCTGGTTGGCGTTGATGACGGTGAGAACGCGAGCGATCGACTTGCGAACCTCGCCGCTGTAAAAAAAAATTCCAGTCAGCATCAAAATCTCGAAATCTTGTTGAATCCCCCCTGATCTCGTGCGCATGGTTTCGGGCGTATATTTCCATCTCTTTCTTGTCGTATCACATATTCGATTGCCGACGTTGAAATTGTGTCGTTGTCTGGCTCGATCGGTTCGATTGTGTTCCATGCCGCAAATCTCCAAATTCCTCCCGCACAAAACAACGGATATCGGGGGTGTCGAATACGCACATTCTCTGAGTCTTGGTGGAAGCACCGGAGGAGATCTTCTGAACGCGGAGCTGGTTAAGCTCGAGCTTCAACTCCTCGAGCTGCTTGGCGAGCTCATCCTTGTTCTTTCCCCAGAGCTGACCAGCCTTGACCTTGGACGACTGCAAAAAAAGAGAGGTTCATCAGCATTGTGATCGGTAGCGCTTTAGCAGCAAAACGTACCATATTGGCGGTGAATTATGTGGGTTGTCGACGTTGATAATTGAAGATGTCCGAGGGTCAATTTGCGCTGGTTGTGGGACTAGGGCTAAGCGAAATCTGTGCCACTAAGCGGGTCACGTAATCATACACGTGATAGTTAACGGCCTGAGGCATACATCAGATGTCTGTTCCCAATTGGGTTTAGCCTGGTTTACACCCCGTCATGGCTGCAACTTACGTCGACGAGCAGTAGCCTCTCTTGCCCTCGAAATAGTTGAACCACGGCTTCGGGTAGATGTTGGAATATATTTGAACTTCCCTACTCAGTTCCCTTTCACTTCCTGTCTTCTTCATTTGATATGGCGTCCTCAACTGGCTCTGGATGGACACAGCTCCGGCAACAAGCCCGGTCGCTCGAGACCCAGGTAACCAATATACCCGCAGCAAGTTGACAATGTGACTGACAGTATTGATAGACCGAGAACCTTTTCCACACATACTCCCAATTCGCCTCGGTCACTAAACCTCCCCAAACACCCACCGAGGAAGAGCTACGGCTCGAATCGCAATTGAAAGACCTCCTCGAAAGAGTACATCACCCCAGGATCCGACAAGCAAAGGAGACCAAACCCACGGAGAATCTCGTTGGCTAATTCAGACCCCGACAGCGCGAGTCCCTCATTGCCCAGCTATCCCGTCTACTCGACTCCGAAGCCACCCTTACATCCTCCGCTCTGAAACAGAACAACGTCGCCCGACACCGCGAAGTGCTCCAAGACCACCGTCGCGAACTCAATCGTCTCACCTCCGCCATTGCAGAGTCGCGCGATCGTGCGAATCTCCTTTCCAATGTCCGCTCTGACATTGATTCCTACCGCGCATCCAACCCCGCTGCTGCCGAGGCCGACTACATGCTCGAAGAGCGGGGCCGAGTCGAGAACAGTCATAACATGATGGATGGCGTGCTGAGCCAGGCATACGCTATCAATGAGAACTTTGGCGTCCAGAGCGAGACTATCGCAAACATCAATCGGCGTATTGTTGGCGCAGCCGGGAACGTCCCTGGTATGAATTATTTGATCGGCAAGATTGGCAATAAGAAGAGAAGAGATGCCATGATCCTCGGATGCTTTATTGGCTTCTGCTTCTTGATGTTGCTGTTCTTCCGATGAGTGATGACCATGGGACTTTCCTAGCGTGCTATCTATACTGCTCTCATTTTCTTTCTTATTGCGTTTGTTACTGCTCTAGCGAGTGGATTTTCCAGGCGTTTGGATCAGGGCATTTTTCATTCCGCAGTTTTGATGGCTTTTTTCTTTGCACCTGTGGTTTATGGCGTGGATCTGTTATCCTTTCTAGTATACACATTCTCTATTGTATGTACAAAGTAGCTGAGTGGGGAATCATATCACACAAGGCTCCAGTCGAGGTGACCCTCGCTCTCGAAAATTAATATTTGCGAGTTGGGTCCTGCGCCTCGAGGGCAGCCTTCTTCTCCTCAACAAGCTTTCGCACGCCAGCATTAAGTCCCTCCAGCTCGGTAGGATTAGCCGGTCCACTTCCAGCCCAGCGAATGCGACACTCTGAATCAATAAGGAAGACATATCCAACCTTGGAGTTCATCATGCCAACAGTTTCCTTGAGAGGTTGATCGAAGCCCTTCTCCACGAGGAAGTAGCGCGAATGCTGCTCCTTCGCCAACTTCTGTCGCATCCGCCACATGAACCTCTTCACCAGGAACGCCTTGAGGCGGTTCTCCTCCAGGTTTATATCGACCCTTTGCACCAATCTACCACCTTTTTCCATGGCTTCCACGAGCCCGGGGTTTTGTTCCCGTCCAGTGAATGTCACAACCTGGCTCTCAGCCCACAGACTCGAGAACAAGCTCACGACACTGATACTGCCGCGCAGCTGCGTCGTCGTATCTTGGGGATCCTTCGGGCTTGCTAGGGTGATACCGCGCATGTTCGGGAAGTATAGGGCACGGTCTGCTTTGAATAGACGTGGGTTCGAAACGAAGGTCTTACCCTCTGCGAAACGGAGGTTGGACCATTCTCGGAAGTAGGGTTTGGCGACTTGCTTTGTCCTATGAGTATAAATGGTTAGTATGGCTTGAATGTATAGTTGGCTCTTGGACGAAGCCAGGCCATATATGCTCTTACAGTTCCTTGCGCCGCTTAATGTGTCGGTCATAATTGGTAAAATCGTCGCGCCGCTGGCGCATGGAGCGCGGGTCCACACCGGTATTCTGGCCTTCTTGTGGTGGCTCTGGACTACCAATTGGTCGGTCCAAGCTGGGAGGGACGAAGTCTGCGTCGCCGGGCTGGGGGCCATCTTGAGCGGCGGGATTTTGTTTAAATTCAATGGCACTGGTGAGGCGACTTTTTGTCTCGTCCTTTCTGTTTCGGAGCACGGGGACTGGGTCTTTTGTGTCGTTTGTAGTTTCGGGCTTGTTGGAATAGTGACGCGCAGCGAAAGGCGTGGTCCGGAGGCGTGTGAGAGTCGCCGGGTTGCGGAATTGGCAGCTTAGACACCGGCCAGTTTGGAGCAGTGATAGATCGGCCACTGCGGCCGTGGGGAAGGCGGATCTCCACATTTCAGTGGACTAGTTGCCAATTGACAGGGTGAACGGTGGAGTGGGAGAGTCGGCTCGTTGGAATTGATATCAACTGAGCTTTGGAGGCTCTCGGATGGAAAGTCACGGTCACATGACCTTCCTCTTTGGGACATGTTGAACTATACTTCATTTTTTGTCTCACTTTATCCATGTTCTTTCATGCAATTCTAGAATTAAGATCTAAATAAAAGGACAAAACAGAGCCCAGGCGATAAGTATACAGGGCACGTTATTCCTAAGTCATAATGACTTGCCTTGGCCAACTTCCAATGGGCAACCTCCAAGGCTTTAGGATATCTGCATGCTTTTTAGAGAAGTCCTCGTTAATGTATATGTGGCCATGAAAAGATCTTATCTGATAACAATTGGCACTTTGGCGGAGTGGTTAACGCGTTGCCCTGCTAAGGCAATTCCCTCGGGAGCGTGTGTTCGAATCACACAGGTGTCGATTTATTTTTTGGCTTTTTCCTTGTTTGCACCGAATAAAGGCGGGATTTGGACAGACAACCTGCCTAGATGTACAAAACAATGAGGGCAGAATGAGGGCAAAGAATGCAATATCAACGCCTAATATACCACTTCGTACTTGATCACAATCACCAACGAGCCTTGGACGATGAACACCCTGCTACAACTAAGTGGCGAGTAAGGTGTCAGTCCAAGGCGAGAATTCAATGGCTGCCAGCGATGAAGTGTGTGAATTCCCCCGTGTGGAAATACCTATATTTGGTTTTTCCTTCGTAGTTTGAACCTGCCACTTCAATCCAAGTCAAGACAAATACCGATATCACGAGCCTTTTGGGGATGCGCCAGACTCTGGGCCTTGAGGCTGCTTGTGGGAATGAAAGCCGAGATTTTGTTAGCTCTGTGTCTCCTGAAATCTGCCTGCGAGGCTCATTACAGTAAGTATGAAATGCGGAGTAGCCCCACCTATACTCCTGCTGCGATTGACTATGTATCCGTGTCATTCCGCTAAAGTTTGCCAACACACAGTAGAATGAGAGTTAATGGCCAAGAAAACATTGTGTATAAGCTGTGCGTGGCCGAATTCGTGACATCCTCGTGCTTAATATGCTGTGGTGGTGTGAATACCAAAGGAGGGATGCCTTTCCGGACTAGAGACTACATTACCATGGATGATAGCATGTGGTTATTTGTGAGATAACGTTCGGATATCGCAATCGTTCTCTGCCCAGCACATGTTGTGATATCTCAATTCTAAGCGAGGGTGATTACTTGGTCCAGAATAGACCTTTGCAATGGGCTGGGTTGGGATCTGGACTCGGGTTCCTGATCACTGTAGCCGGCTATCTACGTACGGACGCACAGAAGCGAGGAGAAAGCATATTGATTCTTCTACCTAACGCGGGAACAGCCATTAAGCAGCCATTCCATGTGACATACCCTCGGTAGACGGGGTCCTCCTTGTCCTGCCGCTTGGTAACAACCGCTGGGCCTGCAGGTGCCCGGCCTAGCTTGATGTCACCGTCTGCGATGAAGTCCTCTAGCAAAGTCTCCTTCCGTTCGCGAATATGTGCGGAATGCGTTGTTGTCATTACCTTCCAAAGTACCCCGTTTGAAAGCCTCACTCCCATAAGAATGTTCCGAACTTTGACGGATGGGTCATTGGAGGGTGGCAGTAATGAGTTTTGCGAACGCTCTTTACCCTCGTTCATGATTTGGATGAATGTAGCGATGAAGGCATTTGCCTCATCTGCCCGGCACAGACCTTTTGGCATTGTCTCTGTTGTCTGATGAGTTTGAGGATCGCGTGATGGATTGTTTGAGCATGTATGAGTGGGCGCAGGCAGTGAAAGTGCAACGCAGTCACTCCAGCTGGGTTTGTTGTCCCATAAACATAACACCAAGCTCGCACCAAATGTTGGGGCGACTGAGGCATGATTTCATCCATGAGAATCCAAATCAGCTTTTTGTTTACCTTGAATTCTTATCTCCAGCTGATATCATTTCCATGATTCACCCATGGCGCCCTCTTGTCTGCCACTATTGCCGGAGAGGCGACCATCTGGCCAAAGTAGTAGCTGGCCATCACTGTCTTGTTCTCGTTGAGGCGAGCTAACATCTGCGGGTCCCAATTATGGTATGAGCCCCGAGCATGTAACAGCCATCGTAAACTGCGACAAAAGGGATCCCGAATCCGAGGCAGAGCATCATCGGTCCTCCGTAGGGAAGTCGGGAGCTTCGCGGTTCCCCGTTCATACCAAAATCTCTGGGCCACAATGATGACCCGAGGTGATTAGTGCTTGCATGCTGGTGGAGCGGAAGGTGATTGCGAAGTGAAGAAAAACCCGGGCGTCCCTCTGGATCAACCACGGACATGCTACCGACTGTAGCTGTCTACGGACGTACAGAGGCGAGGAGAAAGCATATTGCAATCACCCGCCGTGGGCTCTGGGCCCTGCCCTCAAAACTCGACCCACAGCCCATGAATGAGCGCATCACACTTCCCCGGGAAAGCCAATCTTTGACATAAATGCTGTCTTGGGATTCCGACTCAAGGGCAAGTTCCCACTAAAGCCGCGAGGATTCTCAAATGATTTGCCGAAGACTGTCAGCAGCCTAGATATTGAGATATGGAAATATTCGAGCAGATGTGAGGGGTATTAAAATGCCATGGTACCGTATATGGCGCTGGGGCGATTGCGACAATAGCCGTAGATTCGATCAGTTTGGGCTTACGGCAAAAATAAGTAAGAGCAAAAAAGAAATCGACACCTGTGTGATTCGAACACACGCTCCCGAGGGAATTGCCTTAGCAGGGCAACGCGTTAACCACTCCGCCAAAGTGCCAATTGTTATTTCAGTGGACGATTTTGGTGCATTAACAATCATTTAGCTGGGATGGTCACCACCGTGGAGGATCCACTCACTCCGTTCCCTTCGCCTTGTACTCACCCAGCCCGAGCGGAAAGCATCAACTTCGGTCTCATACAACGTTGCCCAACTATTTCGTTCCATGTGGCGTCACACATCACCTTGGAGCCGTGCTATTCTCCCTTCATGATTACTGGGAGGCTGGTATGGGGTACTTGAGTAAATTATGAGGCCTTCTTCCCGATCAGCATGAGATTGAACGGGCAACAATAATCTGTTCGGGTGATCAGATTACACTGGTCGCCTGATATATACCTAAATTATGGAGAGACCGTCCGCTTATGGCCAAGAATGAGGGATAGTTCTAAAGTTATGCTTTCTAAAATTACTTTGTGTTGGAGAACGACTCAGTGTTGCCTCGCTGCGACTGCTGATGCCTATGCCATATACTTTGTAACGCAATCGGGATCCATGTTCCCGGGTGTATTATCAAACAACTTTAGAATTCATCCCTGGCATTTGTCTGGGATTAGTCTCTTTAAGCACAAGTGCGGCCTTCACTTGCTGGAGCAAATATTACCGTCTCTATTCAGTCGGATGAATACTTCGGGAGAGTTATGGCGCTTCGCGCAAACACTACATGGAGCGAGTCAAGTACGATATCTATAGGTTCTGAAGTCTTTGTCTGATCATAATAAAAGACGCGATCACTTTGATATCAGCTTATGTTCCAATCTACTTAAGTATGGGTTGACGGTCATTTACCCAGGTGGCTACTGGATTGCAAGATTGGATACAGTCTAGAACGGGTGGACTGGAGCAAAAGGCAATGTTCCACTCTTGTTACTCCTGGCACGGAGCATTCTATAGAAAATAGGCAAGTCAACTGGCAAAAACATAAGCGACACCTGTGTGATTCGAACACACGCTCCCGAGGGAATTGCCTTAGCAGGGCAACGCGTTAACCACTCCGCCAAAGTGCCTTGATAGTGATTGTCGTCTCTGGACGGATACCACCCAAGCCCTGAAGGGGTGATCTATAGACGGGAGGGTTGTCTGCCTAATTTTGGTGCGACGATGAGCTTCCGAGGTCATGGCCATACAATCCATGGATCGCAAAGTATGAGATAAGCAATCCGAAAGCGCAATCCGCTCCTTCGGATTTACATTTACACTGGTCTCACCTCGAAACTCCCTTGTTGGTACTGCAGAAAAAGAGCTCGCTCACCTGCTGCATACCTGCCTCGGAATAATCTCAAGTTGGAATAATGCCTAGGTCTATGGGACCACCTTCCAAAACAAGAAAACTCAACAACGTCAAGGTCATACCAGCCGACCAACAGATCTTCAAGGGCTTGGTATTCTGTGAGTACTTCAAAACCGTCACTCGGTCCCAACTGAACTCTTTGGCCCAGTCTTCTTCCCAAACAATGATGTCTCTCCCTTCAGACGCTTGCGTATCCAGCGAGCACAAGAATACGGTGCTCGGTGGAGTCGTGAATGGGCGGACGACATTACACATGCGATTCTCGACAAGGGGTTGCAAGTGAATGACCTTCGGGGCCATCTAAAGATGGAAGACTTGCCTGTTAGTCGAGTCACAGGATGGATGACACCCTTACTAACTGAGAAACAGACGAATGTTGTCATTGTCAACGAAACTTACCCTTCTAAGTGCATTCAATTTCGTTCAGTACTTAATCACTCCCAGGTTCGGTTCCGCGTGGAAGGAACTCTCTCAGTGCTTCAAACAGAGGATCATGCTATACCGGTACCACAAGGTGCTGCTTTGAAGCCTCCTGCTGAGAGCCTTGACCAAGGAGCAGCTGGATCACAGAACAGTCAATGTTCGAGCCAGCAGGGTGCTGGGAGCCAGATTGATCCAGATGTGAACACTGCTGATCAAGATCTTGCTGCTCAATTAATCCAGGGTCCTGCTGCCCACTCAGACCAGCCACCGGACTCGTCAAACTTGGCTTTCGGGAGCACCGTACCCAATAGCGGCACGAAAGAGCTCGTGTCCGAGTCATGCGAAGAGGATGCAGGTGAACAGGGCATGCATAAAGGTAAATGGAAGCGCGATGCTCTGGATGATATCATAGACGAGGCCAAGGCTACAAGCCATTTGGTAAGTTCTTTCTTCGCCCATAGAACTAAGCCTTGCAACTGAACGTGATGATTAGCCTCTGGATTTCATGGAGTCCCCAGATGACGATAACGCCGTTGACACCGAAACCGAAACCTCCAGCTCGGACGAGTCAACTCCAAGAGCGCCCAAATACCGAAAGAGAGAAGCTTCGGGAAAGACTGATTGGACAAATGGCTTTGCCTGCATGCAGCAGTTCGAGCCAGAAACGAAGGGCAAAAATCCCAACAGTGGCACAATTGACATACTCCAACAAATGCTGGACTATTACACTCGGAACGCTGATCAGTGGCGGGTAATGGCATACCGAAGAGCAATCGCGGCCTTGAAGAAAAAGAAAACAAAGATCACAACCAAAGCGCAGGCCAGGGCTATCCCTGGTGTTGGAGAGCGGTTGGCAGACAAGATCGAAGAGATTGTATTGACCAATCGTCTCCGACGTCTTGAGAATGCGAACAACAGCCCCGAGGATCTCATAATCCAGAAATTCCTCGGCGTGTACGGCGCCGGTCTGTCCCAGGCTTCAAAATGGGTTGCACAAGGATACAGATCTTTGGAAGATCTATTGGAGAAGGCCCCTCTCAGCAAGCAACAGCGGATAGGAGTGGAGCGTTACAACGACTTTGCCCAGAGAATCCCTCGTAAAGAGGTTGAAGCCCATGGCACAATCGTTCGAAAGGCAGTACAAAGTGTGGACAAGGACATGCAGGTCATTGTCGGGGGATCTTACCGCCGCGGAGCACTCTCTTGCGGTGATGTCGATTGCTTAATCACCAAACGTGGAGCAACCCTTGAGCAGATTCGCAATGTGGTGCTCGCAATGATTGTCCCCAAGCTGGTCAGCAATGGGTTCCTCAAAGCGAGTCTCTCCATACCATCTCATCAAGACGGTTCTAAGTGGCATGGTGCTTCAGCGTTGCCAGGCTCCGATCTGTGGCGTCGGATCGATTTGCTGTTTGTTCCTGATGCGGAGATTGGTGCGGCATTGCTATACTTCACTGGAAATGATATATTCAACCGGAGCATGAGATTGCTGTCGAGAAAGAAGGGCATGTGTTTGAACCAGAGGGGCCTTTATACTGATGTACTACGGGATGGCCAGGTGAAGCTGAACGAGGGTCGATTGGTTGAGAGCCGCGATGAGCGTCGTATCTTTGCTGTGTTGGGTGTACCATGGCGACCTCCTGAGCACCGGATCTGTTAATTCATAGGGTCGCCCACAATTGACAAAGCAATCTATTAATTCATCTATTCAAGTAGCATGACGATCTGTTGGTTAATACGTGCATTTGGCAGCCTATCAATAAACTTTGACGAGGGGAATTTTGCCCACTGATTCCAGGCGGGGAAACTCGGCAGAGTCCATCTTGTCACACTTTCAAGTTCTCAAACTTCACCGCCCTCTTACTTTCCTCTCCTCCTCACCTCACCGCCTCACTCATCTTCTTTCATTCCCCCACCGCCTAAATCACGTTTTGCCTTCATTTTAGTCAGTCACCGCCTGACTCAACTGCCCAATATCCTCACCGCCTTGGCGATTCCAGGCTTGTAAACGCGGCAGAATCCATCTTGCCAAACACTTATTAGTTGTCATCCCTCTCATCCTTCACCGCCCTCTTGATTCTCTCCCCTTTCACACTTCACCGCCTCACTCTTTCTTCATCCTCCCCACCGCCTAGATCACATTTTGCCTTCATTTTAGTCAGTCACCGCCTGACTCAACTGCCCAGTATCCTTCACCGCCTTGGCGCGTCTGTGTCTTTCACCGCCTCAAATCGCAACACCACCGCCTTTCGTGTGCGGTGAACCCCCCATCATCGCGCCTCCGTTTCCAGACCGCCCCTCTACCGCCTCAGTTTTGCCCGCACATTCATCGCGATCATCGTGATATTTGTTTCTGATATCGTCTTGAGTCTTTCTTTCGAGAGGCTCTGGGCCGAACCTAGGCTACCAAGGACCCACCAGTCCTTGTGACTGTGTACGTGGTTTTTCTCCGTCCCACCATCACAACCGGTCCGAGTCCACACAGTGGTCTTGAACTAAGGTGGGCTAAACATTCCCATTGAACAACAACAATCGATTGCTCCAATCTATTATTCACAATAACGGGCATTTCAATTGACACGCGTCACGTTCATACGACACGTCCCAAACACCGTTGCAATGGGCCGCAAACCTAATCAACTAATCCTCGAGTTCTTCCACCGGGGCCCGAAGTTGGAAGACGCGAGCAATCGATACCAACACACGTGCAAGGCGTGTGGTGAGGTATTTCCCAAGGGTCGCATCGATAGCCTTACCAACCACCTGGTCAAGAAATGCCAGGCCATCCCCCTCCGTGATCGTCAACGCGTCTTGATGCGACTCCACGAACTTCCCGACTTGACGGATGCTGAGTCTAACAAGGATTCCCCCAATGGAAAGGGAAAGTCGGGCGAGGGTGGTTTCCCCAACAGACAGAATTTTGACGGCCTCAATGTGCTGGCCGAGGCGTCGCGTCAGGTCGGCGCTTCCGACGTGACCAAGCGGCCCGGATACACTCAGTCTGTGACTGCTGGCGGCAAGACCGTGATTGTTGACCCCGCGCTTGAAGCCGAAGGATTCCAGGGACAGACACAAGGATCTGATGCTCAGATTGAGGGCACGGCAAATGCCGAAGGTATGTTGGCAGTTCTTCTTTGTAAAATGTCCGATCACTGACCATCCTGCAGGCACTCCGCAGTCGTCCAATGCTCCTAGTATCCCTGCTCTTCCAAGTCACACTCCCAACGATCACCACGGATCCATCTCCCCACCTCTTGGCGATACTTCCATGTCGCCTGAATCCACATCCAATGCGCGCCAGTCTCAACTGTCGATGATTGCGGCATCTGCCAATGAGATGGTCCCCCAGGGACTGTCCATGGATGGCGACGGCATGGGTCCAGATGGTATCAAAATTGGCCAGTGGCCCCAGCAACTGTCCACCCACGAGCAACTTCTGTTTGACAGCTTGGCGGAGCATGACCCGTCGTTGACTGCGGCCACTCAACGAGCTGCATCATACCCTCGCCCTATTGCCATGAACCCTAACACCCAGGCCAAGGGATTTGTCAATGAATTCGGCAACTCCACCAAACCTATGAAGCCCAAGGTTCGGGGACGCTTCAGTGCAGAGCGACGCCGTGAAGTTCAAGATGTGCGAAAGAAGGGTGCATGCCTTCGTTGCCGCATGCTCAAGAAACCCGTAAGTCCAAATAAAAGCGAAGTGTAGTTGAAAGCAAAGTGGGGGTCGAAAGCGGAGTGTGATGACTGACGAACTTTGATAGTGCTCCGGCGATACCCCTTGCACCACATGCGCTAGCGTGGAGAGTGCCCGCCTGTGGAAGCACCCGTGCCTGCGCACCCGCCTTTCCGATGAATTCGAACTTTACAATGCTAGTATGTCCCCTCTCTCTTCACCATTTTTGTGACTCGACTTCTAACGAGATTCTCAGATCTTAACTCCACACTTGCCTATCATGACACCAACAGCATCAAGAATCAGGTCAAGTTTGAGCACTACTCTGGCCGCATTGAAGTTACCCATTTTGAGGAAAGCAATTCTTTCATGACCTTCAGCGGCCTCCAGGGTCACCGGCAATCGGTATCTGCCCTTGATCCGCAACTGCAAGCCTTGGGTGATGACCAATTCTCTGGATCTTTGCAGGAGGTTTACCTGCTAGATGCCGACGCAGATGACATTCCCAGCAAGCTGGAGATGTACATCAAGAAGAACGCGTCTTACTTCTATGAGCGGGAGACCTCGCCTTTCATGAAGCCTACTCTGCTTCTTGCTGCTGAGCTCAACCAATCTAAGAAGGTCCGTCAACGAAATGTCAGATCACTAAACAGTTGCTAACGGAATGATAGGATATCCTTTTGGAGCGTGTGCTGGAGCTTTGGGTCGCCACTCACATCCTCGTCGACACTGAACTGACCTGGAAGACCTACTACAACCCCACCTTGCCTCCTAACTCCCTTCATTCCCTTTCACAGCCCTCCGATGAGGGTCGCCTGCCCATTGAAGAGGTCTCCGACCCGGAGTCGTATGGCCTTCTCTGCAGCCAGCTCCGTGCTGCCATGGAAAAGCGGGCTTCGCAGTTGAGCAAGTTCGTCATCAACGACCTCGAGCGTCGACTTCTCCAGCGTCAGAAGTGTGGCTGGTTCGATACTTTTATCGTCGCCATTATTCTCCTCAACTGCGTGGAGCGCACATGCTGGCTATTCCGCTCTTGGGACAACAAGGACTTTTCTCAGCGTGTAAGTAATGAAGTCAGTCTGCCATCGGATGCCTACTAACGTGTATCTTCAGTGGCCTCTTGACAAGCGTCCCCCCTACTACTTCAACCAATCCGACCGTTTTGCCGATATCCTGGAGATGCTTCTGCGCATGCGCCACATTCCTCCTAAGGCGACCTTCCGTCCCGACAATGGAATCCTGAAGGCGGTTGATGGTAGCGACGAGCACGCTGTCCGTTGGTTTGACATGATCCAACTTACTCGTAAGTCTCATCCCATGAAATACTCCCACGCCCGTAACTAACATACCTTTCTCCAGCTTACTTTATTGAAGAGCGCAAGAACGCCGTCTTCGACCAGTACGACTCGCGTTCTCTCGATTGTCACCACAGTGCCAATCTTCTCGAGCCTAGCAACGCCACCTAGTCAGATACAACAAAACAAAAAGAAAGGCTTGAGTGATCTCTCCTTTCAAGTGATTCTCAGTTGCGGGTGAGAATTGTCGATACGAAATCAAAGCGAAATGCATGCAGCAGGCCAACCCCATCCTCGGCTAGGGGTGTCCAGAGATCATGGGTGGATTCCGGGCTTGGTTTGTCTATGGAGTTTGTTTGCCAGGGTGGATACGTTATCATGATGGAGAGATATGGGCCACTGAAACCAGAAAATGGGAGAAAAGAACAAAAACAGGGGACGTTGATGGGTGTTTCTGGTGTTACTTCCAGGGTTCTTTGCTACGTTTTGGTATCTCTAGCTTTTGTATGGTTTAGGATATTGTGCCCTTGGTACCAGTAATGGATGGAATCCGTAAAATTGTCATATTCATACTTAAGTAATTTTTGTATGCCTTGTAGTGGTAAAACATCGTACATATTCTAAAGAGATTGGGCGAGTTCTTGTCAGCCCTGGTCTTACTATATATATCGGGGGTAGATCCAAATGCCGTATAGATCGTCGAGTACCAAGGTCTTGGTATCACTTTCCGTGACTTGTCCAGGTGTCATAGTTGTTTGATGAGTGTCCTGGAATACTTAAGTATAAGTCAAACGAGATTTAAACAGTAATGCAAGCCATACTTAAGTATAAATACCACACTGTATACTTAATGGAGTTCGTCAGGAACCGGATCAGGACCGAAAGTAAAGAGATTTGCCGATTGTAGTGTGATTGGTCTCTAGTGACGTAGGCTGGGGGAAATCGGCTGAACTCCATTTTGAGATCTGGAGATCCTCTTCACTTCGTCAACCATGCCGCCTTTTCGCAATTTCCTCGGCCGCAAGCCTCAATCTAATACCGAAGGCCTCGCTGCCCTCGATGACAATCATCTCTCCCCCGGAGGCCCCGCGCCGATCCCCATTCGGAACAGCCATGAAGAACCCACCGAGTACAAATTGAGTGGTATGATCGCCCTATAGCCGTGAGCGCCGAGGATGCGCCGGACCAAATGTCACTCACATTGTTATTCTTCTACAGTCGTCGACGACGGCGGAGTCTATCTCCCGGTACGGTCTTCGAGGCCAGAAGCATGCCACCTACTAGGTACTAATTGATACAGCCCTCTCCGCCGGAGAAACCCAGCTTTTGGCGCCGATACCCAGGCTCGAATAAAGCGTCTAACCACCGCGACCTGGTCGACGAGAATGAGCCCTTCTCCATATCTCGTGAATCGTTCGACTCATACCGTCGATCCTTTGTATGTCCCCGCATTCTGTGCCTTGATCATGCACCCTGACCACCGACGACCGATCTAGGATATCTCCGCCCGCTCACCCATCATTCATGCTGAGTCGGGGCCTTCTCGGACTTCCCTTGATTCCCGGTGCTCCCGACTGACTCCCTCGGGCACACACTCGACCAGTTTCACGAAGCCGGATCCTATGGAAGAAGAGACCTTCGAGGAAGTCGGTCTGAGCGACGAGGTAAAGCCCAAGAAGAAGGGATTCCTCTCTAGATTTGGTGATTCATCCAACGATGCGCAACCGACCGCCAAGTCGTCTACGTCCTTTGGATTCCACATCCCCGGCCGCAAGCGCGGCCAGAGTGGTGGCGGATCAGAACTGGGATCTATGAAAGTACCTCCCGCTATCACTGCCGAGGAGCAGTAGCTTACTCTCCGAGTGATGAGATAAGTCTTGTTGTCGGGGTTTCTCGTGGGCGTTCTGGAGTTGAGTGATGTTGAACACACTCGGTTGAGGCATTATTTAATTTGGGACTTGGCCGATATCGATGGTGATGTTCCATCGAATCCCTCATGGCTGTCTCTTCTTTGCATATTGTACATCTGATTTGTCGAGTGATCGCCGGGTCCTACTGTGTACATCCTATGAAACAATGCCTATTTCGTTTTCACTGCAGACCGTGTCTATCATACACGATGTCTTTGCGAGTGTCATTTTCTGAATCATTTTCCGAACCATATTCTGGAGTTATCTGCCAGATATCATCAATTGAAAATAGCAGATGATCCTTCTCTGCATGGAGATTGACTGGTGAGGCAAAACTTCAAGGTCAGTCAGGGGTAAGTCGATAAGTCGAGCTATACTATGTATGGAAAGAAATGATTTTTTAAAAGAAGACCAAGCCCTCGAAGTTATACAGAAAACCAAAGTAGAGGTGAGGAAGGGGTAGGATTCGATGATTTAGTCTGGCGATTTGGTTTCTGCGACTATCTTATCGGTGCAAACTATGCAAACTAAAAAAACTTCCTCCGCCTGCGACCAAAAAAAATTATCCACCAGTACATCGAGCATTCTCCGCTCGCAACCCCGGTTTTTTTTGTTTGTTTCAAGATACCCTACAGTCACTCGATTCATTAATCATGGCTGGATTGAAGCGTGCCGTCGACGGCAGCGAGGAGCGCAATGGCAAGCGGAGCAAGACCAAGGAAGGCTCCGCATCCAAGAAGACCAAGCCCACAGCGCCCGTGAAGAAGTCAAGCTCTTCATCAAAGGGTTCCAAGGATTCCAAGTCTAGCAAGAGCGACAAGAAGCCTTCTAAGAAGGTGCAGAAGGAAGAGTCCGAGGACGAGGACGAAGACGACTTTGACATCGACGATGTTTCCGACGAAGATATTGATGCCCTTGATGCCCTTTCAGACAATGAAGATGTTGAGATGGAAGATGCCAACGATAAGGAAGAGGATTCTGAGGAGAAGGAAGAGAAGGAAGCTGCCCCCAAGAACCCCAACAGTAAGGCTTTTCCCTATCTTTGGATGAGACTAGTAACTAATCGCACTGCGCCCTCAGATAACTCCCGCGAGTCTCACATCAAGCAAAAGGCGCTCCAGCAAGAGCGCAAGGCTGCCAAGCCTAATGCCGACACCGTCGCCCGATCCAAGAAGCTTTGGGAGCAGCTGCGTCGCAAGTCCCACGTCCCACTGGAGCAGAGAAAGAAGCTGGTCAAGGAGCTGTTCGAGATCATTACCAACCGCGTTCGCGATTTCGTCTTCAAGCACGACTCTGTCCGAGTCATTCAGACCGCGCTCAAGTACGGAAACCTCGAGCAGCGCAAGCAGATCGCCCACGAGCTGAAGGGTACCTACAAGGAACTGGCGCAGAGCCGATACGCCAAGTTCTTGGTTGGAAAGCTGATTGTGCACGGAGACGAGGAGACCCGCGATTTGATTATCCCAGAGTTTTACGGCAACGTTCGACGTCTCATTCGCCACGCTGAGGGTTCATGGATTCTCGACGATATCTACCGACAGGTCGCCAGCAAGGCGCAGAAGGACAGACTTCTCCGCGAGTGGTACGGTCCCGAGTTTGTCATCTTCCAGAATGAGGGCGAGACATCCTCCGACCTGACCAAGATTCTCGAAGCCCACCCCGAGAAGCGCGGACCTATCATGAACTACTTGCGTGAGATGATCAACCAGCTGGTGCAGAAGAAGAGCACCGGTTTCACCATGCTCCACGACGCTATGCTGCAGTACTTCCTCAACACGAAACCCGGAAGCAACGAAGCCAACGAATTCATTGAGTTGCTCAAGAGTGACGAGGAGGGTGACTTGGTTAAGAACTTGGCTTTCACCAAGTCTGGCTCTCGCCTGATGTGTCTGTCGTTCGCTTACGCCAACGCCAAGGACCGCAAGCTGCTTCTTCGATTCTACCGTGACACCGTCAAGGCCATGGCTGGCGACCTCTACGGTCACCAGGTCATCATTGCCGCGTACGAGGTTATCGATGACACCAAGCTGAGCTCTAAGTCTTTCTTCCCTGAGCTGTTGAACCAGAATGATCCCGAGGAGGCCCGTCACGAGGAGCTCTGCTTCCAGATCAACGACTTGACTGCCCGTATTCCCGTACTATACCCCTTTGCCGGCGACCGCGTCAAGTGGCTCCTGCCCGAAGTGGACCAGAAGGTCCTCGAGGAAGTCCGCGAGGTCCGCAAGGAAACCTCCAAGAAGGACCCCACCATGCGTCGCCAGGAACTTGTCAAGGCCGCCTCCCCCACACTACTGGAGTTCATTGCCGCGCGCGCCTCTACTCTCCTCGAGACCACCTTCGGCTGCCAGTTCCTCTCTGAGGTTCTGTTCGAGGCCGATGGTGACAAGACCGCCGCTCTGGCCGCCGTGGCCGAAGCTGCCAAGGAGCACACCGAAGCTCGGGATACCGCCCACGCCGGCCGTCTCCTGAAGTCTCTTGTGCAGGGTGGTCGTTTCAACGCCGCCACCAAGAGCGTCGAGAAGGTGGAACCAGCCCTGAACTTCCACACAGTCCTTTACGATCAGATCAAGGGTGAGGTCATGGACTGGGCGACTGGTGCTAACCCATTCGTTATTGTTGCGCTGGCCGAGTCCGAGGACTTCGAGAAGAAGAGTGAGCTGCTCAAGACGTTGAAGAAGAACAAGAAGGCGCTGGAGCAGGCCTCGGCGTCGACGGTTGAGAAGGATGGTAAGACGAAGCCTAGCCCGACTAGCAGTGGTGCGAAGATTCTCCTGGCGAAGATTTAGAAGATTGTGTAATTACATGTATACAACCAAAAGCAGAGCAATTTATTTCCCAAATATTCAGGTGTCAAGGTGTCAAGGTGTTCAGGTGTCAAGGCACCAACTTCCGAAATTGCATTCTCCACAAGTGGAACTGGACCTTCGATCGAGACCGAGTTCAGGGGTTCGTCCGTTTGGACTCTATTTGGTGCTCTGGAGTACAGAGTATCAATAAGGCGTGTAGTTACTCTGTATCTCTTACTCTCTACAGGAACAAGGAGTCAACAGTGAGGCAATTGCCCGGGTATTCAAGTACTTAAGTATATTAGGGCCATGGCAGCATTGCGGACCCTTGCCGTGAGTGAGACCCCTTTGCATCAGCCGTTGGGTCTATACTTAAACCGTCAGCGCCAAAGACACTAAAGGCTTCTATAACCTTATCCCTCGAGGCAATGAGTATATAGATTGGGAGAGGGATGTGACCTGTCACTTCTAGATACTCAAACCAAGTTAAACTACAACTAGTGAACAATGGCCAGTAGTCCAAGGCTAAAATAGCAATCCTCAAAAGGTGGGAATATCTTCATGGCCGAATCCCGAATAGGTAATGATCTCACGCTAAACGTGCAATCTAAGGGGACAGCGTTCACACTTTGTGGTAGACGGGACACCTGGGGCCTCAATTTTGTGTCTTTGCTTTTCTCCTTCTACAACGACCTTCGCAGTACCTCCGTACACTGTGCAAATAGGCCCCAGGGTCTATGTGAGTGAGAAAGAGGCAGAAAGAGAGAGAGACAGAGAAACAGAGATGCCCTCACTCACACTAACCAACCCGGACATGATCCTGCCGTTCGACGGCGAAAGACAATCCCAAACACCCTCTCCGCCCCAACTCGCGTATCTGTCGAACATCAACGGCCGCCAATACGACAATGCCCCCGCCATCCCTCCCCGGCAGAAGAAAAATTTTTCCCGCCATGCCTGGACCCACGACGATGTGAACGTGAGCCGTCGCCTGTCGGATATCGGCGAGGAGCTCTCACCTGCCAGATCGGAGAGTTTCGATGACCCGAGCAGCCCTGCAGAGCAAGGACAGGAGGACCACAAGGAGAATGCGCATAGCAGCTCCAGCTCGACGATCAGCGCAGGGAGCCGTCGCGCTTCTGCGTCCACAGAGACCCCTGAAGCTAGCGGTGAGGTCTCGGCTGTGCATGAGGTCGCGAGAGCGCAGGCGAATGCCGTGGTCGGAGCCGGTCCTGCTACTTTACCAGCGAGCAGCGCCGTGGCGTCTGCAGCTGCAGAGGGCAAGGGGCCTGGGGAGGAGTTCACCTCTGCGATTCTGAGTAGCGAGGCAGAGCGGATTCTGGAGAACGCGAAGAAGAGACTGAACGTATGTGCATTGGGTGCTACGCGACTTGTTTGGTTTCAAGATGGCTGACCTTTTGTCCGATTATAGCTTATGGAAGGGAATCTGACACGCGCAAGATCAACGACGCGCAGTTCGTCGTCGCCTTCGCCTTCGCCTTCGAACGCAGGCTTTATCCAACCGTTGGGAAAACAACAGCCGGTCGGGGGTCTATATCGATCGATCTCCAAGACGGATCCGAGGAACTCTTCGCTGAGACGCCAGTCCCTTATCGCTTCGCAGGATACGACGAACAATCGCCATTCGAGAGTGCATTCGGAGACAAACATCCCGTCTGAATCGAGCATGGCGAATGATCCCAAGCGCATGTCGCGTTCGGTCAGTGCAATGGGCGCGAGCAGTTATTCCAGCCTTCATACAGATGATAGGTCGTTCCAGTATGCGCCTACGAGGGCGTATCTTACGCATCGCTCTTCTATATCGTCGATCAAACCTCCGATCCATGTGCAGGAAGAAGAGCCCCAGGTCCATACACAGTCGCCCATCTCCGCCCCCGAGAGTCCCATGGAGTCCCCGCAAGGGCTGGGAATTTCGTCTGATGATGGGTCTAAGTCTAGCCCGGAAAGTTTCAGCCCGGTTTACAGCTCGTATGGCCCTCCTAGTCGTGCCCAGTCGCAACTGCAGGTCCGGGATCTCCAGTACCAGATGAAGGGTCTTCATATCAAGATCTCTTCGCTCAAGGTCAAGACCCAGGAAGATAATCTTCGTCGGCGCAGTCTGCAAAGTTTGCGTACTCCCAGTCCATTGACGGCCGCTGATAATTGGTATGCCAATGCACTGGAGTTAAGAGAAGGCCAGAGTAGCAGGGGATCTAACCCTCAGCGCGAGGCCCCCGGCGATGCAGCCGCGAAAGCACGACGCGACTCAGATGAGAACATCTCTGGTGACAGGCCAAACCCTGGCCAAAACCAGCAGCAGAACCAGCCTGTTGACTATGACACCCAATCTGTCGACGAGAGCATGTATGAGGATGCTGAGGAAGGTGAATACGACGAGATCGACCGAGAAGCCCTGGATGCGATCTTGCGGGAACCGCTGGACGAGGATCTCGCGAGCGACACGGAAGCCTTCCCTGACATGCTCCCCCAGGATGCGACACCTCACGAGATGCGGGAGGACGCTTTCGACTATGAACACTTCATTCTGCACAGCGCCTTGGGCAATTACACCCAGCAGCTCCGTCGCATCAGCACAGGCTCGAATGGATCTGTCGAGACGACCAGGCCCGCATACACAGCGCGACACTCCCGCACAAACAGTGCCATGTCGGACTCCACAGTAGCCACCTTTGCCACTGCAACCGAAGGCAGGCCCGACGAGGAGGATGACATCGACAGCGTGATGTACTGGGATCGACGCTTCAATCATGGTACGGCCCCTGGTCCTATTTCCTAAACAGCCCACTAACTCTTGCAATCAGAACTACGACACGGCCATTCCCACAGCCATTCCCGTTCTCACTCTAATTCTCACCCCAGTCACCAACCCAGCCCAATCCAGGAAGTCGAGGTCGAGGGCGATCGCTCCGAGACACCTCGCGGGTCCCGGGACAGCAACGGTGCCACCGCAGTCAACCGTCTCTCTAGGAATCTCGATGGCCGCTCGTCCTCCGCAACCACAGGCTCCGCGACACCAACCGCCCTCGCCTCGTCCCTTGTATCTACCGTGCGTGCCGCGTCCAGCACTCCTACTGTTGGTGGCATCAATGACGATGATACCCAGATGCTGGAGGCGCTCTTCAGCAGCCTGGGTCGCGTCTGTACCGATCTGCAGGCCATCACGACCTCCCCAGATGCCGACCACAAGGTTGTGCGTGTGCTTCGACGCCGTCTTGATGCTGCACGGAGAGTGCTGGACGGAGAACTTGATGCTTGATCTCATCCACATGCCGCATGCCATGAATTATTGCTCCAGCGCTACTGACGTTCCTTTTCTACTTCTTTTTTTCCCCCACTTCTACTCTTTTTGGTGAAATTCTCATGATACCCAGTCTTTCCATGATTTCCTTCTCAATGTACGCTATATAAAGCCTTGATAATCAATTTATATGCTGTATAATATGACATTTTCTGTATCTGAAAAGAAAAAGCATTGTACTCCGCACTCTGCACGTTCTGTCAAGCCCCTTTCTGCCCCGCGATCCCCAATTCGTACAATTGATCGCCGATCTGTATGCCACCAAGCCTACATTCTCAGCAGATTCAGTAAGAAGCGAGTCCATTGGCATATAGAAACAACAACTAACAAACCAGACAATAAAAAAAAAAAACAAAATCCACGCGTTGCAGAATCTCCCAACCCCAGATTCTGTCGACCCCAAACAAACCCACGCAAAAACACCAGAAAAAAAAAAAAAGAAAGAGAATCAGTCAAACTGAACTCACCACCACCCAACAGAAAAACCCGCAGTCCAAACCTGCGCAAGAATCTTCTTCGCACTTTACACGCCCACACAGTCGCGATGAACATGAGCGCCAGCGCCAACAGAAATCCAGCCGCGAGCATCGGCCCCGGCGCAACAGCACATGGCGCCCGCCGCCTCCTCATCTTCCAGGAGACGCGCAATCCCGCCAACGCCGCAGAACCAGTCTATCTCCCTGTGAACAAACTCGGATTACCCATTTGCGGCGAGGGACCTGAGTTGCCATCCATGCTGGAATTGCCGCTGCGCGTCTTGAGGGTGTTTACCGATATTTTCAATCAGCCCAAGTATAAGGGATGGTATGTTTCTGGTTTCTGTTTTCTGTGATTGGTTTGTTTTGTTTCTGATCTTGGACTGACTTCGTGACAGGGCTATTCTGTCCGCGGGCCCGTATTATGATACTGCTGAAGAGGGCAAGTTCTACGCTGTCGTGCTGGAGCAGACTTCGAGTGTCTCTTCTCATGCGCCGGAGATTCATATGGGAACGCCCTGAGCACGATTATTTGAGATGTGTTTCGGGACTTTCTAGAGGTGGTGTTTACTATTCTTGTACATTTTTATTCCCAGGTATCTTTCTCAAATCTGAGTCTCGAACAATCTTGCCATGTAGCAGTAGGTTGAACCCATGGATCTGATGAACCTTTGCGAAAGACCTGGTTCAGTGCCGAATGTTCCAACGTTTGGTTCCTAATCGAGTCGCGGCCGGGCAGCCATATATCGAGGCATTTGCATTTCCTCTATTTCCTGTCGCATCTCATTTGTTCTTGCCTGACACTGTCTTCATCTTGCGAACGCTCAACAGAACTCAGAATTAATTCCAGAATCTTTCTGAATATCTTGATCTTCGAAACCTTGTCCCCTCAAACTACACCATGACGAAAGGAAAGAGCCTAAGCTCCCTGCAAGTTGGGACTATTGCAGTCTTGGCAATCACCGCAATCTGTATACTTCTAGTATACACCACCCCGGGAATCATCACCAATACGATCGAGAGCAATGACAGCAAACCATACCTGCAACTACGGTGGGAGCGAGCATTCCCTATGGGCACAAACACATCCACACCGATTCGACCCACAATCACTCGACCTTTATATCAGAAGATCATCAAGCGCGAAGAGGTCCTACGCAGAAGAGAGGCTATGAAAAGTCTTCAATGCAAGAATCAGACCACGCCCCAGGCAAACATGGAAAGAGCGGAGCGCACACCCGAGACAGGTTCTGAGGTGGAATCCTCCGTGGGGTGTTTGGCGAATGGAGACTGTGGGTTAGGATATGCGTGCTATGAGGGACGGTGCAAGCCTGGATGCAGTAAGCATCAAGACTGCCCGAGTGGGTATGAATGTCTCTATGGACGATATGGATACCGGTGCTTTGAGAAGACGGGATGGCATCGTGAATGTCGGGAGCATCTGCGGGTGTGTAGTCGGCATTTGCAGTGTTGTTCTGGGCGGTGTGCGAAGGGGAAGGGGGGGGATATGCTGTGTCGGAGTGTAGTTTAATTGCGAGCACAGCAAGCAATGTTATTCTAATTGTGTTAATGTATGGCTTTAACTGAAGTAATATGCAGTGAGTAAGAAGTAAGGATATAAAGAACAACAGTGGTCAATATTGCTAATCTGTCATGGATAACCTAGTGGGAGGCTCACCGCCATGCAAATTTCCCTGCTTCGACGAAAGTCAGCGGGTGCAGGTGCCTGGTACGAATCCCGGGGTTGGCAATTCACTCGTGCGAGTAATCCACGACGCTGGAGGCCACTAAGCAATGGAAATGACCCTTGAGGGAAGCAATTCTGCAGAGACATTTCCACCCCAGGATGGCGTCGCCAGATTACACCGTTCCGTTACAGGGATGGGTGCAATTTGGTGTGACAACCACTTTTTGTTTTTTTTACTGTCTTTTTAACTGTCTTTTTAACTGTCTTTTTAACTGTCTTTTTAACTGTCTGTCCACTGTGTTTTGATTGATTGATTTTTTTTTCATTTTGCTGGCTGATTGTATAGATGGAACAAGTATCTATCAGTTCCATCCCATCTATGGAAACATGTGGACTTGGAAGGTGAGATGACACTCGAGTCCTGACTTCCAACAGGATGACCTGCTTCTCTTTCTTCGCACTTGACTACAGCACCCAATCTGCATCCTTTCTCTCCAGTCCTGGATTCCACCAACTTGCTTCTCTCCCTGATACATCTGACTGCAGAACTCAAGGACCCTGAGGTCGTGTCTTTCGCCCATCCCACTCTCAATTCTCCCTTCACTTCTACATCTCAGCTATGCCCTTCGAGTATCTGAACATCTTCTGTGTGAGACTCTTGATTCCATTCATCTGAGATTCATCTCTTCTGGAGTCAAGTGCTCTTCACTCCCACGCACTCTCCTAGAGTCTGCGGCGTTTGTTTACTCCTCCCATCTTGACTCTCCTGCCTACCTCCCCATTGAACACGTCCCACCTGTGAGCCTTCACCGTCGTGAATCCAAGATGGCACCTGTCAAATTCGCGTGGAAGACCAAGCCGAAAGCCGCCAGACACCCGAGAAGTTCCCGGCTAGACAAACCAACAAAAAATCCAAGACTAAGATGGGACAGGGAGAAACGATATGTGCTCTGCTGCATGGATCGCTTCTGCTTCTACAATCAGCATCAGACAGAGAAGATCTTTTCTCACATTTTCAGATGGCACCTGAATGAGCGAGGATTTATGGATGTCGTTCCGTTCCGCACTTTACATACCCAGTTGAACTGGATGGAGAACACCTCGCATGTCGACTGGGAGCACGCACAAGAAATCAGATTTGAGAGAAGTGCCAAAGGGCTGGAGATCATGAGCAAGATCAGATCCGCGGCTGCAGCTTTGGGAATCCGTCTACAAGAAAAAAGGTCGCACGCAACTCACGCCTTAGGGCAGATATCTGTTGTGACTCCTCACACAGTACCCGAAACTCACACAGTAAGCTTCATCTGATCTATATCTATTCAATCTTACTGACAAACGTCTAGAGTGCTATGCCATCTCCCTCACATTCGTCAGGCTCACGGACACTCACATTTCGGCAAAGCCCCATCGCAAACCAAATCTCCGATCGCGTGGAGCCAACATCGTCTGTCCCAGCGCCTGTCCCAGTCTCTCCAGATTGGAACTTCTCTGATCGCGTGGAGTCAATAGTGTCTGTCCCAGCGCCTGTCCAGGTCTCTCCAGATTGGAACTTCTCCGATCGCGTGGAGCCAAAAGTGTCTATCCCAGTCCCCCCAGATTGGAACTTCCTACCAGCTCGCCCCCAATCCGGTCTTGGAACACCGATCACGGAGCAACAGAGTAACTCAAGTGACAGCGAGCAAGGCTACAATGAACCAGTGGTTACAAGCCATGGGAAGACCTGTCTCTGGTGTCACCAAGATCCGGAACATGATTTCCAGATACCAGAAAGCGAAGGGCAAAATGAAGACACCGAAGTTCCTGATGAAGTCCTTATTCACATCCCTGGGAAGCAGCTCGAAGAACCCGACCTTGAAGGACTGCACCCCGAAAAAATTCCACCCTTGCTCTACAGGTGGTTTAATGAGGATTCCCAAGGCAAGAACTCAAATGAGGGCTTTATATCAGGCCTCTTCTGTGAGGAGCCTTCCTTCAACCGGGAGGACATCAGCGATGACGAATTCGAAGAGCATTTCATCCATCATGTCACGAGGGAAGAAACCCCGACTCCATTTATCTCCACCTCTGCGTCTCCCCTGACACCCATTCACCGAGCCATAAACAGCGACAAGCCAGCAAGCGTGGTTGTTTTTGATACGACCAAACTCCAAACTCCGGTTTTCTACGCGCACCCAATTGCTAGACATACGAACACATTCACTCAGAAATGGAAAGGCTATGGCGAGTATTTGATATGGGGAGAGGTGCCTAGCAATGCCATTGTGTTCATGTGCCCTATCTCCGAGGTCGAGCAACTAGCTGCCAATCACAGCGACATCAATCGTCTTTTGCTACTCCGTTTCCTCCGCGAAGCACAGTTCTGCACCCGTGTCTTATGGGACCGACTGGCCAGGAAGAAAAAACCAGCCTACAAGTCTGGAAGAACATTTGGGAAATTGCTTTTTCTTCTCGACTTCTCTCGCCTTTACTGGGAGCACGCGGCAGCTGGTTTCATGCGATACTGGGGATGGACAAGAGAAGAGGATAGAGTCAACTTTCTGAAGGGTATGAAAAGCGAGTTGCCATATTCAATAGAGTTATCGGACTCCGAGTCAGAGGAAGCCCCTATCCCCCACTTCCAGAGATCACGCCGCTCGCCCCCGTGCTCAGATATGGACTTTGCGCCCCCGCTGAATTTTATGAATTCCGACTCCTCCTCTGAGGCCGAAGAAAGTATTGAGTCAGCCAATGAGTCGGGAATCATGGAAGTCAGAAGTGAAACTGCGGATGACGAGCACTTCTCCACCCACGAGAGCATGTCGAGCTTTGGGTTTCTGGCGGGCTCGTCGAGAAGACAGCGACGTGATGGCATTCGGTCGGTGAGAATGCTACAGCGTGGCGTTTCCTCGTCGGCTCTCCAAAATGAAATCTCGCCTGACGTCTCTGATCAAGTGCCGAGTCAGCCGGTCGTTGATAGAACTGGTGTGGGTGATCTCATGGTTTTTCAAGAGGGGGGCTGGAGTCCCCTTTAGTTATGACTTTTTACGATATTGCCCGGATCAGATCGAGAATGAAATGACAATTCTTTCGCCATCAATCACCTTTACACCGGACGGTAGGTTTGCCCATCGGAGATATACCGTGCTCTACTGTCGCACTACGATATTGGCAAGTGTCGCTTCTTTTTGGAATGATGAATCGGAACAAAAAGGCAGATTGAGTAATGATAATTATGCTCAAAACCACATTCTCACCCGCATAACTGTGTTGCGCGAATTCACCGTATAGCCGGCTGCTCATTAGAACTCCCCAGGCCCCTTACCGAAGTGATCGCCTTTAGGAACAGTCAACCAGGGTGTTGAATTTGCGTCCATCGTATTAGATCCAACAGTGTTTCCCCACCAGTTGAAAGTGATAGCATGATATCCCAGCGCAAAGAAGATGACAATCGTGGCGACTGCTGTACCTGTATCCATGGCGGCCTGGAGAAGATCTAAAGCACCCAAGTCAGCAAGTATTCCAATAAAAAGAGATGATCAGAGGCTCTCTTACAGTTATAACGCTTCCACCAGTCAAATGCACGTCTGCGAATCAGATAGTTGAAGAAGAAGCCGAAGATGAACCACAAGGAGTATTGGGCTGTGACGTTAGCTTTCGATCTCCCGACGAGACCGGTTAACTTACTGGTATTGGCAGGAGGAATGTTGCCAGCGGCATTGAAGAAAATTGGGACATTGATATAGCGAACCCAGCTGTTAGGGTAGCGGCGGTAGATGAAGTAGACAATGACAGTGACAACGGGCTAGAGAATCAGTTAGTTATGACTGGGGAATCTGGAATTTCGAGAACTTACCCCAATGAGGAAGAAATAGACCAGTCCGTTATATACCTGTCCTGACTGGAACATGCGTTGAGGACCAATGGTGCCCCAGATTAAGGAAGCGTTATACATGACTTTGGCGCCGTTACAGGTGAAGCGTTGCTTGTTCGTTGTTTCGCATAGGCCCTCTATGTGGCCGAGCATCCATCGCAGGACTGATCTCATTAGTTTCGAACTGTGTCAGGTTTGATAGAAGTCATACCTCCGGTCTGAGTCGCTGTTGCTAGGATACTAGCGTATATTTGGCCGAAAAAGAGAACGCGGGGAGGGATTTTCTAGACAAACAGGGGTGAGTGACAGGCATTTCGCAAATGGAAAAGAGAACAAGACTCACCATGTATTGTCCAAGCTTCAGATCCTGTGCAAAGTCCATGCCGTGTTTGACTGCATTATAGCCATAACACTTCACCATGAGGTTAGCGATAGGCTTCCCTGGCCAAGCATATCCAGCAATCATTTCGGTAATGATATTGAGGAACACGCGTTGGTTTGTCGTTCCTTGGAGGATTCCCTCAGGAACAATCAAAAGGACAGCCAATCCGAAACAGACCACAATAAAGCCCCAAACAGGCAGTTCCGTGTCCCAGTATTTGGTCGTCAAGATACCGAGTCCGAGAACCACCACCGTAAGAAGTGCATACCACCAATCTGGAACCTCCTTGTACGAGCGCATAAGTCGACGATGCACATCCTCGCCTCCATGCTGGGCATTCTTGAATCTGGCCCAAATCTCCGTTCCATTGTAAAGGTAGGTGTGGACCACGATTGCGGTAACTGCGGCGAATGATAGTCCATAGGTGAGGGAGTAGGACATGGAGATGTACATCGGGGAGTACTCTTTATATCTGGCCAAGCTGAAGTCTTTTGTCGCTGGATCAATAACACGAGTGATGTTGTATGAGCTTCCTGTGTTGTCAAATGTGCCTGACGAGAGCAAGGGGAGACTATGTTGTCAGTATGTGCGACGTGATTGAGGAAACAGAGAACTTACTATGCGCTGTACCATACATTGGAGTAGTACAGAATTGGCGACAAGAAGAGATAGAAAAATACCACGACGGCAAACGCATTGCAGGTAATGTAGAAGGGAGTCATGAGGGGGTAACCAGCATAGTTGATCTGTGTCCAGTCTATGCTGATAGGAATCAAGCCCAGTCCCGAGTTCATCTAGTAAATATACAAGTCAGTTTCACGCGAGATCTGATTGAATTGAAGAAACTTACTCCAAATATCGTGTTGACTTTCTGGTTGTTAGGCACAATCCACGTAACAAAAGCAAAAGTGCTCAGACTTGTCCAGATATAATCCGGGAACCAAAACAGCACAAATGCAAATGCAGTAATATAGGCAAAGAAGCGATAGCGAGTGATAGTCCAGCCATTTGCTGGGAATTTGCTCTCAGGCTCGTGCAGAGCTCGGAAGAGAACAGTGGATGATAATGAAGTAGGCCACACCAAGGCGGCAGGGTAGACAATCCACCGACGGGCAAGGCCTGTCAGACCAAATCTTGAACAATGTCAGTATAATACAAGCTGTCGCTGCTTGTAGCCACTCACCCAATCATTTGTGTTGTCAGGAGGTATAGGAAAGAGAAACCGGCTCCAAGATCCCGATCCCAGTACACTGGACTGACGATCGCCACCAAGGCTCCTTGTGCATATGCAGTAGTGGCACTAATATTGACGCACTGGATCCTTTTGTCAGATTCAAATAGTCTGCTTAAAACTTGTGATTCTACTCACAATGACAATGAATGCGTGCTCCTTGATAGTAAACTTCCCTGGGTTAACGTCAAATGTCAACGGCCCAAGGGGAACCCTCCACCTAGGAAGCTTTTCCCATGCGCGTCCGATTGGAAAAACGAGAATCTGAGCAACAACGTAGCCGATCGTAAGGGAGGGCTGGAAAGTTAGAGATTGTTGTGCCATGTCAGAAATCAAACTCACATATCGTAGGCCAAAAAATTGATTCACACCAGAGAAAAGCATGACAAAAATTGTCATTAATATCCAAGCTCGGACAGCTGCAATGAAGAGTCAAAAAATGGTTCCATGTAGAGGGGAGATTGGTGTCTTACTGCTGCAGGCAGTGGCAGGGTCATCTTTATTCGATACACAAGCCGCAACCTCGGGGACTGAGTTGTATGAGCATCAAATCATCAAATTACCGGATGTATTGACAAGCATACATGGTGACTGATCTCCCTCTACGCTCCATTTAAAAGCTTCAACTGGAGTGAGCTCCGTGAGCTCTCCTCTGTCTGGCTTATGAAGCCATTCCGTTGGATCCTGGCGAGAATTCTCCGACTCAAGATCTGTGGCCGGCTGCTCTGATATGGCTGCACCTTTGGCGGGTTCTTTACAAGCTTCCATGACGGTGAAGCACAAGCCTGGACGCAAAAGGAACAGAATATATGCTTTGAGCAAGGAGAACGAAAGACTGGGAGCTCTTCTCTTAATATTTACTTGTGAACAGTCCTTATTTATCAATTTCCATCGTGTAATGTGGCTTGAGCCAAGGCAGGATTCTCTTGTCACGATAGATCCACTCAGAATGACAACAAGTTTCCTCCGGCAGCAACAAACACCATGGTGTGGCGTTTAGTCTAAATCCATACGGCTTGCACTAACTCGTGTAGTATGTACGACCGGTCGCTTTGAACACTTGCTGACGCAAGACTAGATGATGAGCCGGATATCTTCCCTAGAGCACTGTTATCTTCACTAAATGGGGGGAAAGGCATCATGAAGAGTTCGACCTATTTTGAGTTCTGACCACTCTAGCCACTCATATTGCTGTCTTAGATCTACAAATTCGATGATTGGCTTACTTCTGCTTTCCTCCACCCCCAGAATTTAATCAATCCATACGGAGTATCTGAGTCCGAAAAGCATACGCAGTCTACTTAGGTGGGGGTGTTCTTATCTGGAGCTATACCAACCACTGCTCCGGCCAATACCCCCTTTTAGTTTTGCATGCATACCAATTCACCCCGAATCCCATCAGAAGAAAGCATCAGCCTAAAAGAAAGTTCATTCTAAAAGCGCCAAGTATAGGGCGCAACTTCGGCGCGACCTCGGAGTGGCAAGTGCTTAAAGTGATGGCGTGCCGAGGCGGCTTGATGAGCTTATCTTCGCAGTGTCCAGGAGAGAGCTAATGGATTGCCCGACTCTCAAATCCATGATTGAACCAATAACAGCCACGGGTTCAATTTCTAGAAGAAGGTGTGATTGCCAGGGAATTTTACGCGTCTCGGCCTCGGTCTTCAATCTTGAATGTCAATTTGTATTCCCAAGCAACAATATCTGATATGCAATCCAGAAGCACTGCTGTTTAACAGAGTAATTCTCTCTAATCCGAGCTTGATAGGTAAATAATTGTAAATCTATTCCGGCATGGGAGAATGTGATAAAGTTGCTTCCAGCAGATATCGGAATTTCCGAAGGTAGCCAACGCGAGCGACGTCGGGACACCGTTGATGGCCAGTGCGGGGATGGCGCCATCGACGGTGGCTTCACATCTAGTGTTCGCCCTTTGTTTCCGATTTGGGAGCTTATTAGACTACTGGGGTTATTTGTATGGCCAAATCCTCCTTTTCGAAATGTCAATCCTTTCAACCCTTTCACGCGCGACTGTTTAGGCTACATTGCCCCGTATGGCGGCCCGACCCGGACCAGAATCTGATTCGCATATGCTGACGATCAACCTTGGAAACTGTGTTGTGCTACCCTGGGGCTGAGAACTAGGAATTTGTTTGCTCGAAGTACACTCATAATCTCGGGAGTGTTTCAACTTCGAAGTTGTGCGCAGAGTTGCCTAGCCTGGAGGTAGATGTTGCCGGGAAAAGAACTGGACCAAGGCCCTCCAAAGAGTTGAGTTGAATATTGTCAATAAATTTACAATGTATATAGCCACGAATTTCGTAAATAGAGCATGGCTCATCTAGCTCGCCTTAGTCCTCCAGCCGACCGGTATCAATGTTCGCGTCCATCGGTTTCACAAATTCTGTACGGAAAGCGATTTTGTGGCCGATATACAGAACCGCAAACAAAATGAGACTAAGGTAGTTGATGAAAAAGTCTTGGACGCTGAACGTCGGGATAAAAGCCGTAAACCCTTGGGTGATGATGATGAGGATGTTGAAGAACAACCCATACCAAGAGAAATATGGCTGCCAAGTTCCCTTATAAGGAAGTGTGTCGCGTGATATTCCTCGTGCTTTCAATGCTCTCATGAAGGCCAGATGAATAATATTAAGCGAGGCCCAGGTAATGAAACCAGCCAAGCCAGCAATTTGCATCAACCAGTTGAAGACGGTTGCTCCGGCGTTTGACACATTGAGGAATCCCAATAGACCAAAAAGTGCGGTGAAACCCACACTCGCATAAGGTACACCGCGTTTGCTGGCTTTGCCAAAGATGCGAGGTGCAAAGCCTTCGTTTGCCAGTCCTACCAGAATTCGACTGCCGCTGTACACGTTCGAATTGGCGGCAGAGAGAACTACCGTTAATAAAACTGCGTTGATGATACTCGGCAAGGCGTTGACGCCAGCTCGTCGTGCAGAAATGACAAAGGGAGACGCGTTTGCGTCAGCACCGTTGCTGTCCGAAGTTAGACGCTCATCATCAGATGGAACGACAATGCCGATGAAGAAAACAGTGAAGATGAAGAAGAACACAATTCGGAAAAATGTTTTCCGAATCGCAGAGGGCACATTCTTGCGCGGATTGGCGGTTTCACCAGCAGCAATACCGACAAGCTCAGTTCCTTGATAGGAGAATCCAGCCTTAATAAGAATCGCCCAGAATCCGAGGAACTTTGCCAACGCATCCTGAGCAGGATTCTCGAGCAAATAAGGAATAAAAGGTCCAGGGTGAACCCAATATCTGAATCCAATATATCCCTCTTTACCAACTCCGGCATTCATGCAAATGGCGAAGATCATGAACCCAACGACGGTGATGATCTTGATGCTGGAGAGCCAGAACTCGATCTCACCATAGCAACTGACTGGAAACATGTTGAGAATTATAATCACAACCCAGAAAATGGCAATGAAAGCAGCCATTGGAATGCTCTCATCCCAGAACTGGATTATAAGACCCGTGGCTGTCAATTCAAGAGCAAACGTCGATGCCCATGAGAACCAATAAATCCAGCCCATAGCAAAGCCCAGGCTGGGGTCCACGATGCGATTGGCGTATGTGGCGAAGGCTCCAGGAATAGGGAGGTAGGTAGCCACCTCACCCAATGCAGTCATGACAGAATAAACAATTGATCCAACAAAAATATATGCGATCAAGGAGCCAACCGGACCAGCAGTAGCGATTGCAGTTCCAGTACCGATGAACAAGCCGGTTCCGATGGCACCACCTGTCGATACCCATGTGAGAATCAATTTGCATCAGGATTGGTTAAAAATGCGTACCCATCGCGATCATCTGCAGATGCCGGCTTTTGAGCCTCCGCTGCAACTCCGGTAATTGATGAGACTCTCCATTGCTGTGTTTTTCCTCTGCGTCAAAATCTCGATCGTCTGCGTAATTGTCCGGAGGCGATTCTTTTTTCTCCGTCTCGGAAGCGTTGTGTATGCTCGCGACCTCGTTTGTGGTCATCTCTGACTATGGTAAATTGAGATTAAAGATGTAAATTGAAATTGAATCACTTGAGAGACATGTTGAGATCTTTGAAGCATTGGAATCGCGTTGAACTTCCCAAACGGGCTGTCCGGGGTGAAGATCAAGCTGGGGACCCCGCGTTTGCCGGGCCGGGTACACTTTCGGTCTCCACTGAGAGACCCGACCCAGCAAATCCGGAGGGAGTGTTCGGCGGGTCTGGTCGTGCCATTGCTAAGCATCGTGCGGGGAATTACGTGTAATCGGCCACAATCAGACCTCCAGGGGTTCTGCTGCACTTCGGGTGGTTCCGAAGGATCTTCCTGCGCCAATGAAATCCGAACCGACTGGGATATCACGTAACTTATTGATTGAGCGCGCCCTTCAACCGGGCCGGGAGGTTGTCATCCTGCATTTTCGAATCGTTGATGGCACCAAAACGCGGGGTTTAGCTCCACATTTCTCGATTTAATGTTGTCGCCTTGTCGAGAGTGACTTGCCTAGTAGGCACGCGCAGTAATGGACGGATAGAGACAGGGAGAGGGAGCAGCAGAAGATATAAAGAGAAGAGAGTAAGAAAGAAAGAGAGAAAGAGATGAAAACCAGAGATTGGCCTCCAGAGTAGGCCTGAGCCCCAAGGCACCATATTTTCGGAACAATGAAGCTTCCTGCGCCGATTACTCTCAGCCTCATTTTGTTTTCGGTTGTTGTATGATTTGTTGAGACTTCATCATTGACTCCATATTGTTTTGCCTTTGCAAACAGAAGTGGCGTACACCTTCAAAGCTCAAACCCTCTACCCATCTCCAACAGATACGTCATTGCGGATCGTTCTTTTACAGCCTTCAAACCTCGAAGAACACCCCTTCGAGAGTTTTAATTCCATTAAAACAGCTCCAGTGGGCTTGCTTGTTCACTATGCGCTTTCAGTGCTCCAAGGGTTTAGGCCCACGCTAGCTGACTTGGGATTGGGGCGGCCCTAAGCCCTGAGTGGCATCCCAAACCGTGTTAGCGCATAATGTGAGGGCGGCAAAGCTTCAGAAGAAGGTCCTATTCGACGAAGAGAATTAAGATGAAGAAGACTATGGAGATCTGTGGGGAGAGCTGCTCTTATAGTACAGAGTATGCAAAGTATGCAAACGCGCAGACGCATAGAAAGCAAACATGCTGATGGTAGCAAACCTAGCAGACCATCACACATAATGCTGCAATGCAGGTGAGCTTCGAATGGCCAGTCCTGACTTATATCGCTTCATCGATACTTTAGTAGTCGCCCCAAATACAATGAAGGGTCATTCTGAACAAGCAAGACTCCACATCTGCAGATCAAATCGACCGTTTACACCAACTCTAGAATAGAAATTGACGGATATCTTTGAAGATCAGGCTCATTGCAGGGTTGTTGAGTCTCACGCCAGTGTCAAGACAGGTGAAGGTGTCAAGCAGGTCATAGACGATCTATATGTGCTTCTCACAGGTGACAAAGATTGTCAGAAGAAAGATCTCAGACAGCAATCTCCACAACAGATTCAGGCGAAAACTCATCAGAAGCCAAATCTCCCGTGATATCAACCCATACCCTTTTACTGTTATACCTATACAGACAATTGGTCACGGAACGACAGGATGGTCTGCTAGGGAAAGTTGCATTGGACAAAGCAGAGCAGATGACAGGTCCTCGGGTGAAGTCGGCCACGCATCGGGCATTCTGGGTACAAATCTTTGTAGCTGCTATAGCCCGCAGGCAGGTCCATCGAATTTGGCTACACCCTCTGGGAGAGCCGGGCAGGCTTGATCGGAGTTCCAAACTAGGGACTCAATCGGCAGCCGGGCCAAAGGAAGCACCCAGCTTTGAGACCTTCATCACGAGCAACTTTCAGCTTGTTTACGAAGACTTTCCTAGTCTATACTACAGCGCTGAAATCTGGTACATTGACGAGGCATTTAGGGTCATGATTATGCCTGACAGGAAGGTGGCTCAGTTCATGGATATAGTGGAACAAAACACGTCAGACAATTTTTTTTTACGAAGTCCTTTAAGATATACTTAGATACCATGATATTTTGACCTTGGAATCAGCTGTCTGGGTTTTAATCTGGACCTTAGGGCCGAGGTGTTTTGATTGGATTCTTTTCGAGGTAATGTGATATGATTTCCTCGCAGAAACACAAGTAAGGAATAAGGCGATCTCACCCGGACAATTTCTCGGCCATTTCCCGGTGGCAAGGATGGATAGACACAAAAATTCTTTCAGATCACTGAGCATTGATTTTGTCCTTCGTTTTCTTGGCAAATGCTACGGTGCAAACTAGCGGGACCAAGACATCCGGCCAACGCCCTATTGTAAGCCCCAAGATCATAACACCAGGGGCCTGAGTCTCGGGACCGGAAAACGCGGCGGACGTGATAGTGGAATACCTGGCGTTGTGCTAGGCTGGGCCTCGACTATGGCCATTCGGAGAATTGTTAGAATTAGGTTACCTCATGCTTCCAAAAGACTTGCTTCGAAAGTCTTGGTATAGTGGCCCTGAGATTGGCTTGTGATGAAATTTTTTTTTCTCTACTGTGAGTTATGATAGCATTGTGTTGGATATACAAGCGAGTATTGGAAACTCTTACAATCCATTCTAGTTCAGATCGAACTTTCACAGGTCGACCTTCTATGTGTGCAATCTTTGTGTCTAAAAGGATAGTTATGTAATGGGGCTGCTGGTCGACAAGAGCCTGTCGGCCCCAAAGACCGAAGTGAGTAAAAGTGGGTTCGGCTGTGAATTATGTTTCTACCGCTACAGGCGATATTTGAGGTTTAATGTTGGCCAGTAACACGGGATGAGGGCTTGAGGTTCGAATGTTCGAAGAAAAGTGTAAAATACGATGTTATGACATGTTACTGTTACATTACCGTGCCGTTCGGCAATACCGAGAGATACCGGAAGGCAACATTTCATTTGCGTAGTCGGGTCAACATCTCTTTCGTACCTTGTTAAAATTTTGGAATCATATGGATGACCTGGCTGAGAGAATTATGTGTGGCAAAGTATACAAAGATGTAGCCTTAAAATGGGCTGATCCAGATGTCTCAGAATGCCTGTAAAAGACCAAGCTCGAGAGAATGCAATCTCTCACAGGGCTCAACACAAGATTGGACGACTGGAAAACCTTTCTTTTTCTGTTTTCGTTTTGATTTTCTTGTGTTTTGATTTTCTCCCACTGACCAACCGGGGGTAAATCCTGGAATCGCTTAGATGCGCCAAGGGATGCCCCCAATCTAATCCCCTTGGGGCAACCAAAAATACTATTTTCGCGACCCTCCTTAGTCCCGGTCACAATGCTCGTACGAGTTTTGAGATTTTACCGATATCGGATCACGCAGAAAGCTCAAGGTATATAATACTGATCGGCGCATAGCCAAGCCTCAGTCGAATTACTCGTATAGAACCCTTCGCCATGGCATCGACCGACAGGCAGACCGATCGTGAAACCGATCACGGTGTGGACATCGCTAGACCCTCAGAAAAGGAGCGAGACGCCGTACAAGCATCCAGCAATGGAGTTCCTACGACTGACGCTGACAATAACTCGGATCAGGAATCTCTTGATCATGAGGCTCAGGCTGGTGTTAAGGCTGTCCAAGCTGCCGCAGCTGTGTGGACCAAATCTCAATTGGTTTTGGCATATGTGATGTGAGAGAAACTTCATCTGAATGAGCTCTCATTCAAAACGCTGACTTGAGTCTTATCCAGTATCTGGTTCATCTATTTTGTCACATCGATTCAAGAGGTTGTCATCCGCTCCCTAAACCCATATGTGACCAGTGCCTTCAGTCTTCATTCCTTGACGGCTGCCACGAGCATTATGTCTAATATTATTGGAGGGTTGAGCAAAATTCCTCTGGCAAAGATTTTGGACTCGTGGGGTCGTCCCCAGGGTATGGCGTTGATGCTTTTTATTTGGGTCATCGGTTTCATCATGATGGCGGCTTGCGATGGTGTTCAGACGTATGCTGCCGCGCAAGTTTTCTCTTCTGTCGGGTATGAAACCTAATCTCATTTCTAAAAGCACACACAAAGGACGCTGGCTAACTTCTGGTGTGTTTAGATCTCAGGGTGTGAGCTATTGTCTCACAGTTTTCATTTCCGATACTTCTGCATTGAAGAACCGAGCTCTTATGTTGTCCTTTGCAACTTCGCCGTACATCATCACCACATGGATTGGTGGTCCAATTTCCCAGAGTGTTTTGGAAGGCCCCGGATGGCGCTGGGGCTTTGGAATCTTTACCATCGTCGTACCTATCGTGGTCGCCCCTCTGTGCATCTTGTTCTTGTTGAACCAACAAAAGGCAAAGAAACTTGGACTCTTGGCTCCTCCAAGTGGACCTCTCACTATGTCTACGGTCAAGAAATACTGCATTGAGGTCGACCTGATTGGAATCATCCTTCTTGCGGGTGGTATGGCTTTATTCCTCCTGCCCTTTAGCCTGTGGTCATACCAAGAAGATCAATGGCGGTCTCCAATGATCATTTGCATGATTGTATTTGGAGGACTTCTCCTCATCGCATTTGCTCTTTACGAAAAGTTCTGGGCTCCAGTGACTTTCATTCCATTCAATCTATTGATGGACAGAACTGTATTCTTTGCAGGGCTCATGTTTATCTTTGAGTTCTTCAACTCCATGGTCTGGGGCAGTTACTTTGGCTCAATGTTGCAGGTGGTCTGGGGTCTCAATGTCACAGAGGCCAGTTATGTATCTGCCATTTATCGAGTCGGATCATGCCTTTGGTGTCTACTCGTCGGATTCCTGATTCGTTGGACCGGTCGCTTCAAGTGGCTCGTTGTCTACTTTGCCATGCCACTCATGATCCTCGGCGTCGGCCTGATGATCAAGTTCCGTCAGCCAGATGTGAACATAGGCTATATCTGTATGACACAGATTTTCGTCGCATTTGCGGGAGGAACTGTTGTTGTTTGTGGAGAGCTTGCTATGATGGCGCCCTCTGACCACCAACACATTGCCGTCATACTGGCAATTCTCAATCTGTTCTGCAGCATCGGTAGTGCAATTGGCTCTACCGTTTCTGCCGCTATTTGGACCAGCGAGTTCCCGAAAGCACTCGCAAAATATGTACCCGCCGATGTGAGTGTCGCGAAAGTCTACTCCGATATCAATGCCCAACTTTCGTACCCTTGGGGAAGCACCGCTCGGAACGCCATCGCCCACGCGTACGGTGACGCTCAGCGATACATGCTCATCACTAGTGTCTGTATGCTTGCTGTTGCTTGGGCCTGTGCTGGCATGTGGAGAGACATCAGGATCAAGGATGTCAAGCAGGTTAAGGGTACTGTGATCTAGAATATAACACCGGGGAGTCATATAATCATGGCAAGTAATATATGTGGAAGTAGGAGAATGTCTGAATGGAAAATATCGAATTAGAATGTTGAGCCTTGGAAATGAATCACTGTTTGTAAAATCTAGATTGATGATGTTTCATACTTAAGTCTGTCGGTAACATGTTATCCTTGACGGGTTTGGCATATTCAACTACAATGAATCGAGAGTTGAACCAGACTAAAGCCTGGAATCCAAACCTGAAGCCGAAAACTTCGAATATTATTCACTTCAACAAATGAAAATATTCTATAACATCACTTATTCTAAAGCTGAAGTGCTCTGACAACTACCTTGATATCTAACACATCTTTTCCACAGAAATCACCTTTGAAATACCCTTCTCAATACCACGACCATGCGCCTCAACGCGGACAAACTTGAGACCTCCTGCAACAGAAGCTGTAGTTTCAAAGCCAGTCTTACGAACAACAGAGACAGGACGCAATTCCCCACGGGTGTGACCCCCAAATATCTTCCAGTTCTGATTCTCCGTCGCTCCGTTCCAGCTCATGAAGACATTTGTCTTGTTATGTGCCTGATCGAAACAAGAAGCCACATCGGGAGAAGTGATAGGAATGCCCACCCACGGAGAGCGGTACGCCCGGTAGCTCGCGACGACACCGTCTTCTCCAAACTGGGCAGTCATAACACAGGTTCCATTCGCGTTGTACTCTTTGATCTTGGGATTTGAGCCGTAGCCCATAATCGCGTGGTTTCCAGGCAGAATTTGGGTGTTTCCTTGAGAAACGGCATAAATTTCGTCCTTGGGGTCATGAAGGGTTTTGAGTGAAGAGGCTTCACGAGTGGCCAAGTTGACATAAATCAGCATGCCTTCGGTAAAATGAGTTCCATTGGACACATCGGAATTGGCGTTGTCAAAGATACTGAGCACAAATCCATCTTCATGTTCATGGTGAATGCGACCATCGTGCTGATAGGCCCATTGGATCCCGTTTAGCTTGAAATCACCACCGGTTTCACCCTGTTCTAGATTAGTGACTGTGTTTAACATGATAATTGCGTCACTCACTTGAAGGGTCCAATCAACAGATCCATCCTTTGCAACTTTGAATAGCGAGCAATAGTAACGAGAGGAGATCAGGTATGAGCCATCCTTGAACTTCTCCACCGAGTTGATATGGAAGTAGCCGTAAGGCGCGCTGCTGTTATGGCCCCAATCTTCTATCGGGTAGAAAGGCTGTACGTCTTCCAATGGAATTTGGTCAAGATGATCTTTGGCACTCCAGCGGAAGAGGATGTCGTTGGTTTTGACATCAATCTCATAGAAGAGCGAGTCTGCGATCCAGCCATTTTTGGGCCCCCCAACAGAGCTCAAGTCACACTTTGTCACGTTGTATCCAGTAACCAGCATGGTCCCATCGGATGTCATTGTGTTTTCATGCATGTCAATCCAAGAAACAAAGGAGGAGCTATCAATGCTCCCCAGAGCCGTGTAGTTGTCGTTGATCACAGAGACATTGTAAATGCTGTTGTAACTCTGGTCCAGGACTTGGATAATTCCATATCCCCAGCCAAATGGCTCGGGGACACCTAGTCCATTGAAATAGGTCAGGACTGGCTTTCCATCAAGCTGCTGAACACGGAATCCCTTCAGGTCACCACGTGGGCTCTGCCAGACAAGCTCGTTGCTGTCTGACATGATAAACACACTGTACTGGTGCGCATCCCATGATTGATCAAAGAAAAGATATCCAGGGCTGGTTGGACCTGACTTTGAAATCTGGAGACTGGGGGGCTCGTGCGGGCTGGACTTGTAGGTTTGCCAGGGCCAGGCAGTGCTCGCCGAAGCTAAAGTGGCCTGTAAGCCACATAGGGCAACAAAGTTGGAATGAATGCGCATGTCGGTTTTGAGTTTCCGAGAGCAGTGGACAGAGGGTGCTGTTCCACCTGGGCACCGGGATCACATCTCTAATATTCAGACAGTTCGGCAATCTCGCGTCCAAGCCGATGTCGGCCCGCATGGCCATTCAACTGTTTCCCGCTCTGTGATTATGATCGTCTGTGGCGTTGAAGATTTTGAACTCGTTTACGACCTACAACTCCAGCGCTCACCTTGGCGCCGTGAAGCGACAATCTGATCAAAGCTCGGATCAGATAAGATCAGCGGACCCACCTTGTAATACACACTGGGTACAACTGTCGTGTAATTATCACACGTATTACATGGTATTACTTGTACAAGCAGACATCGGCCAGGCCGGGTAGACCTCAGGGTCTGATCCACTGATCGGCCCTGCCAAGGTCATTTGGAACTTTGGGAATGTCAGCATGGAGTTAAACATTAATTGTCTCCGTACCGAGGAAACCCAGCCCAAGCCTACTCGTACAGGGTGTCGCTTACAACTATCTCCACAACATCTTCTCCAGCTGCGGAGGCGTAAGCCACCTGCTATCTACGGGATGTCGGCATTTCATAGCTCGGCAGTGGCGGCGGCACTTCCGCGCTCTGGTGCGCCTATCCACTTTGGTCAAATTCTCGGATGACGCACCAAATCGGTGTCCATGTGCTTGACTTGGTAGCTCTGACTATCAGATTGATAATTCCTGCATGATTGATTGATAAGTTGCGGGATAAAAGTTATCAATCAATTCCCTTGACCAAGAGCCTGCCAAGGCTTGGCCTGAATTCTCTGTCCGCTTGGGCCTCGAAGGTCCATCTGTGCCGTTCACCAAGACTGCCGAGAGGCGACGGTTGGTTTCGCGTTGTTACGAAACGCCAATTGTACCATGGCCCCTTTTGCATGTTGGGTTTGTGTTGTGTTTACGAAAATCTACGAGAACGACCGAAAACTAACGCCAAACTAGACATATCGGCGCATATGGCCCCTTGGCAATGTACACGCATGTAAACTCAAGAACGTGATACAGGTAGGTCGTATGATGAATTTTCATGTGGTGGATAAAAAATTGCATTTAATCTATGGGCCTTGGAATGAGTTTGTAATTTGTTCCAGACATCATATGAGGATATTCTAGTTTGCCGCCCACTCCTCGAACGTGGTCCTTCCAGCAGCGGCAGGCATTTTCACCATCAATGGAGACCTGACCTCCTTGTCAACCCTAGTAATCTCTGGCTTGAACAGAATGCTTTCGGACAAGGTCTCGAAGCCAAGTTTTTTGTACAATGGAACTCCTTCAACAGTGGACTCGAGATAGATTGGCAAATTCAACTCCTCGGCAACATCCATACCCCATTTCATGAGTCGCGCTCCGACGCCTTTGCCTTGGTAGTCAGGATGAACTGCAACTGTGTGACAATCTGTTGTTTTGGTATCAGCGCACGGGCACAACGAATAAGCATTCTTGGCTACTCACAAACGTGCTTCTTTGGACCGAGGAGCTTTTCCTTCTTTTCCCAAAGCTGTTCCAAAAATCCTTCTGCACGATCTCGTTGGTCGCCTTCTAGCCATCCGATCCAAGGCTTCTGGCGCTCTTCATTGGTTCTCTCCCGCCAGTAGACTTGCCATGTTGCCATACCAACAACTTTTCCGGTGTCTGTATCAATGCATTGGAAGGTATGTTCCATGCTCAAACCCTTCCAGTACTCAAGAGTACCTTCGGTATGAATTTTGCGGAATTCCTCATCTTTCAGATCGGTTCCTGGGTAGATGAGATCAAGGATCAATTGGCCTTCGAAAGCGGCAAACCAGACATCATAGATCGCACGAATGTCGGGGAGAGTAGCTGGAAGAACAACGAGGCCCATGATGAGATAGATCAATTTTGACGATGAGAATGCGATTTAGAAACAGAGTGAAAAGACCTGAAATATGGTCAAGTTCAACATACTTCTTAAGGTACGGGCATTGGCGCCAAGCCTCCCGAGGTCGGATCTGATAAGACCAAAAATACGCCCCCAGGTACGCAATCGCTGTATTGCGGAGTATCGCGTATCAAAGGGATCTGATTAGGTTGATCCGGGTGAACTGCTCCGGGTGTGGGATGTCCCGGTTTTGCTGACTTCCATGGATTTGTTTTTCCTCTGAACTCTTCCCTCAGTCTCAACTAGCCAGATCGCCATTATGCCCGGTATCAACGAACAACCACCATTCAAAGTCCTGATCGTTGGAGGATCATATGCGGGATTGGCCGCGACGTTGAACTTGGTGGACCTGTGTCAGGGCCGAAAGTGCCGCTTCAATGTCGATGAAGCTGACAAGGCCCCCGAGCACAAAGTTCCTGTCCAGGTTACGATCGTGGACGAGCGCGATGGTTACTGTATGCTATACCTCAAAGCTTTCGAAAAAAACCATCGAGCTAACCCAAGCTGCTTAGTTCATATCATCGGTCAACCTCTCGCCGTAGGATCGAAATCTGATGCCAGCACCTTTTGGCAGAAGTTCGAAGATATTCCCGCCCTTCAGTCCCCGGACATCAACCACATTCAAGGACAAGTGGAGTCAGTTGACTGCAAGTCGCGCACCGCGCGCATCGTCCAGAGCGCGGGTGATGAGGGTCATAGAATTGTCGAACAAAAGTACGACTACATGGTTGCATGCTCCGGTTTGCGGAGAGAGTGGCCCAGCGCACCCAAATCGCTTACCCGGGAAGCATACCTCGCGGAAACAGCAGAGTCTGTACAAACCATCGAAAATGCTGCAGCGGGTGTTGTGGTAGTCGGAGGTGGTAAGTGACCTACTTCCTGCGTTGTGATTTTTTTGTCTCTCTGTGAAAGGTCTGATCATCTGATTCTTTATAGGCGCCGTGGGTATCGAGATTGCCGCGGAAATCAAAATGCTTCAACCCCAACTCAAGGTCACCCTTGTCCATTCTCGACAGCAACTACTCTCTTCCGAGGATCTTCCGGTCGAGTTCAAGGACAAGACCCTTGAAATGCTCAAGGAATCCAATGTGGAGGTTGTGATGGGCGCACGTCTTCAAGAAACAGTACCCGCAGATGACTCCACATCAGCGAAGTTGATATTGAAGCTCTCCGATGGCCGAGAGCTCTTCGCCGATCATGTCATCAATGCTGTGTCTCGATTCACTCCCACTTCCTCGTATCTGCCCAAAGATGCCTGTGACCCCGAGGGTTACGTTCGCATTACACCTGGTCTCCAGTTCTCTGGTGATGTTCCCAACAAGGAATTCCACTATGCGGCGGGTGATCTTGCCTGCTGGTCAGGCATCAAGCGTGGTGGAGCAGCGATGCACCAAGCGCACTTTGCCGCAGTGAACATTCATCAGCGAATGCTAGCCCATTTGTACAAGACTAAGCCCAAATTCAATGAGCTGGTTGAAGTGGCCCCTATGATGGCCCTAGCTCTTGGAAAGACTGCCGTTGGGTACTTCCCTACCATGGGACTGACAGTGGGCGACACCATTCGGAACATGTTCTTCAACGAAGATCTGGGCTATGGAAGTAAGTCAACCAGGTCTCTTTTTCTCTTATTTATGAAGTTCCTACTGACAGAAACAGTTTGTTGGAGATGGATGCGCCTTGGAGAACCAACAGCATATAAATTGTAGACTATGTATAGCTCTGATGATTCACTTTTGATAGATTTTGGTATCACTAAAGAATATTAAATACTTATATATCAATGAAATCTGAAACTCTGCAATCGCTATCTATCTTTTATTTCAAACATCTAGGCGGTTAACCATCCACCGCTTGGTTCAGGGCGTTGACTCGGTAGGTCTCGCTACGCTCCACCAACTGGTCATGGCTGCCTTGCTCCACACATCGCCCATCCTCAATCAAGAAGATCACATCCGCTTTCCGGATGGTGTATAGGCGATGTGCGATCGCAATGACCGTCATGTTCTTGCTTGCTTTCTCCAGACCATCCTGGAGCAAACGCTCAGACTCGGCGTCAAGAGCACTGGTCGACTCGTCCAAAAGCAGCAGCTTCGGCTTGCGGATCAGCGCCCGCGCAATGGCCAATCGCTGCTTCTGCCCACCGGAGAGACGATCACCATTCGGTCCACAGTGTGTATCGTATCCTTCGGGAAGCTGTTCAATCACCTCGTGAATATTGGCCAGTCGACAAGCAGCTTCCAAGTCCGCTTGTGTAACTTCGTGACCAGGACGTGCGCCCAGCTCTAAGTTGAACCGGATAGTTCCTTCAAACAAAACACTCTGTTGTGGGACATAGGCGATTGAGTCGCGGAAAGACACATTGCCATATGCAACATCCCGTCCGTCAACCTCTACAGTGCCGGTTTCGGGCGAATAGAGACGTTCGACAAGTGAGATGATGGTGGACTTACCCGCACCACTCGGGCCCACCAGTGCAGCGAATTGACCAGGTTTGATGTTCAAGTCCAGGCCATGGAGCACGCGTGTGTCCGGTCGCGCGGGATACGAAAACTGAACGTTCTTGAAGCAAACGCTGATACCCTTGCGAGTATCATCGAGCTTCTCACGCGAAGTATCATTCGATTCCACATCTGCATTTGGAGTGACAGGACCCGAGAGGTTCTTGGTCGAGCCCAAATCCAGCAGATTGAGGAGTCGACGAGTGGCCTGAAACGCGCGCGACACGTCAGGCGCCAAGGCAAACATCTGGCCCCACAACTGGGAACTGACGAGCAGCGCCAGTTGCACAATGAAGAACTGCGTCTGAGTGTAATGTCCAGCAATGATGTTCTTCGCTCCCCACCAGTATGCAAGTCCATACAAGAAGTTGCTGAGTCCATATCCAATGGCAAGCCACAGGTTGGCCCACGCACTTTGACGCGTCATGGCTTTCATCGGAGCTGCCAACGAGCGTCGATACGTGCCCATGATTTCGTGTTCCAGGGACAGTGACATGACCGTCTTGATAGAATTCACTGCCTCGACGGTGATCCCGACCGACCGAGCAAAGGCCTCCAGATGCCTTTCTTCGAACTGAGCCAAGGAGCTGACTCGCATCCACCCGGCGGCAAGCAACAGCGGCACGACGGAGAGGCAAACCAATGCAATACGCCATGCGATGATATGGGTCATGATGATGGCTGCGAAGAGGTTGATGAGGATGGAAAGAATCGTGCAAACAACGGACCCGGTCAAGCCTGCCAGTGCATTGCTGTCCTTGGTGATCAAAGAGAGAAGGAGGGAGGGATTGCGATCGTTGGATTCATGCCACTCGAGCTCTTGCTCGAGGATGGACCGCAGCGACAGAACTCTGACTTTGTAGATCACATTCTCTGCCATCCACCCGAACAAAGACCAGCTGAAGAAATTGGCGAAGAACTCGATAATGGCCAAGACGAAGAACATCAAGCCGTAAAACTCTCCAGCATCACGAATACTTTGGGGCTCCTCGCAGCCACTGAGCTTGCCAACCACGTTACCAAAAATGACGGCAGAGGCACAATATGTGCCGCCAATGACCACAGCTCCGGCGACGGCAAAGACCAGCACAAAGGCATAGGGACGGAACATGGCACCCATAGACCTGGCAGTTGCCGAGAATGGTCTTTCTGTATCCACAGCACCACTCTTTTTGGGCTCTGTCTCTTTGTCTTCGGGGGGTGCCGGCTTCTCTGTCTCTTGCAACTCATGCGCCACGGCCTGAGTGGGCTCGGTTTTTTCTGTGATCTGCTCCACAGGTGAGGCTGAACGAGTGGAAGATCCCTCTCCCGAGCCGTGGACATTGACATTCTGGAGACGGACGAGTTCTGCATATGCACCATTGGCTGCCAGAAGCTCCGTGTGAGGACCTTGCTCAATGAGCTTTCCTTGCCGCATAACAATGATGTTGTCTGCATTCCTGATGGTGGATAAGCGATGCGCAATGGTAATGACAGTGCGACCGATAGCCACACTTTCCAGAGCTTTTTGAATCCGCATCTCTGTTCCAGAGTCCAAGGATGCAGTGGCTTCGTCCAAAATAAGGATTCGGGGGTTCTTGATCAAGGCCCTGGCCAGTGAGATGCGCTGTTTCTGGCCACCACTAATCAAGTTACCACTGGATCCAACGGGTGTGCCATAGCCCTCCTGGAGCTTCTCAATGAAATGACTGGCATCAGCTAGCTTGGCGGCGTTCTCAACAAGCTCCACAATTTCGCGTGCGTCATTTCCGTGCTCGAGGGAGGCCTGGGTGAGAGGCTGACCATCTCGCACTGCTGCTGAGATATTTACCAGTGCTTCACTGGTGAGAATACCTTGCAGATGAGCATGATCTGGCGAATTGATCAGACCGAGTGCAATATTCTCGAAAATTGATCGGTCGAGAAGGCAAGGCTCTTGTTGGACCAGGCTGATGTGACTTCTGAGTGCGCGGACGTTCAGATCTTTCACATCGTGGCCATCTAACATAACGCTGCCTTCGGTGGCATCGTAAAACCTTGTTGCCAGTCCTGCGACGGTGGATTTACCACTCCCAGACAGGCCGACAATTGCAGTTTGCTGGCCAGCTGGACATGAAAGAGAGAGGTTTTGAAGCACAGGGTTATCTGGGCGAGATGGGAACCGAAAGGAAACGTTGCGCAACTCAACATGCCCCTTGACCTCCGACAAGACATGTCCAGCATTTTCCTCAGTGCCGTCGATCGTGGTCGAGTGCTCGATGTCAGCTCGGAGTTTTGTGAAGGCAACTGACGCGGCGTCAAAGCTTTGGAGGAACGGCGCCACGGTGCTCAGAATCAGAGATGCTAGAAGAGTGAATGTCAGCAAAGAGGAATGTTGGGTATGTGTTTCCTGTAAGTTCTCACCGTCTACCAGAATGAAAATGACCGTGTATGTGGCTCCGACCGTGATACCGCCACCATCAGACTCCACCGAGTCAGCGATCTGCCTGGATCCCTGCCAAAAGGCCAAAGCATTGGCAGAGAATGCGATAAAGTACAACAAACCTGCCTGAGTGGCAGTTGCAATTGATTTGCGGATTCCCGCAATTCTCCCGGGATTGAGGAATTCAGTAAACTTCTGCTCCAGTCGCGCATTGGCTGAAAATGAGTGAACCACCATGGTATTGGAGAATGCTTCCAGTGCGACCGAAGATGCCTTGGTTATACTCTCCAATGAGCGACTGAAGTACTTCTGAACGAAATATCCACCCAGTAGTGACATGATCAGGTATGCCGGGGTCAATGAGACCAACATGCCCGCCAATTTGGGGTCCTTGATGAATGCCACAACATAGGCGGTAACGAAGAAAGCCAACGCGTTGATCACAATACCAACCTTCTCCGAAGTTCCTTGCTGTATAGTTGTGATATCACCCGTGATTCTCGAGGAAACTTCACCAGCAGGCAGATTGTCGAAGAAGGCAACATCCTGGCGGAGGATAGCTTTGAAGTACTTCTCCCGCAGACGTTGGGCGAGGCGTTCACCTGTGATATTCCAGCTGAAAACGTATATATAGATCAGAAAAAGGTATGCGATGCCAATGTATACGATCATCAAGACTTTCTGATTGATTCCATCCTGGTATGAGTCGCCGTTGGTGTCATTCACGTTGCAGGTTGTCGAATTCATTTCGTCCACCAATTGTCCGAACACGATAGACATGATCGGAAAAGGGATTCCGGATGCGATCGCAGACACGAGTGCGAGTGCCAATAAGGCGATATCAGATCTGCTTGGTTCGCCATAGATGAAGAGACGGAGGAAGACCGCTTTTTCCTTCCACTGCATTGAGTCAGCTCCTAATTCCACAAGTTCTGTAGGGGACAACCTACGCTGCGCTTCGGGGGTGCGTCCTCAGCAGCCATGATGCAAATATTGCCTCTTGGTGTAGGTGAGAGAGAAGAGTGATCATCTTTTCCGCGTTATATTGTCAGCTTCGCAAAATTCGAGACCCACTGCAGAGCTGGCATACCAAGACTGTACTGTAAGCCGACTTCGGACGATACATAACGTCTAACTCCTTATCAGATCTGGTAAAATGCCAAGTGCCAAGGTTCTGTATTTTTCGGAGTGAAGTCTTAGGGTCTTGGGGGTCTTGGAACCTGGAGCCGAGATCGTCCAAATTACCCAGTGGGGTTAAAATACGAGTACGAAATATATCGTATACAGGGGTGCTTTGGGTACTCGTACTGCATTGGAAGAGAAGTTTCATAACTCGACGATCTTTGATAATCGCATGTAATACTGCAATAGCGAGTTCACCCGGCATCCCAAGCGTAGCATGCCCGGGTGGGATATTATTGCATTGCAAATCCTTCCTGTTTTGGGCTCTTAGGACAACATTGGCATCTTTGAATTTTTACCCCTTCGTCAGAACATGGAACAAGCGGCAGTGGCGGGATCTGATAAGATTTTATTAGGGCAGCTTCGTTGACTGCTGGACTTCCAATATTTGGAAAGACTTAGTTTCTTTGAGATATACCAGGTACGAAAGAGGATTGTTGGAGACATCAAAGTCCTTTTAGTCACAACGTACAAGTACACTTGAGCAGTTAATATGAATTCTGAAACTATGCATGGGACTATATCTCATAGCTTCAACGAGCGGAAGGGGTTCCGGTCAAGGGCGTCCGACCCATCAAATCGCAAAGGAGCTACATGGAAAAACTTTTCACGACTGCCAAGTATGAGAGCGGAGCGCTTGTGCGGCAAGTCGACCAGCTTGGCAAGATTCATGCCAGTGGCGTGGTCGTACGTCAAGGGGGCCAAGTTGGAGTACTTCGGCTCGCCAGTGACAAACTCCGTTCTCGGGTCGTCCAGGAAAATGTAGTGCATCAACCCGGACCACCATGCAATTGTACGGTGCGGGCCTCGGAACCTCTCGTCGCCGACGAGGGAGTGACGGCCTCGGTCCCAGTCCCCGGCATCGTAGTATGCGCCAAGGTGGTCCTCCTATGGATTTTGGGATATGATTAGAACTTTCTCAATAGGCCACCAAGAGTTGAATGACTAACCTTTGTCCAGTAGATCTCGTGGTAAGAGAAGAATGTATCGTTGAACTTGGCCAGGACAGCCATCTGGTGCGGATCCTCGTGAATCTTCCGTAGATACTCTCTATGCTCGTCCAGTGTTCCAGTCTCATTCCAACCCTGAGCAACACGTGGGTCATTCTGCCATTTGTTGAAAAGACCAAGGTGTTCTGGATTCTTGTAATCGAGTGCAAACACCGAGAAGAACTCGTCCAGATGTGGGATGTATCGGCTGTATACTCGAGAACCAGCGGCTGGCTTGGGAGGTCGGACGGGGTGGAGAGCATGCACTCGACGTTCAGGGAACCCGGTGGTCACCATGTGCTGCTGAGGTCGAGATGGGTAGCTGTTCAAGGGCTTGCGCATGTAGCTGTAGATACTGGGGTCAGATACCCATGCTGGGCGAGTGCCAAACGGCGAGCCTGCACCTTGCCAAAAGCTGCTGCGGAAGAACACCAGCTCTCCTTGGTGAGTGGTGGACGTGGGCACGGGTTTTCCCGGAGCTGCTGAAGGCTCAGGATGGGCAATGGCGAGACCTACGGCCTTTAGCTCTCGTGAGATCAAGTCTTTGCCAATGCCAGATAGAACTGCGCGGAAAACCTCGAAATCACTATGCAATGTCTGAATTGCATAGATGACATTCCAGATTTGGCCCACGGTAGGTGCCTCTGAGCTCATCCAAGTGAAGTGTACAAACGGACTCCTCTGTGCACGAGCCCAGGGGGAGTTGTTGCTATCTTCGGGGGTGGTCAATGGATCCGGATGTATCAAATCCGTGAAACTCAAGGAAGCATTGTCCAATTGTTTTGGAGGAGCTATGCCTTCGTCTGCGCGGGGGGATCGGAGCAACTGGAACGTGCGGACATTTTGTTCACTGGAAACAACATGAAATTGATAAGTGGTTTTGTATGGCTCCGGTAGCCGCACGAGAGGGAGAACGCTGGAAGACATGGTGATGGTGCTGCTAACTCAAGAGAGGGCCACGAGGGAATAAGTAACCAGTCACTGGTGCCTGCATAAGAGCTTCACCCTCGGATATACTACACATCGGACCTGTTTACGAAGATTGGGAATTGATCATCCTCCAGCTAGGTACTCGATACGCCCAGCAGTAATATCACGGTCTCGCAGCCGAGGACTTGGCCGCTACCAGTACCATATCTGTATCCCTTCGTCTCTACTTGGCGCACCCTAAGGGCCTAGTAGCGAGAAGACCCAAGTCCAGTCCCGCTCCCTGAAGCTGCTGAGGTCTGTGACAACTCAAAACCAGATCGACACGATAACTGAGCTGCTATCCGACATCGCAGCTCATTTGTCAACTGGAGCGGAACGTTGCGGTACCCTAAAGGAGTAATTTCAACAGAACTCAGAGGATATCGTACTCGTAGAGGGTAGTCCTCCGAAATCAAATGCCCATGCTTCATGAGTGGGGCATCAATAGGATGACTGATTCATTAGCGAGCTTTTCGTATATGACCGCTACTAAGTGCCGGAGATGAATCAGGTGTAGATCTACACCTGATTACGGTGGCGGTGCTTAGCGCAGATCTTGGCGGCTCTGGGCGGCCAGGGTCCTGTATTAATCGGGTGGTATGTACTGTAAGTATAGTAAGTATGGTAACAATGGTAACGGTTTCCCGTTGTTACCGACTGTATATCTGATTCTTAGTTGAGCACAAATGTAGCTGATGCACATTGGCGAATCCTCGGCATGTGGCCGGAAGCTTTCTGTCCGTCGTGGCTCTATTGTATGCAGGAACAGGTTAACGCGCTAAAGGACAAGTCAGTAGTGGGGGTCGGCGAATAATTTAATGCCATTGAGACCAAGACTTCTGCAGAGGCATACCTCGGTGACCCCTCATTCAGCATCACTTTAAGCTTGTCTGTTCATTTCCCAAAGATGGGAGAATACATCGAGCCCAGCTCGACTGCTTGGGTCACTGAAGAAATCACAAAGCCAGGTGATGCTGCTTGGTCCGATCCTATTACCCTGCCGAATTTCACAGACGCCAGTCACGAGGAAGTCCTAGTTTTAGCCTGGACTCTTCTTCTTTTTCGTGATACCGTGCACAATGAAGATGGGGGATTTTCTTGGACTTCAGGGGCCGATACCCTTGGAAGTCTTCTCGCAGATGTCATTGAGAGCGAGAACACTCCGCTGAAAGAGGCTTTGAGAAATATTCAAAATCTGAGTCGATCCGAGAAAATCGAAAACGATAGAATATTGCTTAAAAATGCCAGCCCTGGGAAACAAGTAAGTAAAACCAATCTAGTACTTTTCACTCACTAACTCGACCAGAGCGAATTTTCGCTAGAAGCAAAGTTGTCGCAAAACGACCTGCGTTTGCGCGGAGCTCCTCAATCGCCGACAGCCACACAGCCAGTCCAAGTGTTTCTGCCCCAAGTCCTCGCCGATATCTTATCTTCAATCGCAAACAGCCTCGATCAGACAGTTGCCCAGGCTACTCGCATCGGAAGGTCGGAGCTGTCACAACTATGGCAATGGAATGGTCCCATGCCACCCACTATCGATCGCTGCATTCAGGATGTGATTAGTGCGAAAGCCCAGGCTCAGCCAGATCGTCCGGCTGTCGTTTCCTGGGACGGGGAAATGTCATACGCACCGCTGGATGATATGTCCACAAACCTGGCTAGTCACCTAGTCACCCTCGGGCTGAAAATCGGACAAGCTGTGCCTCTTTGTTTCGAAAAATCGATGTGGACAATTGTCGGTGTCCTGGCAGTGATGAAAGCCGGTGGCGCACTGGTCCTGATGGACCCCAGCCAGCCCGAGGGACGACTGGCAACAATTGCAAACGAAGTCGATGCGGATTTGATTTTAACGTCTGAGTTGCAGGCTGATCTTGGTCAGCGCATTGTTCCAGGAGGAAAGCAGGTGATCGTTGGACCGAGCATTGCTCATGAAGAATTCAAGGCATCGCCCACACCTTTGCCTGAAGTTCCAGCCTCATCCACCCTCTATATTCAGTTCACATCCGGCAGTACTGGAAAGCCCAAAGGTGTTCTGATATCTCACTCCAACTACACCAGCGGCGCTATTCCACGCGCTGCGGCTGTGGGATATGGAGCGCATTCTCGAGTCCTTGACTTCCCTTCATACGCATTCGACGTGAGCGTTGATTGTATGCTGTGCACACTGGCCAATGGGGGATGCATCTGTGTTCCCTCGGAAGATCAGCGTGTCAACGATCTCAGTGGTGCTATTCGCAGCATGAGTGTGAACATGGCTCATATGACTCCATCTGTCGCGCGAGTTCTAGCCCCTGATATCATGCCCTCGCTGGAGGTTATTGGGCTTGGAGGCGAGGCAATCACTGCCAGTGACGCGGCCGAGTGGGGTAGGCAAACAAAGATTGTCATCGCTTATGGTCCATCCGAGTGCACAGTCGGGTGTACTATCAACAACAAGATTCCCGAGGGAATGTCCTACACCAGCATCGGCAAGGGCGTTGGTGGAACAACTTGGGTCGTGGATCCATCCAACCACAATCGTTTGTTGCCCATAGGTGCTGTTGGAGAGCTACTCGTTGAAGGCCCTGTAGTGGGGAACGGATATCTCAACAATCCCGAAAAGACGGCCGAAGTCTTCATTGAGAATCCGACCTGGTTGCTCGAGGGCGGAGGGGACTTTGCAGGTCGCAACGGACGTCTGTATAAAACAGGTGATCTAGTGCGGTATGACCCCGATGGATCAGGAAACATCGTTTTTGTCGGTCGCGCAGATCAACAGGTGAAACTGCGCGGCCAGCGCGTGGAGCTCGGAGAGATCGAGTATCACGTCCGCAACTACCTCCCCGCTGGAGTGAGTGCAGCAGCTGAAGTTGTTCTCCCCGGAGGATCAAAGGCCGATGCCACACTGGTTGTTTTTGTTGCAGAGGACAAAAGCGAAAAGACTGGAACAGTCTGTCAGATTACTTCATTCTCAAATCAGCTTCAAACCCTCCTCGCTGGTATTGATGAGGTCCTCGCCAAAAACTTGCCTCGGTACATGCTTCCCACAGCATACATTCCACTTGACCAGATGCCGCTCATGGTGTCTCTCAAGACAGACCGAAAGCAGCTCCGCGCCCTTGGAATCAGTTTGAGCCGACGTCAGATGGCGGAGCTGAAGTCTTCCACGATAGCCAAAATCCAACCGAGGACAGAGAAGGAGAAGAAACTCCATGGATTGTGGTCGAAGATCTTTGGAGATGATGTGGAAATTGGAGTTAACGACCACTTCTTCAGTCTCGGTGGAGACTCGCTCAAGGCTATGAGACTTGTTGCGGTTGCACGGGAGCAGCTCATTGTGATTCAAGTCACTGATGTCTTCCAATCCCCGGTTCTGGAGCAAATGGCGCTGGCAATGAAAGAGATGGACAGCAACGTCGTACTTGAAGTTCCACCATTTTCATTGCTTCCCACTGGGTGGGAGGCTGATGCAGCCCGAGTTGAAGTCGCATCTCTAAGTGGCTTGGACACTTCAAATGTGGAAGATGTGTATCCCTGCACACCTTTGCAAGAAGCTCTCATGGCATTGTCGGCCAAGTTCATGGATGCGTACGTCGCTCAAAGAGTCATTGAACTCCCAGATGCAGAGTCTGCAATCAAATTGCGTACCGCATTCGAAATTGTATCGGCTCAATCGGCCATTCTTCGCACGAGAATTGTCCAAGTTCCTCGCCGAGGTCTGATGCAGATCGTGGTGCGAAGCAATGTCCCCTGGTTGGAGAGCTCCAACTTGGAGAACTATTTGCGCGATGATACGCTCAAAGGAATGTCGCTGGGCACCGAACTCTGTCGATTCGGTATTGTGAACGATATCGTGACCGGCAAAAGCCACATCGTTCTCAGCATTCACCATGCCCTTTACGATGGCTGGTCTATGCCACTGATTGTCGAATGCGTCAATCGTGCCTACCGGGGTCAGAGTATTGGAGCGCCCGCGCCATTCAAGACCTTCATCAAATGGCTCGGCAACGCCGATCGCTCTTCGTCTGAGAGATACTGGACAGAGCAGCTGCAAGGGGCAACGGCCCTGCAGTTCCCTGTGCTTCCATGGGCTGGCTACCAAGCTCGAGCCGATTCTCTGTTAGAGCACTATGTCAATCTACCACATGCCTCCTCCAAATCAACAACCAGCATTGCCACGGCCATTCGCGGGGCGTGGGCTCTTGTGGCTGCGGAGTACACCTCCTCTGATGATGTCGTCTTCGGAGAGACTATGACCGGTCGCACGGCGCCCGTGGCAGCAGTAGAGGAGATCGAAGGTCCCATGATCACCACTGTTCCAGTTCGAGTTTGCATTGATCGAAAGTCTCGGGCATCAACATATCTTCAGAATATCCATGATCAGACGGTGCATCGAATCCCTCATGAGCACATGGGCTTGCAGCATATTCGACGTTTAACTCCAGATGCTCGCGAGGCCTGTGAGTTGCGCACCGGCATTGTGATTCATCCGACTATTGAGGAGAATGCGGTCTCCGAGGAGGAACAACCAGCCACCGCATTTGTCCCTACCAGTGAGGCGGAGGCTGCTCGAGAGGCGTTGAAGTTCAACTCATACTCTCTCATGCTTGTGTTTACCGTTGATAAAAATGGATTCCTGATCATGGCAAGCTTCGATTCAAAAACGGTTGATGAGCCTCAGATGAAGCAGGTTCTTCATCGGTTTGACCAGCTGGTGCAGAAGATGCTTGAAGATCCTGCTCAGAAGATACAGAAAATTTACGACTCTGCGGCTGAAGAAGATATCTCAGAGCAGACTCGTCTTTCTGCCATCGGCCCAGCAAGCCTGCCCTCAGATGGTATGTACGCCACTGTCACAGCAACTTGGATCGCGGATCCACTTGACAAAAACCATCTTGTCCCTGTCGGTGGTGTCGGAGAGTTGATGGTTGAGAGCGAAAGTGAGCTGGCGACTTGGGATCTCATCACTAGTCCTCCGTGGCACACCCGGCCAGGCAAATTATTTGCAACAAGTCAACTAGCGAAGTTCACCAGTGAGGGCTCACTCATTGTCATCCGTGCAAAGCACGCACAGCTTGACCAACAACAGGCCAAACCCAAGATGGGGAGTCCAGAGAAATCTATCACGACTATTGCTCAGAGAAAGCTGCAGCACTTGTGGTCGCAAGTCTTGGATATTCCTGCACAAGATATTCTTCTGGATGACAGCTTCTTCGACCTGGGTGGTGACTCCATCCGTGCCATGAAGCTAGTCTCCGAGGCTCGGGCAGATGGTCTTCAATTAACAGTAACCACAATTTTCGATCACAGGTCCCTGTTTGACATGGCTGAAAATGCAGTTGAGGCCCAGCCTCCCACAGTCTCATCTCAGAGTTATTCCAAGTTTAGTTCGCTTGGTGTGACAGATCCCGAGGGCTTTATCGCGGAGCTCCAGCCGATGCTCGAACGACCTGAATGGAAGATCATTGATGCCTATCCCAGTCGTCCGCTGCAGGAGATTGCCGTTCAGGGAACCGTTCAGCTCCCCCGATTCTCGACAAGATATGAAGTGTTCTATATGGATAGCGTCATTGATCGCAGCCAGCTTTTCCAGAGCTGCCAGGAACTAGTCGCGAGAAATGAAATACTTCGAACTGTCTTTGTGGAGCACAATGATATCTCGGTCGGCGCCGTGGTTGAATCTCTCGCCTGTGAGGTCACGGAGTACGAGATCGAGACAGATGTGGAAGAATTCAGCCGCAAGGTCTGTGATGTGGATGTGCAATCGCGCATACCACTGGGGTCACGGTTCTTGAAGTTCTTCTTCGTCCAGCATGTTGATGGGCCTAGCAGTCTGATCATGCGAATCTCGCACGCCCAATATGATGAAATATGTCTCCCAATTTTGCTGCAACAGCTGTCGGCTCTTTACGAAGGACGACCGGTGCCAAAAAGCTTGCCTTTCTCATCATATGTCAACCATGTCACTCAGACCAATGTGCCCGCCAGCATCCCCTATTGGACAGATCTCCTTCGGGGATCATCCATGACACGGATCCAGCCTGATATTCCCATTGTTGATGGAGCCCATTTCGCCATTTCCAAGGATGTTAATATCGCGGCTCGTCCACGCGACATCACGGTCGCGACTCTGCCCACCGCTGCTTGGGCACTGTGCCTGGCCCGACGCTTATCCCTTGATGACGTCACATTCGGTGAAGTGGTGAGTGGTCGCAACATCGACCTGCCCAATGGAGATGCCATTGTAGGACCATCATGGCAATATGTCCCAGTGCGAGTGAAGTTCAACAATGAGTGGCGCGTCTCGGACCTGCTGCAAGCCGTCCAGCGTCAGCATCTTGAAAGTGCACAGTTCGAGGGGATTGGCCTCAAAGAAGTTGTCAAGCATTGTACCGACTGGCCAGAGTCGGTTGATTGGTTTGATTCCGTCGTGCACCAGGACGTGGAGCATGTCGAAGATCTGTCCTTCATGGCGGCCAGTAGTCGCATGCAAACTATTTACCCTCACTTTGAGCCTCTGCGTGAGATCAAGGTGCAAGCATTCCCCAAGGGGGATAAATTATGCATCGAGATAGTCACAGTCGAGTCTTGGTCAGAGTTTGCAAAGGTGATGCTTGACGAGATTGTTGGCATCGTGGGTCAACTGGTGAATCAGGTTGATACTCAAGTACTTTGAGATCGCTTTCACCTTAATATGACTGTGGCTGTCTGTAAATAGGATCGTCATAGACTCATATATATCAAACCGTATCACTGAGTCATATATCGACTTCTATGAAGAGAACTGAATCCAGACATGCGAAGTAGATGTAAATAAGTTGGAAACATGCGCTCATTGCAAAAGACCGGAAAGAATCAGACTGAACCGTGGAAAGAGCCTTCAAATGTTTGTGCAAGGAACTCTCCATTGAGTCATTCTTCTTGTGACTCCCCAAGCCTCATCAACGGGTATGAAAACTCCTTCTACTTCCTCTCTCTGTTGCTCTCTTTCTCTATACCAAAACAACATCATGACCAGCCCCGAGATAAAAGAGGCCTTGGTCGTGACATCTGAGAATTTCCTGGTTCCCAGGAAAAGGAAACTCACGCCGGCTTTGGAGCGATCTTCACCAAGCAAATGTCTAGTTCTGACCCCTTATGGAATGTTTTCAGATCGATTCCGATTGACTGAATCTCCCCTTTTTGGGCCCTCGGCATGTCTGCTGCCGTCAGGAACAATTGGTAAGTCCCGATTGATCTATTTTCGAACTTCTATTGATTTTGGTGTTCAAGACAGCAGATTTGAGATCCCCCATCCCCCACCATTCTCGTCGTCGTCCATAATTACAGCGCAAATACCTCCACTTCGACACATAATCTTCCCGTTCAACCTACGCCACAATGATTCGTTCATGGAAGACTCTGAGCCACTTTCACGTCTTTACCCAGGAACAAAGGCGGTGTCCTTTGATGGCTACTTCTTAACCTTGTTGTTCGATACCCTACCCCCAAAACCTTGGCCCGTGACCATTGCTGGTGTTCAACCGTATTTCACCACAGATCCACAGTTCTATGACTCTATCCCACTGACCAATTATCTGAGACGATCACTCCTTCGCATTTCTCCTGAAACCAATATCAGGTATCTCTCATTTGACAGGATCGACGAAGCATTCATCCTTGTCTTCCAGTTCTTTGCACAATCCGACATTTCTATTACGGAAGTGCAGTATTGGAACAATTTTTTCATAATCGTTCTTGAGAAGGAAGACACTATAATCGACAATGCTCCGTCCAACATTGGGCACTGCCACTGCTTTTACCAGTTTGAAAAGGACATGGAACGACCAAACATGGAAATCCTTCCCCTCTCTCAGATTCGTGAGCGAACCAAATCTCTCTCAACAATCGGCAATGTGTTTGATACAAGCGAGTATGATGAATTGAGACCGGGTGTTATGCTAAGCTCTGGAAATAGCACAGCCGACCGAAGTGGATTGTTCACGACATCCGGTGTTCTAGTTGAAGGTTCTTTCGGCGAAAGGTTCATGACTGTCGCATCACAAGGCTTCCCATCTGAGGGTCGGGTGTTTCACCCAACTCATCAGGGCAAAGAGCTTGGCCAGGCCATGAGAGAAATCAAGCATACCGATATTGCTCTCGTGAAACTCACTCATGATGTTACCATGGTAAACGAGACCTTCGAAAGCTGTGATAGTACTCTACCTACACGGTTCAATGAATTTGTCCCATGTGATCAGCGGCCAAAGCTCGGTGACACTGTGTATATGGACAATCCATTTTTGGGCTCTCGTCAGGGGACCTGTGGCCCTCATGCGCGAACGAAAATAACGGTTGGAGATCTTCATGAGCCGAAGCACGTGTGGGTGCGAACACAATGGCATTACTTCGGACAAGGTTTCGCTCAACATGTCACTAACGGTTTAGCTGGCTCCGTTATATGGGATGATAACAGAAATGTTCTTGGGTTCTTTCGCTGCGCGCCACAGAAAGGCCAATATGCAGATTGGTGTCTCACAGTAGCGGCGGACTATATGATTGAGGAGGGTCTACGCATCGTTCAGTGATTTTAAATGGCCAGGAGTGCCCATTTATTGTTCTAAGAACCCACTGCGGAAGAATGACATTGGAAGCGAACCCCATGCGAGGCTGCCGATTCTCGAGCCTCATCTGGGGAGAGTGAGGAAAAGAAGAAAAAAGAGCGAAGGACGCTAGCTGGTATTTACAGATATGGGTCGAATCATCCTCTACAATAATTGTCAAGTGACCTGAAATGATCAGGAGTGTCTGTCTACTATTGCTACGTGATTTGGAATTGCTGGGTGGAATTCGAAGCGTCATTAATTTTGTGCTATCACTGACTTTGAATAAACAGAATGCTCATGCCTTGTTCAATTTTAAGCAGTGCCATATCGTAGTCGAACACATTGCATTGGAAGAAACAAAAAGCAAAATATGAAACCGAGCAAGAATTGACATCACATTTCACGCGCTATCAACGGATTCAAATATGACCTGTACAGAGCTAGTATATTGAATACACTGAGGTGTCAAATCCAATGTGGCAGGGGGATCAGGGGCTGGAGCAGGGGTGTTAGTAGAACGGCCAAACAGACTCCCAGATGAAGGCCCGCCGGTATCTTGTCTACTTCCGAAAAGGCCCCCTGAGTTCCCACCGGGAGTTCCACCGAACAGACCCGCGGGCCTTCGTTGCAATAACCCGAATGATGAATTCCAACCATCCTGGATTTCCACTGCGGCCACTTTGCGCCCGACAACTTCACTGTAGTCATCTGCCTTTTGGACCGCATCACGAATAGCCTCCTTGCGTGACTGGGAGCTCAATGCTTTCTTGGTGGCAGCGGTCAACTCCCAGCCAATTGAGTTGATATCAACATTGGGTACTCCGACCAGCATGCCGACAACCTCGCTCATTTTGGTAAAGTCGCGGAAGACAGCGACAAGTGATAGGTTGCCACGATGCACCTCATTTTGAAAATGCGTTGGTTCACCATATGGTTTCCAGCGCCAAGTGCTGAGAGAGGTGGATGAAAAACTCACCACCGCCGCATCGGCAGTTGGGCCTAGGTCCTCTGCTTGAGGACAAAGTTCTCTGAAAAGCTTGGTCAGCTCGTTTGAAGTCTCGGTTACCTTATTGGAAACTATCTCGCGACTCGTCCCTTCACCGTTGACAGTGACGCTGAGAACGCCTCGCTCAGGTTGCCGGGTGATAGCCGACGAGCCTCCAACAGTGATCCTCAGTGGTGCCATGGTTCTTGAGCCAATTTGGTATGAGAGCAGTAGGTTTCTGCGAATTTGGGTGTCAGCGATGGTCCTTATAGGATGAGACGGCGCCAGGCAGAATTTCTCGAGCTAAGCCGGAAAGCAGTGCTCCGGTAGATGCCTGGTGATTTATCAGCTTGACTGCTTTTCTGCTTTCACAATCAATGGATGAGTGCAAGTATATGGCAGAATTTGGCCACGAAGAATTCACATCAGAAAGGCTTGACAAGAATACAATGTTGGTAAACAACGGTGGAAGCCAAGGCCTCTGCATTTGGTTAGCTCAAGATGCGCTCAAACACAAACAGGCCAAATATCTCGAACCAGTCAAACATTGCAAACATTTCAACGTAGTATTTCTTTGCAATTGGGCTATCTAACACTATGTCTTTTTGCGTTAGACTGGACCCACGCAGGCAAGTATGGGATCAATGGTTCTGAACATGAAAGGTAACTTGCCTTGAATGTCGATGAATTTTTTATTTCTTTGGCAGAGCAGACAGCCATTTGCAAGACGCCGGAAAACGGACTCTCCTGTTGGAGCGAATTCCGAAGTGTCTGGCAACTTTTTCACCTTTTAGTTCACCCTATCTAGTGTATATGCAACACCACGTTCTTCATTTCATCTATTGATTAGGGTCTGCAAGTTCTTCTTCCGTCAATTGATATAGTTCCCTCCCTAATTCTGCACTGGCTCGATACTTTTCCCCAACAGTAGAGCCCTCAAGGAATTCGTTGGTTTCCATCCATGTACCAATCACACCAGAGATCGTGAATCTCAGGATCCATACGACCTTCGCGAATGACGTTTCGGAAACCGTCTAAATAAAGCACATACAAACTTCCAGACTGGAAAGCCTCCTCATCCGCAAGGATAAGATACGTCCTCGTGGCGCATTTTTGTAACCCTATCGCGAGGCTATCGATGATTGTGTCTCGGTCATCGCGCCAAGCCTCCGGGGCTTCTTCTTTTGCTTCGGCAATTTGCGTTTTGAGATCAGAGCGGAAAGTTTCAAGATCTTCTGCTTTACGGGCGCGCGGAATGCTCATTCTATCATCGACCTCGGGTTCAAGTGGGCCCGCAAGTTCGGGAAGAATCTCGTACACACGCCGCCACTCCGATCCGAAGTTGAAGAGATCCGCATTATTGAGAACCGCCCACCAGGCTTCTGATTCAAAGGGATCTGAATCGACCCATTCAGACATTAAATCATCGTGTCTGGCTTTCTCTTCTTCGTCGGTGCAATAGTGAGTGCGTAGTAAAGCGGGACAAGTCTGGTCATTGAAAAGATTCATTGCGTGCCATCGAAGCACGTCGCTGCGGTAAGGTCGGAGAATTGTGTCCACCTCCTCTGTTGTAGGCGCACGTGGCGGATCGATACCCGCTGGAAGGCTATCCCAATCTTCGGCCCATTCAAGGGGAATAAATTCCATGTCGAGGAACTCAGTGACCAAATTTTTTCGTTGCTGGTCGGGGGTTTTGGTGGAGGAGTTATTCCAGTTTGTCTGCACAGGATTAGCATCTGAAGTAGAAACAAAAAGGCACAACATACGATAAGATATTGTTCGACAGCCAGTGTTCCCCATGGAGGACGAGGAGGCAAAGAATCCATTTCATTCATCACGAGGAAAGGTTGGGAAGCTTGAAATGAAGATTAAAGAGGAAGATGCGGAAGAGTGGTCAGGAACGCATAAATCATTCCTTTAACCCATAATCCTTTGATACACACAAGTGAATATTAACTACATGCTCTTACTAACTATAACTTAGTTAATACCTTGCCTGAAAGATGGAAAACATAGGTTTAAAGAGGTAGTACTCAGCCCGAAGCAATCACCACCCGGCATTTCGCTGGCACATACCGCGCCTAACCTAAAGTGGCTAGGAATAGCACGTGACATACACCTCCGTTCTCCGCCCCCGCCGGAGTACTCGAGAGCTGAGGTATTTTCCGACAGACTGCTCTCCGCCGCGCCAAGGCCCCGAAATTACTCAGGAGGGGATATGATAGTTATACACTGGCAGATGATGACATCACTGTGCAGATGAAGACTCAAACAATTCAGGTGGCTTGTGATGCATCTGTGACTAGCGCATCGTACCATGGCGCGCTCCAGGGTGACCTTCTCTTGCGTCTCACAAGCAAATATTAAGTATTTCATGAATGGTGCTAACTCGAACTTTTCCGCTGCATACAGCAATGTCCTTGTCTTTACATGACCCGATGAAGTGGACCCAATCCGTTACAGAAATCGAAGGCTTTCATCTTCCATCTATCTCCGGATTCGCTTCAAGGGATCGACACAAGAACTGCAGTTTACGGAGCAATGACACTCATGCTACCCCGGAGATTTCACTAGAAAGGCAATCCCCCGGTGGACAATGCTCTCTTCCTGCACAATAATCGCATAACCAGGGTTTTTGATCCCCTGAAACTCCGGGTAAAACATGACAGGATGCAGCCGAAGTGGCTGGTTATTGATTTACCAGACCTTGGCGACCTTCTGGCAAAGATCAAAAACCCATATATATGTCGAAGCAACCCCGATCATTAATTAAAGCTCTGTGGTCTATCTCAAGCAATACTCATTCTATCGCGAAATCGAATTTACATCATGCGACCTTCATTAGGCAGAGCAGAGCTATGGTCCATCATACCATTGCTGTTGACTTCTATATCCCCCGCTGCAGCGGATTGCGATCTCCCCTCATCTTACAGCTGGACATCGACTGAAGCACTGGCGCAGCCAAAGTCAGGATGGTCGTCGCTCAAAGACTTCACCAGCGTGGTATATAATAACCAGAATCTCATCTATGCGACATTTGCCGACGATTCTGGGAACTGGGGATCTTTGAACTTCGGCCTCTTCTCTGACTGGGAAGACATGGCAGCAGCAAGCCAAAACCAGATGACATCCGCGGCCGTGGCACCAACGCTGTTCTACTTCAAACCCAAAGACATCTGGGTATTGGCCTATCAGTGGGCGGTGAATCCATTCTCCTACGCAACTTCATCGGACCCTGCCGACCCCAATGGATGGTCATCAGAGCAGGAACTCTTCTCTGGTGCGATTTCTGACTCTGAAACTGGTGTGATCGATCAAACCCTCATTGGTGATGATGAGAATATGTACCTTTTCTTTGCCGGAGACAACGGCAAGATCTACAGGACTAGCATGCCTATTGACGATTTCCCGGGCTCCTTCGGCACATCATCCGAGATCATCCTGAGCGACACCACCGACAACTTATTCGAGGCCGTACAGGTCTACACCATAGGCTCAACTGGCAAATATCTCATGATTGTCGAGGCAATTGGAACCGATGGACGTTACTTCCGCTCGTTCACTGCGGACAGTCTGGACGGGTCATGGACCGTGCAAGCAGGCACCGAGAGCGAACCCTTTGCCGGCAAGGCTAACAGTGGAGCTACTTGGACGAACGATATCAGCCATGGCGATCTGGTTCGCAGTAACCCTGATCAAACGATGACTATCGACCCCTGCAACCTGCAGTTCCTGTATCAAGGCCGAGCCCCTGGTGACGACAGCGTTTACGGTACCTGGCAATATCGGCCAGGCGTTCTGACGCTCAAGCAATAGACTGCCCCCATTCTGTTCTAACCCTCGGTTGATGTTTAATTTGAGCAAATTATATTTGGAGAGATCACATTTGCACAGGATTAAGCTAGTCAATGAATAGCATAATTTGAATGGATCAACCCGATAGCTGCCCATTATTACATTTTTGGCTACGAGTACTCTGGAATCGGTGGAGGATAGAACAAGAATAACGTTAGTTCGAGGCTAGAAACAAGGGGCGCGGTTATCGGCTCGGGGGTCTCATAAGAGCTGTAGACCCCCAGCTCAAGGCCATTCTCATAAAGAATAGAGGCCCCCAGCTGAGAAGAAATATAACGCAAAAGTAAAATGATCGCATGAAAAGGCAAGCTTAAGTCTCCAGGCATAAAAGGAGGATGCAAAAACTGGGCTGTAGCAATAGCATTCCCCGAACGCGGAGACACATAATAATAGAGATTGGACAGTTGGAAAAGAGCAATTGAAAAGAAACATGAGTAAAGATAAATCGCAGAGGTAGGCATTCACTCGTCGGAAGTAGTGGCGGGCTTGGAGGCGGTTTTGGCTCGTATCTATTCTTGAAGTCTTGGAGATCCACGAAGGGTCTTGTCATCAACCGTTGGTCTGGATGGTTGTTTGCCAAAATATATCGATTTTCTTGAGATCATATGGGTTACTTATTGGGTCTGACGGACGCCCGTCGAAGGCAGCTACTTAAGTACCATTTATGATGGAATGCTGCTCTACTTCTAAGTTAAGTAGTCTCTTGGTTCTGAGGCCATATTGGTCCAACTTCTCCACTATCCGGGGGCTCATCAAGTACTCGTACATGTCTGCCCCGCTGTATACTAATGCTTTGACCTGGAAGTAAAGAGAGTTGACTGATATTTGAGCGCTGACTGTGAAGCTCTTATTTGACAGTATCCTTGTTGACTCATTCTTAGGATAATAGGCAGGTATCTGCCTAGGAAGAGACTTATCCTAGGCTTGCTCATTTCCCCAGTTCCCGCGATGCTTTGGTCTACACCATTCATGTTCTCGGAATCTAAGATCCCCTTGGTAATCATCTCGCAGATTCTCTCCATTTTGGTTTGATAGGATGGGATTGAGCAATGGAATGGGTTAATGGATCGAGAAGTAAGCCTTCGTCGACTAACTCAACAGAGATTCTTTGGAAATGCAGGCGAGATATCGCGTACATCTGCCTGGCTGTTGCACACCAATTTGGTTGCCGGAGGTGGGTTCGCTCCAGCCCTAAGTGTAGATGGCTCTCTTTCCGATCCTCTTTTCAGCTCTCTCTCGTCCTCTCTCTCTCTTCCTATCTCTCTTCCTCTCTCTCTTCCTCTCTCTCTTCCTCTCTCTCTTCCTCTCTCTCTAGGAAGTATCAGAGCCCTCAAAAGAGAGAATAAGCGATTCTGACTTTCTCAACCCTTGTGACCTTTTTGATATCACTCAAGACATCCACCATAGGGGTGAAAGTAACAGGTCCATCGGATGAACCCCCGATCACAAACCCAATACGTAACCAACCCTGTCATAAATAAAGGGAGAGAGATGCCAGATAAGCAAGACCACCTGGGCATCTAGCACCTGCTCAAGTAGTATGGGTGGCCATACTCGGGATACTCGGCAGGGTGATAATGTGTTGGGAAGGAGCAGCCTGGGTTCTGTAGAAGGAAGGAACGCGACACCAAAAAGTAAACATCTCTGCCAAGTAGACTTTCCTCTTCCTTAAGCTTCCCACAAGATGTCTGAGAACCCGCGCCCCCGTGTAAGTCAAGAAATCCATCATAGTGAGCTTCATGCTATTTGTTTGCAGCTTTTCTGTGTGCGCTGCCGTGCCTCCGGGCACACCGTCGAGAATTGCTGGCACGTCCAGCATGAAGTGGCGTTGATTCGCCGCTTGACCTCCGCTCCGCCCCCCCCTCCCAAGGTAGGATTAATACCTCTCTTTTCCATGGAACATCGGATCGGCCTAACATGTTGTCACAGGGCAAAGGAAAGCCCACTCGCCGGGGCTCAAAGGGTCGCGGTATGTTACACTACAATGCTCCAGAATCAGAATATGCACAGATTGCTAACATATTCACAGCCAAGCGGCTCGAAAGAGGTATGCATATCAATGCACACAGCATTTCTCGGACAACCTTGGAATTGAACGATGCTGACTTGCAATAGACCGCCGCGCGGCCCTTGGCCCCGGCGGTGGGGCGTCTTCGTCTCCGGCCCCCCCCCCCCCCCCCCCCCCCCCCCCCCCCCCCCCCCCCCCCCCCCCCCCCGCCCCCCCCCCCCCCCCCCCCCCC